TAGCTTATTTAGCTATAGTTTATTTAGTCTATAGATTTTCTGAAATTTTAGCTATATCTCTAGTTTAAGAGATATCTTATAATTATAGTATAAGTATAATAATAATTCTATTTTTAATTCCTTCTAGAATAGTTTACTATATTAATAGTACTCTTCTAGTATTATTATAATTCTTTTAAGTATGTTCTTCTTTAGGTATAGTAGTACTCTATAGGTTTATAACTTATATACATCCTATCTCTAAGAAGTGATAGAGGCTAAGTCCTTCTTTAATTATTTCTAATTAGATCTATTATTTAAATTAGCTAGCTAATAAACTAATTAATAATAGGGTTATACTTCTATAGCTATAGTAGTCTTAATATTATATTATATCCTACTATATTAATAATATTTAAAGTGATTAGTATTTCCTTAGAGTTAACTATAATAGAGATTTATAATATCTCTTAGTTAATAATTTCTCTATTATACTAGACTGGTTTCTCTTCTACTATATATAATTTATAAGGGTCTTTCTTATAAGCCTATAGTATATTAAGTTTGTTTATTATTTATAGTAATATAAAATTTTCCTAAGCTCTATTATTTATTAGTATAGTAATCTTATATCCTCTAAGCTATATTTTTATTATAAAAGGCAATAGGTTGAAGATTACTCTTAGATTCTTTGCCTTTTTACTATTTATTTAGCTTCTTAATAATAATACTTATTATTTTTTAGTATAAACTAGCTGGTGGCTTCTTTATAGGGTTGTCTTATATACTTTATATATATTAGTCGTCTTATTTTTACTTATTTCTTTAGGATGAGTATTATATCTTCTTATACTTATTTATCTTCTAGTATCTCACCTTAAGTAGGTGTTAGAATAATAGGGGTACTTTCTCTTGCCCTCTATATTTATTACTATATCTAACTATATTAGAGATATACTTACTCTTTTCTAGCTTCTTCTTATAATTCCTACTATTAATATTATAACTCTAGTTTCCTAAGTTAGTAAATTTTATATATTACTATAATATAATTAACTATTACTCTTTATCTAAGTATATAGTTAACTAGGTAGTTAAGCCTTATCTATAGGATGATATATCTCTTTATTATATCTTAGTAGAAGATCTTCTAATACTCTAGGTCTTCTTCTAAATATATATATAGTAAGAATTCTTTCTACTGCCTAGATATAAATTAATACTTTAGTTTCTTTACTAGATATCTTAAGCACTTATTAAATATATAAGTAGACTATAAAATCTAGTTATATCAGTCATTCTTATAATATAGTTATAGATCCTTCTAATCTTATATAATCTCTCTTCTTTCTCCTACTACTACTTAGTAAGAAGTTATTCTTAGAAGTATAATAACTATTTATTCTCTACTTAGGGCTAGTTATTATTAGATAGTTATTATTTATCTATATTTCTTATTATTACTTTCTAATAGAGGAGTAAATAGGTTTTTCTTCTGGTCTTCTTTTTCTTTAAGCTATGCCTATATCTACTTACTATTATCTTCTATAGCTACTAAATATATGTCTTTATCTTATATAAATTTAGATTCTTTATCTAAGTCATCCTTAAATCTAATCCTATTTATTTCTAATAGGGTATTATTTTATTCTTTTAGCCTAAGTAGTTTCTTTCTAGATAATCCTCTTTTTCCTATAGTAATAACCCTTAGCTATTCTATAACTTTTAGGAACTATTCTAAGATCTTCTTATCTTAAATATATACTAGATAAGTATTATTATAGTATATTATCTAGTACTTACTATTATAGTTGGCCTTCTAAGCTATACTTACTTATTATATAGGCTTAGATACTTTCTCTTACTTCTTCTATTAGTAGTTATAGGTAAAGTATCCCTTCTTACTATAGTTATAATAGGTCTTATTATTATTCTATTTTATAGTATTAAGTTCTATAGGTCCTATATACTATATAGATCCTTAGGCTGTAGTACCTTTTACTTATATTATTTTTCTTTCTTAATTAGAGGTCCTTAGATAATATACCTACTATTACTATCCTCTATATTCTATCTATTACTTATAAAGTTGGTTATTGATTTAGACTATAATTATAATATATTATATAAACTCCTTAGATCAGTCTATTTTAATAAGTTTATCCTTAACTTCTACCTTAAGCCTAGTATAAAACATAATTATTAGAGGTTTATCTTTTTATTTAAGAGAACTTAAAACCTATCTAAACCTAATAGTATAGTTAGATATAGATTCTATCTATTAGAGTGCTATTAGCTATTATTCTGCTGTTTATTTCTTGTCTAGATCTCTAAAAGCTATCTTAATAGCTTTCTTAAATATAATAAAGCCTTCTATAAAGATAGCTTAAGCCTTAGGGTCTCTATTATTCTTTAGATATTCTAAATAGTTCCTCTATATAGGTTTAAACTAGATAAGAGCTTCTCCTTTAAACTAAGTTATTATAAAGAGTATCTAATTATCTAGATATAGGAAGTTAGGTTTATACTTTATAAGATATTCTTTATATTAAGTAAGAAATCCTTAAAGATCTTTCTTACTTCCTCTATATATTAATAGAACTTTATACTTTATACTCTAGGTACCTCCTGTCTATAAGGCCTATACTAAAGTGAAGAGTTACTAGATTTTAGTACTAGCTTATTCTATTATAAATAAGGGTGTATTATTAGTAGATTAAGATCCTAATATAGTTTCTATAAGTATTACTTAGGATGTAGTCTACTGACTGAATAAGAGTATTTAATATATAATAATCCTTAATCCTAAGAGATAAGACTACTTTATAGGACTAAAGATATATAGGTTTATATAAGTAGTAAGTAATAGACACTACTAAGTAATAGTAGTTAGCTTAATTATAGCTAAGATAGCTTTACTTAAAGGTGCTTTATTAAATAAGATACTTTAAATACTAAAGAGTTATTTAGGGTAGATGTCTAAGGGTAGGTATATATCTATATATATAGATTATAGATTACTTTAAATTATAGTGATCCTTTATAAGTCCTTACTATAGAGTGTAGTAATCTATAGTGAGGGATTACTAGCTTAGACAGTAATCCTAGGGTCTGTGTGTTTTCTGTCTATCTTATCTTTCTGACCGCCTGGGGCAGTGTACTGTAGTAATAGTGGTTGGTTTTATAATATAGGTAGTATAAGAATTATTATATATCTAGTCTACTAGATATAAATTATATTAGAAATATCCTAATAAAGTTTTTAGATATATAACTTTATAATAGATATTAAGCTTTTATAAATAGATCTATATCTTAATAATATATAGAGATTATTAAAGTTAGAAAGACTACTAGCCTTTAAGTTATAATATTTAAGAATATTCTATATAAACTTATAACTAACTATAATATATATATCTTAAGAATATCTATTAATTAGACTATAATCTATAATATTATTAAAGTTTATAATTTAGCTTATTATAAGATTAAATATTAATTTATAAGTATAATAAACTTAATAAACTTTATAAAATAATAGAGATATATAACTATTCTTTATTAATATAGAAGTACTAACTAGAGGATTATCTATAAGATTAATATTATTTATAAGTATAGAAATAATATTTAAAGTACTATCTATAATATTACTAGCCTTTAATAATATAAGAATATTAATTAAAAGATTATCTATAATATTATTAATCTTTAGTAATATAGAAATATTAGCTAGAGAACTATCTATAATAAGATCAGTCTTATTACTAGCTATAAATAGATTTAGATTTATTATTATTTTTATACTATATATAACTATATTAATAGCTTTATCTATAAAAAGATCTATTATTATATCTATAGATTAAAGAAGACTATCTATATATTAAAATATTAATAGTTATATCTTAAATCTAACTTTAAATTAATCTCTATATAGTAAAAAGCACTTCTAAATCACTATATAATACTATTATCTAATAGAGAATTTAATATACTTTTAAATAATAATATTCTAGGCTCTATAAAATCAAAATTATAGCTATAGTATATATCTTTTTGCTTAGCAGATATAATGGTAGTAGGGGTGTGGGTTGTTTTTTTTAGGCCTAGGATGTGATTTCTGGTAGGAAAATAGTGGCGTTTTTCTGCCCTTCTAGACCGCCCTCTCTTTTGGCTACATAAAAGTCCGCGTTACGGGCAGTCCCTCTAGTGCATCAAGCAAACACGAGAGCAGCTGGAGACAAGATAATGCTTGTCTTGGCAAACCACCGTCTTCAAAAAGGATCGCCGGAGCACTTGCACATGAGTGCAGCTCGCACAGCCAAGGAGTAAGTGATCTTAATCCAGATAGAGAGGTCATATCCGAAGTGTGTGGTCAAAGGTGGAATCCTCGCCAGGGGTGATCGCTGTGGAGCGTTAGCAGAGATACTCGAACCAAACCCCAAGACAGCCCAGCAATGACGCCTTTAGACCCTTTCTGCGATTCGAGGCATGTACTAGCTGTTATGCGAACCCATTCCAGGCACAGAGCACCTAGAGCTACCTGGCACATCCCCGCACAGAAGCAACAACCATTCTGCAATTTCATGGGGTAAACCGCTAGCGGGCCACTAAAAGTGTACATGAGTCTGCCGGCCATGGAGAGTGGTTGAGTTCTGTACCGATGTATCTTAGGTAGTTAGCTCCTCGGGTGGTGTGCAATTCCATTGCTTCCGGGACGCTCTCCAAATTCGGGGAGGCACCTCTCAACCCCCCACCGCCGAAGTACCGAGGCAAAATGCCTAGAATCGCCGAAAAAACGGTGCTATGAGCTGAGGTCACCAGGCACATGCACACTACTGGGCCGACAATGCATTCCAGTCGCATTCTCAACACGATCATGCTCCCAGCCACGCGTTGAAAACGCCAACATCGCCCAAATGCAAATGCAATCGCAAACGGGCAATCACTCAATCTCATCGCCCCCAGCCCTCTGATCGCTGTCGATGCAGAAGAGAACCTCATAATCTCTGCCAATGGCTTACCACGCTGCCTTCTCGGCCACTCTGAGCCCGAGTGCAACAGACGCATCGCAACACATCCTCTCGTCCTCGATATCCTCCCTTTCCTCGTCCACTTCGTCGCGTCACCCGCCCTCCAGTGTTTCTAAGACATACCGGCAAGCGTCCACCTTGTTTTTGACGCGTCGCCTGCCAGAGGCTCTGTCAACAGTCCTTCCACTCGTCACCCCCATCAACTCGGACAGTCCCAACGGTGCTCTAGAGCCAGCTCCTGTCGCCCGTGCCTCCCGGACAACGCGAACGAAAGTCTGGAGCTTGTACATCACTATTCTGAACGCCATTGTTGAGCTCGAACCGGACGAGGGCAAAGAGGCTTTTGGCACCCAGGAATGGCGCGCTCTCTGCACCAAGGTTAGGGACGGCGAGATCTGGGAAGAGGTCGTCCAGAACGGCTACCACGGAGTCGAGGGAGACGTCGACTCCGAGGTCGTCATTAACCTGTAAGCTACCATGGATCCATCAAATATCCCGCGGCCACAACGACTCATATACTGACCCGAGGCTTGCTCAGGGCGACAATACTTTTGGCCCATGCTAGAAACCAAAAGCTAAATCAGAAGCGGCTCGAGGCATATCTCGCCGCTTCCACTACGCCCAACCTGGATATCTCGGACAAGTTTGGCCCGGCATCCTCCCGCCTCCCTCGCGTCCAGACTCGCTACCAATCCCCGGCGAGGGCGACGAGCGGTGCGGATACGCCAAGGGACCTGAATGCGCGGGTCAAGATTCTAGAACTATACACGCTTCACGTCCTCATCCGGAACAACGAGTGGGACTATGCTCGTGAGTTCATCAGCGTCAGCTCGGTGCTCGACGAGGAGCGGCGCGAGGCCTTCCTGCAGGCCCTGCAGAGCCTACAGGAGGAGCAAATCGAGGCCGAGAAACGCGAGCGGGAAGAGAAGGAACGACAGGAGGAGCAGCTGCGCCTTGATATCGAGGAGGCACGACGGTTGCGTGCCGAGAACGAGGAGAGGGAACGGAAGCGGATAGAAGAGGAGCGAGCGAGGCGGGAAGGGAGCGAAGTCGACTATGGAATCGACAAGGCCCCAAGTGCAAATGGGTCGGCAAAAGGGCGGCAACATGCGAAAAGACCGTCGACTGCGTCATCATCACGGCCCTCCAACGCGTCGCCAAAGACTCAAGCGAAGGGCAAAACTGTCGCGCCGCCACCCTCACTTGTGTCGAGAGCGAGTATGATAATGTCTAATCTGCGCGGATTTATCGATGGGATGGCTTCTTCATTTCAGTCCAACCCCATGCTCTTGCTACGGACACTCGCCTTCATCATGGGCCTGATCCTCGTCTTTGGCAGGAGAGACATCAGACAACGGCTGTCACGGCTCTTGGGGAACAGCTGGAATAAGATCAAGGCTACGGCCGGCATGGGGGTCAAGGTCACCTATATTTGATTGAGTAGCAGGAACTACGCTTTTTGTTACCCTGCACATGTATTTCTATGTAGACATTTCATTTGTGAACATGAGATGATCTTAAGCACAGACGATGAGATGAAGCATTGCCCTTTCCCCCGGACTCGCTTGTCTTGCCTTGCTCTCTTGTCTTGAACTGCCATGAAGAATGCGATCCTCCACTTTCATGGGTCATGAATGTCCAGAGGTTTTGAAACGACACTCCAAATGAACAACCTGAACGCCGTGGCTAGATGCCCTGAAAAGACTCCTCCGAAATCCAAGCACGAAGCCCAAACCCGGGCCACTCCCCGGCTAGTACGTCCTATTTGTTTTCTTTTGGTAGAATAGCTAAAGAGGCGTTGTTAGCAGATGCCCTATATGGCTTATTTCAATGCTTGAACTTACATCTGTTCTTGAACTGCCAAGATTGATAATCTTTGGACAGCCGTCTCTATCCTTCTCGAGTCGAGTGCACTCGAAACAGTAGAATGCATCCGAGATACCCTGATGAGTTGTCAGTATGAGCAAAAAAAAAAACAAGACTGGTACCGAGGTAAGGGAAAGAACATAGACATACCTCTCCACCGCAGACAACACACTTGTTCTGGAAGTTACCAAAGCTGCACTCATCACAGATGCGCACAAGAGTCGTCGGACGGACGTAGGAATCGCAGACCGGGCATTTGCCGTCGCACTTGTCGCAGAGCCGGCCGATGGCGATGCCGGACTGCTTGCGGCACATGACAAGATCGGGGTGATGGCGAGACATTTTGATATCTCCAAGTCTCTTCCGGTAGTGAGATTATATCTCGGTCGTCTGTCTTTTCAGAGCCGTGAGATGTGGCTGGGCGTTTGCGTTCTGCGTTCTCTGGTTGGGAATTTGTGAGATGAAATCCCGAGACTGAGTGAAGGGGTAGTTAAGTTGTGTGAATATGATTTCTCAGCCTTGCTACGAATTTCCAGCCATTTCTGAGCAGGACGCCACCGCAGTGGTTTTTGCCTTGCGGTTGTTTTAGCCAATCAGCGCCGCTGAGAACGAACTCGGAGTCGGTAGTGGGGCAAATCCATCCATTGGATCTCCACATTCTCTCCTCAGCTGGGAGCGCCGGCTGGTGGATCAATCTTAACTGGAGCTTGGAGCTTGGTTCGGCCAGATGTTGATCTTTCCCGCAGTTTCAGTGCGATCGTTGGCATCCAGCAACACCGTCCGACAATTGAGACACGGCACAGCCACTACGTGAGGCCAGACTACGTGCGCGCTATGTCTGCCGGAGACGGGTATGACTCTAGACCCTTGCCATTGAGCTGCCACCAGGCTAGACTGGGCTAACAAGTACTGATAGAACTGCGACGGACTCAGCCGCGCAAGGCGGCCAGCAAGCCGACGACGATAGCTCTCAGCACAGGACGAAGGAGGATAGCTCCTCCGATCTGAAGCGCAAAAGCCCGCCGGCAAGTGACCGCGATCTCGAGGACGAACAGACAGATTCCAAGAGGGCCAAGGCCGATGGCCAGGCCCTCAGTGGCGATACGGACGAGACCACCGATCGCGATGGGCCCCGTAGAGACAGCACTACCCGCCGAGACTCTACAAATGCTGGTGAACGGGAACGACGCGGCTCGCAAGCTGACACGGATCGAGGCGACCCACGAGACCGTCGGCTCTCCGGCAGCGGAACCCGGGAGAGAGTCTCGCAGGAGGAGCGCAAGAGGGGCCAGCGCCTGTTTGGCGGTCTACTAAGCACCCTGAACCAGAAGCCATCCAACACAAACCAGCAGAAGCGCAGGCAGGAGATTGAACGACGGCAGCAGCAGAGAGCCCGTGAGCAGAGAGTAGAAGATGACAAGCGACATGCAGATAAACTTGCCAAGATTGCCGCCGCTCGCAAGATCCAGCAGGTTGAATTTGACGAGCAAGTTGTGAGTACCTATACGCACGTCACTTTTTCGACATGCGATCTGACCAGGCTACGCAGATGCGTACTCGACACTCAAACATGCGAGACAAGGCCAAGGTTCTTCTCACTTTCGCCGAGCCGAGAATAGTATGTTGATTCAAGCATGCATTATGAGCGTATCTAACGAGATGGCAGTACTATATGCCTTATGACCCCACACCTGAGCAAGAGGACACGATCAAAGCTCAGATCGATGATGTGGAGGCTCGCATCAGGGACGAGTTCGACGAGTTTCGGGTAGAGAAGGAAAGAAGACTCAGGGACCTAGGCGTGCCCCAACAGGCACCGGCTGATGAGCCTGTGGTTGGTGAGCCCGCGCCCAGACCCTCTAACCTTCCCCCAGCAGAAGAGACGGGCCATGAGCGGCCGGCCACGGCGCACGGGCACGAGAGAGATCATGACGAAGGCAGGGACATCATGGTCGAGACGGAGGAGGACACGGTAATCTACTAACTTACTGCTCTGAACTCTGACATGGCTCTGACGTCCTCGGCGCGCTGGGTCTCTGTATGATATTATTCACCTATAATGATACCCCTGGGGGAGACTTAGGTTTAGTGATCAATGACTGATCTGAGAATTTTGGTTGCAAGATCCATCCCCATATCTGCAGCGGTTCCACGCGAATGCTTTCAACGTGACACTAGGTCCAGAGAGCGAAGCGACTATAATGTCCATTGCCAACTGCCCTCCTCATGAGCGCCTCGTGGGTAGAATCAGCCAAGGCAAGACGTTTATGGTGCGATGCCAGTATTCATAAACAATGCACGACATACTTGCATCGCATCGATCTCTTATCACGTGTAAGGTCGCAGAATGGGTCGCATAAGGGCTGCCTCGTTTACTCGTTTGGGAGATGCTGTGAGGGTTGCCTGATTACGAGGAGCATTCGTCTTTTTCTCTTTGTATGCGATGATGTTCGAGATGTATGGATATTTTGTAGTTCACATGGGCATACGTAGTACCCAAGCATCATATGCATGCAGCCGCAGGGCTATTGAAAAGGAACAAACATGCGGCGTGGTACAGTGATGCAGCTAGCCGTCTCTTTACCTCGAGGCTCGCACCAGCCTGACAGGACGAAGATAGATTGATGTACATGTACACTTACTTAGAAGTCACTTGCCTGCCAATAATCATGGACAGCCAACCCACTCCGCCTATCGGTATGTAGACTAATCACACAAATTATACCCCACGTAGCCTTCGGAAGGACTAAAAGCCGTGGATATACCCTCCATACATTCGCTTGCTTTCTTGTGTTGTAATTCCAAGTTCACACATCGAGTAGAGACATGATGAGCATGAGACGCCCATCTGCACTAACACGACACTGCATGACCACGTTGGTGGAGGCGCTGTGGGGCGTGTTGCGGCACAACCGGCCAATCATGCAGCCCTGAAAACAGCCTGAGTGACTACAAGTACTCCGTACATGCAGGGGCCGCCGTGGCGGCATCTGGCGCCAAGATGGACTCCAGCTCGCTGATTGCCATCTCTTCTCACGACAACGCCAGTGAAACCTTGCACATCTTTACAAATAGAGGCTCTGCCATGGTATAAACGTGTGCCTTGTCTTGTCCACTCACTAGGCGTGAGCTGTTCACGCAGTGGACGACCAAGTTGCCCTACCGTTTGTTCCAGAAGGCTCAACTGTCTGCTGTTGACGACGCATCTTACTCCGCCGCCGTTGATCCGGGTTCCGCATCAAAGTGTGGCATCACAAGCGCAGGTGTCCGCACCAAGCTTTTTGTGGTCACGGCCCTGCAGATAAATCGCAGCCATGGACCGCATACGGAAGATGTTCGCCGAGCGGCCGGAACCTCAGGAGTATGCGCCCCTCGCTCCGGCGGCGCGGGATGCAGAGTCCGAGTCGTTCTTGGAGGGCGAAGTGGAGGAGGGTAACGAAGAAGATTGCCCCTTCTCGTGGGTCGAGTATTCCATCTTTGCGCTCATCGGCGTTGCCATGCTATGGGCTTGGTACGTCTGTCCCCACTCCACAGCGAAGAAGCAGGCGCTGACCATCTGACATAGGAACATGTTTCTTGCGGCTGCTCCTTACTTCCAGAAGCGATTTGAATCCAACGAGTGGATAGCGCAGAGGTTCCAGTCAGCAATCATTACCATCTTCTCGCTGAACAGCCTGGCTGCCATGTTCATTCTTGCCACGAGGCAGTCCTCGGCCTCCTACCCGTTCCGGATCAATGCTTCCTTACTGTTCAACGCGGGCGTGTTTACCCTCCTCGCTCTGTCTACGGTCTGGTTCCTAGACGTCTCTACGGGGGGTTACTTGGCCTTCCTTTTGATCATGAGCGCTGCTTCGTCGTGGGGGACCAGTCTCTTGCAGAACGGCGCGCTCGCCTTCGCTGCCAGCTTTGGGCGGCCAGAGTACACGCAGGCCATCATGGCGGGCCAGGGGATCGCCGGCGTCCTGCCGGCGACTGCGCAGATCGTCTCGGTCCTAGCCGTGCCTCCTTCGGGCCCTTCGGAGTCTACGCGTGACGACATCGCTCCGCCACCCCAGGAGGCTGGCCGGGCCGCCTTCATGTACTTCCTCACGGCCGTGGTGGTCTGCATCGCGGCATTCCTCTCCTTCATCCCCCTGGTGCGCCGCCACAACAGGCTCATCGAGAGACGCCTGGAGGAGACGATGGCGCAGAGCCGGGCCTCGGTGGAGGAGGCCGAGCGGGCGGCGCGCAAGGTCGTCGGGCTCGGCACGCTGGCCCGCAAGCTGCGCTGGGTGGGCGGGTCGGTCTTTGTGTGCTTCACCGTGACCATGTTCTTCCCCGTCTTCACGGCCAAGATCCTGTCGGTTCGCCCCGCCCCCGAGCAGGGCCGGCTCTTCCAGCCGGCGGCCTTCATCCCGCTCGGCTTCTTCTTCTGGAACCTGGGCGACCTCGCGGGCCGCGTGGCGACGCTGCTGCCGATCTCGCGGCTCGTGCGGCGCCGGCCGAGGCTCATGCTCGCCCTGGCCGCGGCGCGCCTCGCCTGGCTGCCGCTGTACGCGCTGTGCAACGTCGGCGGGCGCGGGGCCGCGGTCGCCAGCGACGCGTTCTACCTGCTGGCCGTGCAGCTCACGTTCGGGCTGACCAACGGGTGGCTGGGGTCGAGCGGCATGATGGCGGCGGCGGACTGGGTCGAGGAGGGCGAGCGGGAGGCGGCGGGCGGGTTCATGGGGCTGTGCCTCGTCGCTGGGCTCGGGGCGGGCAGCGTGTTGAGCTTCAGCGCTGCGGGTCTTTAGGGGGAGGGAAGTGAATAAGTTGTTGTGAGTGGAGGCGGGTATTGCGCAAACTTGAAAGAATCATGGCTATTGTATGGATAACATATTTGGAATTGCATAGGCTTGCTTGAAAGATAGAAGCGTTACATTATCCAGACATATATGCCCATTTTTCAATGGCTATTACAGGACGAGAGATATGAAGTATGTCTGTTTGCATTGCAGCCGAATAGAAATGGACACATGGATACACAGGCCTTCTTGGTTTCTGTCCTGGTTTAGAGTGATGATGGACAGTTGACTGCTGTGCCCCCCAGAGAGTTGAGCCGATTTCGAGATGTCCTACCAGAAGGACTTCCTCTGTGTGTGCGGAGTTTACACGAGACATATCCAAGTCAACACTGGAGTGGGGAAATGGTATGCTATGTCGATCAAGGGAGAGAGTTGGCTTTCAAATACGGTCTAGAATAGTTGACGGAAGTTCATCTAGAGATACACGATATGGGGTTCCCCCCTACTTAAACGTCATGGGTTCGATAGGTGGTGAAGCACGTACTTCTGTTAGCAGTCCATCAACTAATCCGATCCCCACTTGGCTTTGAGTCGAGGCAAAGACGGCGTTGTATTTATTTGTTTCAATGCTGTTTGTTTGGTTGTTTGCTATGCTGCGGGGTGAACTGTGAGAGCAACCTAGGCAACTCGCGTCTGGGTCACTCAAGAAACACCGTAGAGATGGTGTGAAGAGCTCTGCTTTTGGTACTGATGGACAAAACAACCAGCAGCCAAGCGTCATTGATCGACCAGTCGGGGTCTCTTCCCCACATCATCCCAAGCTTGACCGGCCCATCCATGGAGCCAAGGAGCACACGAGCCCTGGGCAAGACGTTGTTCCCGCAGCTGCGAGGCTCGTATGACATTTCGAGCTGACAGCAACCAACCCGCAAGGGTTTGCTCACTGACAGGTCTGGGCAGAGCCGGATGAGGCCACTGATAAGTGTATCCAACTGCCAAATCGAGAAGAGCGTTCGTGGTGCCCGGGCTGACGGGAGAGCCCACAGTTCGCTCCCGTTCGTCCCTCTCCGCACTCGGTTCAGTCCAGTCAGACCAGGGCTGCGCGCTAGGTATTTCAGATGGAAAGCTGTTTTTTTTTTTTTTTTGCAGGCCAGTGGGCCCACTGGAATGGAGGTGTCGCACGATCTCGAGCAGGCAGTGCCCACCGTCTCCACCCGAAGATTTCCTTCTCTCGCCCCGAGAATGCATCATCCCTTGCCCCCGGCCCAGGCCTTGGGTCTTCGGTATCGCAAATCATGAGATTGCCGACATCCCAAGGAAAACCCGGACTGGAAGCTTTTGAAACACGATGGCTTGAAATCCTGTCACCTGGATGTCCAGTCGTGATGAGGGCAAACGTGCCGGATGTAAATACTGGGCAAACTTCCAGGCTATCTAGCCCAAGACCAAACAAACAAACAGTGTCGCGTGAGGAGCTCTCGTGGGACAAAGTCATCCTGCCCTTGTGCACAAGCCTTTCTCGGGGACGAACGGGATGGTTGTGTCATCGGAGCGGCGATACACACTGGGGGCAGCATGATTGTGTGCGTCCTTGGTGGCGCTAGCAGGGGATCAGCTCCTCTTTGGGCGAAAAACAGGAGACAGCTTCAGAAGCACGAACCACCCGAGCACCACAGCAGAAGCCCCAAGAAGCGCCGGCGGCCACCAAGGAGCAGCCCGATAAAAAAAAAATCCAGCTTTCGCCATCGGGAAGCCCTTTATTTCACAGTGTGACTGCCCCAGATAACTGGCCCCCTCCTCCCCCAATCCCGAGTTTCCCCAGCCCGTCTCATTCCCCCCCCAATAACAAAGAGTCGAATTCTCATTTCCTTCATTCACCTTGCAGCGTCGTTCATAATTCATTGTTTCACGGTCATCACGACGACCTGCTTGTGACTCCCCGACCCGGGTTTACCATTCACTCTTGCGCAGCGAAGCAGTGCTGAGTCAAGGACGACGACACACACCTGCCTGCGCCATCCTATCCGCGGCTCGACCAAGTTTTTTTCCCGAGTGTTTTTGCTGCGCCAACGCTCCCTCGCCGCGCCAACCCAACTCCCCCCCGTGCTGTCGAACGAGAAACACCGACACAGCAGCAGCTACACACGACTGTTCCGCGATGCATCAATAGCTGCCACTTCAACATGGCTTTCAACTTCAACTGGTCGCCGCTCACGGCCGACGCGAGCTTTTACAAGCGCGCAACGGACCTGCTGACGGCCGCCCTGAACAAGTCGCCCAAGCCGCCCATCATCGTCGATGATATCATCGTCAATGAGCTCAACTTGGGTTCGGTTCCTCCCGAGCTCGAGATCCTCGAGATTGGCGACCTGGCCGAGGACAGGTTCCGGGGCATCTTCAAGATGTGCTATTCCGGCGATGCGTTCCTGACGCTGAAGACCAAGGTCCAAGTAGGTGCATTTTCAATTTGGGAACTACAGGCGCATTCACACCATCACAACACACCTCCCCGCGCAAATTCAATGGCTGGATCTCTTGCGACGCGATTCTTCTATCGCGAACAGAGCCATCTGCAAGCCATCTGCAAGCACTCGCCTTCCCACACTTTCCTCGTTCCCTTGACTTTCGGCCCCCTTTCCCAGGAATTGCCGAGTCAAAGCTTCTGGAATCCCAAATTTCCCCCTGGCCCCACGTTTCGCATGAAGCTCGATATTGCCCGGCAGGGATACGCGCTCTGCTCCAACCAGGATCGTGCGTCACAACACAACTTGCTAACCTCGAATGCAATAGGCGAATCCCATGAACACATATCTCTACTCCAAGCCGTCATTTACGTCTCCACAGCCGCTCGCTGCGGCTTCGGGCATGACTATTCCCCTCCAGATTACCTTGTCGGAAATCAAGCTGTCGGCGTTCATTATCGTCGTTTTCTCCAAGCAAAAGGGCCTCACCCTGGTCTTCCGGAATGACCCACTCGAGTCGCTCAAGGTCTCGTCGACCTTTGACTCCATACAGTTCGTTAGGGACTACCTGCAAAGAACGATTGAGGGCAAGCTCAGGGATCTCATGATGGACGAGCTGCCCGCCATTATCCACCGCCTTTCTCTGCAGCTCTGGTGTCCCGATCAGCTCTCCAAGAACGACACCGATATCTTGAGGGAGGCCGACGATGAGGCTGCTATCGACCCCCTCGCAGGCGGCGCCACCACCCCGGCCGTCGATATTCATGGCCATGTCCTCGACACTAGCGACGTCTCGGCCCTCTCCGTCGAGACCGCCGAATTCCACTCCCTCTTCTCCCAGAAGAACCTCCTGCGCCTAGCAGCATTGACCAACTCGCACAGGACATTGTCCCTGTTCACCCCCGGCATTCGTGAGATTGTCTTCCGAGCTTGGGCCAACCCCTTGGACAGGTCCGAGACATCACATAGCTCGCCATTTGCCACCCCGAGCCTTGTCAGGTCTCACTCCTACCACGGGAGTGCGACCACGTACACCTTCTCCGACACGGCCAGCCAGGACCAAGGACACCTCCCGTCCCGGCCGTCACTCGTCAGTCTCGGCTCTGCTACCACAGGTCTCTCTCTTGGTGCTGGTAGACACGCAAAGACCGGCAGGAAGAAGAAGACCCGTGTCGTCAACCTCCGCCGCAACAAGACCCAGAGCGAGACCACAAGCGAGGCCGGGGAGACCAGTTCGGATACCATGTCCGTCCAGGGACCGCAGTCTGAGCCTGTTATTCCGGCTTCCATCCCCGAAGAGACAGAGGCCGAAACCTTGGTCGGTAGCTCCTCTACCCAGTCCAAAGTCCGTTTCACGGAAGGCTCGAACAAGTCTCAACTGCCTGCTCGTCCATCTCTGCATCCGGAGCTGTACACCGCTCCTGAGCCCCAGTACAAGGCTGCCGAAGCTGCCGACTCCAAGGCCAGTGCTAAGCAGCCCTCGAGGAGGGAGGCTCCTGCTCAGACCAAGCGCTCAGAAAAGCAGGCTACCATGTCTGCTGACATCAAGACTACCGCCCAGGAGGACGGCGCCCAGTCCGAATCATCAGCAGTGATGCTGGATCAGGCCTGGATCATGAAGATGGCTGGTGAGATTGCCCGCCGCGTGTACGACGAGAAGCGCCGTAATCCCGCTCTGTGGGACGAGAGAGACGAGGCGCCTCCAGCATACGAAGCACGTTAAGTGCTGTACATCACCAAAGCACTATCGTTTATTCTCCTTTGTTCATGTGCAGCGATTCTGAGTTGGGTTTTTGGCGTTTACGGACGGACATTGCTACTTTTGTCATTTGATGACAGTTCAGTAATGTCTTATACATCACATATCTCTTTGCATGGCGTTTTAAGGTTTCTGCATGGGGGGGGTTCTTGCGGGATCGAAAAATAGGGGTCTGGATTTTTGTGTGGCAACAAAAGCCGGACCATACAATGAGCAAGACCGGCTTGGTCTGCGTGCGACTACTGCGAGCGAGTTTGATATTTGCATTAGCCTCGCCCATTCTGCAAATTCCTTTCCCCCCCAACACTGTACAAAGTTAGACGGGGGTTTTTCCTTTGTCTCGAGGACTGGCCCTGGATGGGAAGTCTGGCGGAAGGGGGAAGGGAAAAGATAAGTGTATAGCAAAGTGTACTTAAGGTATTGGGAAGGAGAGAGGTGTCCCTCCCTCGCGAAGGGCGGCACAGCAGAGTACAGAGATAGTATCTTGGGAGATACGATATACAAATGATCTCTTCTCAGAGTCTGCAGTGTGTTTGTTCTACTGGATGACTTGATGACCTGATGATTTGATGATTGACGAGGTTCAAAAGATCTTAATTGAGGGCATCTATGTGCGACCTTGGTGCCCAGAATTCATATTCTTGTGTCGCCTCTTCCGCTTCCTAGTGCAAATGTTGCGATAAAGACTCTGAATCTTCTTGCCCTCGCCTTGAGAAAGTAATAATGGGTATCATATTGTATGCATCACTCCCTACATCCTATAGTACAGTGAACAGAGACCAGTCCTGCAGAAACGCCTCCCCACGCAAAAAGGACATGAATTTGCTCTTTTTTCCTTTTCCCCCAATCCGCCCACCAAGTACTCCTCTCCCCACCACTTTTCTCTCTCTAACTCCAGGCACGACGGTACCTCTAGGCCGTCGCCGCGTGGGCTTCCTTCTTGAGCGTGGCGAGCCGCTCCTCCTTGGCCTTGAGCTCGGCCGCCATCTTGTGCGTCAGCTCCTGGACCTTGGCCTGCGCCTCCTTGAGCTTCTTGATCTCGGCCTGCTCCGTCTCGCGGCTGAAGGGCTGGCCGGGCCGCGTCTGCAGCGGGATCATGGCGCTGCGCTCGATGACGCCGCCCTCGGACCGGGCCGGCGCCGCGGCCGCCGCCTGCTTCCCCTTGCCACCTTTGCCGCCCTTGGCGCCCTTGGTGTTATTGCCGGAGGAGGAGGAGGGCAGGGCGCCCGTGGTGAGCACCTCGTAGAAGGCGTCGTAGGGCTCGTTGAAGAGCTGCTCCTCGTAGGTCCAGGCGACGACCTCGCCGTTGGCGCGCATGGCCTCCTTCTCGGCGTCGGTGCGGCCGTAGGGGTGCAGGCGCAGGTGGTGGTACAGCGTCTGGGGCTTCTCGCCCGACTCGGAGACGTAGTAGAGCTTGACCGTGATCTCGAACTCGCCCCACCCCGTCTCGTCGACGGAGAAGGCCTTGCCCTTCTCGCTCTCCACCATGCGCACGTGGTTCGGGATCGACTCGTGCAGCTTGAACTGCACGCGGCGCAGCCAGTAGGTGATGTCGGTGTCGTCGACGCCCTTGACGAAGACCTGCCACGAGTGCGTGTGGTCGTCCGGAACGCCGGGCGGCTTCGGGTTGGTCTTGTCGTCGAAGGGCCGCGCCGTGGTGCCGTAGACGAAGGGCCGGAAGATCTGGCAGCCCTTGACGCGCTTGCCCGCGCCGCTCGGGGGGGCCATTGTTTTTTTTTTTTTTTTTTTTTTGTTTTCTCGGTCGCTGCGGCTTTATGTGTGTGTGCGCGCACTGGTGTTAATTGCTTCTTATGTATGGCCAACAGGCTCTGTGTGCGTATGCGCAGCAGCGCGACGGGCTGGTTTTCGACGAGGGATGTGGGCGTGATGGCGGGGGTTGTGTTGTTAAAAGAAGTAGATTGCAATTGATAAGTTCATGTTGGAAATCAGACAAAGTTTATCGATACCGGTTTGGGCGGCCTTTTAGTGGATCGGATCCGCTGATCGGAGCGGAATTTCGACCTGTGCAGATCGTGCAGGTACCACTGAGTGGAAGCTCCGACCGCTAGCAGGTAGGTAAAGCAGGTAACTAACTAGAGCTTGTCCATCCTGCATGTGATGATGTTATCGATTTGATGCCGCTCTTGCACTGGCAGCTCTACCATGCCGTGTCAGAAGCCTTAAATTCTCTCAATTGAAGACATACAGATCTAATTGATCTTGACTGCCTTCACCTGCTGGGATTCAATAGCAGTGATCTGCTTCATCCGACGTTTAAGCTCCCATCAAGAAGTGGCGTGAGCTTCCGCTTCGCCTGCCATGTCCGCAGCGAAGCGCCTCGTTGTCTGCGGAGGAAACGGGTTTCTGGGATCCAGAATATGCCGATATGCCGTTGGCAGAGGCTGGGATGTCACATCAATCAGGTATGTATCTCTAGGCACACCCCTACAATACAACTCTCATTACGTCTGTCGGCCCAGCTCAGCTCAGCTCACGCAATCTCGCTGCACAGCCGCTCGGGCGAGCCAAAGTGGGAGAACGTCACCTCGTCCGCCACGCCGCCCCCGTGGGCGCACAAGGTCTCGTGGGAGCGCGCCGACATCTTCCAGCCCGAGGCCTGGGCGCCGCTGATCAAGGGCGCCGACGCCGTCGTGCACAGCATGGGCATCCTCCTCGAGGCCGACTACAAGGGCGTCATCTCGGGCCGCGAGTCCCCCATCGCCGGCCTCCGCAAGGCCTTCAGCCCGGCCGCGGGCCGCGCCGCGCCGCCCAACCCGCTCCGCCGCGCGCCCGGCGACGAGCTCCGCCCGCCCGAGTCGCCCGCCCAGCTGACGTACGAGATGATGAACCGCGACAGCGCCGTGCTGCTGGCGCGCGAGGCCGCCCGCGAGCGCGTCGGCGCCTTCCTGTACGTCTCGGCCGCCGGCGGCGCCCCGGTCCTGCCGGAGCGCTACATCCTGACCAAGCGCGAGGCCGAGAGCATCCTGACGAGCGAGTTCCCGCAGATGCGCAGCGTCTTCCTGCGCGCGCCCTTCATGTACGACAGCTCGCGCGGCCTGACGATGCCCCTCGCCGCCGCGACCGGCGCCGGCGCCCTCTTCAACAGGGCCACCGGCGGCATCTTTGGGAGCATCCTCGGCTCCGGCGGCGTCAAGCCACTCAAGGCCAACGACGTCGCCGAGGCGGCCGTCGAGGCGCTCAGCGACGAGACGGTGCGGGGCCCCGTCGAGGTGCCGCAGATCGAAGAGCTGGCCAACAAGGGGTGGAGGAAGAGCATGCTGTGAAGCTGGTATAAGTCTTTTTTTCTTCTGTGCTGTACTTTTATTTGTACTTCTATATGAACTGTACATTACGTACTCTGCTCAGCCTCGAGAGATGCTGCTGGGGGGGTGTTAAAAAAGAAGCCAATGCATTCTAATGGTCCAATCCAAATACGCCGCGAGCATCCAATTCATTCTATATCATCGTGCCCCGCTCGAAGCTGTCTCTAATTTCCGCCGTGTACTTGTTGTAGAACCTCGACAGCTTCTGGTTGAACTGCTTGTTCTTCTCGTTGATGTATGTCACATCCGCATCGTCGCCGTTCTTGGCTGCCCTCTCGCGCCTCTTCTTGAGCGCCGCCTCCTCGGCCTTCTTCTGGTCGTTGACCAGCCTATCGATGGCCTCCTTGCTCGGCTTGTTCTCCACAAAGGAGGTCGAGTCGGCCGTCGCGTAGAAGGAGCCGTCCCGGTCGACGGCGATCATCTCCCCGTCCTCCGTCTCGACGATCTCGAGGCTGCCGCTGGCGGCCGCCTTCTCGATGGCCGCCAGCTTGTCCTTGGTGTACTGCTCGAGGTCCGGCGCCACGGCGCCCTTGACGCGGCGCTTGTAGGCCTTTTGCGCCTCGCGGCGGTAGTCCTGGAAGGCGTTGTCGTCGCGGTGGGCCTCGCGCTTGCGCACGCGCCCGTCCCACCGCTCGCTCTCGTCGACGGTCCAGTCCCAGGCGCGCTTGCGCTCAAAGTCGCCGCCCGCGTCCTCGACGTCGGCCTTGAGCAGCTTGTGCGAGGCGATGGCGTTCTGGCGCTGCACCGCCGTCAGCTGCGAGGGGTCGACGGCCAGGCGCTGCGACTCGGCGGTCGCGGCCTTGAGGTTCTGGTCCGACGAGGTCTTGGCCCTGGCCTGCAGGGCGCGGAATCGCGCCATGCGGTCCTGCGCCGCTGCCGCGGGGTCTGGCTTGGGGGTGTCGTCGTCGTTGTCGTCGGGTCTTTGGGTCGGTGTTGTCGCTGCTGCGGCAGCGTCGTCGGTTTCTGGGGCTGGTGCTGGTTCGGACGCTTCCGCAGCTTGCTCGGCGGGTTGCTCTCCGGCATCGTCGCCTGAGACTTGTGCTTCGGTCTCGACGGCTGGAAGGTCTTCCGGGACAGGGTCTGGCTTTGCTTTGGCAGCCGCCCTGGCGGCGGCAGCGGTCTTTCTCTTCTTTGCGGGAGGCATAATCTGGCGTGTCTGTGGCTAGAGTAGAAAACCTTGAGTGAGGATCTGAATGCCGCAATGTAGCACTGGGCCGCAGGACGTGATCTTGTGCGTGTCACTTCGGAGGCTTTATGGCGCGCGGGAATGGCTTGTCGTTGTGCTTCGTTGGTGATATGACGATCGCAGGGTAGGTAGATTGAGCGTGCAAAGTGGAGCCCTCGAAGGTGTTGTCGCAACAAAAGCTTGGAAAATCTCAGTGCATTACCTAAGCATCCAACGGATGGATGGGCCCTATGTTTTGTGGCTGATGCGCTGTACTTGTAAAAACTTCCCCTTGGCACGCTATGGACGCGCTATCACTGTTGGGCAAACTCCACCTGTGGGCACGTCGGGCCTAAAAACCTGGGGGAACTCCAGCAGACCCAACGTGCTAAGGACTTAGCTGACCCGCCCCCGACTACAATTGAGACTGACCTTGAGGGGAAATGGGCTCGTGCTCAGGGCTGCTTACACCGGCCAATTACACCGATTATCCCCCCCGTAGGCAGGCAAGGTTGCATCGAGGCGGGAGGAGAGGCGAGTGAGTTGGAGGGTGGCCATTTGGCGGCACCAGGCACAATGCGGCCTTTTTTCCTTGTGCGTCCCGAACGCGGCAGGGTCTCATCTCTCTGATTCTACATTTTCCTCCTCTTGCATGTGGTCTGTAAATTCCTGCTGGAACAGCTCCATTCGCACTTCCTCCCCAAACCCCCTCGTGCTGTGTCTTTCTTCAGCATCGGGGACATGCCCCGGGTCTTCGTCACGGCAACCATGCAGCGATTGACCAGAATCTCGAGCATCCGCGGGCTCGCTCGGGATCCCCCTCCTCCGCAGAAGCAGCAATGCAGCGCCCTTCACATGGAGCATCGGAGGAGGCGGAGACGTCTCGGGCGAGGAGCACCGCTGCGGAACACATCCAGACTTTTTGAACTGCCAAACATTGTGTTAGACCTCGACGCCGAAGATAATCCACATGTGCGTCCATACAACGACGCCGATGAGGAGGCCCAGGTTGCGAAATGGTCATCGAATCCCGACCACGCTTCACTCCTGCTTCGACAAAGATCCTTCTCCAGCGAGGCTCACCAGGCGAAAAGGATCCTTACCTCGACCGTCCACAATCCCACGCCGTGGCGAGTCACCGACCAGGATCTCCTATCTGCTGCCCTCCTCAGCTCGACCCCCAGCGCATCAACAACAAGCGGGCTGCAGAACCCTGCTGCAGTATTCGATCAATTACTTTACTACAATGGCGTAGCACATCGGATGAGTAATGATGGCGCGAAGATGGTCCACACCTTGCTGCACCGACAATCCATTGCTCGGGAGCTCGACCACGAGTTGCACGAGCCTGAATACCGAAAGGCCCTCATGGGCTGCAATGGATTTGAGCAAGTGAGAAGAATGCTCACAGAACTCCTGCAAACCTCGGACGGCTGTCTGCTCCTGTCTCGCTGCGCACGCGATGTCAGACAGCGTCTCGCGGTCTTCCTCGAGGATAAATCAAAAGACTATGTGTCCAAGATACTTGTTTTGTTGAACAACATTAGCAGCACCTTTGCGGCAAAGAGCGTCCCGCTACCCCTGCCGCTGTGCGGCATTGGTCTTCAAGCTGCCTCGATCGCTGGCGAGCTTGCTGCAGTCCAGAGGTATCTCGGCACAGCCCTCGAGGAGGGGATCAATGGACAAGCCAAAGAGAGACGAACTACAGCCACTCGCGTCGTTGGTCCAGCTCTGGAGACTCTTCTACGCAATACCCGGGATCGGGACCCTTCGGCATTACAGGCTGCATGTAAGGGGACGAGGACGGATCTGTATACACTCTTAACGGGCCGAAGCTTGTCCGGCTGTGCGATCAAACCTTCCTTCCGTGCTACTCTGTGGCCCCTCAATTATGGGTCATCAGTGTATGCTCCGTACCTGGCTCTCTTGGGAGAACTTGGGGCGGTCCGTACTCTTTGGCATGAATATCGTCGCATGCCGGCTCGTGTTAAGGCAGTCGGCAACGAGGCTCATCAACAACGCTTAGATGTCTTGGTTGCTGCGGTCCTCCGCCATGCAGAACCGCTGACGGAAGGGAGTGCGACTGACGAGCAAGGAGTTTTCATGTGCGGAGACGAGTCGTCGGACTCCAAGCTGGATCTCCAAAGGCTTTCTATGCGCGATCAGCAAGATGCATCTCGCAGCCTCGCGCCCGGCACTCTATTGACACTGCGCACTCCCGTGCGGGAGGCTGCGCCGACACTTCCAGACCCGCGTGCTGATCAACAATTTCGCGATGGCGTACAGCATGCGTTTGAGCAGCCCCAGGCGAATGTGGCCATGGAGGCGTTGACCAGTTTATGTGCGTCGCCGTATGTCGACAAGTGGAGGAGCACAATGGAACATAGGCCTGAGATTCTCGCGGCCGAGTCGTGCGAAGCCGAGCGAGAACATGTACTTGTTTATGTTTAATTAGCTTATGTGACGCCCATGGAGAATTTCATCAAGGCAGAGACCGTCCGATCGATGATAGCTTGACACCACAGTGTGTGTACATGTACAGATCTTGCAGCAGTGCGTTGGCCGGTCCCTCTAGGTCGAACCTTGGAGCCTGCCCGGACCAAGCCATGAGAGTGTCGTGGAGGCATCCAGACCCCGAAGCAGCAGACCTACTGCAACCCAGGAGAGGTCAAACCTCAGCCCCGTGGCTCAGCCGGACGCTTTAGCCAGGTTGCTCTGCTGCAAGTTTTCGGATCTCCAGTCAGCAGCTGAAGGGTGAGATTCCCATTTGATTGGGCCATGTCCGCCCTCTAGCTTTCCTGCCAGTCGCGGACCCCGGGTGTCCCGTAAGCAATTGCAACTCACTTGGACGTCAGCCTGCCTCCTGATTCGCCGAGTGGTCTGCAACACGCTTCTCGACATCAGGATCTTGGGTCGCTGCTGTATGAACGTATCCTATTCATCTGCATGCCACGATTCAGGCCACATCTCTCGGCTTATGGGGTCATCACTAGCTCATTGGCTCTCTGCCGGAACACCATCATGCAAGGGTCCCTCGGGGGGATTGTCGTTACTGTCAGACTTGACGAGATGAGGCCGCTTGCTCGGACGAATGCCCCTGCGTGCTCGTACCGTGCTACCAAACAAGCACTACTGCCACGCTTCTTGCATGCTCTGCCCTACCCGACGCTCTGTGCCGACCTAGGAGGTGAGCGCTAGGAGTGCCGAGCAGTTGGTATCTGTGAGGGTGAGCCAAGGAGGACCCGGGGATGATGGAGCTGAATCTTGGGTCGGTCCGGTGAACTCTTTATTCCTTTGCGAATGACTGGTGCCTGTCGTGTTTCTCCCTTCTCTACTCCAACTTGTGAAGCTAGAACGGTAATATCTCGAATCCTCTCTGGATTCAACCCAAAAGCTCAGAAAACACTACGTCCCAACAGAGTGTCTGCTGTGACCTTACATGCATCTTGGTGTGGCGGTCAGCAATAATGTCTCACTCCGACAATACAACGTCATGACGCGACCGTTACCTGTTCATGGTGTCGGAGCCAGTCGTCGCGGCAGTGACGGTGCCCTCCCGAGCCGGGCCGCCGGACGGCCATCGCGAGGCATCATGAATCCCATTATTCTTGTTGTCCTTTGGCTCGGCGTCACGGTCACGGCGCAAAAAGACCCGGTCAACAACTTCTGCAGACGTTTTGCACACCAGACGACGGTCATTGATAGAAAGCTGTATATCGACGGAGGTCTCATCAACTGGAATCCTTTACAAAGCTATCCTAATAATTATACAAGTAAGTTTGCCGCAAGGATTTTACACCCACTCGCAGACTGTTATTAAAGCGGTAAATGTGCTAAGCATTGGGGTTTTTCTACTCATAGATCCGTACCTACTCTGGCAGGATCTTGACCACGTTAATGTCGATGGTCACATGCCCAAGTTGTATGCCAACTTGTCCAAGAACAACTCGATACCCGATGTGAGCGGTGGCTATCTGTGGCCGGACGAGGTCAACAAGAAGTTTTACCTCTTTGGAGGGGAGTACTTTCAAGAACCAGTGGCACCCTCGTTCATCCTCTATTCCTACGACGTGCTCAACAACTACTGGGAATCGCTTGGCCCGGCGCAGCAGGCGAGCATCAACAGCGTCTCGTTTGGAGCTGGTGCCACCGTACCTGACAAGGGACAAGGCTACTACTACGGCGGATGGCTGTCCAACAACTCTGTTCCGGGCTGGGGAGGAGGACCGCCAGTGGCAACGACGGGGATGGTCCGGTATGACATGGCCTCCAACTCATGGACAAACGGCACGGGACCCAACGACAACGTACGGCGAGCGGAAGGATCGATGGTCTACATCCCGGCCGGCGACGGCGGCATGTTGGTCTACTTTGGTGGTGTGACAGACCCTTGGGGGAATGGCACAGTGGCTGGCCAGCCGATGAGCCAGATATTGATCTACGACCTCTTCAGCTCGAAGTGGTACACGCAAAACGCCACGGGAGACGTGCCAGACATGAGAAGGCGGTTCTGTTCCGGAGTGACCTGGGTGCAGGACCAGTCAAGTTACAACATGTAAGCTGTCCTTTCACCCGACAATGCCGAGTACACTCCGTGCTAAAAACATATCCACACAAAGATATATCTACGGAGGCGCCTCCCTGCCCCCCTACACGGCCGGCTTCGACGACATCTACGTCCTCTCCCTCCCGTCCTTCAGCTGGGTCAAGCTCTACCCGACCGACGGCAACTACACGGGCGGGTACCCGCACCACAGCCTGACGTGCAACGTCATCTCGGGCGCCCAGATGCTCATCATCGGCGGCACCTTCCCGCTGAGCCAGGACTGCGACGCGCCCAACCAGTGGGGCACGCACAACGTCGACCTCGGCGAGCGCAACGCCGAGGGCGTCCCCTGGCAGCTCTTCGACCCCAACAAGACGGCCTACTCGGTGCCGACGCCCGTGCTCGCCGCCATCGGGGGCTCCGCCGAGGGCGGCGCGACCAAGACGAGCCCGGCGGGCGGGTTCGACAGCCCGGACCTCAAGCTGCTCATGGGCCGCAAGGCCGCGCTCGCGACCCGCACGCCGACGCGCAAGGTCCCGGACAGCACGGGCACGTCGGCGCCTCCCGCCGCTGGGGGGGACGCCAGCTCGCTCAGCACGGGCGCCATAGCGGGCATCGCCGTCGGCGGCGCCGCGGGCCTGGCGGTCCTCGTGCTCGCCGTCTGCTGCCTCGCGCGGAGCTGCCGGCGGCGGCGGCAGCACCACCACCACCATCTGGGGAGCAGCCAGACCGGCGCGGCGACGCTGGTCACCAGCCACCACTCGGGCCAGGGGGCAATGTGGCCGCCGCTCAGCCCGGGCTCGCACTACGCGCCGAGCAGCGCCAGCCCTCTCTACGCGCCTTCGCCCTTCCTGCCGCGCCGGGGCTCCATCCCGCACCACCCGCACCCGCCGATGTCGATGCCTATGCCCATGCCCATGCCCATGCCGCCGGCGCCCGCCGAGCTGCCGGACACGCCCGTCGGCGGGGGGCCGGCGGAGAGTTACCCTCCTCGGTACGAAGGCCTCGCGGCGTCGGCGCCGAGGGGATCGCCCGGGTGCGGGTCCGGGTCGGCGACGGGTACGGGCACGGGCGGCAGCTCGGCGCCGCTGTTCGACGCCGCCGCTGCTACGATGACCGCGCACCCCAAGATGGACGACCAGGGCCGGCTGTGGATGCCGCAGGTCAGCATGCTGCAGCCGTCTCCCGGCAGCGGCGGTGGTGGCGGTGGGCCGCCGCCGCAGAGGATGAGCCCGCCCGCTTCCTCCGCCGCGAGGAGCTTTAGCTTCGACGGGGGAGGGGAAGAGGCGGCGTGCGCGTACAGCAGTAGTCACTCGGCGCGGGAGAGCCCGCCGGTGCCGGTGCCGGTGCCGCGGCCGCCGAGCGCGTCGTACCACCGGCACCGGCACCGGCTTGGTGGGTCCGGCGATAGTGGATACCGGGCCGGCGGTGGTGGTGGTGGTAGTGTCGGTGGACCGCCGCCGCCACCGCAGCCGCAGCCGCAGGCGCCGCAGGAGCTGGACATGTCGCCCAGGGAAATGCACTTTGCAGCCACTGGGGATGACTGGGGGGGTAGTGTGGGGAGGAGGAATCATCACCATCACCAGACGTATTATCACCGGTGATTTTTCTGGGGGCTGAACGAAATTTCAAATTTCCTCCCATTCGGACGGAGTCGAGCGGTCGGCTCGGCTCGGCTCGATCATTTCTGGCGCGGGCTATCTGTTTCAAGTTGAAAGAAATGCACGATCTGGGCATCAGGACTGTCCGTTTTCTTTGAGATCTACTATGTGTAGAAGAACCCAGTCACTTGGGGCTGTGCAAGGACTGGTCATGATATCAAATGAAGACATTGCTGCCACTTTCCTTATTCTATGCTTTGAGCTGAGGTTCGATGACTTTGGGCCGAGGGACACCCAGGATAAAACTGGATCTTGGAGTCACTCACCTTCAGAGTTAGTGACTGTTTGTTTAGTCGTAGATATAGCACGGGACACATAATTGTCAGAAAGCAAACTCGTCTCGAGGCAAAAAGGGCGTAATGTGTAGAACCTACCGATTCCTTTCTTAGGCCATTGGGGCGTGAACGGTCTGGTGTGTTGCAGAGTAGAGACCAGCCATTTACAACCTTGGGCAGTGGAATGCCCAAACTGTTAGAAAGGCAAGCGACGATAGATAGACATATCTCTGTGCCGTTTCCTGTTCTTGCTTGCATCGGCATCTGTTCTGACTTTGCACACTTGTGGCAGAACTGCCCCGTTTCTACAACAAGCGGCTTCAAGAGGCACTCCGTTCTCGGTCGGAGACTCCGATGTCCAAAGCTGCACGAGAGTGTCCTATCTCGCCACAGATGTTGGCGCGACCCGTGTCGGAATAGTCAGCAACAAGCAGATGCAGGGGTTCAGCTCGGGACAGGAAGCGCCGGCGTCAAGTGGACCGGCCTCGAGATGTGATAGAAAAGCTCAATCAAACGTTGACACAATATCCTACAGCACGCAATATATCACATATCGCCGACAGAGAGAGAAGACACAACCAGGGATTCGACCTTGGAGTGGGCAAGCGCCCCTCCGATCAGGCCGAGGGGCGTCATCCGAGTGCAGCATCCGATGGTAGACGAGGAGCCTCGGAAGCCAGTTCAGCACATTGCCATCGACGGGCGACCGGGAAACTCGCCACCCTGGATGGCGATCTGGGATAGCTCTGAGCCGAGGAGAGCAGGACGGGGACGAGGAGGGCCACCCACCAAGCTGTCAAAGGCTGGAATGGGCGCCACTGATAAGGCACGAGGCCGAAAACGGTCCGCCATGGCTCGATGTTGCGTCTTGGGATCATCGTACCTGCAGAATCGTCTGTGGGGAGAGGCCGACAGAGACGAAGAGGGGGGGAGGGGAGGCACAAATGCTGTGCGCATATAGCTCCGCGCATGCTATTGCAGGCGTGTCGTCGAGATATCCGGGGTCGGCCGGGCTAGGCGAGGCATGCGCCATGTCGTGGGGGGTAGGAGGTCGTCGCTGAGTGGGCACGCGACTTGCCAGTTCCTATCTAGCTGACCCCTCTCCCACCAAGAGCTTCCCTGGAATCGCCCGTGATGGGTTGCGTTCCTCTTGCTCTTATCTCGCATGAGGACGATGCAGGGTCGGACCTGGTCCAGGGTACGGAGCTTATCTCTTCACCCCGCATAGATAGAAAAAGCGGAGGTTGTGTTCGGCGGGCTTCGTGACGCCGTGCTGGTGCAGGACAGGCGATAGATGCTTGCCGAGTCAGGCGACCCTTGATGACGATGGTGCCACGATGGGCAGCAATGCTAGCTGCGCAGGCATTCAACCCGCTGTCCGACAGTTGCGCCATGGATCGCGCGATAGGAGGAGTGGAACGGAGACGGCATCTGCCTGCGCCGCGCATGTGGTCCTTTGCCTTTGGATGAATTTGCAACACCACCAGTCACAGGAGAAGTGCAAGTGTGACTTGCGGCGACGATGAATAACACGGTGATAGCTCACAATATGATGGATCGGCAGAGCCAGGGAGCAGGGCTGAGTGGAGGCGTTTGTTGTCCCGGATAGGACACATCTTAGGCGCCCTGGGTGCAGTAAACGGTAGCGAAATCCTTCTTCGAGATGGTAAAACCGTTCCAAAGAGGAATGCCGAGGAGAGGCACCATATAGAATATATTGATTGTGCCATCCACAAGGTAAAGAAACGTCGTAAGCCCCCTTTTCGACAGCATCACGACGGACTACCATGGTGGGAAGACCAACGCAAGAATGACGGGCGGGGACACCCTTGCTGAGTGCTTGAACCCCGGGAGGCCTATTTTTGGCAGATCTGGTTGAGGCAGTTCCGAGTGAAAGCGGGCAGGTGATGATGGGTAGTATCTAGGTAGGTAGTGGTTGTTCTCTTGGTGTTGGTCGTTGTCATGGTGGCATCGCGCAAGACGAGACGGGATGAGCCCCCAAACGAACCATCTGAGCAAGAGGTTTGGGCCAACATGTCTGACATGTTCGCCCCCCCCCTTTGACCCCCAAGATCCAGAGGGCCCCCCACGTTCAATCTATTCCACTGTGACCGTACCGAGTTTTTCTCTGTCGCTCTGTAGGCGGGATCGGAGGACGTCAGAGCAATCTATGCTGCCACCGCCAGATTGTCCATCCTTACCTGATCGACCTTTACCCGAGGCCGATGATGTCCTGTTCCTGTCAAAAAGACGGGCACGGCATAAGACGCCACGGGATACGGTCTGGAACCCCCGCTCATCACTGACCGTGGGTTCTTCCGCGTTCGCCCGGGCCCCCACCAGCTGACTGACGTTGGGTGTTAGTCGGCCATATTGGGCCTGGCTGCCTGTTTGAGCTGCCGGCAGGTCTGGAGATTGGCCTGAGACGAGGGCTCGAGCTGCAGGCTAGGCAGTTCGGTCAATATCACACCTTTGAGACAAGCTCCAAACAACCCAATCGTCTCTCAGAAGCACGCCAGGTGCAAGAGGTTTGATAAATTGAGGACGCGCGCGCACGGTCCGGACGGTCGGAAGTCGGTGACGATGATCGATCGCGACGGGAGGTCCACCAGCAGAGTGACAGGATGGATCGACCGACCAAGCCAAGCATAGCATTCCGTCTCCTGGACCCATCAGCCAAACAAACGCCACCTTCCCTAAGGGATCAGAAAAGACGGCAGCGCTTAGGGTGGCAGGCAATACGTCAAGGTAAGCAAGTATGGCGAGAAACCCGGAGAGACTGATGTCAGTCGCGACAAGTCACGATGGCGACCCGGATGGCACATCATTGGCATTTGTGCTCCGTGGTCCGGATGATGTGAGAATCCTGGGAGACGGCCCATAGCCATAGAGGTAGCCACCCGGTTGAATTGGGCAGACGTTGCGTTGCGCCTTGTCTTCGGTGAGATGCGGTCAAGGGTGTGAGGTGAAGCTCTGAAATGCGACTAGCATGAGAGACCCCCATTCCAACCACATGTGTCAAGCTCGTGGATCCCCATCGACAGCGGCTCGGCAGCTGGTATCGATGATGATGGGCATGGGCAGGGGGACAGTGCATTTCATTTGTGATGAATTTTTCTGCTCGTCTGTCCCGTTTCTGGCCGAGCCAAGAGACGAGTTCTTGACCAGGGCCAAGGCACAGACAGACACGACACGGCCATGCTGTGAAAGGACTGGCTAGAAGCTCACGATGCTGGTCTTTGCATTTTTTTCCTTGGCTCCGCTTGAGTTTGCCATTTTCTGTCTCTCTGGAAAGGAAAAAAGCAAAGAAAACAAGCCATTTAGCTTGCATTAGCTAGGGCATGCGGCTGCTTTGTTGCGATGGAACCAGCACCATCTTGAACAATGCTATTCAGACCCTGGCTTGGTGGCTTGAACTCGTCTGCTCTGGCCCGGCCTGCCACCCTCTGCTCTGCTTTCGAGTTACGCCGAACGACGCCCGGCTACTGCTACTCGATCCCCGTAAAACATTGTTCTAATTTGGGGTTTCACACAAGGCAGACTTTGCACGGTATGATGCCGATTTAATGCACTTTTCCAGTTGGGCAACTCAAAAGTCATCCGTCTTGCGCGTCGCATTATGTAAAGCCCACCCGCTCGAGAGGAGTTCGTGTTTCTAGTTGAGTGGTCCATATTTCCATATTTATTTACCTTTGCAAAGTAAGTACACTTGGTACCCTACCCAGAGTGAGTAAGTAACCTACCTCCTAGGTACCTACTTGCTTTTAGCGACGCCGTGGAGATCGAGACGACTATCTTGTACAGTAGGTAGAATCAATGACACGATGAGCAACGAGTGGAGAAGAGTCTCGGTAACTAGGTAGTAAACGTGGTACCTGCAAATCTTTTGCGCTGATTCTGCTGGGTAAGGTACCGGGCAATGCCCCACCCAGCTACGCGCGTTGTTCCCTTCAGGCACCGTGGAGCCCTGTAAACGCCCGCCCGTGCCTGGAATCACGCCTTCGATTCGATCAATGGCTTCACTTATGGGACCTTATGGGACTCCATTCCAACCCCGGCCAGGGCCTGGCGGCTCTTCACCGTCCCTTCACGCCTGATTCGCGTGAACCAAGGCGCCAGCAAGGTCAAAAAGGCGGGCTCCTACAAGGAAAGTAACTGCAGAAATTTCCTCGTTTGGGTTTTCGGCACAGTCTAGACCTGGACAGGGAGACGAACACCCGGTGCGCAGTTTTCATTTCATTTTTTTTCTTTTTCTTTTTACGGATTCTCACTTACGGAGGGCTGCTGCCAATCTCGTAGGCTCGGGTTCAAGGTTGGAAGGGAGGTCACCCTCTCCACGCATCCCATCCATTCATCCCATCCATTCATCCCTCCCCTCACCCAGCTGGAACCCTTGCAGTTCCACATGACAGGCCAAGAGGTGGTGGGCTGGCTGGCGCTCACTGGCGCTCACTGGCGCTGAAGACCAAAATCTGATAGGTAACATGGGGGCCATGTGCATGTGCGCTGTAAAGGTATCTACCAAGGTAGCGTGCTATATGTGTGCCGCCATTCCAGCCAGAGGGTTTGGGTATTTGCCAACGCGCGAGAGTGTGAGTGGGCTTCCATGCCTACCAGACTTGATCTCACGCAGGTGGAGTGTGCACCCGTGTGATTACATGCACTGTCTCTCTGTATCCGTACGGGAAATATTGATGGAGGGCTCCAAGGTTGCCAGGTTTCGGAGTAGGAGAGCGTGAGAGGGTTTCCATAATTCACACTGGGCCTGACGAGGACAGATGACTGGACTGACAGGATCAAAGACACTGGGTCCGTACCTTGATAGACAAATCGGCGCTCACGTCGATGAGTAGGCAACGCGAGTCTCCGCTCTCGGATTTGGGCGGCCGACGTTGAAAGCTTGCGCTATCAGCTCAGTAAGAGCGCGACCCCGGTACCCGTAGTTTGGTGTACTGCCAGTGCAACACCAAGTATCTCTCGCCCTCCGTTTCTACGCAGATAGACGGTGCAAGGATCGGTGCTTTGCAATCACGCAAAACCGGTCTTTGGAAGAGTCATACTGGATACCCTCAATTTTTCTATATCACCTCGGGATGGCCTTTCCTGACTGCGTCCTCCTCCACATCGTCGTCTTTGCCTCTTTTCTTTCCCAGAACTGCAAATTCCTCTCCCGCAGGACCGAGGAATCATATTGTTTCCGTCCTTCGTTTCGGCGCAGCATTGAACCAGCACCGCCAGTACCACCATCACAAGGGCAATCACTACCGAAATACGTCACTGCTTGGCTCACTTACACCACGACGCTGGACGCTACTGCTGCGACATTGCAACTCGCACTAAAAAAACAACCGCGTTTTCCGAAGGGCAGGCACGGCGCAGGGCAGGACACAGGACACAGGACACGCCCTTGCTCGAATTGATAAAGCAACTCGACTCGTGATTTTGCCAGTCCTACACTGCACTCCCCAGTCGACTCGACACTTGCCTGGACTGGACAATAGCTTCTGATAAGCGAACAGGCCAGTTTCGAACCCATCTTCTGCAATTCTCGCCTGCAAGCTTTCGTGGCCCGGTTTCGTCGACCTGCAGACACTCTGCGTACTCCATACCAGTACATGCTTGTACGTACATACGGCAAGTCTGCACCAACTTACACGGCCCAGTCGGAGGAACCCACAGCTGCAGCACTGCAGCACCAGCACTTATAAACCCACCCAGGCTTCCCTTCTTTGTTCAAGCCTTCCTTCAATCTTCAGCAGCAGAGCAAGCCCACAGACACGCACAGCTGTCTCTCACTTCCATACACACACACACGCACACATTACCTGAGGCTCTTTGGACGACACTCTCTCAACTTCTCTCTGGAGTCGAGCGGCAGTCGGTCTTCCTTCTTAGCTTTCGAGACCCATTCCGCCTGGAACACCAAGACCCGCAACGGTGCAACTTGGGGAACTCGTTAGCCTACAAAAACGTTCCATCCCGTCAAACACCGCTCTTTCCGCGAGCCAGACACGCCATCTGGCAGTGGAGTAACGCCAAAGCAAGGGAGATCCGGACGAGAAAGGGAGCAGGGAGATCCACGATCTAGGGGACCTTTGTCAAACAAAAGAAGCAGAAGACCCAGTCCTGGACAATTCTGCTCTTCACCACGTTTTTCAACCTCCATTTTCTCGAGGCTTGCCAGTCTCGAACGTCTTCCACACAGCTTATACTGCAAAGACCGGCCTCTCATTCCGTTTTCATCCTCTCTGTCAAATAGACCCCAGTGACAAAGCCAGCCAGGAAACACCACCGACGAAAAGGAGGGGACCCTGCGGGATTGGCACTGGAAACAAAGCAGCTTTCCATTCGGACAGAGGAGAACAAGAGAGAAACAGAGCAAGGGTTGGGCTCCTGGACCAGTCCGGCGTACCTAGATCGGCGCCCCGTGCCTTGACACAAGAGTGGCACCCTGCAGCTTGCTTGCTGCACAACCCCCGCCCGCCTCCCGGCCGTCCCCACGCACATCATCACCAATCCCTCGCCCAACTTACATAAAGCCTGGCCAACCAGCTCCCTCCCTCACCCCCAGGCCTATCGACACTGTCCGCCGCCAATCACAGCAGTCCTCCATGCACCACTCGAGGAGGAAGTCTGGTCATGCTTCTGCAAATACCTCGATGACCGACGTTCGAAAGTTCGCAACTGTCTCCGTCTCCGAGGTCAACTCTTCTTCTTCTTCACGATTTCACAAGTCCTCCCGTCCAGCAGCCATGACGCGGAGAGTCACGCCCACCGTCGCCCACAAGCTGGGCAAGAGCCCCAGGGACCGCGAGCGCGAGTGGGAGGAGGAGCGCTGGTTCGACGACGAGAGGGAAAGCTTCCCTCAGTTCTGGTAAGTCATGATCGTGTTCTCATTCACGCACTTGCGATTTCTTTGCGGACGCATTGCACCCCTCATATCGACTCTCGACTCTGCTCTGGCTTCGAGTCTTGCCTTCGTCTCTTCAGTCATGCTTTGGGCTTGGCCTCATGCTGTCTGCAATCTGCAATCTTTCTCTCTCCCCGCTCGACATTCCCTCCCTGGGTCATCTCGTCTAAAATTACGACTTGCACAAATTATACCCCATGGGCCAGCCCCAAGCCTTTTCCTCTTTTGTCTTCACGCATCCGTCACCTGACGCCGATGCGGGGGTCAATGTCGTTATTCATTACCCCATGCATAGCCATGGCTTAGTGCTCGAGCTTCGACAAGGTGTCATGACATGTTCCTTTCGGCACAAACCTTTCCGTTCCTGCATCACCATTCCCCGCCAAGCGTTCCCAAGAGTGCGGAGGTCCTAGTGGCTAACCAGTCTCGTCTTAGCATGACCTGTGAGAAGCAATTCGTCCCTCAAGACGACAAATTCCTGTACTGCTCAGAAGCGTAAGTGAGACCCTGGCGCTCGCTTTTAGCCTCGGAAAAAGGCGTCCGTGCTGATGATCGTGTTTGCATAGCTGCCGCAGACAAGATCACAAAAACAACGGCGCCGCAAGAAGTGCCATGTCCAAGGCTTATGAGCTTCACGCGGGCAGCTACCCCTTCTACTCCGCCGATAACCCGGAGCCCAGGGACATCATCCCGCGAGCTTCGCCCTCCAGGCCCAGCTCTACGTATTTTGCCCCTCCCGATCCCGTCACTCACACCTCGGCCATCTCTGCCCTGAGGTCTCTGTCGATACAAGACCCAAGCCCACCGTCGCCCACCCTGACTGGTTCCTATCACACAAACATCTGGCCTTTCTCGCGCATCAGCGGCAGCAGCCCGGACTCGTACTCGAGGCCATCAGCGGGTTACTTCTCGTCCACGTATGACAATGGCTACTACGGCACGCAGGCGGGATACACGATGTCGTCTCCCACCATGGAACGGCCACTGCCTTCAAGGAAGCCCAATAGCTATTCTCGCCCCAAGAGCATCGAGCTCGTCACACCAATGGTGGGGAGGTAGGGAGGACGCTCCCGCGGACTTGCAAGGGGAGTGTGACGGAGCTGTCACCAGCGGCAGGCCGCAGAGGATGCGGGACATGTGTCACGCTACTGCCTCCTTTGTCTTAAACCGTGTGGAACATACGCCACATTCGTTGGACGCACTGGCTTATCACAACCCAACGCATCCAGGGCCAGTCCGCACGATGCCGCTGCAAGCCCGCTTCCGTAATAGGAATTCCGGGCCTTGAATGCGGGGGTTTCCCGAGCCACCGCCGCGAAGCTCTTGTCGGTGCAACCATCGTGCGCGGGACACAGCAGTCATTGGTCGAATTTTCCCGATGGCCTGCCACGGATACTCAAAAGCAATTCCTTTTTCTTGATATCATTTATATGACACCTCATGTCATGTGAGCACAAAAATTGGGGGGCGATGGTTTCTTATCGCATGATGAACGGACACATCTTTCGGCGCAACTTTGGGGGACTGGGCAGCATTTGTTCTGTGTGAAGAGGGATACACTCAACTTCACCCTTTTTTTCCTTCTCTCATTTGTTCCACCACGATATATTTGTTTGGACCAAGCAGCGATGTTCTTTTTTTTACAATGGCATTTACAAGGGACAGTATTTGGAAACGCATATACCACCATAACAGACGACTCCGCAGGAGACAGAAACTACCAGAAACGACTTTGTACGAGTTAGAGAGACGTGGAGACAGAGAAAGAGAGAGAGTAGGAGCAGAAGAGACTTGCCGTACTGTGCGGGCACTGCCTGTGTGCGCGTGTCGCACGATAATACAAGAACGATATTGGATATAAACTGATACAAACGAGGCACATTGAGCAAGTTTCTAATGTGAGGTCTGCAAAACCAACCCCATCCCAGGAATTTAAGTTGCTTTGTACACCGTAACGCTTGTACGTTGCGATATTAAACGGCAGCATTAGTCTGACTAACGTTATACCTCTGGGATGTCGTCACCGTACGTCGTTGCCCCGTGCCTCCCCTGTGCCGTTTTCTTCTCGAAGGATTAGGTATGCAGAGGAAAAGGTTTCTAGACACCCCTGCGTTCGGGACTGTTTCAATTGACGCCACCTTTTGTGCACTATGGTCACATAACTTTTCTGTGGACGTGGTTCTTTTTGTTACTGATAGATAGAGAGCACGAAACGGCGACGATCTTTTGCTTGGTTGCCCCCCCCCGAAAGATCCCGGATCAACAGGCGACGGAGAATCCCATTGAAGGGGGGGGGGGACCACCTTGTTTTTAAGACTATTGACCAGTCCACCGCCCTCGGGGACTATGCGGTCGTGATGAGAATGATCGACGGGCCTCAATGCCTACACGTAGAGCCACGCATGCGAGGGGAGAGAAGGAACTGGTGCTGCGGATCGTCCATGCAAGTTGACGAGGGAGGAGGAGGAGCAGGAGGAGGGTGTTTTGGGTGCATGATTGACACCCGGAAAGAGGGAACCGCCCCGCCAAAAGGAAAAGCGAGATGGAACGAGAGAGAGACCCCGTTGAACGTTTTTTCAATCCTGTTATTAAACGTAGAAGAACGGTTTTGTTTTTGGCTCATCAAGAAATGACTCTCCTCTCTCTCTTGACTCCGTCCGTATATTGTCGTGGTGGTGCGTGTAAGTCGAGAGTTGCTCCGACATCGCAGGACCCGCCCCCTTTCTTCTTTTGCCCCCCAGACAACCGGGAAGGGTCCCGCTCAAGCCTTCATAGGCCCGGCGCTAGTATTCGGCATCCGGAGCACCGCAAGTGGCGCCATCGTCTGTCCAGGGTCTGTCATTCTGAACACGACAGTGGGCAGGGAGTCACTCGATGGAGTTCGCTCGGTGGGCAGCTCCCCAACACAGGATACCTACCTAAGCAGGTATGGGGGGAGGAGAACATGCGGACCCCGTCACTATCTGTCGTTTGAGAGGGAGAACGGAGATTGGTCACCATAAAAGAAAGCTTTCTTTTGCTAAAACCACCGTGGAAGAGAGAGAGAAGCGATGCTCGATGCTATGTATTGCACTTCCCCCCTAGCTGAACCCTCAAGAGTTTCTTTTGCAAAAGTTCCAACAAAAACACCATATCGTGTAGACAACGCCCTGACGGAAAAAGACAAAAAATAATTTAGTATGGCTGAGAGGCCCACCCCCCCCCCTTCACCCTGCTCGGGTGTCAATACATGACGTTCAAAAGGCGGTAGCACCTTCATCCCTCGAATCGAATACCACCCTTCCGACTCACGCCATTCGGACGAGAGTGTTTTGTCGAGAGTGAACTCCGCCAGGCATGTATGCAGCCTCTTCAGATACAGTACAAATAATACATCAGAAAACGGAGACCTGCTTTGCCCCCCTCTCCCCTTTTCTTTCTTCTCTTTTCTCTTCTCTTTCGACTTCATCTCACCCGTCTGTCTACCCATGAAAAGAAAATTGGGTGGTCGACGGGCCGTAGAAAACAAAGGCAATGCATTCATAAAACACGTATCCCAATACCGGGGGAAACCGGATAGGCAGGAGGAAATGACTACCTCGCCGGCGCCCGCGACGAGGCCATCTCGCCGTATCTGCCACGGTGCTGGGTGGTATCGTACGCCTGGAGCACCCTGGTCTGACTCTCGTCTGCCTGAGAGAAGGCATAGCCGCGCTGCTTGCGCATGCGTTGGACTTGACGGACCTTGCGAATGGCCTTTTGGAATTGCTCCATCCTGCAGAAGGGTGGAAAGATTAGTCATGCGCGCTTGGATGCAATCAAAAGGTAGACAAAAGCAGTTAACCTACCTAGGTCGGTAATCCTGGATGTTGTACTTCTGGATCTCCTGGATGTGGTGATACGTCTTAGGTCGGTACATCCGCTTCACGTACTTCCAGGTGAAGTCACGCAGCAAGCATGCCACGGGCAGGACGGCGCTCTGAGCCCAGAAGACGGGGCTGGTGAATAGCTTGGGCACCACACCGTGGTACTCCTTGGAAATGTTGATCATGGGTGCCACTGTCCCGTACACCGCGATAAAAACGTACCATATCACCATACTCCCTGGGATGGCAATGACGTGATACTTGGTCCAGTTGTTCGTCACGAGCGCCGCCTTGCCCAGGACAGTCAAGAGGACAGAGGCGTAGAGACCGGTACCCCAGACCCAATGGCCAGCCGTCTCACCATTGCCCAGGATGAGGTCGCCCCACCAGAAGAGCGCTGCACCAATGTACAAGATGAGAGAATGGTACACCGCCGTTGCGATCCAGCCGGCAAAGGTTCGGACCCGGAAGAACTGGTTGCTCTGACCCAAGTTGTAGAGCTGCGGATATCTGTCGAGAAGGCGAGCCGAGACGAATTGGTCCAGGATACCCATTGTCAAGGGAGGAAGAACAGTATAGAAGACGTTGTAGAAGGACAGCGTCCAAGATTCGTAGATGACCTGACCGGAGAAGACGTTTTGGAATGTGAACTATTTTGCGTGGTCAGCTCGGAACTCAGGTCATGAAAAATGCAGGGGTATGCCACTTACCCAGAACTGTGTAAGATAGAGAGTAATGTTCTTGTAGAAAGAGAACAAGATTGCTTTGCTGATCCGTTGGTAGCTCCAGGCACCGTGGACCAGCAGCAACTTGCGAAGGTAACGGAACTGAGCCACGGACAAATCTGCACTTCGCGCCGCCTGCAAACCCTCAACACCACTAATTCCTATACCGATGTGTGCGGCTTGGATCATAGAGACGTCGTTTGCGCCGTCACCGATGGCGAGCAGGATAGACTCCTTCTGATATCGCTTGACCAGCTTGACCACCAAAGCCTTTTGAAGAGGCGAGACACGGCAGCAAATGACTGCCTTGCACATGACCGCCAGGTCAAGGAATAGCTTCTCGAGATCCTTCTCGAGGGCGAAGGTCAGAGACTTTCCGTCAATGACCAAGGCGAGCGTTTCGGTCTCTATTGTGCCATCTCCCTGCGTTCGGATGGCGTCCAATTTCTTCTGAATATTGTCTCGAGTTGCGGCCGCGGTCTCCTCGTTGACAATCAATAGCATCATATCTTCGCTCAACAACTTGCAGCTCATACCGATGTTGATGGCCGTTTCTTGCCGGTCACCAGTCAGGACCCAGACCTTGATGCCGGCTTGTTGCAGAGTATGGATAGTCTCGGGGACACCATCCTGGAGACGATCCTCGATGGCAGTGGCTCCAAGAAGGTAAAAGTCATGCTCGATGATCTCGGCGGCCTTGTCGAGCTCGTCGGCCCGGTTCCCGCCAATCGTCGTGCCAGCCTTCTCGAAGATGGCGAACCATTCCTGGAACTCCTGCTCCGGTATTTCGCGCATGGCGAGGCACAGCGTACGCAGACCTTCCGAGGCATACTCTTCCAGATGGCGGAGAGTAGCCTCGACGTGGGGGTTGTCGCCGTTGAGGCGCTCCAAGATGACCGTGTCGGCGCCCTTGCAATAGCAACGAATCTTGCCATCCGGGCATCGGTAGATAGTCGACATCCTCTTCCTCGTCGAGTTGAACTCGCAGACAGCCAGGAGCTCATACTCTTGTTCCGGTCCATTCTCCACAGATATCAGCACCGAGCGTGGCTTTCGGGCGGTGAAGCGGTAGCCCAAGGCCACCGCACCTTCTACAAGAGCACCCTCGTCGGGCGAGGCTGCCTGGTACTTGATGTTGTCCCGATCATCTCGCTCCGGAATGACAGTGTGGCAGGTGGCCAGCAGTGTGAGAAAGTGGTCAATGGCCGCAGCACTCTCGTGTCCGTGGAGGTTCTTGTTCAGTTGCTTGAAGTCGTGGATCCCGATCTCGACATCGTCCTGGATGGTCGCCCGACGATCCTCGGGCACATCATCAGCGTACATGATGCCGGCAATAGAGCACTGCTTGAACTCCATCATGTTGCAAGTTAGAGTGCCCGTCTTGTCCGAGAAGACATACTCGACCATGCCTAGTTCTTCTACCAAACTCGAAGTTCGGCAATTGGCTGGCGTGTCCGTCTTGTCGTAGTAGATATCAAGATCATCGTTGATCAGAATACCGTGCCAATACTTGACCACTTCAATGGTGACGAAGAGAGAGATGGGAACCAAGGCAGACAGAAGGACCCAGTATGTCACCATGTCCTTGATGAAGGTCTTGCCGATTTGCGCTGCGGTGTTTGTTGGGTCGAGCATGAGGTAACTCAGTGAATTGCCACGGACCTTGCGCATGATCAGGTCGCCGACGGTGGAGATGATGCTCAGCACCAAGAGAATGCCGATGAGAAGCAGTACGAGAATGTTGAGCTGCCGTTCTACCTTTGTCCTCTTGATAGGGGCCGCAGTCGCGTTGCGCATCAGCTTCGTCTCGTGGCCAGTGAACACGACAACACCGTGGATCCACGGAGTATTGCGCAGCGTCGCACCTCGAAGGAGTAGTTGCTCGGGGTTCAGCGGCAGCTCCTTCTCTCCGCCTCTTGCCTGCATCGTCAGGGTCGCCTCGTATGTGTAGAGGCTGCTGTTCGGCTGCTCGGATCTGATCCTCCCGCCTAGTCTGCTCAACTCGCTCGAGCTGACCATGGTTGAAGTCTCCGGCAAACCCTGCTTGATCTTGAGGTTGGTCTCTCCGTCGAGATTGGCCGTCTCGATATAGCACAGGCCCTCAGGCTCAGAACTGGCAAGAAGGACCAGGTCAGCAGGGAAGGGTTTCTCCGACTCGACTCGTACGATGTCGCCCACGGCAACATTGATCCACTTGGTTTCGACGAAAGAAGAGCCTCGCAGGACGTGAGTCTTCGACTCGTTCAGCGCCTTGTCGGCCTGTCTCCTTCGGTAGTCCTCCACGGCTTCCTTTCCAGCAGACACCATGAGCACGATGATCAGAGGGGCGATGGTTGTATATCGGTTCGTAGGAGAGAGGCCAGGAATCTGCTGCAGTCCAGCAGTGAAGAGGAAGAAAATGTTGGCGAATTTGGAGAATTGCTCGAGGAGGAACTTGGGAAGGAAGGTTGCAGCGTTGTACTTGGCCGTCGAGACGTGGTTGTCTACGTATTTGTTGGCCGTATTGGCGGGGGGGTTGTTAAGGTAGATGATGCGAGGGCCCAGGGTGGAAGGATCGGGTTTGCCGCGGCCGAACCCGAACTTGAAGTTGCCCATGTCGAACTTCTTGCTCGACTTGGCCGGTTGCTCAGCAGGGTGAGAGTCTGTCCTTTGTGCACCTGGCTCGGTAAGCGGCAGGTCCATTTCTGAGTAGCCCTGGCCCATTCCCAGCATGTTCTTGGCCTTTCCGAGCAGGCCGCCTCCGAGTCCCAGAACACTATTCCGCTGGTGCGCATTGCTGCGCGCATGGGCTTCGGAGGCCCCGGGCTGCATGCCGCCGCCATGCTGATAGTAGGAGTGGCCATCTTCTGGATAGTCATCAAAGTCGTCAGCGTATCGCTGGTAGTTCCCTAGCTCTGACGTTTGGCTGTATTGCCTGTCCGACTCGGCGAGATATGGGCCTCGAGGACCAGAGGGGCGTGAGGGCCCGCCGGGGGCAGTCTTGGCCGAGGGGTGCGTCGCCTGGCTGGAGCCGACGAAGTCGTCGTAGGAAACAGAGGGTCGGGACTGGCTGGGCTCATGGTCGTGGGTGTAGGATCTGAGCAGATCATCGTCGTTCAGGTTGGACCTCTGGCCGCCGCCGTAGACAGGTTGGTCATTTTCGAGGTCGAGGAGCAGGTCGTGTCTCGAACCGGAGCCTCCCTGAGGAGGTCTGCCAGCCATACCGGAAGACGCAGCGCTCCGAGGCAGTCAATGTCACGAAGGGATGCTTGCTGCTTGCCGGCATGCGGGGAAGGCGATGTGATCAAAGCGACGATGGTAATGACATGAAGAGAAGGAGAAAGGGAGCGGACGATGACTAAGGCGCACCCGGTTTCAGGATGCTCGGGATGCTGGTGCGATGATGGGGAGCGACAGGAGTGGCAGCTGAAGAAGGTGACGAATGTGGAAGTGTTCGTTTCAAGCACAGCCTCTTTTTTGGGGGACCACAGAGCAGCGCTGTACGAGATTTGGATTGGCCTTGCCGCATTGACAAGGGGTTGCGTGGCACTAGCTCTGAGCCTCGATGATTTCTGGCTTCTGAAACGGGGATTGGGCTGGCTCGTGTATGTACAAGTAGGTACGTGCGTGCGTGTGTGTGCGTGTGGGAGTGTGCGCGCACCAACGCACTGTGATTGATAAAGAAGAAATAGAGAAGAGCTGTTGCAGATTCCGAGAATACGCGTGTTTGTCTCTTTGGTTGTCTTTTCACCTAGGTAACTATCTTTGCCGTCGATTCATGTTCGCGGGTGGTGTCTTGGATGTTTGGAGGAGGCGGGACCCTTCAGCGCCTGTCGTCCTTGTACAGCATCTAGGTAGCCAGTAAGCTAAGGTAAGCTTCGCCCGTGCTGCCGTGTGAGGTCACCAACCAACCAGCAGACTGCTTGCGTGATGGGAAGTCCAGCCAGCCCCTGGATTTGCGACCGCAATAACCACCTACCTAGGTACGTAGGTCAAGTACCTAGGGAGGTACCTAAGGCTGAAGAACAGCACCAAGAGGCTCCACCGAAGGCAAAGAAAGAGCGCCAAAGTGGAGATCTAATTGAAAGGTTTAGGGGCTCTTAGCGCTTAGACTGGCCATTGCACGGCAGCCTCCAGCACCCCTGGTGGACTTGGCACTCCCTAACAACAAATGCCGGCTACTACGCTCTTTTGTGTTATCCAGTACTACCTAGTCTACCTACTTGCCTCAGCTACATCCTCCTTGACAACTCACCACCTCCCCTAGACCACGAATCGTTCACCATGGCACCCAGACAGGTGCTTCCAGAGACAGGAGCTGTCTACACCTATGTGGGCGAGGGTGCGGCCAACGTAGTATTTGCTGTCGATATCCTCCCAGGTGAGAACCATCCACAATTCAGACAGTTGTGTAACCTCGTGCTCACACTTGCCACAGGCCTGCTCCTCCGAGTGCCCAGAGTGAAGCCTGCAGGCTCGCAGCCTTTATCATATGAGGTGCAGCAAGACTTCTTTTACCAGAACATTGTACCGCTGATGGGACATGAAAACCTGGTGAGACAGAAGTTTGTTGACATCCCTTCAACCTCCATCATCAATCAGCTCAACAATGTGCTGGCCAAATCTGAGTCAAAACGACCCAAGAAGCACCGAGATGGCCAGGTAGATGATGTCAGAATTGGTCTGTTAATCGATGATATGAGACCGGGTAAGTTTGCGCGGTGCTTTCCGACCTTGATGCAGACTCATTATCTGATTTCTTATCCCTCAGCAGCCCCAGGTGACTTGGCAATACAATTCAAGCCCAAGTGGCTCGCCCAGTCGCCCACAGCACCCCTGGATGCAAAACGTTGCCGAAACTGCGCGAGGGAGGCATTGCGGCAAGTCAAGTCTGGCATGCAGGAAGACTCTTCACGACGCTACATTTGCCCCCTTGAGTTGCTGAACTGCCAAGTGGATAAGGGGTACGGTGACAGCAGAGCGCGATACATCATGAGACAGCTGGCCTCAGACCTACTGGGAGCATCACCGGACCCCGACTTTGGCAACCCCGCCCACGTAAAGCTCTTTAGATGGTTCAAAACAAACCAACTCCTGCCAATGCTTGAGCAAGTCCAGGTCTCGCTCGACGAAGAGGGACTCATCATGAAAGACAACCTAGACGAAGAGGAGTTGGATCAGCTCTCTGCAGCTATGGCTCTGAGGGACTGTAGCTGCTACATCCGCATCCCTGCGTCAAACAAGCCCATAGAAGCCAGGCTGGGTGATCTTGACAAGAAGAACGCTTCTCACAAGCTTGACTATTGGAGAAGCACTGAGGTGGAGTTGCGAGAAGGTGGCTTCTACACTGAAGAAGAAAACCCTTACCAGCCTGTCCTGTGTACCCTCGACTATTGGAAGACCAAATTCTCATGATCTACAAGTATAGAATCCATGCTAGAAATGAAAGCCTTCCATTAAAACACAATTTAGTCCAAGAACAAAGCACATTTTGGTTCCGGGGGTGTTGAATATGATACCTAAAGATGGGCTAGATTGAAGTCGATCAACCAAAGCTGATCTGTACCTGTCGGGTGGAGACCGCCGCTAATGCACTTTGTGTGGGTGTGGCCATCGCCAGCCACAGTCTGGTACCTAAAAGCCGCCACCCATTGCGACGGCAGCTCACGAGAAATCCGACTCCATATTTTGTTCGAGAACGAGGCTGAGATACCTTATCATCAGAGTCCGGCGACAACACGAAGTCTAAATATATATTTTTGAAATCGTATTTCCACACGGTGGATACCTCGCAGCCTCAGATCCTCCGAAGATGGTTTGCAGCAAGTGCGCCAAGCTCTCCAAGGGCACGACCCTCGCCACGCCAGGCGTCAAGAAGAAGAGCGAGATGTACTATGGCTCCCCGGCTGCATCGTCGTCATCAACGGCCAGCGGGCCGAAGAAATCCGCGACTCTAGGCAACACCGGCGTCACCAAGGTGAGTGCAGGAGCTGCTCTGGGACCCCACGCCTGCTTGTCTGAGCAACCTGCTGACTATCTCTCTCTCGCAGAGCAAGCTGCTGTCTCAAAGCGCCAAGAACCCGTACGCGCAATACTCAAGGTGAGCTTCCTTTGCCATCTGTATCGGGAGTCTCGCAAACCCAACGCTGACAATCTTGTCCCAGTTCATGCGACAAGTGCAAGACCAAGGTGTCTCAAGGCCACAAGTTCTGTAACAAGTGTGCCTACCAAGCAAATGGTAAGTCGAACGCTTGTCAAGCAGACTCGTGCCAGGCGCTGATCTCATCAAATAGCTTGCGCCATGTGCGGAAAGCCAAACACCAAGACCGCCAAGGGTGCATCCCTGGTGTCCGGCCAGAAGTTTACTCTGAAGTGAAGGTAGCTGGTCGGCCATTGAGTTAGATCTGATAAGAACGGATCTAGGACTTGATGAACAGCATCACCCGGAAGGTCCACATCGCATCTCCGACCAATCTATCTGGAGCAAGATTGGGCAACTGTATTTCTTGCAGATGTCAAGAACATATCGCTCTTTGCTTCTGGCCGGGATAATCAAAGCTGGGGGGGGGGGGGGGGGGGCAGGGAAAACAACGGCATGCCGGGCTATCTTGGGATGGTATCAATCCCTCAGGAAAGCCCAGACAGACCTCACGGAGAGGCCGGTGGCATTAGACAGTTCTCTCAAACATGTAAATTCATTTTCACCCCAGAGGGTTCAGGCCTTAGAGAGTATCCCACCCATGAATCAGATATCAATTCTATGGACAAGACTTGGCCAAGTCATTGACCACGAGAAATCCTCGAGAATACTATATCCCCTCAAGCAACTCCCGTGCCATATCTACGCCAACTCCCCCAGCCAACTTAGAGCGAAGCTTTGGGATCGCCAGCCGCCAGCACCTTCTTGACAAACTCGCCAATCTCGGCATTCACCTGCTCCGGGTGCGACCAGAGCACCCAGTGCGAGCCCGGGACGGTGCGCTTGGTCAGGTCGTCAAAGTGCTTCTCCATGCCGTTGGCCAGCGCCGGCGGGATGGCCGGGTCGTTCTCGGCGAGCACGATCATCGACGGCACCCTGATCCGCGGCGGGCCCTCCTTCAGCAGCTCCACCTCGTCGTCGTAGTTGACCTTGCGCGTGCGGTACCAGTTGGTCGGCCCGCGCATGCCGTTGCGCGCGTACTCGGCGACGTAGTAGTCCATCTCCTCCCCGCTCATGACCCGGGCCGGCCGCAGCGCGTCGACCCGGTCGTACAGGACGCCCTCGGCGGTGCTGAAGCCCGGCTCGCCCGCGGGCGTGCGCCCGCCCTGCAGCGCCGTCAGGAACTGCCGGATGCGCTGCGGCGAGGCGATCCGCGCCACGATGTCGTCGCCCGCGAACTGCCGCTGGTAGCCAAAGTTGGGCAGGCGCGCGGCCAGGGCGTCGACGTCGACGTAGACGGGCAGGGGCGGCGCGTAGGGCGTGCAGACGCTGAAGACGGCGCGCACGAGCGCCGGCTGCCAGAGCGCGATGCGCCACACGGCGAAGCCGCCCCAGTCGTGCCCGCCGAGGATGACCTGCTCGCCGGGGGCTAGCTGCGCCGCCAGCGCCGCCATGTCGGCCGAGAGGGTCTTGAAGCCGTACTGCTCGAGGGCCGCGGGGGCGTCGGACCGGCCGAAGCCCGGCAGGTCCGGGGCGATGACCTGCAGGCCGAGGGAGAGGAGGTAGGGGATCTGGTAGCGCCAGCCAAAGGACAGGTCCGGGAAGCCGTGGATGAGGAGGACGGTGCCGGTATGCTCTCCCTCCGGCTTGCCGTGGAGGTAGTGGTAGGTCTTGCCGTTGAGGGCGGCCGTGCCGTGCTGGACACGCTGGTCGGACGGTGTAAGTTTGTCCGGCGCCATGGTTGTGAGTCTGGAGTGCGACGAAGGGTTGTCTTGGTGTAGAGATGAGATCCGGCCTCAAATCTCAGAAAGAGCGCAGATGGTCAGGATCAGTCCGGTTCCGCAAGAAATTGAGGGCTTGATCACGATCGTGCCTCAACCAAGGGTCAAGAAAGGTGTGTCTTCGTGCAAGCTATCCCAATAGCCTATCGAGTGCAGTATGATGAACTGGACTCCGAAAGAACACTCGAGGACAATATAATATCACCAACAATTGATCGACGAATGTTGATTTCGAAGAACTGTTAAGTGAGAGAATTTCAAGACAGACGAGCCAGCTCGCATGAGATCTGAAGCAAAACGAGGGGCAAAGGCAACATCGAAGCTCGTGTGGAGGCATCTGGTGGGTGTTAGTGCCTCGTAACGCAGATGTGCCGAGGCACGTTTTGGGAGGGAGTACGGGAGGCCCCATTATGATGTCGATACCCAAAAAAAAAAGGGATTTCTTCGACAGCTTGCCGCTGTGGAACCAGCTTTGTCAGTCTTGCTTTCTGGGTTTTGTTTTAGCTTCTTTTGGAAGTTGTGCCTTATTGCCAGAGGAAATACATATTTGGTATTGGGTTAGATCATGTGGTTTCAGAGTAAAGTCTGTTCTGGTGCCTACTGGCTTGCGTAGTGGCAGACCAGACGGCGTTGTCTTGTTAATCTTTGACAAATAATGCGGCTTCGTATTCCAAGGGTATCTTGCTCTACTGTACAGTATCTAAATATCTAAAAAGGAATGTCTCGAATGCTGAAACATGCTCCATCCTCCAAAAAACAAAAAAACCAACGCCCTGGCTATGCCCTCTCAATTCTAGATCTAATATAACACACGTCTGGTTCGTCTCCGCGGTGAGCGTCGCAAGTCGGCTTCAGACCTGTCCGCGGTCTGCACCTCAAAGATGCTCTCATTATGGCTCTCGTCAGGGACCTCTGCGAACTGCCCGATGTCCCTATCGCCGGCAAGCTGTGCCTCGGTGAGCCAGCCGGCTTCGACGGCATATCGGACAACATCCGTGGCGCTCGAGAACGACAGTATGTCGAGCGGCGCATCCGGGTCGAGATGCGACCAAAGCTCTTTGGTCACTTTCTTGAAATGCGTCAGGGCCCTCTTCTCGCCCTGGAAGTGCCGACTGAGATAGCTGTAGATATACGCCAGCCACAGGATGTTGGTGTAGGGATGGTGCTCGCTCCACGAGATGGGCCCGTCTGGTCCATCATCATATGGCTTGCAATGCGACTCCGATGGCAAGTGTACGCGGTCTCCTTTAAGGAGGAATGATCTCATTTGTCGATACACTTTACACTGCGGTGCATGCGTGCTGGTAAAGATTCCCAAGTCCTTTTCGAGGTCAAAGGCAACGGATTGTACGCCCTCAGACTCATCGTTCTCGGCTCTTGACAGACCGTAGTCAAGGATGGTGATGTCCAAGCCGGAGAAACCAAATCGCACCGAAGAATCGTCTGTTTTGGTTCTGGGCTCGCCGACTTGGCGAATGCATAGATTGCCCTCGTGAAGATCTCGGTGCTGCGAGGTGTTAGTGGGAGACCACATGCTTCGATATGCCATGGGTGAGCACTTACTTCGAATTTGAATTGATCCTCAGCACGAGCCAAGGCAATCGCAACAAGGAGGAAAATATCCCACACTTGTGATATTGAAGACAGAGGGAAATCTTCAAGAGCCTTTCCTGCATCGCCCAACTCGACCACGAGGAATTTGGTGCCGTCAAGGTATCGGCTTGGCGAGGGATAGAACTGGAGTCGATCAGGGTCTTGCCGTTTGAGCTTCCGGTGGAAGGTTTGATGTGTTTCGAGGAGACCCTTGGTAGTCTTGCCCATGACGAAATACCTCTCCTTGTAAACAACAAAACCGGGAATGTCGGCCAGCCACTCGGAGATCAGGAGCTCGCCCTGCAGATCATTCTCGGTGTGAGGCTCCTCGTCAACCAGGCCGCTTTTCTCTTGTTGCTTGGTCTTAGGCTTGATTGGTGAATCGAGCCTTATGACTTTGAGAATACTGGTGCCGCGCTCATTAGAGACTCGGTAGACCTCGGCGAAGGAGGCTTCTGCAATCTTCTGGATCTTGTCTCCTGGTGGACACAAGTCTGACCATGTCAGAAGGCGCAGGGTCTCATCCGCTTCATCCCCGTCCTCGACGTCGAGCTGACCATCTAGCTGTTGCTCTTGCTGCTTGGTCTCCTCGGACTTGGCGGTCACATCGGGGGTTACCAGAACAATGGAGTGCTCCTGTCGCTCGACTTGGACATCCTCCAACCGCACATTCGTGAGTTGCTCGGTGATGAGGTCGACAGGGTCCTCTACATCGGTAATGGCTACGCTCTTGATCGGACTGCTCTTGGGAAGCTCTGCGAAGAGATCGACCCGCGGCTTCCTGGCGGCCTTGCCGTATCTTCTCACAGTCGCCGTCCGAGACATGGTGTCATGAAAAAGCCATGAGCTTTAGGGAAAAGTCGGTTTAATTTGCCACTTTCAAGATTGTGACAAGTAATTATCTAGTCTCAAGAAACAATGGCCTTCACGATGCGCCTCGTGACATGGCACACCTCGGTGTCTCCATCGATGATTACATTACCATGGAGAGGCTTTGGTGGAGAGTTGGCAGGGCAACCCGGGACCAGGAGAGAGCTCAGCTTACATAAGGGATCCATCTCCTCCTCAGTTCCTCCACCTCCACTCTTTCAGTTCAGGTGCGCCATGCGATTGTGGGGTCAGCCAATCTGGCGCACGGGCCTCTGGAAGTCGCACGCATCCATTCGAAGCTCCAGGTTGGGGTTGCAGCTTCAAAATTCCCACATTCTTCTCTTTCGCGTCAGTGTGCAAGCCATCGACAAGAGCACGCAAATCCAACCATGGCTGCCGTCCTCAACAACCTCTTTGGAGGCAGCAAGTCCTCGGCCACTCCGGTACCTTCCGGTGACTCTGGTAAGTCCTCCCAACCTGCCTTGGTGTCTCAATTGGCTGCATGACTAGGCTGGCTGTCGCACCAAAAGGCCTGCTGGCCTGCAGAATAGGGGGGAGGGGAAGCTGATGTCATGTCTCCAACACACAGACTTCGCCGACTTCGCCGGGGCTCCTGACCCGACCCCGTTGCCGCTGACTGCGACCGGCGGCTCGACGCTCGGCGGAGCGCAGGCTTCTGTCACTGCCCGTCCCTACACGAAATGGTACCGGGTCCACGAGCGCCACTCGCTGGACGAGTTCTACTCGGAGGGCATCATTCTGGGCGTCATCGCGGTCATTGTCGTCTTGCATCTCTTTGGTGCGCGAATGAACCGCTCCAAGGCGCGGTCATGGATCAGGGCGCATGCCAAACCTCTTGCCTCTGAGTTTGCGCTCGTGGGCTTCGGGAGCCTGCCTGCCAACGCGGCCGACAACGCCAGCGACGAGGTCTTGAAGGAGCTGAAGAACGCCAATGAGGCCAACCCCAACTCCCTCCTCAAGGAGAAGTCTCTTTTCGAGTTCGCCACATATGCCACTGGTCGCCAGAACGTTGCCTTCCTGGATGTCAAACTCACCCTTCTGAAGCGCTTCAACCCCATCACCACCATCTTTGAGCAGGTCATGGGCTTCTTCGTTGAGAGCGCTGGCACGCCTGAGGACAACCTCGAGGCTGTCATCTACCCCTTCGATGGCAAGGAGGCGCTCACTGTTCCCGGTCTCCCTGGCGCACACGAGGGCAAGGCCAAGGACTCGAAGAGTGCTTTCGACGGTTTCGTCTGGGCCCTGGTCAGCAAGGACCACATGAAGCAGATTCGCGACGACCGCTACGATGTTTCTCTGACCTACACCAAGGACCACCCCAAGCTACCCTCCTGGCTCTCGGTCATGAGCGAGAGTGCTGAGATCACCGACGCTCTGCTCACTCCTGAACTGATCAAGGCTGCTCAGGATGCTGGCGACAACTTCCAGTATCTCATTGTCTCTGATCAGCCTGTCGACAAGCCCAAGACGTAAGTACTACCGTCACATGCAAAGCTGCAATGACTAACGGCGGTTGGGCAGTATCGACGAGACCACCCCTCGCAAGCGGATCTTCCTGAGGTACAAGCTGCCCTCGAACAACAACTACGAGTCCCTTGTGCCGCTCTTCAGCTACTTCATCCGCATGCCTGATGCCCTGGTTCAGTCTGGCCGCTTCCGGCCCGAGGTTCTGCGCAAGGTTAAGAACGTGCGCGAGGAGATGATCAAGCAGCTCCGAAAGGCCGACGAGGAGGAGAAGGCCGAGGAGCGTGCTGCCGAGCGCGAGAAGGCGCGCAAGCAGAAGCGCGATGCCGAGCTCAACGCCCTCGACGCCAAGGCCCAGAAGAAGTACCTGGAGAAGGAGAGGGAGAAGGAGATGCGCAAGATGCAGAAGAGGCAGACTACTCGTGCGTAAACACGGTGGTGCTGTGTGCGTGTGCGTGTGCCAGTCGCCTCGCACATGTTCCTTCGTGTGTACATTGCATTGGACAGGGATCTAGCATTAGGGTACTGGTGTATGATAGAGACTGATCTTCAAGAAAAATGTCTATCTACAGTAATGTCTTGATTGTTCTATAGTAAAAAAAAAACAATACGCATGCGCATTGGGGTTTGTGGATGTGTGCTGTTATTGCTGTTCTCTTGCCAAGATTTCTTCCACTTTTCTGACCTTGTCTTCTGGTGTTTGCTTTTTGTCGGTCCTGTTCCCGGGGTCAGCAAGTCATGATCTTCTGCGAGAGAGCAAGCCAGCGTCGTACCTGGTGCCAACACGCATCGAGCTCTGGACTCTGGCAACGCCCCTGGAGTGGACCAGAGTATGGGCCTGACCGATGACCTTGAAAACCTCGTCCCAGTTGCCCTCTTTTTTGGGGGGGTAGTTCAACAGTGATCAGCATGTATCGACAAGACAGGCCTTTCATGACACACGAGATCACACTCACCAACAGTCGTGCCAGCAGAGTGCATAGTGTACTTCAGCCCCGAAGCCTTGAGGAGCTTCTGGACCTCAGCTACCTCTGTCGAGACCGAGGGGCTGCCCGTGCCGACCTGCACCACACAAGGTCAGCCACAAATCCTTCCTGTCAGCAAATTTCCTGGGGTAGATAGAGAGCTGGGACAGTAACTAGGGCTGGTAGAAACGGGCGCCCGCGCAATTGCATGGGGGAGGATGCAACGAGCCATATGTGTGCGCGCTTTGCGGGACTTACAGGGATGAGGCAAAAGTCGGCGTAGCACGCGCCGGGGACCTGGATTGACTTGTAGTCCATTCTCGGAGCTGTCGACGCGATGGCCCTGCGCTGTGTGGACGGCGCTCTGATGCTTCTGCGGTTTTAGTTTTGGGGATAGGTACCTAAAGGTATGATACGATGCGCTGCACCACTTTTCGGGGTGGCTCTTTTTGCAAGTACGTACCTCGAGTTGGGGGAACGGAGAGCTGCTGCGGTGATCTGATGATGATGACCGAGTCTGACGTGGGTTCCGCCCCGCAGGAGCTGCTGGCGGATCGGATTGCTGGGAAGCTTCATCTGCTCGGGGGTCACACGAGCCTACACACGGAGGTACAAGTACAAGTACAAGTACAGAGCTCCGAATCAGCCCTGACAGAAAGCTTGGCGGCGCAGCTTGACAAAGCGTGGCTTGGTACTACTCACGAGGTAGTACCTATTATGCTGCTACAAGATCCAATTTACACTCTCACTTGTTTTTTTCTTGTTCTTTTTTTTTTTTTTTTTTTTTTTTACAGAAACATTAGACTCTCTGAGGAGGGGGCTGTTATATAGGCAGATGGCGAGAATCCGTGACTAAAGACAGAAGCCCACCGTACCGCGAGATTACCATCGCCAGGGCTGTTAGCGATGGGTCAGACTCAGCCCTCCCCACAGACCCGCTGGTATGGGGGGGGGGGGGGGGCTGCCTGGCCGTTTGGCGCGGCTTGAGAGGCTGACGAGAATACGGGGACCCTCGCCAATCCCCAGCCCTGGAACCTGTTAATAAGAAGAATCCATAGCCCCAAGGTTTTCCTCTACAGGCCATACCGAACCGCACCGCGACATACACATTGCTCACTCCCCCATTTTCTATCCGTGGAGCTGAGAGAAGCGTCTCGTCTCATTGACTGAGAGCGAGCCTCGACGACCTTGTGAGAGAAACTGTCACGCGCGTGTTCGGAGCCACGGAGGAACCTCACTCGCCCGTTTTTGCCTGGGCGCCTCGTATTCCACCACCATGTTCTCGAGAGCTCCCCTCTGAAAACCCCATCCTTCTTTCCCTTGCTGGTTTTCTCTTCTTCTCTTCCCCTAAAACTGTGTGGGCGGGTGGTGCCCAAACCACAGACATACCCAAGAAGCCAAGCCCCGGCGCCAAGCCCTCGAGGGCCGCCCAGCTTCTTTCTTCTTTGCCCCCCTTTGCGCTGGGAATATCATCACAGTCAGTAAACGCCGATCCGATTCCCTGCTGGGAAGACAAAGCCGGGAAGAGAGAATGGCACTGATGCGCCTCGCCCACCGGGTGCGCTCCCGCGCCCGCGTGATCCTGGCCACGTGCCTGGCCCTGCTCTTCCTCCTCGCCGTGCTGCTGCCCTACGACAGCGCCGTCCGGCTCTCGGTGCGCTTCAACGCCGGCCGCGCGGCCGCGCGCATCTGGGGCGCGGGCCCCGCCGACGCCGCCGCCGTGGTCGCGGCCCTGCCCGCCCCGCGCGAGCTCGACCTCGTCGAGGACGTCGCCGTCCTGCTCAAGTCCGGGTACGGCACCAGGCGCCGCATCCAGCCGAGCCTGGCCGCGCTCGAGTCGGGCGTCGGCTGCCGCGACGTCGTCGTCGTCGCCGACTTTGAGCCCGCGCCCCTGGGCCTGCGCTACGAGTACCGCGGCGCCGACGTCCCCGTGCGCGACATCCTCGCCCGCGTCCTGCTCGACGCCGGGCTCCGCTGGATGGCCGCCACGCCCCGGTTCCGCAAGTACGCCGACATGACGGCCGCCGTGGCGGCGGGGCGGCCGGAGCTGGCCGAGGAGCTGGGCAAGAGGGTCGGGTGGGAGCTCGATGCGCTCAAGGTATGTTTGGTTCTCAAGGGAAGGGGGGAAAAGTTGCTTCTGCTCGAGGTGCGCGCTTCTGACACCTATTTTTTTTTCATGTAGTTCATCCCCGGCCTGGACCTGACGTACGAGCTGCTGCCCTCCAAGAAGTGGTATCTCATCCTCGACGACGACACGTACGTCATCCGCCCTTCGCTCCGGCTCCTGCTGGAGCACCTGGACCCGGACGTGCCCCAGTACATCGGCAACCCGGTCGGCGACTTCAAGGGCCGCTTCGCCCACGGCGGGTCCGCCGTCCTCATCTCCCGCGCCGCCATGCACCGGCTCTTCAGGCAGCACCCCAAGGCCGTCGCCGCCGCCTACCGGGAGGCCCTGACCGAGACCTGGGGCGACAAGCTCGTCGCCACGACGCTCATCAAGGTCGGCGTCTACCTCGACGAGCGGTACGCCAGGCTCTTCAACGGCGAGCCGCCGCCCCTCACGCGCATCCGGCCCGACCGCTTCTGCGCGCCCCTCGTGGGCTTCCACGGCCTGGCGGACCCGGCGCAGATGCGCAACGCGACCGAGGTGCTCAAGGGCATCGACGACGTCGTCCTCTGGAGCGACGTCTGGTCCATCTTCGGGGGCCCGAACATCAGCGCCGACGCGAAAGAAGAGCCCGCGACGAGGGATGCCGACTATGTCGGCCGGGTGGACGAGACTACCAAGGTGGTCAAGGGTGTCGGCGAGGCCGAGAAGTGCTCAGCGCGCTGCGCTTCGGATCCCAAGTGTCTGGCCTGGACGTGGACTTCGGCCGACAGCGTGTGCAAGATGGCGCCCTCGATGATCCTGGGCACCAAGAGCGAAGGAGGCTTCTCCGGTATTAACGCGCCCAGGGCTCAACAGCTCTTGGGGAGGTGTCACAAGACGGCGTGATTGTCTATCGCGGGGAGCTTTTTAATAATGGCCAAGGAAGGGGGAAACTTGGGAAATGATACCCTGTACACTACTTCTTGGGGTGATTCAACATGGCTTCTTTATGACGAGGGGAGGAAACAACATGTACCATATTAAGGGAATCTGGCCGTCTATTGTAATTGAAAGCTCGCAACTGCATCGTCAGTCGCAGGAAAACACCCCGATGCGCGATGCCACGGCTATGTATATATATCCCTCGCTTTTCAGCCCTATGTGGCCGTCATATCGTTGCAAAGTCATTGATGCTTCCATAGCATGCTATTAACACACACATGATCTTACACACAAGGGCCCGCCGCCCTCCCACCCCCTTGTCCCAGAAATTTCTTCACTCCTTCACATCGTCCATGTGCGGCGCCCCAGCCACGCTCAACCTCTGCCCGGTTGGCCCAACAGGCCCAGCAGGGTGGTGGTGATGCCCCCCCTGCGCGTACCCGGAGTCGACGCTCGCGCTCCTCGAGCACCCGGGGCTGACCCCGCTGCCGCTCGTCCGCGCCCCGCCGCTGTGCTTCCTGCCGCTGCGCCCGAAGCTCATCGTGAAGGCGCCCAGCAGCTCCTGGTGCCGCAGGTTCTGCTCCGTCAGCTCCCGCTCGCTCGGGTGCTGCACCGCCGGCGCCGAGCCGCGCCGCCGGGTTTTCTTCCTCTTCTTCTTCTTCATCGCCTTGAGCTCCGGCACGTCCTGCTCCTCGGCGCCGTGAGTACTATGGCCGGCATTATTGCTATTATTGCTGCTACCGCCGCCGCCGCCGCCGCCGCCCCAGCCGAACCGCCAAGAGGACGTCTTGGATAGGCTGGGCCCGGCGGCGGAGGCGACGGCGGGTGACTTGGGGAGGCCGGCGTCCGAGGGCGGGGAGGAGGACGCCGCGGTGGTGGGGTTGCTCGCGGCGCTCTGGTGGTCCCCGCCGCCGGCGCCGGAGGAGGAGGCGGACGAGACCGACTTGCGGAACATGCGGTTCCAGGACGGCATTCTTCTCTAGGATGGGGGCGCACGGTGGTGATTCGCAGGTTCAAAAGGAGTTGTATATATGAAATTTCTTGCTTTTGCATCAGCAAAATTGGTTCTCTGGACAAAATAGCATTCGCCGACTGCTTGAGAGAGACGAGATGGAGATGTTGTAAGTGTTGGCATGAATGGATGGATGGATGGGAGAGAAAAGCCGGGCGCCCGGGGCCTGTTTTCAAGGAGGACATAATGCGATCGGGAACCTGCCAACCATCGGCGCGCCCAGGCTGGCGATGATCATGCCACTTTAGAAAAAGGCAATTCCGTCCGATCACCACCTAATTCAGCAGCGAGGGCCCGTTCAGCACCTCCCTGCAGCTGTGAGGGTGTCGAGACATTCTTAGTGGGCGGGGCGAGGTGTCGGTCCATCGCAGATTGACGTCATTTGTGTCGCTGGGTGGTCTTGGAGATCATGGACCTTTCCCCGGACCTACCCCGGCGCGCCCTAAGGCTGGGTTCCCCGAGATAAAGTGTTGGTGTGAGCTTGGCACCTAGCCAGGGGTCAGGTTGGTTGACGAAGCTCATCAGGAGATACCTCCATGTTCACAATGCATCTCTTGACAGAAAATCATACCCGTGGCCTTAATATGACCATCATTTGACACCGCAGTATTAACAGCTGGTTCGCCGCGAAGATGGGCGAGATGGGATGGTCAAAGTATCAATTTCTAACTTGCCTCCAGTTACACGCCATTGGGTTGTACATGCTCTGGAATCTTCCACTCTACCCATTTCGAAACCAATTTCTTGTTTCACGATAAAAACCAAAAGCCAATTCACTTACACGCCTAGCTCCGGATTTTGTTTCTGGTCCATAAAACACCAAACACGGTTCTCCCCTCCACCTGAAAATCATACTCGTGGTTCCGAGGCAGCCCCTTATCGCGAGATGCATTCGCCACCGTAAACACCAGCACTTCCGCATCCGAGCCCGCCTAGTGTCGTGAGTCCCCATGTAAGAGCCGTGGCCTCCCAGTCAAGACCTTCGGTGATAGTGTCGCCCTCCGCAACACCCGCTCTGACACTGGGACTAGGCTTGTAAGTCTTGTCACCGGGAACCTCCTCGGGGTCAGGTTTAGACTTCCGCGCTCCCCGTCTCCGGCGAGTGCCTGAAGGGGTCGTGGTCTCATCGTCAGCTCCCTCGGCATGGTCGTTGCCGGCCTTGGATTTCCTACTCTTTCGCTTCGCCGGCGTCCTCGAAGGCTCGGGATCTTCAAGCTTGATGTCCTCCTCCTTTATCGCAGCGGTCTCGCTACTCGCTATGCTTGCAATGTCGTCCGTGAGAGAGTTGGGCCCAGCGCCATAGAGCGGGATAGCTGAGGCCAGAATGTCGTTGGCATCGAGAGCTCTCACAGCTGCCCAGATACCTAGACTGATCGCCGAGAGAACCACATCACGAGCGATGGCAGCGACTACTGGGTGATCTGAAGTAGACGCAAGAATACGTCCAAAAGCAGTGGCACTCTGCTCCCAGTCCATCCCAACTTCGTTGTCCAAAGAAGTTCTGATGCTATGTCGATGGTAGTGCGGTTCCGGATAGTTGGAGCTGATGCCAACGAGGGTAGCTTTGGCGTGTAACAGGACACTCATGAGCGAAGAAAATCGGAACAAGGTCTTGTAGCCCTTGTAGACATCATGGGGGTGTGGGTGAGTAGTACCCCAAGACGTGGGCATGATGCTCGGCACAGCCAATAGAGCCAATGCGAAGGTCCTCGAAAAGATGACTGTGCTGGCAAAACTCGTGGTCTCTGCTGCATACGGCAGCAGGAATATGGCGGAGTAGCAGAGACCAAGCAACCCAGTGAGAATCCAGGGTCTTGGGTGCCAGTTAGCAGGCTTCAAAGGGAAGACAGCCTCGAGCGCCCGGCCAATCCTGCGACTGTATAAGCTACATGACCAGTTGTTTGGCTCAAGATCACGGAAACTCACCGAGTAGTTGCGCCTCCCGCAAGGGGGAAAGGAGTCAACAGTAGCGCGACATAGAACAAGTTTTGAGCAAACGAGAGGTTCACGAGGTGAGCCAAGAGCAGGTAAGCCCATAAGTATGGAATGCGCCGTCGGCGTCCTTCGATCGTCAGGAGCAAAGTCCAAGGAATAGTGGCGAGGTCAATCTGCTGTCCCCACCAGAAGCGACGCGCTTTCTCGGCCACAATCTCGAGGGCATCCATATATATCGACGTATCCGACAGCCATCGGCCTATATGAACCTTGGTGGTGTTCTCCCGCTCAATGAACGGGATAGCGGTGCCAAAGAGCCTGCCGGCGATGTTAGTATAAGAAAACAAATCTGTGTGATGACAGACAAACCTCTTTGGGAGATCGAGGCCATGCTGGTCAGCCCAGACTTGGTAGGACAAAATCGCATATCTTGCCGAGGAGTATCCAGCAAGCCCAAGAGCCAAGGCTGCGAGACACGCGAAGACAGGGATGAGCTTCTTCCGGCGCGACTCTCGAGACCTGATGTCTTGCGCGGGACCTAAGCCCTGGTACGATCTGTAGAGTCCTCTTCCTACTACAAAGGACAGGTAGAGAACAGTCGATATGTGCGCGCCAACCAGCGCGACTGGCGCGAATCTAGCAGCTGGATCAGTATCATAAGAATAACTTGTGTACGAGCATATGGCGTAGTGACATCACGAGCCACTGTCGGTATAAGTCGTCGAGCTTACCTCACTTGGGGACCAGACGGCACAGGGGCCATGGTATCAAAATGTTGTTTGAATGAAGGCTTGTCCTAAGGGGAATCCCATGGGCTCTTCGGGCTGGTATGGCAGAAATCGCCTCATGCGCTTGGGAAGAAGCAAAGAATGGGAAACAAGCTGGAGAGACATTGGATGAGAGCTCCAGATCTTATCGTTGCGTCCAGTGTCCTTAGATATATATATGTATATGTACTTATGAATAGTAGATGAATGCATGTAACTGGGAGTAAATGCACTTCGATTGCCCCATGTTGCCGCCCGTCCCATTAGCGGGCGGGAGCTCTAAGCTAGGGAGATTAGCGGGGTGTTACAGCACCCGCAATCTGCACAGGGATACCTCCTGGGTAAGGCCCCCACCGTAAAAAGCCTGGAGTGACAGTTGTCGCGACTGGAGACGTGATCCATCTGTCGGTCTGTTGAAGGGAACATATCCCGGGCCTCATTGGGAGATCCGAGCGCCCCGCCTCTGGAAGTGACATTAGGCACCATGTATCACCTGGCAAAGAGCCTCTACTTGCTGGCAACGAGCAAAGAAGGTATGTTCTTCTCCTGCGCTTCGGTGCCGTCGCTATCATCGGGCGCAGCATGGCTAACGTGACCTGTCCACAGAGTACTCGGTGATTCTCCTCGGCCTGGACAACGCCGGCAAGACGACCTTCCACGAGCAGGTCAAATCGCTTTTCCTCCCCGACAACCCAGAGCCGAAGCTGAAGACCGTACCGACCGTCGGCCAGAATGTCTCGACCATCACGCTTCCTGACATGTATATGAAGATCTGGGATGTCGGGGGACAGCTCAGCCTGCGCAAGCTCTGGCAGAGCTACTATACAAGCTGCCACGCCATAGTCTTCATCATAGACAGCACAGACATTGGGGACGGCACTCTGGAGAACGATGAACATTCTGGGGGTCGTCTCGAAGAATGCCGCCTTGTCCTCGAGGACGTGTTGCAGAGCTCCGATACGGAGGGCGTTCCGGTGCTCATACTGGCCAACAAACAAGATCGAGAGGACTGCGTCGAAGTTGTCAGGATCAAGGAAGGGCTGGTGAAGAAGGTGTTCGAAGGAGAAAAGTCGCACAGCATTCGAGACTCAAGGGTGCTACCAGTATCTGCGCTCACCGGCACAGGCGTCAAGGAGGCCGTCGAGTGGCTCAGGTCTCGAGTCAAGTGGAACAAAGAATCAAGACCGCCGGTGATGAGGTGACACTTCACCGACCGAATCTCGAAGTCTGATATCGTGTTGAGGTGTTGCATTTAGCGTCAACTGGCCGGCGTTTGGGAGTTCGGAAGTGCATGATGATGCTGGCTCTTATACCGGATCATTGCTCATAGAAGCCGTACGTGTGCGGATCAGAAATTCGATCTAATTGAAATGGCCAATTGCCGGGGTATCTTCATTTTGTCTACAGCCAACCTGGTCTCCAACGACGCCTTTTATCTATCGTTTTCTGCTGACAGCTCCGCGATCAAGCCGCCTTTGTCTCGTCGCTTTGCGTCTTCCGCGAGCTTGTCGTCTAGTAGTGTTGAGAGCTCTTTTACTTTGGTGAGCGCAGTATTTGTGCACTGCAGTAGTGCAACAGCCTCGACTTGAACCCCGCCCAGCTTTGCAATCTGGCAGATCTCGCCGTGCCGGTTCAGACTGATGGTGCAGCTTGCGACACGCACCTGCTCCTCTAACCAAGTTGCATCGAGGACGGCGATCTCTCCCTCGTCTCCAAAGAAGCTGAAGGTGATACATAATGGTGAATGCAGCCAACTCAGGGGCACCGGCTCCCTCTCCGCGGGAGTGTAGACAGTAACCGATTCGCCCTCGATGCTCGTGTCCGGTTTTCTGAAATGCCGCAACGCAGCCACGACGGCAAGGCAAGACGTGTCGATCAAGTTGCCATCATGCGAGAGCACGTGGACGTCGACTCGTACTGACCAGCATTTGTGGCCAGCCACGAGGCACAACGACTCCGTGTCGAGCGCGCCGGACCGTCTTACCGTCTTCTCCAGTAGTCTCGACAGGAGAACCTCTGTCTCCGTGGGCCGATTAACCTCGAAAGCTGGAGAAGCCATGGGGCTAAGCTCGGTAACAATGTTGAAGACGCCATCGAAAGGGCGATCGGCGTAGGGAACGGTCACCTCCGCAGACACTTTGGCCACAACACTGAAACTCTGGTCAGTATATGACACAATAAACTGCTCAGCAGGTCCCAACAAGTGCAATTGTACCTCGTCTTTCCGCATTTGACATCTGCAATGCCATATTCTTGACCGAAAGAGAGCTCGATAGGTCGATAGCTGTCAAAGGCACGTCCGTCCAGCCGCAGGTTCTCTTGGAGCGCCTGAGTCACAAAAACCTTCTCATTGAGGGAGGGCTCGGCTTCTCGAGGCATCTTGAGGCGCTTGAAGCTGGAGAGTGTTGATGCAGGTTGATCGCAGAATCGAAATTCAGTTCATAGTGGGGTTCTTGAAGCTCTGTTATTCAATTCCCATGCATACAAGGGTGTGACGGACTGGCCTTTTTTGCCGGGCGGTGAATGACGGTACAAATCGCAGTCCTGCTACAGGTAGCTTCTGTCCGCCTTTGCCAATCTCCAACCTTCGCGGTCGATACCTCGCCGCGCATTATTTCCTTTCACCCTTCACTCACAGATTTGTGTTGCTAGCAAGATGACCACAGCGCATAGACCTACGTTTGATCCCGTAGGTATCCACCGAAAAGTCGATGATGACCCTGATTAACCAACTCCATAGGCACGGGGAAAAGATGCCCTGCGAGGGCCTGCCTATCATCAGCGCCTGCAGGCCGCGCATACAAAATTGAAGTTCCGGTATGCGAAATCTCAATAATCATATTCCATTCTTGCGAGATTTTGCGCATGCTGACAGTCTTTGCAGCAAAGCTGGTCAGGGCGGTGACGGAGACCGTGAGGTTCGCGACCTGCGCGCTGAGCTTCTTCAGGCCGAGGCTGCGCACAAGGCCAAGCTCCACGGTGGCCCCATCCCAGACGACGACTCTGAAGCGCCCGAGTCTAGCACGAATGCCTCTAAGCGCCCACTGGAGATCGCCAACCACGAAGCCGACGAGGAAGATGCAGAGGCAAAGCGGCGGCGAATATTAGAGGAGACAAGAGACATTGACGCGGACGATTCAGAAGAGGACGATGACGATGACGACGACAGCGAGGATGACAGTGATGACGACGAGGATGAGACGGCTGAGCTGCAGAGAGAGCTCGAGAAGATCAAGCGGGAACGAGCCGAGAAGCGAGAGAGAGAGGTATGCCGTTGCGCATTAATGATATCAAATCCATAGGATATGAGCTAACTGCGAATCAGGAACGTGAGAGAGCTGCAGCCGAGCAAGAAGAGAAGGAGCGCGATATAGCTCTAGGCAACCCTCTTCTCAACAAGCCAGACTTTAACATCAAGCGCCGGTGGGATGACGATGTCGTCTTCAAGAATCAGGCAAGGGGCACTGACGACAAAGGAAAGAAGAAGGAGTTCATAAACGTAAGTTAACACTCGCTCGATGAACGAGACCCTTTACTAACGATCGGTCTCTCAGGACATGCTCCGTTCCGACTTCCACAAGCGATTCATGAGCAAATATGTTAGATAGGAATCGTTCAAGCTGTGCTGGATAGTGTAATGATACCCGAATAGACAGATCGTCCGATCGACTTGTCCTCAAAACGAAGAGTAGTTGAGTTTGTGGCGTATTTTATCTACCTAATTCTTACTCGTGCGCTGTTTCAAAGCCTTGTGATAACGGAATGCTGTGAAGTGTGACTGAGGTGGGTCAGAGCCTACTGGACAGGCGCTATGGTGGACATCAGGACCTGTAAGTCGGTAATTTGCAGTTGCCCAAACGGTATTTGACAGAGTCTACTTACCACCGTTTAAGTCCGAGCCTGCATGGAATGGTCGTGACTGGTATCAGTAGTGTAACTCTACTCTGGACGATTTTTGCTCTTCTCAATGCTGCACTGACGCCAATAGGAAATCCAGGATCCTGGCATTCTTGACATTTCGCAATTCGCCTAGACCTGAGTGGTTTGACACTCTTAACAGTCTGGTCAAGACTTATCACACATGGCAGGCTCCAGCCCGTCGACGGGTGTCACATCGCCAAGCACGCCCTTGAGAATCAAACGCAACACTGTATGCTCGATCTGGCTGTTCTGACTGAGGTTGATAGTTAACACAAACCAGGCTTGTGTAAATTGTCGTGATAGCAGTAAGCCACAGTTCTAGCTCTAATTGAAGTGGCCAAGCACTGATATGATCATAGAGGTCAAATGCAATGCAAGCTCTCGGCCAAACCAGCCATGCCAGAGATGTGCAAAGCTCGAGCTTTCTTGTGTTGTTGACAAATCTCATAAGAGGACAGGCAGGAGGAGGTAAGATAAACACAATGTGTTTCCCACTTAACTCGTTCCACCCCAATGTTCCACCCCAATATGTATGCTCGTGTGCTGACTTGCCTGGTAGTAAGCTGGAGGAGCTGCAAAGGGAAGTTCTCAGTATCAAGGAGGCCGTCGGAAAGTCCGTTGCAACAAACTTAAGTTCGTCTGGTATAAATCACAGCTCTCAGGCTCTTTCCCTGGGCAATAGAGGAGCCCTCACAGACTTGCAAGCGAGACCACTGTCTAGGTCGATAACAGTGAACCCGTCGCCGCCGACGAGTACATCATCTCCTCACTTTGTCAATGGCCGAGTGCCACAGCCAAGGGCTCTGAAGTCAAGAGTCTTTTCTGGGGAAGACATTGGTCTCTACTTCCAAAGGTCTGTATTGCCTGCTATTCCATTGCAAAAGTGCTATCCTATTAACGAGACTGGTCAGATACTTTGAATGTTTTCACGACTACTTCCCCATTGTGAGACTACAGGATCCCGACAAGTGCTACGAGAAGGCTCCGGTGCTCTTTTGGGCCATTCTCATGGTTTCAGCGCGGCGCTTCGCAAAAGACAGCACTGTCCTCCCCTTTTTGACCGAATCCGTACCTCCTGAGATCTGGTCTGCCGCGGCTGTCCCACCGCTCTCCGTCGAGGCCATCAATGCATTGTTGCTCCTATGTGCATGGCCACTCACGACAATCAGGTTTATTGCAGACCCCTCAGCTCACTACATGTCTCTGGCAATGACATCTTGCTATCTCCTGGGTCTGCAAAGCGGCCGCGGAGAGCAACCGGAGCTACTTCGACCGAACTATCAGATCCGATGTACGGACGAGGAAGCTGCATATACCTGGGCTGGTGCCAACATCATCACTCAAAAGTATGCCTCGTCCTCGTGACGCATTTTTTAATTCGACGCTAACAAGATGAGGCAGGGTGTCGACATATATAGGCATTCCAACCACCAGTACCTCCTTCAACCAGACCATCGAAGAACTACTTGACGGCAAAGCCTCCACCCAGTTTCCGACTCACTATTCTGTCGTTCTTGAGTGTGCCAGATTCTCAAACCGCGTCAGTAAGACCATGTGCGCCGCTCTAGAGGGAGTCGAGAGCATCTCTCCACATTTGATCTACATGTACGAGGAGGAGTTTGCGAAATTGCAAGGTCTCATGCAGCCCGAATTGTCTGGTAGGTGACGCTCCTGGATATGGACCGGCATTATAGATCATACTAACCTTCGTGAAGAGCTGGACCAGTTTGTCTTACAGTCTACGTTGTTGGAATTGCAGAGTTACTACTTCACCGCTCCTCAAGATCTCACGGCCGAGCCGAAGATGCGTAACATCTTCAAGGCGTTCAACACCTCCCAATCCCTGATACAGCAGGCTCTCAAACTCCATAGTGATAAGCTTTTCCTTGCTTACGCCCCTCATTACGTCTGTCGGACGCTGCTGCTGGCCGCTTGCATCATCATCCTAGGAGCACTCTCCCCAGACATGCGCGACACCCCCCTGCCATCAAGAAACGGTTTGGTGCAGGACGCCATCTCAACGATAAAGCATTGCTCGGTGATTGGCGGAGACATCTCGTGGAGAGGCGCCAAGATGCTCGAGACGTATTGGTCCTTCTGCCAGATGCAAGCCCCGATCAAAGTCGACATGACCCGGATCTCTCAGTTCTCCCATCGCCTTGGAACGAGCTTGGTATTCGAATGCCTACGACAGTGGAAGAGGCGTGTAGAATCGACGCTTCCACCCACGAGTTCCTCGACAAAGGATCAGCCTACCAATGAAGGAACTGGTAAGTCAAATCTTGCCTATGAAAGATTGACTCCTGGCAAAAGAAGAAGGGCTGACAAAGCCGTATCCAGCTGGAGTACCAACAGACGAGAACACGGCGGAACAAGACATACAGTTCTTTGACTGGGATGCCCTGATGACCGAGTTTGATTGGAGTTTCATGCCAGATATCACACCTTCCTTGAATGTCTAGGTTGGATGGCGTTTACAGAACAGGACTTGACAATGAAAGTTGCAATATACCCCGATTTCCCCCTCGAGAAATATTTCTTACTCGCGATGAATCCAAAGAATTGAAACTAGATTCTTCATTACCATCTTCGTTCGCAGCTAGCAGTCCACAAGCCCCAACCCAACACCTTGCCCTGGATTGCATCTGCGACCTGTTCTCTGGTGGCTTTTGCCTGAAGGAGAACCCTGTCCAGAGGCTCACTCAGGGCTACGACCTGAAAGAAGTCTATACATTCATTCATTCAGCAGTGGCAACTTGTCAACGACACGGATTCACGACTCACATCGGTGGACGCCGTGGTTCATCAAAGGCTTGGGTGGGATGTACACCATGTAACTATTGGCCCCGTAGTAGATGCCACTCTTCAGCAGAGACTGCCCCTTGTCCTGGACCTCCAAGTCTTTGGGCTCGATCCGGGTTTGAGACGCAGGGATTCCGGGATAGATTCTGTAAACACATACATCTTCAGCATTTCCGTCGCGGCTCCTCCAAAGAGTTACAGGTACTAGGATATCCCACAGGAGACTTACCCGTGAGCAAACGGGGTCGGTACGGGAGCATCCGGGTCCTCGACCACCAGGAGCCACTCCTTGACCTTGGGCGCAATGTCTGCCGGCGCCTCCCATTCGAGGGTGGGGAACCGGCCGCCGCCTTCGGCCATATACTCCTTGGAGAAGGTGGCGCCGGTCTCGCCGCAGTCGGGCGAGGCGATGCGGATGGTGGGCTCCTTGACCTGGTCGGTGAAGGCCGGCCGGGTGCAGAAGGCCTTTCCGTCGCGGCCCTTGGCACTCTTGAAGAGCCAGGCCAGGGTGACCTCGAAGAGGGCGGACATGGCCGAAGGCGAGGAGGGGTGTTTCCGGAGTTGTAGACTCGTGTGTTCAGGCAGGGAGGCAGGGCATTCGAGGAACGAGGAAGGGGGTATACGACTTCACCTACGAGTCTCCTTTCATAACTTCTTCCTTTGTGTACTGCAAAATATTAAGAATGGGTCTTCGGGCATGGTCGCCTAGGTCGTGTGTCGTATGCCGTATCTCGTATCAATAGAGTTTGACTTACACGCGAGTCTGCTGGTATAGCCAATGAACCACGATCCTATTGATCTGTGTGGATATGGTTTCTGCACTGTACACATGTGCGCCAGTACTGGCGTTTCCACTGTAAATAATCACCAACTGCTTGTAGTGAGCACTGTGGCTGGCTCTTCGTCCTCAACCGAGTATTGTGCAAGACATCGAGAAAGACATGATAAACCTGGCCTGTCAATTTGTGCTGTACTAGATGCTTCCTCTATTATAGGGACCCTATGTCTTGTATCTGAATTGTTTAGACTACTTGTGAGTGTATTGTGAAGGATTCCGTCAGACAGGCAGGGATCTGTTTGGGGCACTTCATGTAATTTTAAACAAGGCTCGCCGCATCTTTGGCGATCCAATTATTTGATAGCTACTAACAACACAACAACTTCAGGGGAAGGAGCCTCGCATCCCATCGCAATGGGTCTTTTCGACTACTTCGCGCCTCAAGGGGCCAACGTCCCCCCAGCTGTTCCATCGCACCCCTACTATCCCCCAGGAGTGCCCATGTCCAACTACCAAGCCAACGTGACGCCTTTGCCCGTGGTCCTCGCCTCGTTCGGCGGCCTCATCGGCGTCACCGTCGTCAGCGCGCTGCTGGGCGCAAGGAAGATGAACAATTCCCTTGGTGCCACCGACCAACTGCTCTTCTGCTGGTTCATCCTCTGTAAGTAAGCGGGTGCAAATCGAGAGAACACTGTGTCCACATACTGAGAAGGGCTACAAACAGGCGGCTTTTTGCATTGCATCTTTGAAGGTACAAGACAAGGGCCCCCTGATCTCCATCATGGCGAATCGTAAATGGCCTCTCTTGACGCTTACTAAAACCTCACCGGTAAGGCTTCTTTGTCCTGAACCATGAGAGCCTCGCCGGATCCCAGCACCTGCTGGCCCAGGCCTGGAAGGAATACGCCCTGTCCGACTCGCGCTATCTGACGTCGGACCCCTTCACCGTCTGCGTCGAGACCATCACCGCTGTACGTGCCTGCCGTCTTGCCTGCTCCTGAGCACATCTCCCCTTGGCTAATCATACAAATTTTGCGTTTTTTTTCACCTCCACAGCTCGTATGGGGACCCTGCTGCCTCGCCACGGCCGCCTGCATCGTCCGCGGGCGCAAGAGCGCAGGCGGCCTCCGACAGGTGCTGCAGATAGTCACGAGCCTCGCGCACCTCTACGGCGTGGCGCTCTACTACTCGACCTGCCACTTCGAGTACGTCCGCAAGGGCCTCTCGTACAGCCGGCCCGAGCCTCTGTACTACTGGGTCTACTATGTCGGCTTCAACGCGCCGTGGGTGGTGGTCCCCGCAGGTCAGTTCGTTCACTTTTCACACTTCTCGAACCCTTCGGCTTCCTCATTCTGACCATGTATCATCTGGCCACCAGCTATTCTAATGAGTAGCGCTCGAGAGGTCAGGTGCGTCTTTCGAGCGTTTGACCGAGTCAATTCAACGTTGCAGAAGAAGGCGAGATAGTCAAAGGGGACAGAGCCTGCCCCTCCCCCCCAAGCTCGGAGACAATCGACACGACTTGTCTTTGCAATTAGTGTATGTTTTTGTATTCTAGAAAATAGGCCATCCGAGGGCTACTATGGTGCGAGCAGATGCGAGGAGTTTGATGTAACAATTTGGGCACCCAGTGGGACTGTTGAACTTGAAGCTTGCGCGCCATCGACGGGCAAAGATGCATATATTTTGTTCGAGGCTCTAGGCGTCTATATATGACCAGAGAACCCCAGTATCTATCGGCTCATGGATTCTTGCTACCTCTTCCGCGGCTCGGTAAGCAGCGCTGTGCGGGCTACGTAGACATGGCCCTCAGAGCCCCCCCGAGGCACCACCGTCAAGCACAACCCCTCCCCTTCTTTATTACCTGCGCTGCCCCTCCGCCTCGGCACCCAGATCCCTCTCCACCATCTCGATGGAGGTCAGGCTGGGGAACCGCTTGGAAAAGTCCCGCAGGTAGTCGTCCTTCTCCTGCGGCGACATATCTAGGGCCGGCTGGCCCGGGAGGTCCATCGCCACCAGTTGCTGCTGCTGCGCGGGGGGCCCGGGCAGCGTCTTGCCCAGGTAGCTCGGCTTCTGCGGAGACGCAGGCCGGCCGGTGCCGGCGCCGCCCGCAGTCAGGTTCTTGTTCAAGTGGATCGGCTTCGGCTTTGCTGCTGGTTTGGGCGGACCACCAGTGGCGCTGGCCGTGGGACGAGAGCTGGAAGGGTCGGGGGGAAGAGTCGAAGAGCGATGGACAGAGACGTTGACCGGGCTGCCCGACTGGACGTGCCGATCAGGTGGGGGGAATGTCTTCCCAACGCCGACCGTTTTTCTAGGGACCTCGGGCTTCTTGTCGGCCGGACGGCTTGCCGCCGTGGCGGCGTCCGCAAAGTGCCCGTAACCCTCGGCCTGTCTGGATACATGACTTGTGCCCTGTGACTCGCTGAGCAAGCTCTGGACTTTGTTCTGGATAGAGACGGCGCGAGAAACACCGCCGATGCTCTTTGGCGGTACCGTGGGCGGGCCACCCGATGAGCTCGCGTTGCGTTGAGTGACTCGCTGCCGGTACTCTGCGGCTGCGGCTTCCACTCTCCTTTCCTCTTCCGCCAGTCTTCTACGTTCCATTTCTCTGCGCATCTCCGGTGTCATGTCTTCCGTCTCATCCAGGACCTGGCCGTCGTCACTGCGTCCATCGGTGGCTACAGAGCCGGTGATAGGCGTCAGGTCATGCCGATCCATGTCCTTCAGGGGCGATGGTGTTCGTGCAGGAGGAGGAGCCTCTTTTTGTCCCTCAAAGCGTTTGAAGGCATCCCCAAACTTTCCGGCGAGGATGTTCTTCGTGCCCGAGAGCGAACCAAGGCTGGATCTCTTGGATTGTTTAGTGTGACCCTTATCGGAGTCCTCCATAGACCGGAGAAACTCGACATTGGACTCAATGTTCCGATCCTCGCTGGGTTCTAACCTCGGGGACGGCTCAGTGTCAATAAGATTGGGAGACGGGAGTCCAGGCGATTTAAGTGGTCTCGGCGCACTCTCCCGCTCCTTGAGAAAGTCCAAGTTGGACTCCAGATACGTACTGACAGGCCGAGGTCGACTGGTCTGAGATTTTGACTTTGCAAGAGGCTCAAAATATTCAGTGCTCGGCCGCCCCCCTTCAAGAGAGGGGCGAGAAGACGATGGATGTCTCACGTGGCTGGGCTGTGCCTGGAAAGATTCACGTTGCGCGGCTCCGGACCTAGACGAGAGAGGTGTCCCAGCACGAAGATAGCCGGAGCCGCCGGTCTCTTGCTGACGGGGAAGACTGGACGAACGGTGGTGATCTGATGGCGGGAAGCGGTAGATCTGATACTGCGACTGTGGCGTTTCTTGAGGGGGCGGCGTCGTCATCGTTCCGATAGAGACCATTTGTGGTCTGGAAGGCGAGGGCTGGGCCGGCTGTGAAGTCTGCGAGGAAATCGCCTGTAGTTCCGGCGTACTGGAGATGATGGCTGATGCGCGGCTCATCTCTGATGGCTTGGGCGGAGCAGATACGGATTTAACGGGAGGTGATGTAACAGGCGGGTCCATAGTTGGTTTGGCGTAATTATTCGTTTGAGGAAGGGCAACTGACTGTCTCGATGGCCCGGCTGTCAGTGTCGGCTTGGGCTGAGATGGTGCAAAAGCTTCATCCGCAGCCCTGTCCGGTACACTCTGTCCTGCATCCTTGGACCTCAGTGTCGTGGCGGCTGGTGCCGCATCTTCAAACTGAAACTTGGACCCCTTATCATGAAGAAGTGAGAATTGATCAAGCGTCGGGAATCTCGACGACAGATCATCACCACCCTTGCTCTTGGCGGATTTTGTGTCGAGTGCGGCGAAGGGATCACCATTCACCCTCATTGGTGAGGGACTTGGCTTGGCAGCTTGTGGATGTGGCTGCTGCGATGCGGCCTGAGGTCGGCCTCTTCTCATGGGGACGACTTCGGGGATCACCTGCTGTTCCTGTGGTGGCGGTGAGAAAACGGCTCCCACAGCCTGATTAGACGATGGCTTCTCAGCAACCGCGGGACGTTCGTGGGCACGAGAGTCAGGACGCGAACGCCCGGCATATATCTAAAGAAGAGTGTTAGCCAAATTCATCTTTGACGCGCTGCGTTGCCTTACGTCTTTTACGGGCACTTCCCGGCCTTGCATGGAGCAGGACTCTTGCAGGACTTGGAAGATGTTTGGCCGAGACTGAAGGTTCTCGCGTAGCATTGACGCTGCCACACATGTCAGCTGGGTAACCAAATACTACGTCCATTCTTTCTTTACCAATGAGCTTCTTTAGTCTTTCTGAGAAGGCTGGGTAGCTTGGGAACTTGTAGCTGGCGTTGAGAATGGCGAGCTGACCCTGCTCCTCAAAGGGCGTAGTGTAATAGCAAAGCTTGTACAGCAAAACCCCTAGCGCCCAGATGTCCGATTTTTCATCGATGGGTTGTTTCCTATACACATCGATCATTTCCGGGCTCCTGTATTGCAGCGTGGTATGCTTTTGCACGTCTTCGTCCATGAGCCGACATTCGGTGACAGTTGTCGGCGCAGGTCGCGGCGGCGCGGCAGAGCCAAAATCGCACAGCTTGAATTTCCTCTTCGAGCCCGTCATAGTAATCAAGACATTCTCGACCTTGAGATCGCGGTGCAGTAGCGGTGGCTTCAGGTAGTGCATACAGGCCACACCCTCCGCAACGTCGCTGAAGATGTTCAGGATCTCGGGCTCCGTTAGCCGGTGCTGCAGTCTCGTGTTCATAAAGTCGATCAGCCCTCCGCCGTTGCAGTATTCCATGAGCAAAAACACCTCATAGCCGCCGCCCTTCATCTCGGAGGCGTGCGAGTCGATGTACGTAACAATGGCTTTGTGGCCCTTGAGCCGCTTCATTGTCTCGACCTCGGTGCGCATCCCCCGCAGCGTGTCCTTGTCCGGCACGGCGACGCGCTTGAGGACCGCCTGGTCCGTCCCATTGACCGGCGAGGGCAGTTTGACCAAGTAGACATGAGCAAACCCGCCCTCGGACAGGTATTTTTGTATCACCACTCGGTGGCTTCCAACCTGGATCTTGGTGCCTGGTGAGAAGGTGCCGTGGGGCGCAGTCGCGGTGGCCATCTGCAACGGAGCGCTGTAGGCCCCGTGCTGCGCCGGCGCTGAATGGCCGTACGCAGCCATTGTCGAGTCGGTTGCGTGGCAGCAGGAGCAGACTGGAGTCGAGATGTCTGGGGCAGCTCGGGGAGGGGACAAGTACAGCCGATGTTTCAGTCGCTATCGCTCGAATGCGGTCACTGGAGTGGAGTCGAGAAGCTTCCTAGGAGGTCATCAGGGCGGACATGGAAAGGGGAGGACGGTCGTTGCTGTTGCGCTCATAAAAAAGAAAGAATAATGTACGGCAACCTTTGTGTAGCGAATCTGCAGTGCCTCTGAGCCGGAAAGGCGAGCGTATCGATCTCCGACTGTCGCAGGAGTTGCCAAAGGGCGAGATCTGGTATTGGGATTGGCTTGATGTTTAGTACCTGGCCGTTTCATGCACTGCCTTGCTTCGATGTTCCCACTCATAAGGCGTGCGTAAGGGGACGGTGGTCGTCGTGGTCGGCTAATTCTGGGGAAAGCTGAGCCCGACAGGTGGCAGGACACGGCAACAGGCCGCCAGGCTACCGCCAAAATACACCAACATGAACCTCTTGGCTGCCTTGTTTTTCGACAGCAATCGTGTTCTTCTTTCATACTGTATTTGAAGACTCTGGCAAATTCTCGAATCCTATAAATATCTTATTTTCTTCTGTTAATCATACTCTCCGCTACGTCAAATGTGTGGTCATTTGACTAATTAGCAGTGTATGAGTTGACGAAAGCAGCGAGTTTAGTGCCAAAGGTTGTTCTGGAGCTGACGCAAGACAATTACACGGAACCCCTTCACTCTGCAATTGTTGGCTTCCCTTGAAAACATCAAATTGATTGACCAGTTTCATGAGACCGGCTGTCTATGTACTTTTGGGAAAGCTAGTGTCTATGACCTTTTCTTTATCCAATAACATATCAAAGTACCGCAAATAAACATCTCGACTCTAGAAGAGACCGCGGACAATGCGCATGGGCAGATTGGCCCAAGTCTTAACCGGCATGACCTCCTCCTCGTCGTCCTCAAGCATGCGCACGCCAGTCTTGAGGTCGATCTCCAGGAGGGGCACATACATCCGCCATTCCCTAGAGTACACCTTCCATCCGAGGTAGAGCGCGATGACGACGGGGGCAGCGAGGTACTGCTGGAAGAAGTACTCGGCGTTGGGCTTCGCACTGGGACTCGGCTGTAGGAGTTCGCTGTCAGCACGATGATCGGAATTGGGAGGAAATCAACGAAAGAAATACTTACGTAAAGAGCGCTGTAGAAGGTGGCGATGAGGCACAGAACATTGAGGACCAGGCCGATCCAGCTGCCGATAACACCCAGAGTCGGCTTGTAGGGGATCTTGTTGAGGGTGAAGCCCTGGGCTTTCCAGGCGGAGCGGAAGCGGATGTGGGCAAGGCAGATGGAGCCCCAGACGAAGAAGAAGGACAGGCCAGAGAGCGACAGGAGCCAGGCGAAGATGGTGCCTCCGTCCGTGGCCTCGCCAATGAAGGCGAGGAAGCCAAAGGCGACCTGGATCAGGATGCACCAGATAGGCCGGCCCTTCTTGTCGATGTAGGCGAGGAACTTGGGGCCCATGCCACGCTCAGCGAGAGCCTGCATGGTGCGGGTGGAGCCAAAGGTGCACGAGTTCGCAACGCTGATCACAGCAAGGGTGATGACAGTGTTGAAGATGGACGGCAGGACCTTGATGCCGGCATCCTGGATGGCCAGGACGAAGGGCGAGGCCTTGGTGTTGGCACCGGAGGAACCCAGCAGACGCTCGTCACTCGACTTGATGATGAGGCCGAGAATGAAGAGGTTGACAATGTAGAAGAAGGCAATTCGCCAGAAGACCTGCTTGGTGGCCGTGGGGATGGCCTTGCGAGGGTTGGCAGACTCGGCAGCAGCCAGGCCGACCAGCTCAGTACCGCCAAAGGCGAAAGAAGCGACGACGAAGACGCTAGCGAAGCCGTTGAAGCCGTTGTTGAATGCACCGGGGTCGCTCCAGTACTTGAAGCCGATGTAGCCCTGGTTGCCGACACCGCCGCAGTTGATGACGATGCCGAGAATGATGAAGCCGACGCAAGCCATGATCTTGATCATGCTCAGGATGAACTCGACCTCGCCGTAGCCACGGACGCCAAAGATCTGGATGAAGGACAGGAAGACGAGGAAGATGGCGATCCAGATGCCCACGTTGAGGTCGGAACGCCAGAACTTGATCGTGATGGATGCGGCGGTGAGCTCGAAAGGAAGAATCGTCAGCCAAGAGAGAGCGTAGTCCCAGCCCATGGCGAAACCCCTGAGTTCGGTCAGCGAAATTGTCCGGGCACATCAAGGGGGTATCTCCAAAAACATACCATGAAGGGTCCAAGAAGCGAACGACGTATGTGTAGAAGGCACCGTTGACAGGGAAGAGAACGGCCATCTCCGCCAGGGCCTGGCAGGTGAAGAGAAGCATGACACCGACGATGGCGTAGCAGATCAGGAGCGAAGCAGGGCCGCCGGCGTGCAGAGCACCTCCCGAGCCAACGAAGAGACCGGCACCAATAGCACCTCCTGTTATTCTTTAGCCTTTGCTCTGCCGTAGGGGCGCATCTCACGGTTGACAAACCTATGGCGATCATCTGCATGTGTCGGTTCTTCAGATCACGGGCCAGAGGTCCCGATTTGTTAACAACCCCAGTCTCGACATCGTCAGATATCTCACTGTCGGTGACCACGTCCGCCTTGTCGGGCTGCTTTGAAGCATCCATGTTGGGCAGCTGTCACTCTCAACTAACAACACAATAAAACAAGAAAGGCTGAGGATATGCGCCAAAGAAGAGAGACTGGCCAACACGGGGTCACAACATGGGAAGAGCGGGGAGGCACAGCGTCTTAAATATCTCTCAACTCCTTGATGGTGTCGTGGGTATATCTCTTAAGCGACCATACAGGAAGCCACCCGGTCAAGCCAATGCCTACTGAGACAGTCCAGAACAAAGGCGAAAGGGTGTTGTGCCACCCTTGATAGAGGTCCATTAGCGTGTTGCACGAACGAGTGTGCCCCCGGCAATCGCCCCTGTTCTAGACATGGTGGCAACCGTTGATAGCAGCAAGCTATCTCGGACCTGAGGAGAATCAAGGCCTGTCGAGGCATGCTTTACGTGGGGAAAAAACAGACCATCCAGCCCTCCGGGGACTAGGAATTGCCTACTGATACGCAATGATGCTCATTTTGTCGTATCTGTGGAGGCAGACCTACCGCCTTAGCTGAATTTGCTCCGCGGCTCGAGGTCTTAGCTCGTCAGGGTGGGCGCACCCGGCCTTCTCCTGAGTAAGGTTCTAAACAAGATAAGGCTATTTTAGAGCGCGGGGATACAAAGCTTGGTCGACGGAGCATTTGCCGCGTCGAGAAAGGGCCGTGATGGTTGGTCTTCGAGCCCAAGGCTCGGTCTGGATCGTGAGGTTTGCAACACCATAACCCCGGATCGTGGTCAATCTGGGGTAGCTCACATTACTGCCATTTCCTAGCAGTTGGTGGCCTCTCCTAGCACATCATCTTGCAATTTGGGAATAGCTGAAAGCAAGTAAGGCTTTGGGCAGGACACCATCACCAGCCATTCCTTTAGCTCCGTCCACTACAGCCAGCTCCTTGAGGCTCGTTACTTGAATCGGTGTTGACAATCCTTGGATGTTCTCTGCCTAGCGATAATGTTATGAGGGAATGGCACCACGCCACTAGGAAATCGAGAGTCACTCGATGATAAGATATCTCAACATGATAGATTGATACTATTCTCGGTTGACAGGACGTTGATAAGATCTCTATCACGAATGCAAGATCTCCAATCCTTTGAGAAGACTGTGCGATAGGCAGTGTATTCGGTGTCCCAATTCAGAAGACTGATAGCCGCATAGACCACGATCCCTATATTCAGGAGTTCGGTCAAGAATGGCCTCATCGGCCTGGCCGAACATCTTCATGGGTATCGTCAGGAGCACCTAGAGCGAAAGAGGAAGTGCGTTACGCACTGGGGCGGCTTAGGAGTTCAAACGGTGCTCTGAAGAGCCTCGGTTACTGAGCATAAGGTCATTCTCATTGCTGCTCCCCACTCACACCGAGCCTGTCTTGCCACTATGATAGCTTCATGCCACTATGATAGCTTCATATCTCTCGCGAATGATTAGTGTTTTTTGAGCCTCCGATGGCGTCCACGGGGCCAGTGGATCACTCACACTGCTAAGCTTCTCAGGATATTTTCTAGAAGCACCAGAAGAATGGGCCTGCACATTGAATGCATATCCCTGGCTCAAAACCTGCCACAGCCTGCCACTGCACCATGCACAGAAATGGCATGCGTAGAGTTCCGAACAACACGAAGGGCCGCCGGTATATCTGCAGGCAGTCCCGGATCGGTCAAGACAATTCACCCCACAAGGGGGCACGCGAGGACTCAAGATACGTGGCGTCATGGGAGAGCGTCATACGGGGTTGGTTGTTGTCACGGAAGTAGTTTTTCATAATGTCTTTGCGGGGCCAGGAGCCGTCAGGACGGCGTCACACTACTCTTCGCCACGCTAACCTCGAGCCTCACCGAGCCTCAAGCCACTGTATGTTGACCGTCTCCATAACTGCTCATTTCAGCCGCGACTACCCCTTGGTGCGCACTCTACAAGATAGATAGCACCAGGAACTGGACTCCCGGCGCGCGCGTGCTATCTCGGTTGTGCCGAGCAAAGGCCCGGAGTGCCCCGTCCCACCGGCACATCATGGAATTGCCGTGCATTAGCGCCGGATTAAGCCTCTTAAAACCCTGTCTAGCTTCGGGTTCTAGAACACTGGTCTTGGTCTGGACTTCAAGCGGTCACCCGCGTCTTTGGAACGCAAGGAAGGACACACACGGGGCTCGTGACAGATACCTAGGTGAAGTAATGAGGTAATGCGTGTTCTCGACGACACGCGCTATTATCTGGTATAGCTAAGATAGTATTTCATCTGGTCAACAACGTCGTTGGTCACGCTAACTAACAAGGCCTGACAAATGCAAACTTGTCAGATTCGCATTCACCGCATTCACCTGACTAGATTGGTTGCTGGCTCGAAATCTGCAAAGCCAGCTCCCTCCAGGTGTGGTTGGGCCGGGAGCTGTGCCTCTCCGCGTCTGTAGAGAGCGAGCCAAACGGCATCCGCGTTGACAACCTCGAGAGCCTCGCGGGCCGCGTCGTTCCGGGCCAGTGTATCGGCCAACAAGTCCAAAATCTCGTCAAATATCTCGTCGTCTAGACGGACAAAGGACACTATCGCGGTCAAGAGTTGGACTGCGGCTTCCCAGATCTGAGCCGCCTGGGCGAATCTGCCCAGGCCAGTTGTCGAGCCGGCCGCGAGGGACGAGGCAGGTGACGTGCTGGAGAGCTGGACGCCCAAGTCGCCACTATCCGACCGCGTTGGGATCAGGATATCGCCGGCATTAGATTCCAAAAGCCCCACGGCGGCCCCCGCAAGGCGGCCTCGCTCGGTGGGCGGGTTCCTTCCGCCTGCAACCCCGCGTCCCTTGCCGTGCTGTGCCGCATCGCGTTTAGACTTCTTGCACCACTTCCCCAGACGGTCCCACCACTCCGTCTTGATGCGGCTCGCCAGGAAGTCCCCCGCGGCTTCGCAAAGAGCTGCTAATGCCCCGCAAGCTGCGATCGCGACGTAAGATTCGCTATCGTAAAGCCTCGAGACGAGGACGGGCCACACGCTGTTGATCAAGGGCAGGAAAGCGTTCTCATCGGGCGCCAAGGCTGGGGCAACTGTCTTGAGGAGGTCCAGAAGCGATTTGCGGAGCGTCGGTGTGGGGGAGGTCAGGTAATGTTGAGTAAGCATGACTATACGCGACAGAATCTGGTATGTCGGTGTCTTGGGCACTTCTGCCTTGTCGACTTCCTTGCCGGAAGACTGCTCGCCTTGCTCTTGCTCTGGATTCTCCATCTGGTCGAGCATCGTCTCTGCCTCAGATTTCCATGGCTGTTGAGAATGACCCCGGACGATCTCCTCAACATCCACCTCATCTCGCTGCTTTCGCCTCTTCTCTGTACGGCCAGCGAGCATGTCGACGATGTCTTCTGTCCGTGTGGCCTCCAAGGCTCTCTTCCTATGGCTCACGACTCTGTCCTTGCTTTCAAGCAACAGGACATCAGACTTCGCGCCTTGTTCGACCACTTCTCCAAGCACTGCGAATAGGCTAGAGACAAAGGCGGGATAGCCATGGTAATTGTCCAAGGCCGCAAATATGGCAGCTATGACATCGTCAAGATAAGGAATCAAGCTGGGTCCAGTGAGCCGTATCATCATCGTCAAGACTTTTGTAGAGGCGGGTGAGATATCCAGTGTGTTCAATCTTAGAGAGATGGAATTCACCATGTAGTCGGCGTTGTCGATAATCATTGCCGAGACATTATCGTATCCGCAGGATGCGGCGATGATGTTGAGTGTTGTTATCGCATGCCGACGAAGCTGAGGCGTAGGCGACCCCAACAATGTAGACACCGGATATAGAACGTCTATGAGCTCTGGCCGGAAAGATGCCCCCATACGGGACGATGCAAAGGCAGTGATCTCCAGAGCTACAGCCTCAAGACGCCAGTCCACATCAACAGTATCAGAGTGTGCCGACAGTGTTGATACTGAGAAAGTGTACAGCTCGTTGAAGACGAGTTCTTGATTGTCAGAAGCGTTGGTGAGCATGGATAGATCCAGGAAGGAGTCCACGTCGGAGGTCTTTGAATAAGATGACTTGAGCAGCTGGAATGCTAGCCAGTAAGCAGATATCTGCTCTATGCCCTCTGCATATTGCACGTAGGCCAGCATTTCGCTCGCTAGCATCGCTTGCTGGGCCGGTGTACCAATACTCGCAATGAAAGTAGCTAGCTCTTGGCGGGTGCTCGATTGCACATCTTGAGCCATGATTACTGGCAAGAATTCCGGTTCCTCCGAATGTGACTTGACGAGACTCCTATTGCCGGAAAAGCTGTCATCAAAGTCGACATCTCCAACAACCTTTGACTCCTTGGAATTGCGAACGAGTGTAACCACGCTGTCTCTGAGAGTGGTCGCCAGGCTACCCTCAATCATCGATGAGTCGAGGTGAAGATCTCGAATCAGTTTGTTGCCTTTCATCAGGTTCTGTATCGCTTGTTTCTTGACATCTTCGTCGCTGGACTGAAGAGACCGCGGTAAACTTGTGATCCAGTCGTATACGGTTGTCTTGACCACCTCGCCTAATTCTGGGTAGATTGTTGCGAGATCTTCCAGATTTGTTATACGTGCAAGTTCCTCGAGATTTGCCTTTGGGTCAATCGAAGCCAGGCCATGGGTCGACTTGCTTGTGTCTATGAAGGTCTCGCCGCCAGCGATGATGGCGCTTTCCACGAGGATCGATGTGCAATTTGCTAGTGAAGAGTGACATTCATCAAGAAGTGTCACTGTGAATACCTCAACAGCACGTCGAACCTCGAAAGAGCCGTGTTTTCGAAGCTTGAGAACTGTGGACAGGGCCAACTTCACCTGCGCGGCGGTCGCTTCCAGCCAGGCTGGTGTCAACATCTTCTCGGGCTTTGTGTCTTTGACATTGTCCTTTGCCTTTTTCTGTATATCTCTGGTGGCCATATCGCCCATAACATTGACCAAGATAGTTTTGAGCACTTGCAAAGTGCGGATGAGCACTCTTCTCTGGGTCTTGAGCGACTCTGGCGGTGAAAGCACTGTAGCCAGTGAAGACACCGTGCCCGGAAAAAAGGATGCGAGCGCTTCGAGGTCTTTGACGCTGGTAAATAATGCCTGGATTGTATCCAAAGCTTCTAGTCGGATATCTGTAGTCTCTCCATCATTGATACCGTCGAGAATGACAGTTATGGTATGGCCCATTGCAGGTACTAGATTGATATCGGTTAAGGGGGATGAGGTAGGCGACACTGAGCCAGCAGCCCTCATCAACGCAGTGAGGGCTCGAAATCCCTCCAGAGCTGTTTCTTCAGGAGAATCCCGGCTTCTTGGTTGGCCAGGAACTCCTCCAACGAGGAAGGTCAGTAGGATGAGAAGTTGCTGGGACAGCTCCTTGGATATCGATGATTTCCACCCATACTGGATGAGTACACGCACAACCTTGACCGCATTCTCGACAAGGCGGGCCGGGCATTGCTCTTTCTTGCGAAAAATGAAGGAAAGCGGGAAAAAGACGTATTCTGCGAGCTTGCTGTCGAGCACTGACGCATCATAAGCTGTCTGTGTGGTCAGGATGCCATACAGCTGGTCTGTGAGTCGAATGAGCTCTTGCTTGGTGGCCGAACTTATGGTCTCTTGACGCATAACTGCCTTGCTAATCTCAACACAGACCGGCTTGAGCTGTGAATAAAAAGGCGTTAGTAGTTGAAGCTCAGATGGGACAGATAGACTCCGACAGCTGGTGAGCATCGACACACAGGCTCCTCGTACCTTTGCGAAAAACTCGTTGCGGCGTGTGACCGAGTTGCGATATGCTGAGGAAGGCTCCATTTTGGTCTTTGAAAGAGTGACCTAACATATTTGGAGACTATCAGACATGCGATGGTGAGGCCTGTATTCAGGTTTTGGGAATGAGGTGGATAGACATGGAGAAGTGAGCCAATCTCGAATTCCAGATGACACTAGGTACCTATCTGTTGAAGCTGGTAGGCGGGATGCACTAATTGCGGGTGCTGCCACAGTTGAGTGGTTTCCTGAGTGACCCACCTGGAGGCCAGCTCTCCCGGCTATGCTGGCATCCGCTGAGAGCCCTGGAGGATTAACCTGACACCTCACCTCCAGGTATGGATGTTACGCTTTGGAGTCAAGAACCCTGATGATCTCCTCCACTTGAAGCTTCTTCCTTAATGCTAATATAGAAAACTGTTCATCTGGAACACTATTCTCTTTTCCAGACTTTGCCAACTAAAGCTCAAGAATACCGCCTCCAGATCACCAATTCGAGAGCCAAGCTGGACAGTTGGTCTTCTCAGTCAGGATGGCGCCATATCCAGTACTCGTACACCCTTTCTCCTCTCCCACCCAAAACGCATGCGCGTACGAACTGGGGGATACATCATCTCGCAATGCCTTGATATTTATCGGCGGTCTCGGGGACGGCCCGCACACGGTACCGTATGTTCGGACCGTGGCCGAGAAGCTCGGAGCCACTGATGGACTAAGCTATTCCGTCTTCGAGTTCCGACTCTCGAGCTCCTTCACAGCCTTTGGTTACCACCGCCTGAAAGACGATGTGGCCGACATTTCCGCTCTTGTGAAATACTTGAGGGGCCTTGGCAAGCAAAAGATTGTCTTGATGGGGCATTCTACTGGTTGCCAGGTGAAGCGCAATCCTCCTAGTTCCCCGTCACACGGAACTGATGATGTGATAGGACTGCATGGAATATACGGATAATGCCAAATACAACAACGAGCGTGTGGAAGGCTTCATTCTTCAGGGCCCCGTTGCCGACCAGGAGGCGATAGCTGGCATCATGAGCGAGAACGCGTTGCACGAGAGCCTGTCTGTTGCTTCCGAAATGATCAAAGCTGGTCGTGAAGATGATATCATGCCACGCGATAAGCTGCCAAATGATTTCAACTCTCCAATGACTGCGTATCGGTGGTATTCTCTGGCTGCTCCGGGGTGAGTTTCATACATCCTCATATCACTTTTATGCCTACCGTCTTTCATGATCTAATGCTCTCGTCAGTGGTGATGATGACTACTTCTCGGCAGATCTTGACGATGCAAAGCTCGCTTCTTTCTGGGGCCGTTTCCAGAGCCCAGTGCTCATTGTCCCTTCTGCAGAGGACGAGCATGTCCCAAAGAGCAGGGACATGACTCAGGCTATCCACCACTGGAGCAGTCTATGTGCTCCCGGCATAGCCAGCGACTTGTCAGCACTCATACCTGGCGCCAGCCATAACGTGAAGCAACCCGAGCCCCAGATTTGGCTCGCGGACCGCGTTGCTCGGTTTTTGCAGAGCCTCGAGACGAGCTGATAATCCCGTCCCGTGTGGTCATAGCTTTGTGGGATGGCAGATTGGGTGGAATGTGGCAGGTCATATCGCTGAGTCGCCGATGCCCGGGCCCGAGTCAGCTGCCTGCCAGGTGCAGGAAAGCAAAAGTCCGGCTTGGACAGCCCCGGGCTCTAGCTCTGATCGGCGACTTGCCAACCAGGAACCCGATCCCACTGGGAGCGTCGGCGATGTACCACATCACAATTAGTAACGATTCAAGCTCTCAGCACCTGTGTCATGTAGCCCCTCCTGCTTCATATTTAAACGCAAGTCGTCCACAGTTGGCCCGCATCAGGAGATCACCAAACGACACTTCAGTTCTGAGCATCCGCGAATAACACCATACAATCCCTACCAAAAGAAGCATTTTGAAACATCACCAACCCTTACAATCGACTGTCAATAAACAGAGCCAAGATGTGCATGTCAGCGACCTGTTCGACTTGCTGTAAGTTGAATGTTACCCTTGACCAGAAGGAAATTGGATGGCTGATAGTGAATGCAAATAGCGAAGAAGACGTGGCGCGGCTGCGGCAACCACATCCCACAGGCACTCTCTGGTGTGAGTGAGGATCAGTGGTGCACTTGCGAACCCAAGGTCAACGTCAATGGCAAGGAGTACCCTCCCGCGGCCAAGATGTCTGTTCCCGGCGCTGCCTGGCTCGGTAGCATGTTCGGCGGAAAGAAGGGCGAGGGAAAGACGGACCTCTAAGTGCCCGGCGCCGTTTATTGTACAAATCTGCTTATTGACAAGTGACGTTGTTTGTGTGGTGTGCGGGGTTTGTTTAACTCAACAAATGAGACGATTGACCCGAGTTGGGAGATTACGGTGGAAGTGTATGAGAACTCCTCCGATGATCGCCGTGATGAAGATAGCGAGTTTGTGATATTCACTGTAGATGAATCGAATGGGATACTTGACGATGATGCTTGACCTCGAGGGTGACATGTACCTTAACCGAATCGGGACAATATTTGGAGAGACCCATTGATTCTCCCACTGAATTGCTAAAGGGCCAAACCAGAGTGGCTCTACTGAAGGTTGGCAGCACCATGTTTCTCCACATCAAGACCGCAAACGTGCTGCAGTAACACGCCTTATCTACAGCCCCTCTGTTGCAGCTATGTATAAGAACCATTGACTGATCAATTCGACTTGCTTCCCATACTTTGTTCTTTGCATTCTACTTGGGCTGAACCCTCCATCTGAGCACCCGGGTTACCAAGCTGTATCTTTCACGGGTCGCGGACGTCACAATGCTATTATTCACGCCGTGGTTTTGGCTCAGTGCTGGTGGCTTCCTTGCGGTGGCTTATATCGTCAAATGTCTAAGCTCGCCTCTGAGAAAACTGCCAGGCCCAGCCTACTCAATCTTCACATCAGTCGTCTTGAAATGGCATGAGTTCCATACCAACAGGACAAGATACATCCATCGACTGCACCAGAAGTATGGACCCGTAGTGCGGATCGGGCCCAACGAGGCGGCCTTTGCGTCGCAGACTGCAGTCAAGGAGATCTATTGCTCGGGTGGAAGCGGGTATGACAAGACTGAGTTCTACGACCTATTCAAGGTCTATGGTCGAAGGTAGGGCGCGCTTTTTCTCGTATTGCCATGTCCCGCATGCTAAGTAGACCAGGACTATGTTCACGACGTTGAATAAAGAAGATGTAAGAATGAACCCCCGCTGTCATTGGGCGATATGTCTAGAATCCTGCGGCTGACTGTTGGCTCGTACAGCATGCAAGGAGGAGACGCATCCTTGCAGATCGTTATGCAAACAGCAATGTAATGCGCCAGCCATCACTCAACGGTATCGTACACCGATCCAAAAATGTCCTGAAGAGGTGCACCGAGTCTGTCGGTGGGAGTCTTGATCTCTATGTAAGCTCGGGATCCAGTACCATATTTTTGGGATGTAGTGACGGACAGGGCTAATTCATAAGTTCAGATCGGTCGGTTCATTCGATCATCCCGTATGACAGCATGTCTCACTAACCTCCGTCTAAGCTCTCCACGCATATGCGTTTGACTGTGTCACCCATCATCTGTTCCACCCCTACGGTGTCGATTCTCTACAGAGCGAGAAGGATGAGGAGATCATGCGCGAGGTGGCGTTCGACGACAGCCTGCAGAGTATGTACCCGCCATGATTTCTTCTGGCCCCTGTCTGTGTGCTGACCTGGTCAAAGACCGTCTCGTCGAGTTCTACAATCCCCTGCTACACAAAGTCATTGGCAAAGTGCTGTACCTTTTTGCCAAGCCTCGTGAGACGCCTCTGGCTGACGACTTCGTCCTAAGTGCAAGCGGTGGAGAATCGCCAGCTGTCTTCACGCTACTGAGCCGCATGCGCGAGAAGCAGCACGACATGGAGCAACTAGACATTGCGGCCGAGAGCCTGGACCACATGGCCGCTGGGATCGACACGACCGGCGACGCGCTGTGCTTCCTCATGTGGGAGCTGTCGCAGCCTTCGTCTCTGCACCTGCAGCGGCGGTTGCAGCAAGAACTGACACAAGATCCAGACACGCAATTTGACAAATTGCCCTTCCTCGAGGCGGTTGTGCAGGAAGGGCTGCGATGCTTTCCGGCCATCCCAATGTCTCTGCCTCGCTACGTCCCTCGAGGCGGCAGGACGATCGATGGCTATTTCGTGCCGGAGAAAACTGTCGTCAGCTGCCAGGCGTACTCCGTGCACCGGATCGACGAGAGAGTATTCCCCGAGCCCGACAAGTTCGACCCGGACCGCTGGTTGGAAGAGGAAGGGGACGCAGAGAGGAAAAGGTTGTCTTTTGCATTTGCCAATGGTGGCAGAGGATGCATCGGGAAACAGTAAGCAGACCACCAAATTATGTTCATGGGGGCTCAATCGTATATGTGCTGACACAAGCTGTCCATTGCTTTTCAGTCTCGCCATGGCAGAGATGAAAATATTACTGCAGGATATCTATTCCCGGTTTACAACCTATCCCGACGAATCGATGACGGCGGAGTCGATGGAAATGTCAGACCAGCTGATATCATCCAGGCCCTTGGGCCAACGATGCTTATTGAGGTTTGTGCCACTGGGCGTAGATGTGGGCGCTGATATGGGCGCGGACAAGGCATGAATGGCTCGAGGCCTTTGGGTCACTCGCAGGCTCTCCCACAACAGCCAGGACGGGAAAATGAACAAATTCGTACCAAATACCTAAGACATGATGTTCAGCCAGCCGTTGCACGCCCTAGACACGTCAAACGGGCATGTCCACGTGGCAGCAGAATTCTTGAACAAAGGGTTGTCTCTCGAGGGCTGCGTGCATGCAGAATTCAAAGGCTTAGGCGGTGACGTCCAGGTTGGGTACATGTAGCCTGCAGCACAGGAAGTCTTGTGCCTTCTCAGCAATGCGAGCGAGTTTCTCGATGTGATCCGTGGCTACCAAACATTGCTCGATCCCCCTCCGCCTCCAGCTCATACTCCACTGAAGAGTCACGTGGAGACTTGACCCAGCTCTGGCCAAGCCCCGCCAGGCTCTGGGCACGCTCTTAACTCCGACCCTTTCTTTGTTCGCCCCGTCAAATGTCCGGTTCCGTTCCCCTCAGCCAGTCACCCAGCACTTGCACTGCCCTGCCTTGCCTAGGTAGTTACTCCGTAGAAGTTAGAACACCAGACCACCAAGCACCAAGCACCAACCGCCACCGCCCGGCGCTCGCTGACTACTCCCCAGGCTCATTACTCCAACCGCCTTTTCCACCAAACTAAAACCCAAAATTCTTTCTTCCCACGGCTCCATCCAATCTCCAACACACAAACAACCCAAAAAAAATACTAGATCGTCACTGACATCTATTCCACCTGTCGGAGTTCGATCCTGCTTTACCCAAAGCGTCCCGCTCTGCATACCTCTTCGACTGAACAGCCACGTCTGCCGAGTGTTATTTGACTCTCTGGCCTCCACGTCAAACTTTGTCTCGCACGTCGACCCCTCCACAAAGCGCGCCCCTCCAGGCATTCATATTCCCTTAAAAGGCCTCGCAAGCTCACTCGAACCCCGTCGCCTATCGCCATCGCATCGTAGCACTTCTCCATCTTCTGACAACTCGTGTCTCTCTTGGAATTCTTCGGAACACACCAAAACACTCCCATATCTCGAGATACTGAGCAACACGTTGTTTATGTATCAGCACGATCAAATCGCCGTCTTCAGACACCTTCCCCCCATCGAGCTGCATCCCTTTCGCATACCGCGAAAACCTTGTAGCCCCAACCCTAGATCGGACGGCTGAGATTCTTGGAGCATTTCGTCTCTCGCGTTAATGCATACTCTCCAGAACCGTACACAGGTCAACCCTATGTCCACGCAAAGTCCGCCGCTGCAACACTGATGCCCCTTGGCTCCCATCGGCCCTGCTTCTCGCACCCATCCCTCGTCAGTCCTCAGAGTCCATGATATTCTTGGACTTCTCGTCATCTACCTCACTTCGACACTCGAGTCCTTCTTCGCACCCCGTGTCCTAAAGCCGCAAACAGAACAAAACTGCCCCCTGCTTCATTCTTCGTATCCAGCCTACCCAGCACATACCGCAATCATGGCTCAGGTCAACGTTCGCCGCGATGTCTCCGACCCCTTCTATCGGTACAAGATGGAGAGGCTCCAGACCAAGATCGAAGGCAAGGGTAACGGTATCAAGACCGTTGTTGTCAACCTGAGCAGCGTTGCCCAGTCCCTTGCCCGCCCTGGTGCCTACCTCATCAAGTATTTCGGCTTCGAGCTTGGTGCCCAGACCAACATTGATCCTGCCGACGACCGCTGGATCATCAACGGTGCACACGACTCGGCCAAGCTTCAGGACTATCTTGATGGCTTCATCAACAAGTTCGTTCTCTGCAAGAAGTGCAAGAACCCTGAGACCGATGTCCAGATCAAGGACGGTCGCATCCTGCTCGACTGCAAGGCTTGCGGTCAGCGCACTGATGTCGATCTTCGTCTGAAGCTGAGCGGTTTCATCCTCAAGAACGTCCCCAAGAAGGGCAAAAAGGACAAGGCTGAGCGCAAGGCCGCTCGCAAGGCTAAGCAGAATGGCAATGCCGGCAAAGAAAACGGCAACAGCGGCGACGAGCAATCCTCAAACGGCTCCGGCAAGGAGAACGGCAGCAAGGAGGCCGACGCCGCTAGTGACGATGACGCTGTCATTCGCAAGACCAAGGCCGAGCAGCAGTTTGCCAATGACGGTGACGACAACGAGGACGTCGAGTGGGCCGTCGACATGAGCGCCGAGGCGGTTAAGGCCCGTCAGCAGTCTCTGCCTGGCGAGTTCAAGCAGAAGCTTGCCATCAACGGCGATGAGGACGACGAGGAAGGCGAAGGCGGTGGAAACACCGTTTACGACCAACTTGGCGAATGGATTACGGAGCAAGCTGAGGAGAAGGGCAGCATTGACAAGGTGGACGACATCAGCATCTACGTCAAGGCAAAGGAGCTCGGCATCGAGAGCAAGCACCGCACCGTTCTTGTGCTGGTCCAGACCCTGTTCAACGAGAACATTGTTGCGCAGATTCCCAAGCGCCAGGCCATGTTGAGCCAGGTGAGTACATCTTGCACTTTGAAGAGCCTGTGGAACGCCAGTTTGCTAACATAGATGTGTAGATTGTTACTTCTGAGCGTCACGAAAAGGCTCTGCTGGGCGGTACCGAGCGTCTCATCGGCAGCCTCGGCAAGGACCATCCCGAGATGTTCGACAAGGTGGTCAAGGTCCTCCAACTTTACTACCTGCACGATCTGATCTCTGAGGACGTCGTGACCAAGTGGGGCACCCGGGCCAGCAAGAAGTACGTCGATCTGGCAACCTCGAAGAAGGTCCGCAAGGCTGCCGAGCCCTTCCTCACTTTCCTCGCGGAGGCCGACTCCGAGGACGAGGATGACGAGTAGATGCTAGCTATCAAATATGCATTAGCCTTCGCATTCGTTGTTCTCTACCCTTAATGGGCCGTCAATAGGTCAGAGTCTGGCCAGCCACTCCTTTTTTCTACACCGTCGCGTCGTTTTCACTTTCAGTGCTTTCGGGTGTTTTGGTACTTGACCGATATGTGTACTCTTGTCTCAACAGTGGCTTGTTTCCTTCAATACCTGTACTGGGCAACCATGTCTTAGGCCTAAACAAAAATTCTTATCCCTTTGCAAGCAAGTCGGCTGATAGGCAGATTACTTGAATTGATTCGCCGCTCTATCTAGACTACTCGATCGCACACAGAACCATTCGTAGTGACGTTCCCAACGTGCAACCATCCTCGCCCCCGTGCTATGATGCAAGAGGTCCATCCGACCCTCCAAAAAGTGCTCTCTACGGAGCTGCCCTAAAGCGAATATGGACATCCTGGGTCGATGAAGCAGGGAAGGCTGGGTAAGCCACTGGCCTGATGCCGTCCAGGCATGGTCTTTGTCCAGGAGCAGCCATGGGCCCATGGAGCCTGCTGTCCACACGTATCCCTCTAGAGAGATATTGGCATCACTGATCTTTGCTCCATAGACTGCCTGCCGCAACTCGCCAGCCACGGCGCACCGAATCCCCCCGGGACTCTTGTCTGGCCCTGGCATGTCATAACCCTTTTCTTACCACTGGGTATCTCCCTTGTCGCTTGGCGAGGGCGCGGGCTGCGCAGCCGAGAGGTCCGTCCAGTCCGGATACGCACTCGTCGCTTCGCGCGCCCAGTCCGGGTTGACTGTGACCTTTCCTTCTCCCGTGACGTTGCCGCCGTCGAAGCCGCCGCCGCTCTGGTCGCCGCCGCCGCCGCCGCCGCTTCGGCCGGCCGGGGCTGGCGAGAACGCGCCTGGCATGCCGGTCGGGGATACTGGAAAACGCACAAAAAAGAGGATTGTTTAGTAAACACGCGAGAGCCGGTGCAGCCGAGTAGCGGCACGAACGAACGAGGGCAAGGAAAGGAGAGGAAAGGGAAAGGAAAGGACAGGGGAAGACGTACCAGGATTGTTGCGGTGGCTGTGGCTACCATGGCTGTTGTTGCCGTCCCAGCCGCCTCCGCCGCCGCCCCATTGATCGGCTGATTTGTTGGACTTGTTGGACTTGTTGCTATTGTTGTTCTTGCCAGAGCCTCCTCCTCCTCCCCACTGGTTGGCGTCGTCGTTGTTGTTGTCGGCAGCTGGCCAACCGCCTCCTCCTCCGTCCCAGCTGTTGTTGTCGTTGTTGGATCCTCCCCCCCATTGATCGTTCTGCTTGCTGCCGGCCTTGCTGCCGGAGGGCTTGTCGAACTCGTTGCGGCCCCCCCAGCCCTGGGCGTCGTCGTCCTTGGCCGTGTCGAAGACCTTGGTCGCGCTGTTGTTGCTGCCTTCTGCCCACGACCTCGGGTCGTCGGGAGGGGGGAATCCGGCCCAGGAGGGTTGCTGCTCGCCAGTGCGGTGCTTCGGGGCCTTGGACTTGTTGGAGTGGTGGTGGTGGTGGCCCGACTGCTTGCCGTTGTTCTTGTTGTTGTGGTTGTTGTTGGGGGACGACTTGGCCTCGTTCCGGCCGGAGCCGGCGGGGCCCACGTTGGTGTCCCAGCCCTTGTCCCGGGTGGACGCGGGCTTGGTCGCGGACATGATGGCCGGGGTCGGCGGGGGCTGCAGGTCCGGCATCGGCGGCATCGGCGGCATCGGCGGCGCGGGGTACGGCGGCTGGCCTGGCGGGTAGGCTCCCCACGGCGGAGGCGGAGGATAGGGGTAGCCTGGCCACATGGGCCCCATGGGCATCCCGGGCGGCATCATCGGCGCCGTCGCAGCAGGAGCAGCAGCAGCAGCAGCAGCAGCAGCAGCAGCAGCAGCAGCAGGAGCGGGCTCCGGTGGTGGAGCGACCGGCGGATCCGCTTGCTGCGCAGCATCTTGCGCCGGCGCGGCGGGGGCGTGGTGGTGGTGCTCAGGGCCGGCCACGAAGCCGTGGAAATAGGCGTTGTGGAGCGGGTGCGGCGTTCCCGCGGGCAGGGGCTTGCCGCTGAACGCTCGGCGCGGGTACAGGCTGCCGTAGGGGTTGCCGTAGGCCGGGCCGTGGTACATGCGCACGACGCCGTGCTCGTTGTCGAGGAAGGCGTTGGGCCGCGGGTCGTCGGGCGTCTCGACGGCGTGCTCGACGTGCATGACCTGCGGGCGCGAGGGCATGAGGAGGTGGGGGGCGCGAAGGTCGGTCTTCGGTCCCGGGGCTGGGACGTCTGCCGAGGAAGCTTTCTTGGACTTCTTGGAAGAAGAGGATGAGATGGTGGAAGAAGCGGAGGAGATGCTCTTGGACTCCTTTGGGGGCGATTTTGCCGACTTGTCCCCTTTCTTCTTCTTGGCCGATTCTTCAGCGGCCTTTTTCTTCTTGGCAGCCTCCTCCTGCTTCTTCTTCTCTTTCTCCTGCTTCTCTCGCGCCAGCTTCTTCCTCTGTTTCTTGCTCAAGGGGGGCGTCGGCTCGGACGCAGAAGACTCAACGTCTGTCTCGGTCTGTGTGCCGTCTGATGTCTCCTCAGGCTCTCTCTCAGTCTCAGGCTTGCCCTTCTTGTTCTTCTTTTGATTCGCTTTGGCCTTTGCCTTGGGCTTCTCTTTCTCTTCCGACTCGTCATCGGTAGTAGATGTATCGCTGTCAGTGGTCTCACTCGAATCCGTCTCCGCAATCAGCACAACCTTAGCCTTCTTCGCCTTGCGCCGAGCGGCGATGCACTCCTCGCAAGCGCATGTTGGATGAGGCTTCTTGCTCCCCGCTTGCTTGGGACACTTCTTCTTCTTCTTCTCGCTCTTCTCATGCCGTTTACCCTTCTGCTTTTGCTTCTTCTTAATCATCATCACAGGGACATACTCGCTCGTGTCCGATGCGTCATCCTCGTCCTCGCTCTCCAGGTCGCTCTCGATGAGGGTCAAAGCCCGCGTCGGCTTCTTGAGGGCGGACTTGAGCGGTGGCGGCGTGCCGATGAAGCGCACCTTCTTGACCACTTCCGGTGCCGACTCGGCCTCCGACTCCTCCGCCTTCTCCTCGCTCGCGCTGGCGGGCTCCTCGGGTTTCGGAGCAGGTGCGTCCTTCTTGCCGGTGCGCGGGTACGTCAGGGCGACCGTATCAGTCTCGCCCTCGTCGTCGGTCGTAATCTCCATGTGCACGACTTTGCGTTTCGGAGTCGCTGCCGGCTCCGCCGCCGGCGCTGGCTCAGACTTCTCCTTGGCCGGGCGGGGGACATTCTGTCCGATGATCCACTCGATGAGTGAGTGGGGAGGCATGATGGTTCGTTTGCGACGAGAAGCGGCAGAGGCCTGTGGCTGCGATGAGATGCGTGTCAAAGGACAACGCCTCGGATACCTGCCGCATCAGCAAATGATGCCAAACGCAGGAACCGGACGGGACGAGAAGAGAGTTTTGTAGAATCCGTATGCTGGATAAAAATGGATGCAACGAATGCAACTCGAGTGATCAAAGATGAAGGAGATAGAGGGTAGGTGCAACTCAAGTTACTAGTCAAGAGTTGCGACGCGTTAAAGGTCGATTGTAGACACGCAGTCACGAGGGGGAAGAGACAGCACCGCCAATTTTCTAGACGAGATGAATAGTTTGCCCGACAATTTGCCGTCCTTGTTGCAAGCCAGCAATCCAGTGCCCTTGCTATTGAATATAACTGTGTCAAGCAAGTAGTGTTGTCAAGCCTTCCTTGCCAACAGGCAGTCCAGCAGTAGCGAGTTGGCACCCTCGCTTGAGGCATATAGGTAACTTGGAATTCACCGCCCACTGAAGATAAATCATGTAGGTATCAAACTGCCCCCCGCCCAAGATCGTACAGCACCACCTCCCCGATATGAATGTGCCGCTCGCCGACGCCCACAGGACCAGAAAACCACATTCACAGCTTGGCCTTGGCCTCGTCCTCCTGCCTCTTCCACCGCTTGTTGACCCCCAGGTTCTGCCAGTACGTCCACGCCCCGACCGCGAGCCCGAGCGGCGGGCACAGCAGCATCGCCCAGCTCCACCACGACGGGCTGCGCGCCCGCACCTGCTCCATGACCCTGGCCAGCTCGACCGCCAGCTCCTCGCGGCTCGCGTCGTTCCACACGACGTACCCCTTGCCCGCGCCGCGGGCCTCGCACCGCCGCGCCTTGTCCCGCACGTCGCCCTGGCTGCGCACCCTGTTCTCCGCGTCCCCGGCGCTGAGGTGCGGGTCGCGCTCGCGCAGCCGCCGCATCTGCACCGCCGGGTCGCGCACGGCGACCACGACGACGGCGCCGCAGATGGTGTCGATGGCGCTCTCGAACAGCAGGGGCACGTCGAGCACGACGGCCCAGTGGCCCCGCAGGTAGCAGAGCGCCAGCTGGCGGTACATCTCGCGCCGCACGGCCGGGTGCACGATGCCGTTGAGCACGGCGCGGTTCTTGCGCGCCTCCTCGGCGTCGCCAAAGACGCGCCGGCCCAGCGCCGGGCGGTCCAAGGGCCGGCCCTTGCCGTCGGTCCCGCGCTCGGGCATCTGGGCGTCACCGCCGGCGGGGACGAGGATGCCTTCGCCAAAGTGCTTCACGATGGCATTGTAGCCTGAGGTGCCGGGTTCGACGACCTTACGGGCCAGCAGATCGGCGTCGATGATGGGTAGCGAATAGGGAGGCGCGGACAGCAGGCTCGAAACGGTCGACTTTCCCGTCGCGATGGACCCTGTCAGCCCTATAAGGAGCATGGTAAGTGCTGCGATATGATATGATGTGAGAAGCCGAGGTTATTAGTGGGTTGTTTGGTTTTGGAGACACAGCAGCATGAAGTGATTCTGGGCGCAGAACTGAGTTGACTTTCTTTGCTGGCCTGATAAGCTGAGACAACCTCCTTTAGTAAAGAAACAGAATGACAAAGGAAGATCGATCCAAGATCATGCCATTCAGCATGGGGTGTCGTTGATGATATGCGGGGAGGAGGCAGTGACACCATCGATAAGATAAGGTGCCCGTTTCTTGGCAGGGACTGGGGGAGTTCCCGTGCCGTCTACCGAGGTCTACACATCCTTGTCTTTACATCCCTGCACAGCTACGAAGATGACTTGCATGAAACAGACAGGGCTCAGTTGATGCTCCCTTATTTCCCGGCCAGGTACGACGTCGACTGAGATTGTATCGAATTGATATGATGCCTAAGACCAAGCACCTTTGGTTGTGCTTGAATCACTACACTATTCACTAAGCACCAATTACACGGAATTGTAGTCGCAAGTCAGACCTATCATTCCTGCAAATATCCATGCCTCGCATAGCAAAAGCTCCCAGTGACCGTCGAGACTCAATACCCCAAAGCATGGCCGTATCGCAAAGGCTCCAAATTTGGGGGTGGACGGGGAAAATCAGCCACGTATTAGACTGTTCGAGCTATATGCTGATTAGCAGGTCGAAAACGGCATGTGACACTGAGCCCATCTACCATACCTCTGTGTCCGATTTGTCTCTTGGCTCTCCTTGCTGACAGCCACTCGCTGCTTAATTTGGCAGACGAACAGCATAGAACGCTCCATTCTCGGTGAGATACCAGCGGCAGTCGCCTAGGTTGTCGATGGTGAGACGGCTTCGCTGGGTCCAGTTCCCGTCCAGCTCCCGGCACCAATACCACCGATGTGGATCATCGTCGGCAGGTTTGAAATCCTGCGGCTGGTTGAGGCCGTGGGACTCTGCAAACGCCTGCTGGTGGAGAGCGGTCTCGGCCGGCGTTCGGCCAACGCCGAGGGCTGGCTCGGGGTGAATGCCAAAGTTTCCCGGAAAGCCGGCCTGAGGCGGGCCGCCCATTCCCAGAGCAGGCAGCTGGGCGGCCATTGGCGGACCGGCTGCCATTGGCGGACCGGCTGCCATTGGCGGACCAGGGGCCGGTTGCTGGCCTCCTAGATAGAATTGCTGCGGCATCATGCCCGTCTGAGGGCCGACCAGAATAGGGGCTGTTGCGCCGGCGATAGTCGCACCCTGGACGGGAAACGCGATTCCTTGGGCAGGCTTCAAGGCATTGTTAGTTCAGACATCAAATTCGAAAACAGAGGGAAAGAAAAATAGGAGAGATGTCGTTCTTGAAGGACGAGCAAGGACGAGGAATACTTCATCCATTCCACACTTGTAAAATGGCGAGTCGTCCACCACTATCAAGCAAGCAATCATCAGGGGCGCAGACACAACTGTGTTGCTACTTGCATAGTAGAGACTCTGCGTCCAGACTGAAATCGGATACGTCATTGCTTGTAAAGGTGAAGGGAGGAAGAAAGAAGGAGCAGATAGGGGTGCGGATGCTTGAAGAGACGAGGCACTGACTCCTGGAAATGCGGGATACATGAATCCTGGCGGGTCGCTCCGGGGGTGGTAAGTGTGCACATATGGCCCGTTGCTGGTGTCAGGGACGGGCGGTTGAAAGTTCACGCCCTGCACATGCGGTCCTGGGTGGCCCTCCATTCCGCCAGGAGAGCTTGCGAGAGGTCCGGGAGGGCCCGACGGAGGGCCGAGGAAATTTTGAGGCGGGAACTGATACGGAAATGGTTGCCCAACACCAAACGGAGCAGCAAACATCTGAGGGAGCAGCTGTGGCCCCGCAGGCTGGTCGAAGAGATGATGGCGTCCAGCAGTAGGATTCGGGGGGGCTCCCACAGGAGGGGCAGCAGCTTGATCGGAATTCGCAGGTGTACCAGAACGGATAGGGACCGGCTCAGCAACGCCAGATGCAGAAGGATTGCCCGGGTTCGATGCAGCGTTTGAAGGACCAGCACCGCCGGCTTGTGCCTCTATCGATATGTTGTTTGGCAGCGGATGGGGCCTGTGCTCTTCAGGTGGCTGAGCTGCAGAAGAAATGGAATCTCTGCGGGGACGGCTGGAAGAAGGTCGTCTGGGCTCAATATCTTCTTCATCCGCGACGAACGCGACGTGGCGGGGTCTTGATCGCGCTCGAGGAGGAAAGGTTGGAGACGACATATCGAGGCTTCCCAACCGGTGAGATGAAGCGACGGGCGTTGTTTGAGATCTGTCAAGGGTGCTGATTGATGATGTGATGAGGAAGCCACACTGACTTGCTCTTGCCGCCCAGATGAGAAGGAAAGAGGGTTGTGATGCTTGGGAAGATGACCGGAGCGGGAAGGCAGGGAATTGTTGACAGACTTTAAGGAAAATTGGCTTGCCCCTCTGCAGGTGATGGCAGTTTGTTGCGTTGAGTAATACGTGAAGGAATTCTGAGGGCCAGGTGATTTGTCTGATTTCAGGGGGAGAAAACCAAACAAGTGCTAGCTAGAGGGGGAAACGCCCTGCTGCCAAATAATGGAAAGAAGAGTCAGAAAGAAGAAATCAACTTACGACTTGAAGAAGAATCCATCTTGTTCCGTTCCAGACGTATTGGTACGCCAGGGTTGCCGGCTGCTCAGGCTCGTCCTCGAGCCAGACATCCGAGAACGGAAAGCAGGGGAGGCACATCGTACAGGAGATTAGCAGAATGAAGCTGTGGGTAAATAGACTTGAAGTGCCCAGGAGTTTCAAAAGACTGAAGGCGCCAATATCTCGGAAGAAAGGTTTCTCTTGAAATGATTGTGGAGGCAGCACCCATAGGTGGGAGGAAGATGTGAGGTTGGCTAAGTGAGGGAAGGTCCTCTATCACGAGTTCAGATACATCTTATTGCAAAGTGAGAAACAAGAAACGTCAATCACTGCACACAACGCTACCAACGATATAGACTAGGTACTTTTGCCGAATTCAGACGCTGTGGCATAGCATCTTACAGTATTGTGAGAAAGCTAACCTGATTGCTCCCCCAATTCTCCCTGACGATCATGCTCATCTTTCCTCTCACAAGGGTCGCCACCAGTGGTATTGCATCTCGTCCAGCTGCGACCAGTCAAAGCTGCATTCGAAGAAGTCACCGTGGCCACCTCGTTCATCGCCCAGATCGAAAGGCTCGCTTGCAACGATGGGTTGCAGGCCGGCCTCTGCTGGCGCCTCCGCCCTCGTCGCCTTGGACACGCCATCAGTCGCATTGCCCGCATGGGCTTGGAACTCGCTCAGCCTTGCGCTCGTCTTTTTCATGCAAGAGATTGCTGCTTTGACGTTTGTCACGGTTTGCTGCCAACGCTGCCAACGAGCAAAATCAAGAGGTCAGCTCAGGCTTTCAATGTTCCGTCACTGGGTTGGGGGTCTGCATCGGGTCATGGCTTACCCTGAAGAAAAGGGGCACCTGTATATCATCTGACTCCATCGCCAAGCGCCTGGCTTCGCCTACAAGCGCAGCGTAGTCCTTGCCATCTTCAATGGGCTTGCCGTCAAGCATCTGGGGCGCAGCCCAGGGGAGAACGAACTGATAAAGCCATGTTGCATTGTCAGCATCGCTGCGACCGAAGGCCTGGTTCAGATCATCCCGGAGGTCATTTGCATCGTCAGCAATCTTGGGGGTAGCAGCATTCGTGCTGATAGCGGCGAGCTCTTGATGTAGGCAATTGCGCATGTCAGATGCATGCTGTGCAAATGTTGAGACCTGACACTGGTTGAGTTTGGCCTTCAGGCTCGCGAGGGTCTCGCCAGGACGAATGGTGGATTCCTCTCTGCTGAAACTCATTTGGGATTCCATGGTCGTGTACACTTGGATCTGAAAATCCCTCGGCTCGAACCATCCGTCTGTATCAAGTCTCGTGAGACGATGTCTGACAACCATGAGCGCCTATATTATGACGTGTTAGCTCCACTCCAGTACCTGTCTTTATATTCACGTATTTCCCATAGCATTGAGTATGGTACTGACCTTTTTAGCCAAGGTGACATTGTTGAGATCACCATCCCTCAAGACATTCCAGAAGTTTCCCTGGCAGATCAACTCGTCCAGGATCTGGTGAACTGCCAATAGGAAACCCTTATTCTCAGCCTGGTCGTTATTCTTGAGAACTTCTTGGACAATACTGGACAGCTCTTTCCTGTGCGAGAAGAGGGAAGAAACTATTGTCGCGGTACCCCGAGGGGCAAGAGGGAGCGAAGTGTTGAGGTTCGCCCGACCGGAGAGCCGACCGGTAGTTGGTTTGTTGGCTGGCTTCTCATTCTGGGGAAGGTCGAATGAGAGCCGTAGATACTCGTGGCGCGGGCCCATGACGATAATGTCATCAAGCTGCACGGTCGAGGGAACGGGCACACTCGTCTCCCAGTCTGCCAACAAAGCCATTGCCTTCTCTGGCGAAAGAGTGACAGCCGAGCACAGCACTTTCTTCTGCAGGTAGGAGAGAGAACTGTCCACAAAGTCCTTCGGTGAGATCATCTTGCGGGCTAGTCCGTGTGGCTCTAGAGAGATGTCTATTTCAAAGAATGCATTGGCACCAGATGGCCAAGGGAAAACTGATATAATGGGGATGGTGAAAAGATGTCGAGAAGACCGTGTAAAAAAGAAAGGTAAGCTTTGACTCAAAATGTAGAAGAGTCTCCCTGGTTGTTCTTTTGGTGAAGTAGCAAAGTACCCAGATAGACATAAACTACCTAACCTTAGGTATGTACGTTCACTCAAGTGAATCTGAGGACGTAGTGAGATGGAGGTATTGGGAGAGGTAGAAGTCGCGTTGACCACTTTGGTGTGGTCGCGTTCAGGGGCATGACAGACACATAATTGTGGGAAGAGAGCAAGAAAACAAAGAGATCCTCACAAATATGGAAAAAAAATTAGGAGCTCATGCCTGAGGGAAAAAAAACCGACATCTTTTGTATGATTGCGGCCAAACGCCATTCTCGCGACCGTCGTGCCTACCCAAGCACTCAATGCTAAAAGTCTATTGTACACTGACCCAAGAGGAGAGATCATTCCTGCTATGCGCTCTGCCCCGTCCCACCTGGCCGGATAGTAAACCACTACCTTACACGTTCGAATGTCGTAGATGCGTAGCTTCGCGAAAGCACGCAAGTTGTTAGGATTAAATATCATGAAAATGCCGTCGATACCGGCGAATATGGGCGAGTGGGGTGCAAGCAGACCGAGCTGCTGCTCCAGGTTGATGATTATTACATGCGAGGAGAGGAGTTCGTCCTCTCCGCTCAGGAGTGAGGAGCTCCAGGTGGGAAGAAGGTCTGTCTCGTGACCTAAGAGAACGAATGGGTTAGCTACGGTCGAATTCTGGCCCGGGACCACAACGAGTAACTACTTACAGCCCAAACACCAGCTACTGAGGCGACAATGCCGCCCGAGATCATCATCGGCCGGAGACCACGTGTGCTCTTGAAGACCATTCCGCTCAAGCCTCCAGCAATAATCGAGTTCGCCGCATCATGCTTGCCCCGAAGATAGCCGATGTACGAGTTGATGCAGTTGTACGTGATGGCAACGACACCAGCAGAGTTGCCCAAGAAGGGACCTCGCCGCGTCACGGCGTTGAGAACCGAGTTCAGGCGCAGCTTCGGGGGCTGTCCGGCCGACCTCCGCAGGCCCTCCTGCAAACCCCAGGCGCCACCCACGCTCAACGCAGACAGGTATGTGATTCCGGTGCCATAGCAGAGATCGTCGGTGAAGCCGCGGGAAGGCAGGACAGACTGGCTACCGGGAAGGTCTGATAGCGCGGAGTCCTCGAGGGAGATGTAGTCGAGAGTTTCTTGGTTCAAGCCAGCAAGAGGGTGCAGTTGGGACGGGTCGGCAAAGGCAGAACTCTTGAGGAAGGAGTCGACACCTTCTGCCACGGGCTGATATGGCGTGACTTGAAAGTGTTCAGTCGCTCCCGCGGGAGAATGGCCGGATGCCGGAGCGGACTGTTGGTGTTGCTGGTCCGACTTGCGCCCGCCGCCAGTGAGCGCATTCCAGATAGATGACATTTTGGGGCACGAGAGTGTCGTTCAGGGAAGGGTTCGGATAGAAACCAATTCGGAAGACGGAAACAGCACTCAGAGTCGGCTTTGGCGATGAGGAGGTGGACGTCAGAGGCCAAAGGAAATAGCCGTATGGGTGGGAAGGGCTGGCGTAGGGAGATGGAAGACGCTGGCTCGGGGGTTCGGGTGATGAAGCTTGAAAAAAATTACCCATCCAAGACCTTCTATCAATGGCGATTGGAGCCTCGGGTCGGAGGTGGACCGTGCGCCTCCGCCATGCCCAATCAGGACCAAGGTGAACCACAAGCTCACCGAAAGGTACCTTTGAGTGTACACCGAAACCCATTAAAAAAAAGTGTGAGTGATGGTGAAGAGCCCAGAGCTACTAAGATATTGGCCTCTTTGACTTTCATATTGATGCTGGAGAAATCATAAAATCTCCTAAGCAAGCACACAAAGGCACACGGCTTTCCATCGAAAATGACATTGTAGAGGAATTACGTGTCAGCATGAGCCCGGAGGTACAGCAAGCTTGAATCACCAAAATGGGCGATCTACAGCTGCCAGATGTTGGCGATTCTGCAGTCAACGCCAATACCCTGGCATCGTGGATCCACGAACAACCCGATAGTCTCTTGGTGCAGTACGAATGAGCTTGCATTTTTCTTGTTCTTCATTCAAGCAACTCTAACCTGTCTGAGTAGACATGCTGAGACCATATTCGGCCTGCTATTGGAACAGGCATCACAGCCACGAGCTGTAAGCTCAAATGCCTGCATAAAGCTCGTTGGCTTTGTCAAACAGTCGACTAGATCCGACAGAGCTCAGCTCGTCGACTGGGCATTCAGGGCCGACACCGCTGTAAGGCTGTTCGATTACTACGTCGAGTGGAATGAGACGGATCAGCACCGATCAATGGGACTGATCCTTGATCTTTTAACGTTCCTGATCGCACACAATTCTGCTCCCGGAATCAAAGAAGATATCAAAAAGCATGTGCTTGAAAACCTCATCTCCATCATCAGTGGCCAATCGACAAGGCCACTGGTCAAGTCTTCCATGGGCTCTCTCCACCATTTCTTGACGAAAGACATCTACACTCTCGAAGACATCGAGCAAAAGTATCGCTTGATCCAGCAGTTCCCACTCACGACACCCACCCTGACTGTCTGGGCCTGCTTTGTCTCGGAAACACTTGCATGGCAACGACTTCAATACGTATCTGCACCTGCTGGCAAATGCTTGGTCACCATCTTGAGCTTGATTCGCAAGACAGCTCTTGATGCAGCTCAGGACTCCACATGGAAGTCTTTCACCACGGAGACGTTGCAGATGTGGCTTCAAGATGGGCTGGCTCAACACCCAGAAATCCTCGAAAATGTCAAAAACTACGTTTTGACATTTCTCTTCAAGACTGATCGCCCAGCGTCCCTCGAACTGTTAGACAGGTTGAGTCGATTCGCCCCAACCGCAAGCAGAGATCCCGCAGCCTTGGATACGGCTGCCCTACTACAGTTGGCTGCCCTAGAGGTGGGAAAGAAGGTGGGACTTGTTGAAGACCCCAGCCCAATACCGTGCGAGCAAGGATCGAGCGTCATTGTGCTCGAGGAGAGTGTCCTTGCAAATGTCCTAGCTCACCCGTCACCTGATATCCGGGCTTTAGCAATCTCACTCCTGATCTCTTCACAGACGACTTCGAGGCCCTTTGCTGACAGCACATTTGGCTTATTGCGGCGATATCTGCCGGTCTATTACGCAGACCCGGATGCGAAATTCCGCAACGAGACACTGAGCTATACAAAAGACCTCATCAAGAGACTCAAAGGCACGCTTATAGTCATGAAGAGAAACCTTGGGCGTCTGGAGTCTGCGATCGCAAAAAGTGAGAATCCGGAACCAGCGACTCCCCAATCTAAATTCAAAGACAAAAACGGCGAGGCCAGACAAAAGCAGGTCACAGCTTTACTGTCCCTCGGCGTGCCTGACCTTCGAATGCTTATAACACAGCATGAGCTGTTCTACCAGTGGTTTCTAGACTTCTTAAGGCAGGAGCTTGTCTCCACCGCATCATACCCTAGGCACATCACAGCATTGAAGGCAGCGGCTTTTGTTCTAAAGATCTCAAGGGAGCTACTTGGTAGCGCACATGATGCCACGGATATGGAAGCAGTTGAGCGAATCTTCCGCGATCCTGCCTGGATCAGGTCTGTCTTGGATCTCGCCATGGATCCGTTTGGAGATGTCCGAGAAGTGTCAACGTCTATCCTGATGCTTTTACCACCCGATTTTGCTTCCATTCCGTTCACGTCAAGCGGGCGACCGGACCAGTTATCCCTGATATCGATCGTGGAGGAGTTCAGTCATCGCGCAGATGTGTTGTCGGCGCGAACGGCGCGAGCTGATCATGCCGATGGCGCAGCACGCATCCGTGGTGTCCTCTGCGTTTGGGCTTCCGGTGTTGAATCCCGTCAAGAGCTCTTTTCGCGTACTCTAGATCTTCTGGATGAAAAGTTGTCGATTGCGGAGAAGGACCTGGGACATGCTGCCATTGAGAACCCTGTTCACGGCGACTTTGCCTCTCTGGGCTATATGTGGCAGGTCCTTGCGAAAGAGAAGTACTCAGACCCCGATGTCGCCAGCTTGTCTGCTCTGCAGGAACGAATTGTCAGCTCCTGTAAACGGGTGTGGGATATGGTCAGACATGTGCTGTGTGACGACTCGCCAGAGGGCCATCTGCCGCAAGACATGGAAGACGTCGAAGGCCTCGACACGAAGGACCTTTTGAGCTATAGCTTCCGAGCTATTCACGAATCCAGGTGAGTTTCTCGTGGCGATGTCTTATGCCAGCCGGACTAAATCGATGGTAGCACCACGATGCGGATTATAATCAGCAGTCTCCGCTTTAGCCGTGTGAAGGGACTGTTATTTCCGACAAAGAAGGTGTTTGAAATGATAGGCTCGATATCGTTTGATCAGCTGTCAAATCTGAGGCATCGCGGTGCCTTTGCGACTGTTTCCCAGACATATACGGCATGCTGTCAGCTGTCAGAAGACCCTCTTGTCAGACTTGATAACGGTGGGGAGACACTACTGCGTGTTTGGTATAAGGTGAGAACACTTCTGCAGCAAGGATCTACAAGGTCAAGTCAGACTAAAACTGGAATAGGGTGCGCTTGACTGCATCTTCTCTCAAGCCTCGACAACGAGACGGTCAGCTGGCATACCTGCCCTGATCACAGGAATACTGGCCGCCAATGCCCAGGACCCTTCATTTGACATGGTCATGAAGTCACTTGGGGACATAGCCCAGAAACCTGCCCTTGTATCGGAGACCGATGGCTCCAACCTCCCCCAGGTGCATGCATTGAACTCCCTGAAAGACGTGTTCAAGAGCTCCATGCTTGGCAAGCGTGCCGAAACATACCTTATGGAAAACTTGCAGCTGGCTGTAAATTGCCTTAGGTCTGAGGTGTAAGTACCCACGATAGGTTACCCTCCGTGTCAACGTCCGCTGATTTTTGTGTAGGTGGGCAATTCGAAATTGCGGTCTCCTTCTGCTCCGTAGCCTGATCGACAACCTCTTCGGCACTGGCGAGAGTAAAGCTCAGCTTGAGACGGGCTGGGATGGCAAGACGGTGCGGATATCCTACGTCAAGTATCCGAAGCTGCCGGATGTTTTGGCGTCCCTCCTCAAGCCGGTCAGGGGAAACCTTGATCTGGACTTGGAGAAGCGGATAGCCGAATCTGTTTTCCCGGCCTTGGACATCATCCGCCGCGCAGGCCCGCCAGCCTCTCACAGAGAAGAACTGTACGAGTACATCAGCGAGTATCTAGGCAGCCACCTCTGGCATGTTCGAGAAATTGCCGCTCGTACCATATGCTCCTTCTTGATACATCAAGACTGGGTTGCGGCCTTGGCACAGTTGCTAGAACGGTCGACCGGCTCGACAAACAGGCTACATGGAACCTTACTGGCTGTCGAGTTTGTGGTTGAGCGACTTGCTCAGTTGTCCGTGGATGATTTGTCACGTAAGTATCTCACCTATCATTCTGTTGCTCTCATACTAACAATTCCGCAGGGAACATTCCAAGACTCAACAAAGTTCTGGATGACTTCTCGCAATCTCACATCATCGGTAGCAACTGCTCAGAAGTTCATGCTGCCTTCGTGGAAGTGGAAAACCTCCTCATCCAACATGGAGATAACAGGACGTCAACACCAGCAAGGAACAGCCTTGATTCAGTGGACAAGTATCCCGGAGCTGCAGCTCTCCTGAGAATTCAGCTCGGCATCCAAGTGGCCTACCAAACCGCACAAAGCTCCGATGCAGACACTCTCAAGGCCGCTTTGGACACAGCTATCAGAACCGATACGAATACTGCGGCCAGGATGATCGAAGAAATTCCAGCAGCTTGGAATATGAGGCAGTCGTTCGATATCGCAGCCAGACTCTGCGAGCTGCACGTGTCAGTATGCTTACAGTCTGATATCCCAGAGATCAGGGCACCGGCCTTGGACAACCTAGTGGATGCCATGGATCACCTAATCGAGAACAAGCGAGCCAACCTACTGCCGTCGAACGAGACGCTGACGCAGCTCTGGGCCTCACTGACCCCCGCGGACATCAACCCAACTCTCTCACACGCCATCCTACGCCTGAGCGGCCCCGTCATGGCCACCCGTTGCCTGCGAGCAGCAGACAAAACATCCAGCGCGGTCTCCACCTGGGCCGCCATGATGAGCGACGCGGGCAACGCAGACAACGTAAGTACAAGCCCAACATCCTTCCACGCCCATCGCGGCACGAAGAGCTGACAATTGACGTTTTCTCAAAGACATTCGACACCAGGTTCGCAGCCGTGTCCGCCGTCCACTCCTTCTTCGCCGCGCTCAGGGACACCTGCAGACAGCCGGCGTACCTCCCCGTCCTGCTGGTCCTCTACGACGCCCTCGTCGACGACGACGAGGAGGTCCGCGACCTCGCGGCCGCGGCCGCGGGCCACGTCCTCGGCGCCACGCCCCTGCCCATCCAGGCGCCCGACCTGCTCGCCGAGTGGCTCGCCGCCCACTTCGGCGGCCTCGAGGCCTTCCAGGCCCAGGCCGTCTGCCGCATTGTCGGCGGCGACCCCGGGCAAGCGTCGGGCTGCTGGACGCCAGCCGAGGCGCAGCTGGCCGAGACGATGAAATTCGACGACGCGCTGTTCGTCGTCGAGGAGCAGAACCTGTTCATCGACGAGGTGCGCGAGACGGAGCGGTGGGCCGGCGTCTTTGCCGCCGCCGCCGAGCACGGCCCGGACTCTGCGGCGGTCAGGGCACTGAGGGGCTGGACGCTGCCGGGCTTGCGAGTCCTCGCCAAGCTTGCGGAGAGCAACGACGGCCCTATCGGCTGGGCCTCCAAGCCCGAGGTTTACGCCATCTGCATGCGCATCGTCCTTGGTGCGAAGGTGCTTGCGACAGCCGGCCAGAGCGCGGAGGCTGCGGAACTGCTGCAGACGTTCAGGGGTATGGGAGAGAAGTCCCGTTTGCACGGTGGCTTGTTGGCAGCAGCTGAGATGTAGAAGAGCGCGATCGGGATATGCTGCAGATGGTAGAGAGTAAAGAAAACAATATAGAGAAAAGTTGAATGCTAAAGCTACAATTCAACATCATGCAAGAATAATATTCAACCTACGCCCATACTATGATACACTAATGGCAATGCTGTAAGGAGGCTCAAAGGAATGTCATTCAATGGCTCATCACCAACAGACGCTACAGATGTACTTTTACCCCCATTTATGCGCTCCTAAGTCTTGACCTCCTCCTCGGCAGCAGCAACCGGCTTCTCGCCGCCCTGCCTATGCACAGACCCGTTCCTCCTGACGCCGCCGCCGCCGCCGCCAAACTCCTTCCACGCGTCGCTCCCGCCGGCCACGAGCCCGGCCCGGCCCAGCCTGGCGACGAGCATCGTGTTCTGCGCCTGCAGCTCGCCGACCTGGTCCTTGAGCACGTCGATCTGCTTGAGCGCCACGTCGCGCTCGGCGCGCGCCTTCTCGAGCTCGAGCGCCAGGTTGCCCCTCTCCTGGCGCTCGGCCTGCTTGCGCCGGCGCTCCTCGGCCTTGCGCTCCTCGGCCGCCTTCTTCTGCTCCAGCTTGCGCAGCTCCCGCCGGTACTTCTCCTCCTGCTTGGCCAGCTCCTTCTCGTGCTTCTCGCGCAGCTTGGCCGCCGCGGCCGCTTCTTTGTTGCTGCCGCCGCCGCTGCCGTCCTCGCTCAGGCCGCCGGTGGACTTGCGCGCCAGCGAGCGCTCCTGCGCCTTGGCGATGCGCTCGTGGACCTTGCGCCGGCGCTCCTCGAGCTTGCGCAGCTCCTTCTCGTGCTGCGTCTGCGCCGCCGTCAGGGACGACCGCGTGTCGTCGGACTTGCCGGAGAACATGGATGCGCCGTCGGCGGCCGCCGGGGGCGATGACCGCGGAGCTGCGCCTTCGACGGACTCTTGGGCCGAGGCGAAGCTGTGGATGGATGAGGAGTCATCGGAGTCAAGGTGTGACTCGTCAAGATGCTCGTCCCCTTCTCCTTCTCCTTCTTCTTCTTCCTCTTCTAGCTCGGATTCAGATCCCTTATTGGAGAACGGGATGATCGGCATGTGGGATGCGACGACCGAGACGCCGGCGCCCAGCGCGTTGGCTATCATTTCGTAGAAGCCGCCCGGCCCTGCCTGCGGTACCTGTTCTTCTGAGTCCGCTACGAGGTTGCCCGTTGGCTTGGTGGGCGCCTTTGGCTTGTGGCCTTCCGGATGCTTGATCTTCTCCACGGCCACGGCCTCCTTCTTGAAATCGTTGTCCTCCGAGTCGCCAAAGTCCTCGGGGTCTATTGAGTCGAGCCAGTCCAGCAGGCGGCCGGCATCGCTGATGATGCCACTGGGGGTACCCCTTTCCACAAGATATCGGGGCACATTGCCTCCTGGGTCGCTGCGGGTCACCATCAACCACTCCACCGCCGTAGCCACCTCTTCCTCCTCCTCCTCCTCGGGACCCTTGGGTATCTCGCTGAGGGCGTCAAACGATACAGACACGGACTTGTGCTTCCTCCGCCCTTCCTCCACAGCCGCTGCCACCTTCTTCGCCGAGCGGATGATCGCCTCCTTGCTGACCTCCTCATCCCGGTGGCCGAACGGCCTCGCGTCCTCTCTGCTCACATCGATCGACGACCGCGTCCGCCGCAGCGGCTTGTCGATGGGAATCTCCCGTATGATCTCGACGGACTCGTAGTGCCCGCGAATGTAGCCTGACCGCTGCGGACACTCCGGGTGCTGGCAGGGCTTGGACACGACCATGAACTGCCTCGGCAGCTTCTTCTTGGCCTCCCTGGGCCCCGCGCTCGTCAGCAGCAGCGTGATGAAGTCCCTGGGCGTCGTGGGGCCCGGGAACTGCGCCGAGAGCTGGTACACCTCGAGCTTGCCGTAGCCCTCGACGACCCGGTGCTCGACCTTCTTGTCGGCGCCGATGCCGCGGATCTTGCCCGCCCCGGGCCCCTCCTGCACCTTGAGGCTCTCGGCGAACTCGCGCTCGAGGCCGAGCTTGAACTTCTCAAAGGTGATGCCCTCGTGCACGCTGCGCCGCGCGAACCAGCTGCCCCTGCCGTCCTTGGCGGCGAGCTTGTAGACGTTGACGGCGAGCGGGTTGTCGCGCGGGCTGACCTTGACCTCCTTCCACTCCTTCTGCAGCTTGGCCGCGGCGGCGACGGCGTCGGCCGAGGGCGACTTGGCGGGCTGCGCGGAGCCCGAGAGGGCGTGGTTGATGTCGACCGAGGGCCGCCCCGCGACGTCCGAGTCGGTGTGGGAACGGGCCCGGCCGCTGTGCGCCGACGCGGCGGCCGACTTGACCGGCGCGGGCAGCGGGATCGAGTCGATGAGGACCTGGGCCGAGGTGAAGGTGTCGGACAGGAAGGTCGGCAGGTCGTCCTGCGGGAGGGAGGACCACTCAATGGGACTGAGGGCCGACAGCGGCTCGTGGTGAGCTGGCGGCGCCATTGGGGGGTCCTTGGTTGCCGAGGGGCCGCCCGGTCTTGGTGCTTCTCGTAGGATGGAGAGAGATGTTTGCTGCACCGGGGGGAAGCCGCAATGTTTAATTTAATGTTATTACTGCTTTCGTCTAATAACGGCGGTCGAGCGTAAAGCTTTAGGGAGGGATGCGCTGATATGAAGAGAAGCGGGAGGAAATCTAGATTTCCCGGATACGCTGGAGTGTGGTTTGTCGGGGGGCGAGACAGCTCGCGTCTCGGGGTTTCTTAGAGGCCCATCATACCACGGGCGAGTAGCTAAGGCAAATGAGGGGGAACAAACGAAAACAGGGAATCTTTCGAAATGATGATGATGCGATTTCTGCTTTCTGTGTCACTGGGAGCAGGAGCTGGCCTCTGCCCGTTTCCGTCATATCCGCCATTTCCCTCACTCGTTGTGCCGGTGGTGTAACGAAATCGGTATGGCCGGGCGCCTCCAGGGCTGGCTGTCGTTGACGTCATCCCGTGTCTGGCGGCCTGGAAGCTTCTGTCAGGGCCCAGCACCACGCGACGTCAGTGGGTGGGGGGGGTTTTTACAGCGGGTTCACCGTTGTGCTGACTGACATCCGGCGCTACTCTCTGCTAACGCCTTCTAGAAGCCTGTCGCTACTGGGACCCGACCCATGGATCCAAATCTTCAAATTGATTCATGCTCAGTAGGTATTTACAAGTGTGCCCTGGTGCGTTTATTATATTCCATGCCCTCTGTACGGCTTCAATGTAAGACTACAATTGTATTACAGAACCAATTAACCCCCCCGGCCTTCCTCGGGAAAGGAAGAAGCCCAGCAGCCTCAGCCAACATCTAGCCCATCATCGTCCGGTGAGCCAATCGATATCCCTCCAGATCCCGCTGATCAGCGCGGCAGCTCCCGCAGTACTCCTCGTGCCACTTCTTCAGGCTGCCTATCCGCGCCTCGTCCAGCGGTCGCATCACCTTCTGTGGCCCATTGGCTCCCTTAGATGCCTCCCCTGTTGCCGCTGCCTTCTTGTTCTTCTTGGCGCTCCCTCCTCCCGCTGGCTGCTGTGAGTGAAGCAGCGCCTTCACTTGGTCGCACCGGAGCATTTCGTCCGCCAGCCAGTTCTCCCACTCGGACTGGACCATCTCCCGCTCGATGCTGTTGACCACCCGCATCGCGACGAGCAGGTCGTGTCTGTAAGAGCCGAGCTTCTGTCGCGTCCGCCTGAGCCGCTTCGCCGCCGCCCTGCTGGATGCGGCGGAGAGCATGTCCCCCGCATCCTCGTAAGGCGCATCGATATCTGTCGTGTTCACGATATTACAGAATGTGTCGTAGCTACAGGAGGATACCATTAGCTTGAAACATAATGACTGGCTGCTTGGGCGAGGATCTCGAGAAAACTTACCATGGGCTATCCGTCGGCGTTCTGTGAGGCGGCAGCCCTGACTGCTGCGCTGCCTCCTCCAGGTCCGCTATATAGATGGACTTGCTCATCGCGACATTGGGACCAACCCCTATGCGACTCATAAACTTGGCGGCCCTCCTCTCCGTCCACCACGTCGAGGTCTCTCTCGAGCTGAAGACGAGGTTGGTGAAGACGCTCAGAGCGAGCACCAGGAGGATGATGCGCTGTGCAGTCACGACGTCGTACAGCTTCTTGACGCCGGCAAACGTCCACATCATCAAGCTAGAAGCGACGCTCTCCGCAAAACTAAAGACGGTCTCCGACAACATGTCCGTTAGAGTCCTCTGCTTGACCTGGGTCTTCTTGACCGGGTCCGCTTCTCCTGGCGTGAACACCACGACCTGCGTCTGCTGGCCCAGGTTGCCGTAGACCTGAATCGCCCGCTTGGTCCTGCTGTGAGGGCCGAGCTTCCTGACTTGGTCTGTCGCGACTTCAGCGAGCTCCTCGGCGTTCCGGCGGGCGTCATTCAAAGCCTGCCGCTCGATGATGTTCTTGGAGAAGGCCGGAGGCTTTGTCCACTCGATCCTGTTGTAGATGGCCAGCTTGCACTTGGATTTGGCCATGTGCGTGATCACAATCTTGCAGATGATCTTAAAATCCTGGGAATGCGGCAAGTGCCAAGGCGTGCCGTGGTGAGTGACCACGTAAGTAACATGATCACTGAAGACATCAATGTTTTGTTGGTCGACAATGTCGCTGAGCCTCTTGCGGCCCAACAGGTCCGCAAAGTCGACCTTGAACCTGAAGGTCCGCTTCATTTTCCCTTGGTCCGCAAGGTCCCAAGGCCCCTGGGCGATTTCTTTGGCTCGACGCTCAAAGTAGAGCTTGGGGAAGATGAATGACTTGTCGCCGAACAGAACATGGAAGCAGGCCTTGGCACTGATTTCAAAGTGGCGCTCCGCGTCTGGTTGTCCCATGTCTTCGGGCTCGTACACGACCGGATGGCTAGGAAGCTGGAACTTGGGGACAAGCTTGCGAGTAACACGTCCCGGCTTGGTGTCGGAATAGTCACGCCTGCCGATCGCTCTGCCAGGGACAGGCGTCTGCTCATCAGGCGACTCGTTCCCGGATCCTTCGCCCCAGCTCTCAGCACCCGGGCTCTTGATCTCCCGATCATCGTTTGCCAGGTTAATCAGAGCGTCAATGAGATCAGGGAGCTCCATTGGCTCCTCTGCTTGGAGATCGTCCACAAGAAGGTTGAGCCTTGCGTGCAAGAGGGCCAAGTCGTCGAGGAAGGTCTTGAGCGTGATGCGCTTGAAACCGGTCTCGTTCGTATCTTGGTTCAGATGCAGGTAGATGTAATCGCAGTCCTTGCCCGGAGCAGCCGTGACTTCAGAGATTATGTCCAAGCTGAAGGAGTACGCCGTGATGAGACCCATCTGTTGACCGTAAAAGTACATGTTGTCTGGCGTGATATAAACCCGCCCACTACCGACTAGTCCAGATGCTGAGGAACCACTCTCTGTCGCGCTGGACCAAGCCGCCCGGAAAACGAGAACCAGCTTCTCTTCCAGAGGTACCGAGGGGAACAAGAGCCGGAATTGGGCCAGCTGTGCTCTGAGCTCTGCGGGATAATTAACGGGGAACGACTCCGTCGCAGCCTTTTCTAGGATTCGAGGCGGCATGATTTTGACATCTGCGCTGAATGTCTTTCTGTGAAGACTGTTGGGAGATCTTGACGCCTGACCATTGGTAGGCGAACCAAGGGGCATGGCAGAGCGTAGGAAGGGGTCGTCATCGTTTGGAGCAGGTGTAGGGGCAGATTCCTGCCTCGGAGTGTATGCGGCGCCCCAGAGGTTGCTGCCCCAATAGTTTGCCATGATCGCTGTGGGCAGAGTGTGCGTTGGATCTGCACCGCCAAGTCCGAGCTCGCCGCTGGTCAGAACAGCAGCCTTGCTCAATCCTGTCGGAGCAGGAGGTTTGGCCAGCGTCACGGGCGCCAAGTTGCTCCGACGAACCTCACCCAGAGGAAGCTGAGGGGCGGCTGGGATATGGGAGAAAGTTGCAGCTCGTGGCAGCTGAGTGGCAGAGGGGTTTTGCATCATGTAGCCAGGCAGAAGGTTGTGACTAGCCGAAATGAGGCTTGCTATACCTCCGGCGGCTTGTTGCGGAGCAGCATCGCCCTTGCGATGAAGGTCGAGCTTCTGCATGATGCGTGCAGCGTGGTCGCGGCTACTCTCTCCTTCTTCCCGCACCAAAGCCGTCGTGATAGAGCGCCTTGGAGGGTTGAGCGGGGCGTCGAAGCTGGAACGCGACATATGGCTGGCATCGTTTCCGGGCACGGGGAGGGTGGCCCCTCTGTCGGCGCCCGTCGCTGCATCTTCGCCCCCCACCCCGAGCTGGCTGTCTAGAGCCTTGGCCGAGAACTCAGGAACAAGTGGAGGAGTGATCGCAAAAGCAGGGTCGACACCGGCTGCCGAAGGAGCGTCACGGCCCATGCTCGCTTCGAATGCCTGCTTCTTTGCGACCTCAAAGACCTCGAGCCATTCGGTCAACTGGGATTGGGTCTCGGCCTGCAGCAGTAATGTTTGGCTCTTGGTCTTGATCTCAAAGCAGAAGCGGCGTTCCTCCTGGACAGCCGGCTTCGCGCCACACAGGAGGACACCAATTTCGTCACCTTGTAGGACGCCATGGCCGGATTGTACAAGCCAGCCGAAGATGCCGTCGCGACAGTAATACCAGCGACGAACCCATGTAAACCTGGCCGGCTTGCCGGACACGGTGCGAAGAAAGAGCCAGCCTTGCTTCTCAGAGATGACAGAGTCTTGATCCTTGGTGCGCATGTTCATCGGCCCTCTAGATCCCAGGAAGGGCACTGTAGAGACGCTGTAGTCGTCCAGCTCTCGAGAAGGCTTGAATGTTGCCAAGGTGGTCTCGCCGACTTCTCTCCTAGAAATCTGAAGTTCGCGCCTGAGAGAACCTTCTGTAGACTCCAAATCCCTGGCCCAGCCGCGAACACGCTCCATCTCGTCGCCCCATTTGGCATAGCTGCTCGCGCTCTCCCGAGATCGTTTCATCTCGCGCCAGAAGTCGGCCGAGACACGAACAAGGAGCTTGTCGAGGCTATAGCGCAATTGCGGTGCCATTTGACAGAAATCCATCGATGCCTTGAGATATGCCTTCCTGGCCTCGTACACGGCGAACGCATCTTCACGAAGCGCTGATGCCTCTTTCGTCTTTGACTGCCCTACATAACGGGCCAGGGTAGTATCGAAATGCTTTTGTGTCTGCTCCAGGGCCTTTCGGGCTTCTTTGAAGGTGCGAAGCTCCCCATTAAGGAGATGGCGGATGGGATCGAGGCTGATGGAGTCCATGCGCCGGACCGTACTGAGAATGTGAGTCCACCACTCGCGCGATCCATCGCCGACCCGTTTCAATGCCAATAGAGTGTAATCATTATCGATGACCCCATCTGCTACAGCGGCAGAAGGGGTGCTCCGGGAGAGGAAGGTGTTGATCGTCTCTTCGAGGGCGAGCAGATCGTGGACAAGCTTGGATTGGCTCTTGACGTAACCCTCCAGCCATCGCTCAATTCCGTCGACCTGCTCGGCGAAATGCGAGGAAGTAGCGCGAAACGTCGGCGAGTCGAGGGCGGCCTCATTGAGACCTACCGCAAAGGAAGGGCGGGCTTGGTTCGACGACGATACCGGAGCGGACGGGGTGCTGGGAGGGACAGCTTTCGGAGGCGCCGGGCTTGCTGCCGGGTCCGCCATCGCGGCGAAGGAATTGATAGAGCTCGGCGGCTTACAATATATCGCAAGTGATATACGGGCCCGTGTAGTCTGCACGAGGTTGCTTCTAGGACAAAGATATCGCAACCATTAGGAACTAACGACGTGAGGTTGGCTTCGGCTGAGACAAGTGGTGGGGAGCTTGGACGCGGCTCTAGCTGTTGTTGCCTGTGACAGGGAAGGCTCCAGCCAGCTGTGAAATTGCATCTGATTTAGGCGCGAGGTGTGACGTCTGCCAGCCGCGCTACTGACACTTTGGGCATCTTGGCCCCCACAAATTCCCCGGATTATGGCGCTGACATCCGCTGTAAGTTGTGTTGAGATTCAGTGTCGAATTACCTAAAATTCCAAAGACCTCGATATCTGATTATTTTGCTTGTGGTCCACGTGTTTCAAGTGCAGCTTTTGATACTTTTATTTCTTGAGCGAGGAAAGTCTAACATGTAGTTACGGCTTGTTAGAACAACCTCCCTGGAGCCAGGAGACGGCCGAAGGGTGAGAGATTACCATGAAATTTTGTCTCAGCTTCATGAGAACTCAATCTCAAAACTAATTGGCATTCTTTGGTGCTGTTTACAGGACCTGGTATTATTATCAGATCACAAGTCGTTTGAAGACGATAACAATGTTTCTTTCTCGATTCGTCCATCAAAGATAAGAGCAAGGAATGTTGCATTCGTGGCTGAATACTTACTGCTTCCACTTTACTCCAGTCCCTCGCCATGTCCTGCTTCAAGGCCTACGACGAGGCATCGCTTATTTGTGCCAGATTCTCAAGGATTCCACTCTGTCAACCCCATACCTTTCTGTATCAGCAAAAGTTGCAGTCGAAGCATGAGTGTCTGTCGTCTTCACCTCGAACCGGGAGCTCAAGAGCGTGGGCTGCCTCCCGGACCTGCAGGTCTCTCCAGTGGCCGGTGCAGCCTACAAAACCCACGCCAACTCCACTCGCCTGCAGACAATACAGCCTGAGGTACAGAACTGAGTCACAGGCTTCAAACCTAGGGAACCTGGCATTGAAGGCGATATTTGCCAACGCATACGTTGTCCCTTTGGTGGACCTGAAGGGAACAGGGCTTCTGGTACGAAAATAGGCACTTTTCGCCTCCACGGTCCAGCGCATCATCGAGACTTTAGCGTGCTCGCGCGCCTAAGTGTCTCGCTCGGTCCGGGTGGGCTCAAAGATCTGGGGCTTGCGAGCACAGCCTCAGGGAAAAACCCTTAGTCTTGGCGCAAGGGAAGATCCGTCCAGATGCCCACCTTTCGTTTGTTTGACCATCGCGCGTCCATGCGCTGGAACTTGGAAGGGAAAAGCTTTTGAACATGGTCAACATGCCTGATCCCAGGCAGCTAGTTCAGCTTCACAAGGATAGGTCTTGGGCACTCTTTGGCTAGGAGTAACGCTTGCCGACCTATCGATGCCAACGCCCCTCAGGAGTACATGCAGACACGAGTGTCAATAGCAGAGGTGTTAAGGATTTGCTCCTCGTTCTGGAAAAGTCCGAAAGCATGTTGCTGCGCCACATGAAGATCCCTGCGAGGGAAAGGTCGGGGTCGCCTCAATCCCGCACGGCCAATTCAGGTGTGGCTGCCTCGGCTTGACAGCCGAAGCGCACCTCGCCATCGTGGCATGGAGATATCCTGTTTTAGAGACGGGGAGCAGGTCAAAACTGGCAACGGAGACCCGGCAACAAGTACCGCTTCATGTTCCTGTACATGGCGCCCGTCGATTGACCACGTCGTCGTCATGGGTGTCGAGGGAGAGTATCGGATTTGTGATGACGGCGGCGCAGAGCTGACGCGGTGGGATGTGGACGTAGGTCTTGCCCGGCAAGGGCCTAGCCGCCGTCACAAGGATCGTGCCATCGACCAAGAAGCTCTACACCCCCGAATGTCCCCAAGACTCCGCTGCCTGCCATGGCCATGCCCATAGTGCTTGTCTCGAGAGGAGGGATCTAAGGTATCGATGCAGTCTCCTACTGGGCACGGGACGCATGCACGGCCATATGCGCAGAGTAGCAGGTCTTCTTTTAACCCTGGCCGACGGGCCAATTCTCGGAGAAGAAACCCTGAAGTCTACCCGCCAGCGCTGCCGATCTTGCCTAGAGGAAACCGGGCTTGTTGCTGAAACCTGACAGCTGCAAGCCCACGGCCATTCACACGAGCCAGGCCGTGCCGTCTGAAGCCACATATATGCGAGTGAACCGTCATCTGAGCTCATGTGACCAAAGGATCATTCAGGGCCGGGTAGGTGACGGTCACGAGGCCGGAATTGATGCCGAGCATTGGTCCTATTGAAGCAGGCCTTCGGCGCGTTGCACCAGTGCTTGTCATCCCTTGCACCAGACAGAAGAAAAGAGCCTTGACACGATTGAACGCATTCTGTGGAAGGATGGGCTGGCGGGAGGAAAAACCTACGATACTCCGTGACCTGCCACTCCCCATTTTTACAAGGTTGGACCGACTGAAGTGTCTTCCTCATTAGCTTGGCATGTGCTTCCTTCAATGTTCCTAGTTCGAGGTTGCGCGGTGCGTGCCTCTCCCGACATCCCGGGGGGTGGCCACAAATAAGCGCCTGCTTAAGCAACCGAAACCTTGCCGGCACAGCAAAGAGGATCCCTCCACTGCGGTGGTATTCAAGTCATGCCATATAACCGGGTGCCATTAATTAACTCACGAATGAGGCAAGCCGGCGATGTCGGCGGGCACAGAGCCATGGCGAGCCTCCCGACGAGATGGACAAGACAAGAGTAAAGTAGCAAGGACTGAGAGCTTGTTGCGATTGTCAAGACACTACACCCGGCGGCGTCCAGGCAGGGCCGAGTATCTGCCGGCATCGCACGCTGGATTGGTCTGTCAATCTGCAAGTCGATATTGCTCAGATGATTCCCGTGATGACCTGATCTCGGCTTGACAGCACGCCTAGGTTTACTCGCAAGCGCGCATCTGCATTCCAGACTGGAGAGAAGAGGCACCTCGCTTAGAATACGTCGTCCTCTCGGCCAGCCCCTTTTGACCTCCTGACTTACAGGAGTTGTCTCCAAGCCATCGTTGCTCTAGCCCCCTTTGCTGATCTCTCCGTGTCTGGGCTTCATCCTCTAACCATCCTCCCGAGCGGGACTTACGACTCTGATCGAGCTGCACCACCCAACCCCCATTTCAGGAAACCAGGATTGAATTTTGACCAATCATAAAATTTTGAGGATTGCCCTCGCCCAGTGTTTTGAGAATTGGGTGAGTGAAGGGCCGGCCAATGGGACTTCAGAAGTGCACTTTCACCTATTCACCGTTTCGACGCTAGCAAGGGTCTCAGCTTGCGACAACTCAACTACAGGTTCACATTCATTCTCGTCCCAACCACCGTCTTCTTTAACCAAGAGCTTGATATCCTCCAAACGAGTTAGATCCCTCTTGCCGTCTCAGTCCTCAATCCCCTCTTGGAGGACCGTCCTTCCCTTCTCCGTCGCACTCCCCCCTCCCGAACCGAGCACGATGTCCAGCACTCTAACCTGACTTGACCCATCGACCCCGGACATGATGGAGCTGGCTGACTACTAGTCCTGCCCTTCACCAGTTTGTTCATGGAGGATCCAGTCATCAGCCCAGTGACAGTCAAGGATAGCCCAGTCTGCTACACTGCTCCACGCATACAGGCGCGAGCGTACCAACTTGCCCCTGAATGGAGCATCGTGCTGTCCAGTAGGAGGCCAGAAGTCGCTCCCTCAACGCGTCTAGTTGCTCTCCAACAGACCCGTGGATCGCGGGAACGAAGAAGGGACTGCCCGTTATGTGAGCGGGTCGAACCAGCGGTTTGGACCAAGGAGTCGTTCTATCTCTCATCAAACGGCCCCTGACCCTCCGAAGACAGCCAGACAGCCATCGTCGCTTGTCGCGTCAGACCTAGTCCCGGCCACTTCGGAGATGGGGGCTGTTGGAAGGCTTGCGCGGTGCTTATCGTCATTTGCGAACGTGCCTCAGCTTCTGGCCGTATGTGTTTCACTGGCGGTCGTCACGGGAGCCGCAATCTTGAAGTATGATTACCGGGCTGGAGACCATGCTCCATGGCGGCGAATTGACACCTCTGCTCGCCTTGCAAGATGGATATTCCCAAGCCCTTACCATTCCAAGCTCGCACACCTGCATAAGCGTGGGCCGGGACTGTATGCTACAGGCACAGTCCTGGGTTGATAGATCAGCCCATCTACTTGGATGGACTCCAGCAGGTCTCGGCAAGCGTGCAGCTTGCATCGCATTGACGCACGAAATATTCAATGGAGCGGACGGGCTCACTTATCCAGACGCTCATACTCGGAACAGATAGTCAAACTGTCCTTGATTGGCTTTTGGCCCATGAAGCGGCAATACAGGCCCGGTGCTAAGTAGACATCTCGTATGAAATGCCCTTTGACATCAAACAGGGGCTGCAAGTGTAAGTGGGAAGATAGATCACTACGACACCACTATTCGCTTTCGAGACAGACCTGCATATGCGAAGTCCCAACGATCTGAGAGTATTCCTGCCAAACGGACCAGTGATGTATGTTTATCGGCCATTGCCAGATTGGTTGGTCGTCACCATAACCACACAGCAAGTGTTGCAACACTGACTTCTTTCATTGTAAGGAAGAAGTGAGTGAGGGTGTGCGGCAGGTCCTTAGCGGAATGGGCGCCGGTCATCGGGACCCCGCCCGGTGGAGGGTCGACAGGGGATTCTTGTTCTTGTTCTAGCAACGTTTCTCCGCACACTTGAAAGTCGCTACTAGAGTGTCCCTTTGCTGTTGCTGGCAGTGACATGGCCCTCTCGAGGCAATGTTTGCTGGTAAGTAGGGCATAGGAAGAAGTAGAGGAGGAGCAAGACGGAGTACGCGAGAGCAGGCGGCCTGTGATCCCTGACGACTCCCAGTACATTCCCCAGATCCCGCCAGGAACAGCGTGCATGGTGCGTTTGGCCCGGTTGATCTTCGCCAGGGAGTACTGGTACTTCCGGGGTGCGAGTGGCGCTGCAGGCGGCCAGAACCTGCGGCTTCTGCAGCTCTTTCAGCTGCGGTCGCAGGCTCCAGCCATGCTTCCAACGTCTCCCATTTGCCATTTGCCTGGTGCCCCAGAGTCTTGTCATTCAGCACCCGTCATATGCAGGCCGTCGAGCACAGCCATCCTTTGGGTACTGTACCTTTTTCCCACCCTCGTCGTGTTTCTGTGTCTCTTTCTCTTTTCGAGCTTCTGCTCCGATGGCTCCCCATGTGCGTGCGTCTGCTCGTCCGTCCACTACCAAGATTTTCCTCCTTGGGCACATGCGATCCACAGCAACTACATCCGGACACGAGTGATGGAGTAGGTGCAACTTTACCTGCAGACCTACAGACCTGCCGGCCTCTCGCCTCTTCCTTGGTTTGGCATGGCTCCTCTTGTCCTTTTTTTCCCACTCTGCGTGTACTTCACTGGTCCTGATCGAGATGGTTGCGCGGCCCTAGCAATGCAGGTCTTCTGAGCCGACCAGCTGGGCTGTCTGGTCTTGGACAAGCCACAATGCTGTTTTTTCAAATGACCACAGAAAGGGCAATGCTATCTGCATGCAGGCAAGACCCGGTTTGCTGAGGCATGACACAGATACTCTTCGTCCATTTGATGGCGATCTCTTTCTGTCTGCAGCCCACGCAAGCAGCGGTAGGTAACCTTGTTTCCTTGCTCCTCCACTTTGAAGAGTCAGCCTGTGAGGCATGGATCTAGTCCTCTACGACCACGCCGCCACCGACGACGACAGACGGGGCAAGGTAGAAGAGTGAGTGTAGGAGGAGGATATGCCATGGACGGCGGCGACAGCGTGAGCCCCCTCTCAGTGCCCCATGCATCCATCCATGGATGCGCTCTTTAGAACGGGCGCCTCAATCCAAGCGCACACCCCCCGTCGCCTTCGCATGCAGCTACTCTGCTCTTGCATATGCCCCCCCTCTCCCCTGCCGGGCTGGCTACCTACCTACTACTATACGACTATGACTATACCGAATACCACAGTACCCTCGCCCTCTAGTCTCTTGCATCGCATCTTGCCCTATAACCGTGAGCCCTGGTGCTCGCGGTGGGCTCCCTTCTCGGGGCTGCTTACAGCGGCCTTATAACCACCCCCACCACCCTTCCCGACTGTACGATTTCTTACCCTCCCTCTTCTTTCTTCACGAGTACTTCGTCCTCCGTTTCTCTTCTTTCCCATTTGCGGTTGCAGGCGTGCAAGCTATTTCCCTTGTTTTGGGACCGCCCAGCTCCGTCACTTATTTTCCTTATTATTATTCATCTTTCCTGCTCGTCTCGTCGATATCCAAGCCCGCAGTCAGTCTCGTCAAGCGCTGTGCTCGTCTCCACTCTATCCTGCCTACCTACCCATCCCATCCCTCTCCAAAGACTCATATCGCCAGAGGGCATCATGCCTCCCCAACTACTCCCGGCCTCGGCAGCAGCGTTTGCTCCCAGAGCTTCCTCTGTCAACGTCGTTCTAGGATCCAAGGTGGAACCGTGGCTGACCCAGACGTTAAAGCGCATCAACCGGATCAAGCGCCCGCTCAACAGTGTCCCGCAGCATCAGAGGTGTCTCACGGAAACGCTCTCCTCGTCAAACGCGATATGGACCCTCACGTCTCTGATGCTGGCCAAGGCGCCGGATGCCGACCTGAGGCAGGACAACAACCCCCTCGTGGAAGCCCTCTTCAACTACCAGCTCATCCACGTCGAGGCCTACATCGTCCATGTCGACATGGTGCTGCGCAACGAGGTCGCATATAAGCTGACTCCGGACACGATAGAGTCACTGATTGAGTACCACAAGGATATCCATTGCGCCAACGCCAAGGCCAACACGTACGACTGGACGGGCAAGGAACAGCAGTGCAAGAAGCTCCACGAAGACTTCGTCCAGGCGATCAACAAGTTCGTCTTCCGGACCCACGTCTCCGCTCTCGAGGGCTTGGAAGAGGACGGCGCCGGCGAGCTGCTGTGCGGAAAGAGCGAGGAGGTCAAGAACAACATCATGGGCCTGCTCAAGCCGCTATTACCACCACCGCCCAAGATCGTCAATGTGGTGCACCAACCGCCGCTCCTACCCAGCTCTCCCGCAAACGCCAGCATGTGGACCCAGGCCGCGACGACCTCGTCGCTCCCGGCGCCTGTAGAGGCATGGAGAGTCCTCCCGTCGAGCCCCAGCGTGACGTCGACATCCGCAGACTCCAACACCGCCTCCATGTGGGCTAGCATGGCAATGACCGAGGTTCAACTTCCGTCACCCACTCCGTCGTACAGCCAGCCCTTCTCAACAGCAGGCTTCTTCTACACGTCGTCGCCTGTGGTGACAGCCCCCATCCCGCAGCTGCCGCTGCCGAGCATGCTGATGCCTCAGTGCGGCGTGGCTGTCGGAAATGGCGGGTTCGGCGGGTTCGGCTGGGATCGCTATCAGGAGTACACCTCAACCATGTGACAATCACCGCAAAGCAGTGGCGCAAGCTACCCGGTCGTCACGACCTCCTGAATCGTCCCGGCCTCTTGTCGCGAGAGAGGTTCATTGCTACATGTCAATCACACTATATACCCACCACCACCCCTGTACGGCGTTTTGCGCAGCGGCATAGAGAAGCATCACATTCACGGCGTTGGGCACAGCATCAGCGGAGCGGCACTCGACGAACTCATCTCATCTTGGCCCAGATTAATCTCCGTCTCCTTTGTTTGGCTTCATTTCCTTTTATCTTCTAGCAAGCGAGCGCTGTGTCTGCTTTCTCTTCATCGTTCCGAGGTCTCTCTCGACCTCGCCACCACAACCGCAAGCTCGGTCATAAGCTGTTTCCATATACAACCTCATCATGGCTGGGTCCTGGGCGGGTACTTGTTGCATTTACAGCTGGGTATATACAGGAGGTCCCTTTTTTTTTCTTTTATACTTTTTTCTCTCTATCCTGTTCGCTATACAAAGAGGACATGCAGCAATGCACCATCGCCGCTCGGCAGGCAAACCGGGACAGATCTGGATTTCATTTTTTTCTCTCTACAATCCTCGGAGTACACGGCATAAAGAGGCTTTTTTCTTCAGAGATACCCTACACGCATAATGGTCACACTGACCACGACGCACTCGCTTCAGGATTTCCTTTTCTCTCCCTCAGCCTTGGAATTAATACTTCTTTTAACCCTGTCTGACGGATGATCCACGACCTTGACGACGAACGGAACCTAATGAGCTTAATCACGACTCTCGAAACGAATGAGATTGATTGATCACGACTCGATGTTAGACTTCAATCTACTTCACGAAAGACGACCAAAGCGATTTACGGTTTTTATCGAGTGTGTTGCAATGCTTGGACAGGATCCAACATGACGCACATCTCGAGACTCGACATGAAATTGAATCATCCGCGGCCGACGCAGAGTCTATCCGGCATAGGCTCTGGCAGGCAGACACTGGCTGTCGACAGGACCAAGGCGTCTGCTCCGCTCAGATACCTGCCGGCATTTGCCGGACGCAGATGGGATCTGGAGCGAGGTGGGAATCCAATCGAACCGACATGAAGAAGAGGCTGGGCACCCGTACCGTGGCATAACTGCTGGGCAGGGAGATGCAGAGGGGCCCCTTTACTCGTCGTTCTTCGCCGTAGCCTCTACCACGTCAGCACCTCCCCCCTTGCGGCTTCGCCCTGTTGGATGACTCGGACCCTTGCCACGACACAGTCCCGCCCAAGCAGCCTACCTTGAGAGATCTACGGTCCACTGCTAGACGGTGGCACTGACCATCAAGAGGCCATCTGCTTGGCGCGCCGGCTTGTCGCCTTGCCGCAAGGTCTACGCGAGCTCTTCGCAGGGCAGACCGTTTGGGGAAAGTGGTAGGGCCGGCACAATGTGGCATCATCTCACCACATGCCGATAAGTCTTCCTTGGGCGGGAGTGGTTTACTCACCACACGCATCAACATGCGCCACCCCCGTCCCAGAAGTGACGAAGGCGCGCCACCCAGGGACACACGGAGCGGACCTGCCGCGCAGGACCTCTGGCATTCCCTCCCTTTCCCTGGGGCTCTGGCATGAGATGCAGGAAACTTCTCTCAAACGGGTGGATCAGAAAGCGGCGTCCGGCCCTGGCGGCTGGACACCCCCTCTGCGGGCACACCGAGAAACAGTGTTGGCCCATTTGGCATCACACTGGTTTTGTCGTTTATATTAGTAGTTAATCTGAGCAATAACAGAAATCAAACAAAAAAGCAACCCTGTGTTTTAAAAAAAGGACAAAAAGCTTGATTGCCAGCATTTGCCTCTCTCCTCTTTGGTGGCTTTGACTTTTTGAAGGGTGGGTGGGTGACTTTGTCTCATAAGGGAATCGCCTCACTCGCCAGTGTATACACCCTTCTTTTTTCTCTTGTCTGCTTTTGCACTGCATGTGACATCGTTAAAGTATCATTGGGTACGAACGTCTGTCTTGCAAAGGTTGCATGCACATGCTTGTCTCTTCTCCCAAGCCAAGGATATGGTGGCTGTGCGTGCGCTGCACAGGCAAGCGCGCGGCGATGTACTGCATATGCCGACAACACCCGCGATTTATCTTTCCACAAGAAGAGCGCGGGATCGGAGGGCCTCACTGCGAGACACACTTACACATACACACACACACACACACACACACACACACACTCGGTGATACACGGTCCGTATTGAGATGGTCGAATGACCCCATGGTTACAGTATCATCCCGGGACTATCTGGCTCCGAACTGCGGCCGGGTGAGGTGAGGTGAGGAGGCCATTGCTCCTCGCTTGATTAATAACCCGTGCTGCTCTCTGTCCTGCCTTACACGAAGGGACTGAGAGGGGCGGGCGGTATTACAGCATGACGGCCTTGAGGGGACGGGGGAGACGCTGACATATCCTTCTTCTCTTTGGTTTCCTTGTCTTATAGGTTCGGTCCGTTCGGCAAACATGATGTATGTGCCTTGGGGGGTCTTACTGCTGTGTGTGTGTTTTGTGCAACTGCTGCTAGAAAGTCGTGCGAAGGGAACACAAAAGTAATCTATCTTGGCCACCCCCCTGAACTTTTGCGGCGGGCGGGCAATCCAATGACAAGGTGACAATCTAGTTACTCCTTTTCTCCAGATCAGGCAAACCCCTTTTCGACTTATCAAAAGGTGTTGCGCGGCTGGTCAATCTGAAGATGGGGAGGGGGTTGCGAAGAGACAGCGGGCTGTCAGCAACGATTGGAGTAGATACGAAGGAACCCTCTGCCTGTTCCCTGGTCCCGGTATCCCATTTAAGCCAAAGGGCTGTCAGGTCAGCGTTCTCCCACGGACCCGACAGCCCGGGCCTCCGTGCGGTTTGTTGCGGAGTGCTTGGGACGGCTCCTCGTTGGACAGCCTTCTCCCCTGCTCTTTGGAGGGTAGATGAGGTGGGTGAGATGAGCTGCGTGAGCAGCAACACTCAGCTCGCAAATTTGAAGGCAGCACGATTAATTTACACGATTGCCTAACTATTCCCCGGTTGGCAAAAAATCCGGGTGTAATTTGGTGAGTGAGGTAGGTTCGCGATGTTGCTTTTGCAACCTCGCAGCAGCATCGAGCATACGTTTTCTCACCCTCTTTCCCTTTGCATTCTGTTTTCTCCCTCCCGATTCCCCGCCACTTTCACCAGGAGCGGGAATCCTGTCAGCCTGGCAAGGTGTATTTTCTTAATTTTCAGAGGGATGGGTTTCCCTCGCACTTTGTCCCCGCCCAAGGTGCGGCGGTGCGTTACAGAGGGGGCAGCCTGGCGGGATCTGCGCGCATGCATGCATGCATGCCTGCATACATGCGAAGCAAAAGATGCAGTCAGCCCGTCGCAGCAGCAGCAGCAGCAGCAGCAGCAGCAGCAGCAGCCGCGGTCAGCAGGAGGAGGAGCCCCCTCTCCCCCCTCATAACCTTACCTGGAGATACTACCTGTCACTGGGTTCCGGATAGGTTGGGTAAGCCTCTTTTAGTCCTCCTTCCATCTTTTCGTTGGATCGGGCGGCGGGCGGGTTGGCTGACCGCAGACTGGTGCGTCTGCGCTGCAGCATAGCATAACAATAAGCGACGCCGTTGCCTGTTGGAGGTGCGGGGACCGGGGGTTCTGTTCGTAGGAAGAGGGAAAAAATGAGGGAAGAAGGCATTCACGGTGAGACCCGGGCGTCTCTTTTAGGATCCGCTTTCCGTCCCCTTTCGCGTCAGCGTCTCCTGTGCCCCCGGCGAGTTGTGTGCCCGGCAGACGTTGGGATTGTCGGTTGCGGCCAAACGAGGCGCGTGCCTTGCATGTGCATCTGGTGAGCCGGACTGGGGGACCAAAAGTGCTGTTTTCCCACCAAAAGCGCTTGCTTCACGCTGGTTGGCGCGGCTGGCGAAGAGAGGGAGGGAGGGAGGGAGGGTAGAGCCCCCCCCCCTGGTTCTAGGCAGTGATTTAACACACCTGCGGGAGGGATCACGGGAGTTGGCGAGGGTGGTGGTGGTGGTGGTGATCAAGGCTCGACTGGCCCTTGCTGGCTCCAGGACCGCTTTCTAATCGCTACAGCCACCCTCGGGACGTCTTGCCCCGGTGCCTCGAGCCCGCAGGCGGCAGAGCCGGGCATGGGCGATGGGCGATGGCGATGTTGGCCCGTTTGTGCGGCCCCCCGAGCTTACAGAGCCAACATCCTTGGACTGTTGCTTCTCACGTCCTGCCTTCTTGCTGGTTGCTTTCTAAGCAGGCGACGCCGAGCCCGGAAATACCAGGCGGTCACGTCACGGAGAGCAGCTTGTTGTGAGTTTTGCACCTGTCTGACGGCATGTTGCAGCCTGGTAGACGCAATCCTCCCCCGAGATGCTCTCCACGCCAATCCAACAGCCAAGCAGCGCTATCTCACTGCCTGCATGAGGCTCTTTGCTGTCAGTCGGCAGTCGAGTCCGAGGAGATGACTGGACGGGTTTGATCCTTCCCTGTTCCCTGGGCTAGGGTGTAGGGTGCTCGCCAAATCCACCATCCCCGACCACTGCCACTCACTCACCAGAGGACCGAGGCGTTGCCGGGGGGGCTGATAGAAGGGTCATGTGGAACAATGTTGCCCGATTCGAGGCTGAACGAAGTTCTCGTCGGGGCCAACGGACTGCAGCAACGGCCGCCGCTGGTGGGTAGAGCCCAATGCACAAAAGTTAGTTCCTCACGCAGACCGGGATCGTGCAGATATGACAGAAACTGCCCCGTAGGGGGGAGCTATGTACAGTACATGACACTTGATCCATCATGTCGATGTACAGTACATCCACCGCGGCTGCCCGTCCACGGCGAATTCTTTTGCAAAACAGATCAGAATGGCGTTGCGTCGACTAAGCCGCACAGAGCATTACACGCCAAGGGATTTGTTGTTGCTGTTGGATGATCACGATGATGACGACCCCCAACTCTCAAAAAAGGGGGTATGAGAGTCTTGGAGGGTTTCGGTCGACCAAGATGTCACACTTCGGTCAGGTTCTGCGATACGAGCTTTGTGACCCGAGTATGGTATGGCCAGAGGATCAAGCAGTTTAGACTAGATGTACTATCATACATCCGTTCGACCAACGCTGGTAGACGAAATAGAACCAATAGAACAAAAACAAACTGGACCGCATGCTTTCTTTACAAACCGCTTTTGTCGACAGCCTGGGCTGAAGAAGTAAAACCCACTCACTCCAATCATCATGCTAACCTCACTCAAGACACCCCCTGCCCCCCTCCAGCCCGGCCCCTGAACTCGGGGGACAAAACCACCCACTCACGCCCCGGAAACGAGCTCCCTCGCGATGCCCCTGGCGATGTGGTCCGCGATGGCCATGTTGGTGACCATGGGGTTCACGCCGCTCGCGCTGGGGAAGACGCTCGCGTCGGCGACGTAGAGCGCCTCGCGGCCCCAGACCCGGCCGCGGGGGTCCACCACCCCGGCCCCGGCGTGGCTGCTCATGCGGCACGTGCCCATCTGGTGCGCCGAGCTGAAGGCCGCGTCGGGCGTGCGGTTGCCCACCTTGCGGACGTGCGCGATCCACTTCTCGAACGCCGGGTCCGACACGCCGAGGTTGCTGCCGGAGTCGTCGTCGTCACCGCCCGCCTGCTTCTGTGGTGGTGGCGGCGGCGGTGCGGCCCGGACGAACGGCTCGATGCCCGGCAGCACGACCGCGATCTCGGTGGCGCCGGCGACGTAGCACATCTGGGCCAGGGCGACGGCGCCCTCGAGGGTGTGGGCGGCGTCGAACCGGGACGGGGTGTAGTCGATGCGGGGCCGGCCGGTGACGGGGTCCGGGAAGACGGAGCCCGAGTCCCGGTCGCGCGTGAGGGAGATGAAGTTGGCGAGGTGCCGGTAGCGCAGGGCGCCGAGCTTGAAGTCGAGGCCGCTGCGCCAGGGGACCCAGGACAGCGCCGCGTAGGGCTGGTCGAAGACGACGTTTTGTCAGCAAGAAAGAGGGAGAACATGACGGCTCCGGCTTACAGTGGGGGTGGTTGGTGGAGGAGGGAGATACAAGTAGATAGGTGTGTGGAGGGGACCTTGGCAACCAATCCTCCGGGGTATCGCTTACCAGCATACACGTCGGCTCGAGCTTGACGCCGTGGCCTTGTCCGTCCAAGTTCTCAAAGCTTGTGCACACGCTCGTGATGATGCCGCCTAACCATATATATATCGTGGTTAGTTTTCTGGCAGCTTGCTACACACAAAGAAAAAGAGTTTGCTGCCCCGAACTCACCTTCCCAGGGACGAGTCTCCTCCTCGAAACAGGCACTGACAAAGTTGCACGGGTGCAGGCGGAGGTTGCGGCCGAGGTTCCGGTTCTACATATACAGTCAGTCAAAAGGAGTTATAAACTCTCTTCCCCCTTCCGCATCCCCCCCCCCTTCTGTCCTAAAGATAGAGTAAGTGCAACTCACCTTGACACCGCTCTTCATCAAGATAAGCGGACTCCAGAGCGAGCCGGCCGAGAGGACGACCTTCTTGGCCCGGATCTCGACCTGCCGCGTCGTCCTCTCCGACAGCGGCCCGCTGACGCCGCCATTGCCGTCCCGGGACGTCCACGTGCCCACGACGCCGGTGGCCTTCTTGCCGTCGTCGTCGAACAGCACGCGGTCGACGAGGAAGCCCTCGATGAAGCGGGCGCCCGCCTCGGCCGCGGCGGGCAGCCAGCTGACGACGGTGCTCAGCTTGCCGGCGCCGCCGCACCCGAGGTGGCAGTGCCCGCACCAGTGGTCCTCGCCGGCCGAGTTGACGGGCGTCGCCTTGGCGTGCCAGCCGAGCCGGCGCGCCCCGTCGAGCACGACGCGCGCGCGGTGCGGGTGCCGGACCCCGTCCTCGGACGCGCCCGCGAGGCCGCACACGCGGTCGAGCGCGTCCTGGAAGTCCTGCGTCTCGAACCAGGCCAGGCCGTGCTGGCGCGCCCACTCGCGCCGCACGAAGCCCTGCGTCTGCAGGCAGACGGACCAGTTGACGGCGCCGCCGCCGCCCCAGCACCCGCCGGCCACGGCGCTGAGCGAGCCGTCCTCGGTCGCGATGAAGCCTTGGTTCTCGTACATGTAGCGCGACCCTTCCTCCTGCGGCATGGGCAGCTGCGAGGGCGGGAAGTAGCTGCCCTTGTCGACGACGACGACGCGGTGGCCGGCCTCGGCGAGCGTCCTGGCGACCACGGCGCCGCCGCAGCCCGAGCCGACGACGACGACGTCGGTCTCGATGACGGCCGGCGCCGGGTCCGCGGGGAACTGCAGGAAGGTGTAGTCAAAGTGGCGGCCGGCCTTCCAGTCGGCGGGCACGTCCGGGTAGCCGGTGATCTGCTTGAAGAGGGGCGACGTCTCGAGGTAGGCGACGTGCGCGACCATGGTGAGGGACTTGCCGAGGCCGCGGAGGGTGCCGATCCACGACTTGAGCCAGGACTGGAGGATGGCCTCGCGGATGTGGATGGGCTGCTCCTGGACCGGGGTGCAGTAGCCCGTCAGGACAAAGGCACCGGCTCTCGACCTGGTGGGCAGGGGCTCGTGTCAGACGAGTGAGGCGCGGGAGGGATGGGATGCACATGGCTTGGGACTCACGAGAGAAGCGAGAGGACGCCTCCTAGGTCATTCTTCGTCTTGGGAGGCAGGCTGTCCAGTGTCCTCTTCAGGTTGTCGACAAAGGCCGGCTTGTCGAGCATCCTCTCCTGCAGGTATGCCTTGAGCAGCTCGTCGCTCGGCTTCATCTGCACTGACGCCTGGGCCTTGGCGGCGGCGGCAGAATATTGGGACTGGGACAGCTTGCGCTGGTCGAACTTGTTGGTCACGTCCGATTCGGACACGATAGACGGAACGACGGCGTCGAGCAGAGACAACAGCACCTTCCATTGCGTCTCGTTCCAGAAGTCTCCCGAGGGCGCTGCGGCCAGCGGTGGAGGGCACGGTGCTTTGAGGTCGGCTGGGGGAGCCGTCTCTGGGACATGGTACTCAGAGTACGAGGAGGAAGACATGGCTGCCGGCTGTGGTGGGCAAGAGCTTCACGTCAACGCGGCCGCGTGTCATTCAAGATGTGATGAGGTCTACGCTACGAAAACAAAAGATAGAGGGTCGCGACACATCGATATATAAACCACTTCCTCGGACTAGCGGGCGGCAGAGAAGCAGGACCACCACAAGGGCTAGCCTGCCACGAGCTGAAAAGAAACATGAGACGATTGTCTGGCTCTCCTTTGCCCAAAAGGGCCATCACAAAAATGAAGATCACAGCTCCAAAAGGGACAAGGCAGCTCCTGCATCCCCTCTTCCCCTCGGGGTTTTGGAGAAGGGCGTCTACCAGCCAGCGACGTGGGTGTGGAGATGGCCGAGCCTGGATCGGGAATGGCTTCACGCTGGAGCTCCAATCGATGCGGTTCCGCGCTGGTGCAGGCCGCTAAAAAAGGACACCACCCCAGACGACTGGGCTGTCACTGGTGCGTCTGTCCGCGGGGAGCGAGTGGCTCTGCTCTGGCACCCAAAAGGACACTCGCTCTGTACGAGGATTGCAATGCAAAAGAAGCTTGCAAAGGCTGATGGCATGTCTCCTGTAGCCACGCTGATCCCCCATGTCTACTTGCGACCATAGGTCGGGCTTTCTTTCGATTGTGAGTGCACAATGCCTGGCTCAGACCTCTCGATGCTGGACAGGCCTACGGGAGCGCCGGATACAGCCATTCTCGGTACCTATTCGACGACGCAGGTGGCCTTTGCACACACGCGCGGGGGAGACAGGGTTTGAGCTGCATATGTTGGGTTGTGCAATCCGCGAGCGAGCCAAATAGAAGCTTCGCTGGTGGACTGACTGGCGTATTGGAGCGTCTTTCAATGCGGGGGAGCCTCGGCTTGCGGTGGAGACGCTCGACCAGACGGCGACCTCGTTGACTTCAGCTCGTGCCACTCACTCGGGAGCCCTGCGATTACCTACGGAGTAGGGAGAACAGACCCCAGCGTCGAGATCTCTCGTCGCATCAAGGCGTCTCGAAGGAGGCCGTGATATTGTGTGAAGGAGAGTTTTACTGGCTCCGGTGCATTGTTCTCACTTGACTCGGGGACACTCAACTTCATCGACAAACTTGTGTCAGTCCCGGCCTGATGACACGGCCAACCCTCTCTGCGACTGCCAGTGGCATGCCGGGCACACAATCAAGCATATGAAACATGCTGTTGTTCGGAAATGGCGCTGCTGTTTTTTTGGAAATACCACGCAGGCCCTTTGATTCTGCCGGAGAGTACATAGTCGAGTCAGTATTCTGTGAGTCAGGACGGAGGTAAGGCAGGCGTGTTGGTGATAACCTCGCGTCAAGGGAAGGGTCCATCGGATTTGGACTCTTGCCTGAGCGAGGTAGAAAAGCCCATTCGGATGAGCATAGACAACTGATTGTCTCCCATTGGCCCCATTGCCTCCATTGCCTCCATTGCCTCCATTGCCTCCATTGCCTCCATTATTAAGCAGCAATCCCACCCACCAGGTCAATTTGATCAGTTTGGCTGTGTCGGCGGTGATGATGTTTCTTTCGATGTTCGATGTTCGATGTTCGATGTTCGGATTTGCTTTTCTTTTTTTGCTTGTGACAGTGACCAACCCGAGTTTGTTGAGGATGCGGAGCGGGCTTGGCCTCCATCGCCTCCAGGGTCTGCCTCAATCCCGGCCGGTGCTGCTGTCTCTTTGTGGTAAAAGTTGGGTCCCTAGTCGTTACCTGCCGGGGACATGGACCCTGGGAAGCCTGAATGCGGCTCTACTGCTTCTCGACATTGCGAGGTACGATAAGTAGAAATTACTACAAGTCTGATAAGCCAGCACTAGTTAGTCTTATTACCTAGGTAGTTATTCATCCCATCCTTATTAAGGAGAAGCCCTTATTTCTTGCAGACTGGTTCAAATCGTGCCATTCTCTAGGTGCTTACAGTACAGTTAGGTACCTAAAGACAAGTACAGTACGTAATCAATGGCTCCCCCGGACCCTGAAAAAAAACCCCCGCTGGCAAATCATGTTTCACAGCAACTTCCGTCTTGGGCTACAGGCCCGGCCAGTCCTTGAACGGCGGTGGCGGCTTCGCTCCGGCGCTCTGGTTGGCTGCCACTTGCCTTTTCCCAACAAAAATTGGTTTGGACGTCCAGTCGCTCCGCCTGGGCGTGCATTCATCCAGTGACAGCAATCCTGTGATTCTCATCTTGGGCGACTTCTGTTCAGCACATGCATGCACTGTCTTTTTTCCCGAGCGTGCCGTACCCGCCGCGGAAGCCAGTTTCCTGGTGATCATGTTTCATCTTGTGCTGTTTCATTGACTGCCTGCCCTGTGTGATTGCCAAGCAGAGATACAAGTGGAAAGTCCGGTCTCTTTATTTCCAACTTGTCTCTCTCTATGCGCGGCCAGACGGACATGATCAGTATCGCCAGCTGAAGCCAAATTCGGCAGCGTCCAACACGAACCCAGCTAGGTAGCTACAGGAGTGCCGAGGATCTCGCGTGTGGTGGGTGGTGGGTGTCTGTCAAGTGGATCTCTACCCTGTTCTACCCTGTTGGTATCAACTTTTTTTTTTTCTCCACGCCCAGCTGCCGAGTTCGAGAAGGGCTCCTCCAACGGCCAGTGATACCTCAAGCACACAAGGGCATTGTCGAGCGTACGAGTAGGAAAGGGATGCAGAAATAATAAGAACACGGAACACCGCTCGACACGCATTCATTCCCCTCGAGAATCCTCTGCTCCGTAGAACCTGGTTCCTCCTCCTCCTGACCCGTGCTTCCGACCCGCCGCACTTATACGGACCGAGTACTTGTACATACAACCATACCTCCTCTATACATAGCTTCCCTTGCCAAATCTCTCTTTCTCACTCCAGTCTCTCAGCCTCCCCTTCATCTACTTAGGCCTTTACCGGGACCCAGACCAGACAGATTTTCCTTTCCTACTTGTTTGGTTTTGTTTCCTAAGTTTTGACGTCTCGGCCGTCTGCATCGTCGGTTTCGCGCGACGAGTCGATCCTCAACAAAAGAGCTCCGCGCCCCACCAGCCTCGGCGTCTGGGCACACGACAGGCGACAAACTTGCTCCAGCTCCCAATCCTCCCCCCCGGGGTCAATTGGCGATATTCTGAACCTGTCAAGCCTCTGTCAGGTCTACCTTCGCTCCTCGACACCCTCACGCCCACGGCTCAGGCCCCCAGCATCTCACAATGGCTTCCGCACAGCCCGTCATGGCAACTCTGCCCTCCTCGTCCTTTTTCAAGTTCCCACCCAATTCGAGCCCGGCTTTCATTCCTCCTCCGCCCCCGGGCTCCATGGCCTTCGCTCCGCCCTTCGAGATTCCCGATCACGTCTATACCGCCCTGCTCGACCCCAGGGTCCCCCTCACCATTGCCACTGTGTATGCCGTGACTGTCAAGGCCCTCAACAGGTACAACAAGTCCACCAACAAGCGGCCGTGGGGCATCAGCAAGACCAAACCCTTCTTCTGGTTTGTCGTCCTCCACAACGTCTTCCTGGCCGTCTACTCGGCATGGACCTTCTGGGGCATGCTCGGCGCTCTGCGCCGCACCATTGTGAGCCCCATGGGCCCGACCGGGCTGGCCGGCACCGTCGACAGCTTCTGCAAGCTCAGCGGCGCGCCGGGACTCGGCAACTCTGCCTACTTTGACGAGGAGACGAACCAGTGGCAGAGCTTCGCCGCCGGTGCCGTCCCCGGCATGGAGCCCAGCCGCACCCAGCCCGGCCGCATGTGGAACGAGGGCCTGGCCTTCTACGGCTGGATCTTCTACCTGAGCAAGTTCTACGAGGTCCTCGACACCTTCATCATCCTGGCCAAGGGCAAGTTCAGCTCGACCCTGCAGACCTACCACCACGCCGGCGCCATGCTGTGCATGTGGGCCGGCATGCGCTACATGAGCTCCCCGATCTGGATGTTCTGCTTCGTCAACTCGGGCATCCACGCCATGATGGTACGTCTTTTTTGTCCCTCTTCTTCGTGGCGGGAGAGCAGCTTGGGCTTTTCCCCGGTCGACACCCAGAGATGGATAACTAACCTCGATCATTAGTACACCTACTACACGATCACGGCCTTCAACATCAAGGTTCCCATGCTCATCAAGCGCTCCCTGACCACCCTGCAGATCACCCAGTTCCTCGTCGGCGCCTCCTACGCCATGGCCCACTCCTTCGTCTCCTACACCGTTCCGGTCGCCGTCAAGGTCGCCCAGAACACCACGGCCGGCGCCTCCGCCGCCGCCGCCGAGGAGCCCGCGCTCATTGATAACATCAAGAACCTGATCCTCGGCGCCGCCTCCAAGGTCGCCCAGCCCATCGCCCCCTCGGCGGCCTCGCAGCAGGCCGCCGCCGGAACCGCCGCGGAGCACACGACGTACGCGCAAAAGGTGGTGCCCTGCATCACGACGTCGAGCCAGACCTTTGCCATCTGGCTCAACGTGCTGTACCTGGCGCCCCTGACGTACCTGTTTGTGAGCTTCTTCATCGCCTCGTACATTCGCCGGAGCACGGCCGAGAGCGCGCGCGCGAGCAAGAAGAGCCGGGCCCTGTCGGCCGCCGACGGCAAGGGCGGCGCCGACGCCGCGACGGCGGCCGTGCTGCGCCGCCTCAGCAACGTCGTGCTCGCCGAGAAGGCGGGCTGGGATGCGGCCCGCGGCCTGGAGAAGGAGGTCTACGGCGAGAGCAATGGCGACGGCAGCGCGGTCGTCTTTGAGGAGGAGGAGGATGGCGACGAGGCTGCGCCGGCCAAGTTGGCTGTGCCGGCCAAGGGGGCTAACGGCAAGGCCAAGTCTGGCAAGAAGGGCAAGAGGTGAGAAGGGTGAGTTGCAGTGTGTGCGCGTTGGTTTGGGAAGACTTGTGGAGGATGGGTGAGGAAGTTGGTTCGAGGATGATGAGGTGTGGGCGACTGACTGCCACGCCCTTTCCAATCAATACTCATTCAGCGAGCAAAGTTGAATTTGTATTTTCTTTTTTTTTGGTCTTTGATGGGCAGAACAACAGAATGGCGAGCGAGCCATAGAATAGAGAGAGGACTTTTAGAGAAGAAGAACAGAGAGAGGGAGAGGGAGAGGTATAGAAAGGTCTGGGAGAGGTTTTGCGTGAGTGGCAACCCAAAAAATGGAGGTCTACGGGGAGATATAGACATTGGGCATTATGAGCTTGCGACATCTGCGGCTCGGAGCATCAAAAAGGGGGGGAGTGGCAAAGGGGGCCCCCGGGGGGTTTTGTGTGGTATATATACATGTGAACTGGCGTTACTGTTGATATTAGCGGAAATTTCCAAATCTTTGTTTTCTGCAGCAGAGGCTGTTTGGTGAAGCGTCTTGTCCTCTATGTGTGTATGTGAGATGAGATGGTGCATACTTGCTTGGTGACGGGGTGTTGTGTGTTCTGTATCCATCCATGATTGTGAATTGCTTCCTCTGGTGTTGTATGAGATGGTCAAGGTAGAGAGGGTTCTCGCCAGACTTCATCAAAGGATCACACACACTGGTCTCATGGCATGGGAACTCGACTCGGGATCGCGGTTGTTCAATCTTCTTCTTCTTCATTAACTTCATGGTATCTGTCTAGTGTTTGAAAAAAAAAAAAAAGGCTTCCCAACGAGACGACCAAACCACCTCATTCATGCATGCATGCGCGCGCCGAGGGTATGTATCAAAATTAGAAAGAAAAAAAACAAGACACCGCTTGCTTGCAAGATCTCCCGGCCTTGACTCTTCTCTCTCTCTCTATATATATATATACCTATACCCTGACTGGAGGAAAACCATGTCCAATGCCCGACGCGAAAATGCGGCAAGAAATCGAGAGAGGTGGGTAACAAAAAAAGACTCCAGTTCGGGGGAAGGTATATCAAAAGGCTTTGCGCAAACGCAAACGTAGACACACAAGATGTCTTTTCCCTGGAGCACAAATAAGGATGGGAAAAAACAAAACCCCTGCCCAGATCTAATGGAGAAAATCGAGGACCTAAACGCCGATGCTGTGCAAGGACATCCCAAAATCAGGACCTTGTCCGAAAGAGATCAAAAACGCAAAAATCAAAAGAGAAACTCTGTGCTCTAGGCCAAAGTCTAGGTCGTGTCCATCAAAGTCATGCTTGCTGGCAAGAGCGATCATGGGTAGTAATCACGCCCGTTCTATAGTCGTTCACTGATCATGTCAGGTGAGGGTGGTGGTCGTAGTAGTGAGGTAGGTGTGGATAGTTGTGTAGACGAGAGAGACCAGCCGTGGATATTTCATAGCTAGATCTTTGGGTATCAGCGACGGGTTGTCTGGCCGGAGCGCTGTTGGGCTGATGGGTGGCGGTGTAGAAGTGATGTGTGTCCTTGTGTGTCCCGAGACGGTTTGCTGGGTATATATGGCGGAGAAACGCAGCCAGGGAGGTTAAGCGGCGTGCTTTTGCTGCTGATGCTTCGAGATAACAAAGCCCGAGGTGAAGGCCTCCGGCTCTTTCCGCCTCCCCAGGTCGTATAGGCGCCTCCTTGGGACCCCGACGTCGTCCTCGGTGAAGGGGAAGAGCATCTCCGGGGGCGGCGGGGTGGGGCAGAGGAGATAGTCGTCGTTCACCTAGAACGTGCTCCAGTTCCAGTCCCGCGGGACGCTCATGGCGACCTCGGCGGGCGCCTTGGGCGGGTTCAGGCCGCCGCTCTTGCAGGCGCCGGCGGCGACGGGGCTGGCGGGCGCCGTCGCGCTCGTGTGCTGGGGCAGAGGCGTGGCGGGTCCCTGCGAGTCCACCGAGGAGGAGGTGGAGGAGGACTGGCTGTTGGCGCGGCTGCGCCAGGACTTGAACTCCTTGTAGCAGTGGGAGCACGAGCGAGAGGGAGAGCCGCGGGGGTTGTAGTTGGCGCTCTCGTCGAGGGGGACCTCAAAGGCCGAGTGCATGTCGCAGAAGATGTTGCCGCAGCGGCGGCAGTGGTGCCGCCGGTTGAAGTAGGTAAAGTGTCGCTTGCAGGTGGGCTCGTCGCAGATGGTGGAATCGGCGTCGGGCTGTGGTCCATCACGATCAGCTTGCGCTCAGATCACCAGTGAGGGTTTCGAGCGAATGAGTAGTGACAACATACCTTCCAGTGATCTCTGGACGGGAGACCGTTGACCTCGGGAAACTGGTCCAGATTCCAGCTGCCGTCGATGCACTTGCCGCTGTCGCCGGTAGACCGCCTGCTCAGACGGCTAATGCCGATCGCAGCGAGGCCGGGCAGGCTGATAAAGCTGCCGCTCGAGCGCGGCGGCTGCTCATCGTCGGCGGCTCCCTCCTCGGCCTTTGGCCTGGGATAGGGCGCTTTGCATGAGTGCTGCGTCGGGCGCAAGACGGCGGGGATGTAGGAAGGAGGCAGCTGGCGGGCGCATCGCGGCTTGGGGGAGGTCGGGGAAGAGCCGGTCGAGGTGCTCATCGTGCTGAGAGGCGAGACCTGGGGGCTGCTCCGGTAGCTGGGGTTGTAGTGAGAGGACTGGAAAGGCGGCAGCTGGTTGTGCTGTGGCTGGTGGAAGTTGCTGTGCGGTGGGCCAGGTGCCTTTGGCATTATGAACTGCGTTGCCATAATATTATGTTCAATAGAGCTATCGAGAAATGTTGTTGGCGGCGAGAGAGAGAGAGAGAGAGAGAGAGAGGGCGGTCGGCGGGCAATGCGATCGCGGGCCGGGGTTTGATTCGAAGTCGAGTCGCGCGACCAAAAGAAAGGACCACAAAGACTCGGTGAAGATGGTAGAGTATTAAAAGCCAGAAACCTAGCGACGAGCCTGTGATGTCGTCCTTCTACCCAAAGACTCTTTCGAGGAGCGACCTCTTGTGGTGTGGAAGTGAGAAGCGGGCGAGAGGTGCCGGGGCGGCGCAGTGGTCAAGTAATGCGAATGTTGCGTCGGGAGGAGCAGCGAGGTAGCGTCGCTCTAGGGTGTGTTATGGAGGGCCGGCAATTGGCGGGTTCTGCGCAGTCGGTGTACAGCGTTGACTTTTCGGGGAAGGGCTAGCAATGCACAATGCAGCAACCTCGCAAGATCAACACCCTTTTTCCCTTTAAGCTTGGAGAGACCGGGGAGCCATTTGGGATTAGGAGAGAAGTTAATAAGAGGTAGGTGTGTGTACGGGAGTATGTGTCGAAACTCTGAAAATGGGCGCGCGTCTGTATTCACCGCCGGTGGCTTGGAGGAGAGATAAGGCGACTGACTGGCTGAGTGATCGGACCAGACTGGTGAGCAGTGATTATACAAGTAGGTATGTATGATATGGGCACGAGATAAGGCATGTAAGGCGAGGGAAGGGGTCCTAGTTATTTCATTCCTTGAAAAGCGGACCGCACAATGCAAAGCAGGGGCTGCCTCTACTTGTAGGTAGGTACGGAGTATGTATCCTCGGGTGTGAGGGAGAGGATCTCGACGAACACCCAGAGGCTGGGTTTCCCTCTATTATCGAAGCCTCTGTCTGGTCGTCGAATTGTCAAATACAGCCGATCTTACTCGCGGGCCTCGGGGAGGGAGGGAGTGGCACCCACCCCCCCCATGGAGACAAGCACCCGTTGAGCCAGAACTCGCAGTCCGTCCTCAGTCCTTGTCGCCGCCTGGAAGTGATGGGCGGTGGGTATCCTGTCTTGCCTGTCCAGTGTCCACCCATGTCCGTCTCTGTTTAGGGGATCTCTAGCGTCGCATACCATCCCGGCCGCCGGCGCAAACGTGGATTCGCTCGTCCTGGCTCGTGTCTCCCGTCCCACATGGTGGAGCAATGGCATGGTTCACTTGTGCAGTAGTCCTGGGCGATGGCTTGCATGGACTGGGTTTGCAGTGGCCGACCTGGGCCATTTGGGCGAATCTCGATGGGACCCGGGATGGATCCCACGGTTCTTGGGCGTGTGAGAGACGAGAGACATGGATGGACCCTCGTCGTCTGCTCAATTGCCCAAACAAGGGAAGGACCGCCCATCAGTCTCTCGCTTGCCCGCGAAAAAGGCACTGATCTCGAGCTCATAGCTCATCGACGACGTCAGGCCTTGATCGGTGCGGCTGGTATCACCAGATTTCAATGCCAGAGCAAGCAGCAGACAAGGGCCTGATTTTGATACCGGTATCTCCTCCCCGCGGGGTGATGCCGTTGGCGTCATAGTCCTGACGATCGTGTGGTCTAACTTTATGACAGTCTGGCCATCAGAAACTCTATGTATGCGAGGATGGAGGAGAACGGAGAAGTTCATTCCTCAGGAGATTCACACCCTTCCCTGCCGTCTTTGGTTGTTTGTAAAACGGCTGGCTGGTCCTGCTACTCCGTCCGGTACACCTACTCCGTACAATTTACAATGCAACTCCACGCCGTTGCCGTCACCTCCGCAGTCGGAATGCATCCCTGCCCACAGCGTGCGTGCGACACTGAGACACATCTTGGGGTACCTAGACTCCTAGCATGCATCATGCCCTCTCGAGAAACTCTCTCTCATCAACAGTCTCGAGGCTTGATCGCAGAAAGAAGGCATGTACCTCGTCCAAGGATTGATAGACATGTCGAGAGACCCTAAGAGTTTTAGCGACGGGGAGCAAGCCTCTCGACTCGCGCGTCCCGTTCGTCCTGAGTCGAGAGAGTCGAGAGAGTCCGAGATGGCCTAGACATGGCCCAGAGATGCAGTGACGCCGGTCGCAATTTAGACTCGCACCTGAGAATCCCCACCATTGCCGTCAAAAAACCACCCACCAGTGCCACCCAAACAGCCATTCACCATCGCTACCACCACACCACCAATGCATCGCTCATCTCTCAATCTCTCAATCTCTCCCAATACGACCCCATCGCCCGTCGCCGTCGTCCAAATTGCCACTGCCACCTCCGTCAGCCGCGCCAGACCTGCTAGGGTTACCTCAGTGGCTGCCGCATTGAGACATGCCGGTTGGTGCTACCGAGATACCCTTCCAGAACAGAAGGATAACTCGGGTACTCTGTAACTTTGATTCAGCTGCTACTTGCCTCAAGTCGGTATCTTCTGCTGGCGACAACCTACGTCCTAGTTAGGTGTCCTGGTGCATGAACAGAAAAGCTCCGCCGCCTCGGCATTCTCCTCTTATCTTTGGTCGTCTGCTCATTGGCTCCAACGTGCTGGGCCAGCGGTCCCACCGCCTCTTGCGGGATCGGATACCCACAGCGTCAAGGGGGAGGCCGTAAGGAGGAGGGTGGGCGAGGCGGGCGAGGCGGCCTGTCGCATGCTTCGTCCTCCCCAGGCCGCCCCTCGAGCTGGCTGTCGCAAAACTGGAAATACTGGGGAATACATGCCTGTCCATCTCGTTCTCACGTGTCGTTCTGCGCCCGCCGAGTCTCCCGCACCTTGTGCTTCAGCGCTTTCTTGAATGCTCACACGATGCCACCAAACGAGCAGGATCAATCGCGCATGAGCAAAAGCAAAGCAAAGCGTGGGCCTTGGTACAGCATTGGGCTGGAGAGAGCAGGGAATGCTCTCTCTCTCACCGCTTCGACCTGCCATGAGGGGAAAAGAAAGGCTCCTCCTCACGATGCCTGCATCCTGCCCAGTGTGTGCCACGCCTCCTCCAACGCGGGAATATTGCCCAGCTCCTCCGCCTGGACGAGACAATCCCTGCGCGCCATCCCTGCACCTGCATATTCAACGGGTCTGCTTCATCTCAGTTTACAACACCTCATAGGCCAGCTCTGGACATCTTATCGTCGCCGCGTGATTGGTCTGTTGATCCCTCCCGAATTCTGGAATGTCTCGAACTAACGGGGACTGGGCGCCGGGACTAAAGATCGAACTATGAAGTCAAGCTCCCATCGGCTAGGCCGCAGTCCAATGGCCACGGAGATCTCTTGTCCTGTTGCATCACCGTCACAGCAGATCTGAAAGAATGGCGGGCAGGTTGACGTAGGTAGCCAGGAAGCCTCGCGGCGGTGACAGCCTCTCCTGAAACAGCCCTCGCTTGTGTCATGCACGTCACTACCGAGTGTATCGACGATGCGTCGTGTTGTTTAATTTCTCGATCGTGGTTCAACCAGTACCGACTAGGCAGTGTTGGTTGTTCTATTGTTGGCGGCTCCATGCCGACCGTTTGCCGACATTACCGACCTGCCACGCATCCGGGCTGAGGACACACGCTTCCCGGAGCTGAAAGACCGTTTTTCGAGACCGCCAGACAGACACTTTACCCAACGATTTGGACCCTGGTTTCCACTCATATGCAGGATAGGGGCCGTGGCCCGCAGCAGCCGACCCTCCCTCCGCAGGGTCTCGCGTCGTATATTTATCAATGCGGGCAGCCTCCCGATGTTTCTCATGGGGGACAGTGGCCATGATCCGTTGTCGGGGCACTCTCAAACCCCGAAACAGGTCGGTGCAGGTGACCAAATGCAGACATTGTTCACTGATTTTGAAGGCTGCTCGGGCACAGAGAGCTTTAGCCACGGTCTGGCACAGGTGACCATCCATCTGTAGATCGGGATTTCGATGTACGGGTTCACAGCATATCGGTGGGACACGATATGGTCTCCGAGTCGGCCAAGAGCAGGATACGCCGGGTCAGAGCCCTCATAGCTTTTGCATGTTGAAGGATCAGAGAGCGGCGGGGGTTGGGCGCCGTCCTGTTGACCAGGAGAGTCTATAAAAGAAGCTAAATTCCCCCCTCGATGGGAGAGAAAGAGGCGAACCAGACAGGACACCAAGACCTATTCAGAACAACCGAAGCCAACATCTTCAACACTGTTTTACTACACTTATCATCATGAAGTTCACCACTGCTCTCGTCACCCTCGCCGCTGGCGCCTCTGCCATGCCCTGGGCCTCTCACTTTGGCACTGGCAAGCACCACCGCAACACCAAGGACGACGTGACGTACGTTTACATTCGCGTCCAGAGAGCCTGCTACTGGAAGGATTGTACAAGCTGACGATGACTGTGTGTGCCTTTGAAGCGTCCACATCAAGGTCGACCAGAGCCCCGTCCGCTCGAGCAAGCTTCACGCTTCCAACTTTGAGATCTGCTGGCTGGTCTGCTGGCCCGAGGCGCCCACTTGCCCCGATGGTTGGGTACGTGATACCGCAAAGAACGCTCCCATATCTTCTTTGCCACAAGCTGACTTTGCCGGCCTTGGCGAACAAACAGTACTCGAACAACATGGTGAGTGTACCGTTGCGTAGAACACAATTAGCATGTCTCGTAAACTCTTCATGTAAGAAGAAGCAAGCAGGCAAAAACCGGCGGCAACGCAGGCAGTTGGACAACGGTTCCTAACTAAACCAGAGCACGGTCCAGCGTGCGTTATCCCCTACTAAAACCTGCTAGTCAGTACTTGTAGATCAACGGACGCAGAGGACCCTGAATCTTTACAGAGTGGAGGACACCAACAAGCCCGCTCGTTCGCTCTAACCTTCGTTCGTCGGGTCGGCGGCGAAGAGGTTCGTCGGGAGGGCTTACTGAGAGCAGCAAAGCAGCAGCCCAGAAGTGCGACCAGGGCCGCCCGAGATGGGTCCCCATTAGCTAATAGATTGCCTCGCGCCGCCGCACTAGACTAGGCCCCGGGACTTGGCGAGAAGAGCAAACCAGTTCTGGTAAACTAATCACTCTCTTCTGTGCCATCAAGGAGGCTAGGACACTCGGCCAGCCGCAACCTGATGAAAGAGAGAAAACAGAGCAGAGCTCGTGTTGACCGGGCCAAAAGCAGCAAGTGATGCTAGCCCAAGTTGGGGGGGGGGCATATGGTCGGCAAAAGACCGAGACGTGCCTTGTTCCTGTTCCTGGACCTGACTACTTGCAGATGTTTGCCCCCACGATGATCCCTCTTAACTAGGTGGGAGGGATCCCGCGCGGACAGAAAGGCTTGAGCCGCGAGCAGCCTAATTTCTCACCTCTGTTTGGCTACGCAAGGACGTGCTTGTAACTACTTGTATCTGTTCCTTTGCCTCTCCGTCGGTGGGCAAAGCCTCCCAGTGTCGCCGATGGCAAGCCGGGGGCGTTGCCACTCCTTCCAGAAGCCTCGGCCTCGGTGGATGGAAGCATGCTAGCTCTGCTGCTGCCGCGCGGAGAAATGTCGGGGAGGCCGCTACTACATACGACCATCACTCTCGAGTCGCGGCCACCAGACTACCAAGTACGGATGCGTATGCATGTGTGATGTTGGCGAAACTGGTCGCGTGCCCCATACTTGGTCAGAATAAGCAAACTTGATTTCATTTGCCCTGAGAATGGCCGGGTCCTTATTGCTAGATGTCATTCGCACGGATGCAAGACGGTGGTGGCTTGCCGCCGGGCCGTAAAGGGGCCCTGAGACTAATAAGGGGTCTCGAAAATCAGGGTCCTATGAGGGCTAGACCATACCAGCTCCCGTAGACTATCGTCACTATTTTGACTATCCCTCACCCAACATGGCATTTCTCGTACAAGGTAGATTCCCATGGCCCGGCGCGACGCAGACTACACTCGCCCGAGCAAGCCCCTCAAGCTCTCTAAACCCCGGACTGGTCCTGCACGCCCTCCACCCACCGGCCGCTCTTGCCCCCGTCCTTGAACACGACCCTGAGCCCCTCGACCCGCATCCCCTTGTCGACCGCCTTGCACATGTCGTAGACCGTCAGCGCCGCGGCGCCGGCCGCCGTCAGCGCCTCCATCTCGACGCCCGTCTTGCCGTCGCACTCGACCGTCGCCCGCACCTCGACGGCGGCGGCGGCGACGACGACGTCGAGCTCGACCGAGACGTGCGAGATGGCGACGGGGTGGCACAGCGGGATGAGGTCGGGCGTGCGCTTGGCGGCCATGATGCCCGCCACGCGCGCGACGCCCAGCACGTCGCCCTTGCGCACCTGGTTCGCGCGTATCAGCGCCGGCGCCGGCGACCCGGCCGAGAAGCGCACGGTGCAGGCGGCCGTGGCGGTGCGGGACGTCGGCGCCTTGGACGAGATGGAGACCATGTGCGCGGAGCCCGAGGCCGAGACGTGCGTCAGCTTGGGCGGCGCGGGGGCGGGCGCTGTATGAGGAGGAGGAGGAGGAGGAGTCATCTGTGATTCTTTCGTCTTGCTGTCGTTGTCCTTGCGAAGCGCGCGCCCGCTCATGGATGAGAACAGACGCGCGGGCTGTGGTGGTGCATGATGTGTAAAGGGGCCAGAAGCGGGGGTGAATGCTGGCTGTCGCCAGGGCGTGGTAGTGATAGTCGTAGGCGTGCGAGTGAATGTGGCCCCGGCCTGTCCGACGGGCCTCCAGATGACGGAGGGTGGTGTCATCCCTCGCGGACGGATCGAGTCTGTGTTTCCTCCTTAGTTCATATCGCGTATGAACTCGGCTATGAGATCACCAGGGAGGATTCCGGGGTAGCTACCCTGACTGACGGGGTAACGGGGCATCATCGGAGGATGATGAGATATATTTGTGCGGCGCGCAAAAGGGGGTGGAATCTTCTACCCACCTATCAGAATCATCGGCCTGTTCTTCATGTGCTCCAGCTCGCCGATCCCAGCATGTTTTGCTTTCTTCCTCTTGACCGCCGCACCGATGACCTCCAGGAGTTCCTTGGAGTTGGGAGCCAGTGTGAGTGGCACATCGATGTTTGACAAGTCCTGCCGCCGGGCCAGCGCGAGCTGCTTCAAGGTCGCGAGTGCCTCCTCGTCGATAGGTTCGCCGTTGTTGACCTTGCGAAGAATGTCTCGTAACGAGACTTCGGCATTCCCGAACAGGCATACCTTGAGGTTGCCGTCGCTCGTGATCCTCAGCCTGTTGCATGTCCCGCAGAAGTTGTGTGTCATGCTTGTGATAAACCCTAGCCGTCCTGCGAATCCGGGGATGTGCCAAGTTTTGCTCGTGTCGTTCTTGTGATCGCGCACCTTCTCCAGCGTCGGGTATCTTTCCCTGATATGCTCGAGCATCTCTTCATAGCTGAACATTTTGCCCTTGCTCCACTTGTTGCCATCAAAGGGCATGTACTCGATAAACCGGATCTCGATGTCTTTCTCACGCGTCATCTCCACAAACGGCAGGATTTCTCTGTCATTGACGCCGCGCATGACCACGCAGTTGATCTTGAGTCGGATACCGGCACCCGCCCGGTTCAGCTCCAAGATGCGGGCTATACTACGCTGCACCGCGTCGAAGCCCTTCCGTCTGGTCATGATCTGGAATTGCCACGGATCTAGAGTGTCTAGACTCAGGTTGACTCCTGTCAACCCGGCCTCCACCATGCTCTCGAGCTTACGGTGCAGTGACAGCCCGTTCGTCGTAAGGCAGAGCTCGCGGAGACCATGACGGCGCAGGTCTCCGATTTGCTGCATGAGAGGCACGATATCTCGGCGTACCGTAGGCTCGCCTCCTGTCAGCCGGATCTTCGTCACTCCCTGTGACACAAAGACCGATGAGAGCAAGACGATCTCTGGCGTAGTCAGGAGTTCTCGTGGAGGGCTGAGGGGCACTCCCTCTTCCGGCATGCAGTACACACAGCGCAGGTTGCATCTCTCTGTGACTGATATGCGCAGGTAGTCGTGCTGTCGATTGAAAGTGTCGGTGAGGAAATCAGAGAAAGGCCGGGCATCGCGAAGCTTTTCGCGCCGGGACACCGTCGGCGCCGAGTCCGGGTCAAGCACGGGCCTGTCAGTCTCATTCTCTCCTATAGGACATGAAGCAACTGCAGGTTTACGCAGCACTGTGCTGGCACTGATGGTTCTGACGTGCCCAAATTTGCAAGATCGCCGAGGCCTGAAAGCGCCGGATATCAGAGGTTGAACAGCTCTCGGCGCGAGGAGCACCGAGTCAAGGGCAGCTCTCATCCTTGACAGAGACGAGGTGACGACCTCAATGACATCTGGGGTTCGACAGGTCTTAGAAAAGAGCCATGAGAGGTTCTGTCTCTTATAGAGCAAGATGATGTGAAGTCAGAAAGGCTCCCCGAGGACAAAGTGGCAAGTCGTTTAGGTCCGGTGATAGGCGGCGGTCGTGAAGCACCACTACAAGTAAGCGGCCGAGGACGGAGTGGAGTTTGGTTGGTCGATTTGAACGAGTGACGACTTCCGCGGAGGTCAGCACCACTAAAAACGCTCTAAGCAGTAACTAGAACGACCACTGTAACTTGAACTCGCCAGTGTCCTGCCACTGTCCCCACGCTAGGCCGAAAACAGGAATCACAAAGTAAACACTACGCCTGCCCGATTGCAACGCAGAATGAATTGCACAAGAAACCCCGAACTCGGAATGAGGGAGCGCGCTGTGTGACGATAACTTCGACAACATCCTCGCTCTAGCAGTCGGGGCGACAAGTTCTTCGCACTGGTGTGGCAAGCTCGAGAAGGACCTGTTCTCCTTTCTTCGTACAAACACTGCAAGTCGCAGCACAGGATTCACGATCCGGCCAAGTCCTTCCCCCCCCCCCCCCCCCGGGATCTGTTCACAATGCGCTTCTCTCCACCAACAAAGTGTGAGCATGCTCCATTACTCTCAAGAAACACACGAAAATCGCTGATGTTCCTCTCACAGCTTCTCCGCACTGCCTTCCTAGTCCCGATGGGACTCTGGTGGCTACTCTCTTCCCAGGCGTGGTCAACGTCCGCCAAGTAGAGTCGTTGCAAATCATCAATGTCATCAAGCTGCCGCAGGACATGACTGGACCCATTCTCGGCTTCCGATGGTCCCCCACGTCCCAGCGCATTCTGGTTGCCGTCGAGGACCAGATCCATGTCTTCTCTGCCCTCCAGGACAACCCCTTCCACGCAGACATCCGGAATCCCACCCCTCCAGGTGCGAGGCCCGCTTTTGTAGACTTTGATCCAAGCGGAAGCCGAGTCTTCATCTGTTCATCCTTTGGGCTCAAGTTCTCCGTCTTTGACCTTCAGACACTGAAGGCATCCGAGATCAGCAACCCCAAATTCTTCAGTGGGGCTACTGCCTCCAGAGGCTTCTCAGTCCGGCGCGGGACACGTCATTTGGCACTCCTGACCCGGTCTGCGGGTAAGGACATGGTCAGCATCCACTCTTCATCTACACTCGATGTCCTGAGATCCTGGTCCCCGGATACTATTGACGCTCAAGGGCTTGTGTGGAGCCCGGATGGCCAATGGCTCGTCGTCTGGGAGTCTGCAGGCCAGGGCCACAAGGTGTTGTTCTATACGCCCGACGGGCATGTGTTCAGGACTTGGATGGGGCCACAGGGGCCGGATGCAGAAGATCGCAGGCTTGGTGCGGGCGTCAAGGCAGTGCAGTTCTCTCCCGATGCGAAGCTGCTCGCTGCGGGTGACAGCACTTGGTGCATATGCATCATCAATATGGAATCCGTAAGCGAGGGCATGAGACTACAGCACCCGGCTATCGTGGAACCTAGAGACACCCTTCAGGTGAGGAGATGGACGCCCCCTTGATCCAGAAGCCGGCGTTGCTGACCAGAGACTAATGTAGGTCTGGCAAGAACAAGGCACGTCCACTATGACTGGCCATTCAGTATTCGAATTTGTCAAGGCTACACAGGCACTCGCGCCTCCTGGACGAGCGCCTGGTGAGAAATCCGAGTCGAAAACTGGGATTTCTCGGATTGTCTTCGACAGCACCTCAGCCCTGGTTGCTACCAAGCTTGAGGACTTCCCGACAACCATCTGGATATGGGACGTTCAGTCTTCCGAACTCAGATCAGTACTAATGTTTCATGCACCGATCGTCGACTTTTCGTGGCATCCAAAGGTTAGGGAAACACTTCTAGTGCAGTGTGACGGAGAACAAAATGGGCACATGTCGTTTGTCTGGGATCCTCTGTCGGAGGGCCCAAGATCCATCAGCTTCCGTCACCATCGCTCGGAAGCGAGCCGTCCCAGCAAGGTTCGCAGCTCGTGGCTGAATGTTGAAACAACAGACTGCCCCACCGTGTTCTTCACCGACGGAATCGAGTACATGTTTGCCTGCATGGCAGACTCCGACCAAGACATGCCCCCGTGGCAGGTGCCATCGAACGCCGACTGGCCCAGTGCTGAGCGCAGAGCCGAATCACCATTGGAGCTGGTCCCCGCAGGCGAAATTGATGCAGACGAGAGCGAGGACGACGAATTGGACGATACGTTCCACTTCAAACGAGAGGTGTGATCGCTGTGGCTTGGGGGATGGGCATGCAGTGATTTCCCTGCAGCCATCCAGGATGGTGGGATGCAGCTCAGGATTGACGGTGCTAATAAGGTCTGCACAAGAGTCTCCGCGCTTTGCTGACCTCGACGGGGAATTGGGACAGCATCCCCGGCCAACAGCCGTGACACAACCGCACGCGCTCATGCAAGCCCTGCCAATTTTGGGCTTGGGCTAAACCGGGAACGGCCTCGCAGGCACACCTGGAGCCAACGAGAAATTACGCCGCCGCCGCCGCCAGCCTTCTCCTCTCGCAATCCTTGCCTGGAACAGGTCCTCCGGCATTGCATAATTTGGGGGCTGCAGGGTTCGAACTGAGGCTGGCGAACCAACCCGGAACCGAGCCGCTCGCCGGTTTCAATTGCTGGGCGGCACCGATGTCAATCACAACCAGACCCGCAGCGGCTACAGCCGGCCTGTCCACAGACATCAGGAAAATCACTTTGTGGTGGCTGTTGATTCACCAGAGTGCCAGAGTCTATCATGACGAAAGGCGATCTCTACTCGGCGAGAGGAAGCACTCCAAGCGAATCGAAGCTGAGCTTCAGAGCCTTGCAGTCGAGGGGAACATTCGGCAGATACACCGTCGATCCAGCTGCCACTGTGATAATATGCCGCCATCACGGTCTGTGCAACCAAGCAAGTGCAAATTGGTCAGACAGTAGCCGCATATTTCACAAGCAGCCCAGACTCGCTCACACGACTCGCTCGTGGAAGCTGGTCCCCTTTGCATGCTCCACAGACGTACCCAGATAAAGCCGCAGGAGTGATGAACTGTTACGATTACGGACCAGCAACCCGGCACCCGGAACCCTTCAGCATAGCTTGACTCGGTCACCTCCAAATGCCGTCTGCATCTGGATTCACCAATTAGGGTTGGATGGTAGCTCGAGAACACTGGGCTTGAGTAAATAATACATATACGCCAATACCGTCTGCTATTCAGACTCTGCCACTCCTCATGGCACGGGGCGAACCGCCTCCCCTGCATATTGACATCGGCCTGCACCCTCGTCAATCGCACGCCGCGGCGGTTTGCTCCCTGCCATACCACCCAGTGAGAAGCTGCTATGTAACCCCCCATTCTTTGTGCACATCGTGATGGGAAGCCTCCGCTCTTGGGCTAAGGTGGTCACTGGCCAGTAACATATCTCGACTAGGAGCTGAATGTCAGGATGTCGATAGGCAACAGGAGGAGGGAGACGCAGATCCGAGACGCCCTAAATGTCTAACGACGTGGCAGGCTGCCTGGCTATTGTTTGCTTGCTGCTGAGTATTGTGTGTGTGTTGAAAACAGGAAACCGGTTTTCTCTTAAGACGCGCTTCTGGCGAGTCGCTATGGGCTGTCTTTTCTCAATATTTAAGTCCAGGATGGGAACGACGATTGTCTTTTCATTCTCTTGTTGATATCTGAGACCTGACAGTCTTGTCCGCGCGGCATAGTTCTCTATCTAATAGCCTCCTTCTGCTTGATCTTACTGCGAGCTTTCTTTTCAATTACAGCAACTCAAGCACAGCTGTCTACAGAGTTTGCCAATAGTCCCTTTGGCGAGGCTTTCCACATAGCTCAATCGCCATATTCAGAGTGCCAACAAGCAACCGAGATCTCGTAGAAATCACGACTCAACAGCAGAAGAAGGCTGCATCTTGAAGCCATGTCGTTTACCTACACCGTAGTAGTTCCTCCGGGGAAGGATACGGACGTGTACTATATCCCGGTAGCCAATGTATGTTGAGGGCTATGCAATCGTTTTTTCACGGAAGCCATACTGACAGCTCGCTTCCAGCTTGGCTTTCGCGCATCGCGGCAACGCCTGAAGGACTTTGTCACGCCTGTGGCCGACGTGGATCACGTCGAGATATTCCGGAGGAGTACTAGCGGTTGGATCAGGGTGACCGGATTTGAGAACTTTTGCGCAGCTTTTCGTATGTCTTTTCTTGGGTTCAGCAATTCCAGCCACATACTTGAGACAAACTACTGACTTGTGTGCCATTTTTTTTTGGTTTTGCCCTTCAGAACGCCTCGACGGTGGCATCTTCCTGGGGCGAGCCATCATCGCCTGCAACCGCAATGCCGAGAATGCCATCGCGATCCGCGGCGTGTGTAGGGCGGGAGAGGAGTCCGCTATCGCAGCGGCCTATCCGCCCCCAGCCGCGGCCGGGCCCGCCAGCTACGGCGCCGACATGGCCACTCCGTCGTCGTACGGCCTGCAGGAGTATGCCGACGCGTATGGTTCCACGGCCTCGGCCTCGGGCCCTCCAGACCATGCCGTAAGTTGCACTCGTCACACTTGGGGTTCCATCGGGAGGTTTCACACACACATACACACACATACACACACACACCAATGTATAAGTGAAGAATATAGAGAGCTGACATGAAAGAAATAAAAAAAAACGCAGTATGCCAGCTCGGGCGACGCCTACTCCGCGGCCACGGATCCGGGCGGTGCTGATTCTTCTCCCTCGGGCGCCTACCCGCACGACCAGGCGGCCGAGCACTACGAGCCGTACCCGCAGATGCCGGCCTCCTCCGGCATGAACCCCCGCGCCCCGGAGTACGTGAGCGGCGAGGCATACGTCGGCTCCTGCCCCGCCCCCTGGGCTGGAGAGCCGTCTCAGGGTCCACGTGGCGGTGGTGGCGGCGACGGCGGCGGCAGCCAGTCGAAGAGCAGGGGCAAGGGCCAGGGCAAGGACAAGGGCGACCGGCACCACAAGGACCGGGGCCGGGTGTGGGACCATGACCGGGACCACGGCCGGGGCGGCGGCGGCTGCGGGGCTGGCCCTGCCTCGCCGGTGATTGTGGATGGCAGCTCCAGGCGACGTCAGCGCTGAGAGTTTCGGAAGGATCTTTGTTTTCGGATCTTTATTTTCCTCTTTCCTTGATCCTTTCTCTTGGCTTATGGTGCCGTCAAAAGTCTAGTGGTGATCTACTTTCTTATTATCTGACTTTCCACTGCTTGTTCCCATCCCCAGTTTGCTCTCGTGAGATTGGCGGTTTTCAACTCTGCTTGTGAGGAGGCGGAGATGATAGCAACTACTTTGATTGGTAATACACTGGCCAGCCTTTAGTGATATCTGGTTTTCCAAAAAGTGCAATACAGTCTATGCAAATCTATTTGTCGTGTCTATTGTGGGAAGAGTAATGATGATGATGGTTGTCCTTACCACAACAAGCATTATCCGTCACATCAGGTCATCGCTCACGGAGATATCCCAATTACGCATCCACAATATTTGAAGATCAATCTATTCGTACTCTTTTTATAGATTCGTTCACTCAATCCACTACATACAGCAGCCGCACAAAAACAGCTGATCGCAACTTTCCCCTCCTCTCGCTCTCCAAGGTCATTTCATTGTGCTGGTAGTCCACAACCTGCCCTGCTCTCAGCCAAAGATCTCCCCTGTCTGACCAAGCACCAGGCTTGGGGGGGCAAACAGACAAGTCGAGCCATCGGCGCCTAAACGAGGCTCCCCCGCAACTACCCAGCCGGCTCGTTCGTGACTAAGCTGTGTATGTCTGTAAGAGAAAGAAAAATGGAAGAAGAGTGTTTGTATGTAAATGGCAAAACAGGCTTCGCGAAACGCCTGTGCCAAAAAGTCCAATGTGTCCAGTCCAGAATGTTGTGGTATAATTATCAAGGCGCCCCTCCCCCGGGTCCTCTCCATCCCCCCATTTTCACCGCCCAGTTGTGCTATTCGTATCATTAAACCGCCTCATCATCTCACCGCCGACACATGTGTGTCAAGGTTGCCGACGGGCCGGCCTTTTACCGCCTAGTGTCGGCAGGCGGCGCTACCATGTCCGGCCGCCGGGGCACCTCGCCGTCGTCCTCCATCATGTTGAACCGCTGCTCGGGCGGCATCTGGTGGTAGCCGGGGACGGGCATGCCGGGCACGGGCGGGACGTCCTCCTCCTGGCGGGCCGCGGCGCGGCGCACGCGGCCGCTCTGCTGGTTGACCCACGAGGTGATGGAGCGGAACTTGGGCGGCGAGTCCTCGCTCGTCTCGGTGTAGACGGTCTCGCGGCGGGCCGGGCCGTTCCGGCTCGCCCACGAGAAGCGCGCCGTGGGCGGGCCGTAGGCGCCGTTCGCCTGGGCGGTGGCGGCCGCCGGGGGCTGCTGCGGGACGATGATGTCGAAGTCGCCGAAGCCCGAGGACAGGGACGACACCTGCGAGTCGCGGTTGCTCAGTTTCCGCGACGTGTCGTAGCTGCCGGTCGGGTCGCGGGAGGCGTCGGGGAGGGTGTAGTACGAGTCGATGATGTCGGACCGTCTGGCGCCGCCGTTGGCCTCGCTCATCGCGGGGCCCCTGGTGGTTGCGTCGGCACCCGGGCCACGCTGGCTAGAGTAGACAGAGCCGGTGGTGTTTGATCGCGCGACCGCCCCGGCCATCTGAGGCGCTCCGGGTAGAGACGCGGTGTACTGTTGTTGCGCATACGCGGCATTGGGCTGGTAGAAACCTGGCGCCGCCGTGGCGGCCATGCCCCTTGATGGGTCGAAAGGGCCCTTGACCTCTTGCACACCGGAGGCGGAAGAGCCTTCCAGGTTCTGCCATGCCTTCACGCGGCGATTGAAGTACGGGATCTTGTTGAGGAAACGGTTGGGCAAAGGCCCGTCCATGCTCGAGGGGCCGCCGCCCTCCGCTCCTCTCTTCTTCTTGAGGTATCTCCAGACGAACCAGCCCAAGAAGGCAACCAGAACGAAGACGCCTAGTGCTTGCGCGTTAGTACTTCGGCAACTGAGCTGGCTGGATGTGTTGAATACTCACCGATGGAGCCGGCGCCTATGAGGGCGTGTTGGGCTGTAGGATCCATACCACCTTTGTTGTTGGTGCCTTTGTTCTGGTTGCCAGTCGTGACGCCGGTGGGATTCGCTGCGGCTGCGCCGTCAGCCATGGTTGGAACCAAGGTCACGCTGGTGAACCGAATGTTGCTAGTGATACCGAGGCTTTCCGACTCGAGGCCTTTCCGAGCTGCGTTTGCTGCCTCCCCCTTTGGGTCGATAGCAGACATCACAGGAATGGCAGTTACCGTAGGCTCCTAAGTATGGCCGATAAGCGACTAGATGCACGTGTTGGGTCATGAGGGCAAACTTACAGCCGTTGCCATCACAGTCGAGACAATGATGACGGTCTTGGCATCGGTGACGACAGTCGTCGCGGCAGTGTTGGTGACGCTCGCCCGGGATGTCTCGGTCGAGGCTGCCGAGGCAGTAGGCTTCGGCACCAACGGCGTTAATGTTCTTATGGACGTGGATTTGCTGGTCTCTGCGGGCTCGTGCTCATGCTCTTCTTCCTCTTCTCGCTGAGCACCATTGACCAGGCCGAAGCCGTTGGGGATGCTCTCCCTTGACCCGCCGCCCTGGTTACTGCCGGGACCAATTGCCATACCGCTGCCAAGACCGTTCCTGTTGAGGCCACCCCCGATGGCTGAAGCGCTGGTCACTGCAGGAGGCATGCCGATGGTCGGCTGAGGGCGTACGGCCTGAATAGTTGTCGTCTCGCCTTTGTTTCCACCTCGGCCGTTCCGCTGAGGGACGTTCTCGTCATCACTGTCGCTGTCGCTGTCAGAGTTGTCTTCCGGAGACCTGCGAGAGGGCGGTATCGAAGACAGATCTGTCCGACGAGACGTGCCTCGTCTCGTCCGGAACCTGAAGGGCGCCATGGCCGCAGCCCTATGAGCAACCTTGGCTCGTACCGTCGGTGTCGCGAGAGAATCGAAGGTCAAAACATCCGGCACCGAGATATCTCACCAGCTCCTGCGGAAGTTTGTGTGTGGTTGTTCCAAGATGCGTAATCGTCCGACAGCTTTTGGGTGAGGGCCGTCGAGATCGGAGAAGAGCGAGGTTTTGTCTGTAAAGAGGCACAATATAAAAAGACTGGACAAGAGAACGAAAGCCGCAAGCAGCACGCAAGGGCGCGTCAAAGAATGTAGAGATTATACGAATGGAAGGAAAGGCCCGCCTTGAGGAAGAAAGGGAAGAGAAGAGACTACAGCATTGGCAAGTTTTGGGAAATGAAGAGAAAGGTAGGAGAAGGGCAGCGGGCAGCCAGGCGTCGCAGACTTGGCAGATCTACGTCTCAATAGGCGGGGGGCGGATCTCTTCAAGGAGACCAGCGTCAATGGACAGACTGACAGACCGAGGGAGAGGGAGGGAGAGGCAGAGGCTCTGAGCGCCTGCGTGGTCTGCGTGCCCTGCGTGCCCTGCGTGCCACTCGGCACACCAAGCCAACCCACCGTGTGTCAGGGATGTCTGCCAGACAGGCTAGCTGCGAGAGCCTCATCTGCGGTGCCATCTGGGACCAGGGGCAGCAGCAGAGGGAGGCCGGCGATGAGGGCCAGGAGGGATCTGGCGCGACAGGGAGAACGATTCTACGGATATTGGCCCACTCGAGGAAACATGGTCCCAATAGAGCGAGCGAGAGAGAGCCTCTGGACATCCACCGGGCGCGCTCGCAAGACGTACGAAGTACGAGACAGCCATTATCCAGGCTGCAGACTGGGGTGTCTGTCCTCACGAGAGACGACGGCGACGAGGACTGCATTGTCGAGTTTCAAAGCCAAGCTTGGTTCCAGAGAACGACCGTCATCAGGTGGAGTTGCGCAGCGCTGATGCGACAGGTTGGCCGGCTAAGCTCTGGAGTGACAGGGGTTCGCTGTTTCAGCTGAACAGGAGTGGGTTTCAAACTGTGCTCCGTCAGGAGGTGCTGGAGCCCGCGCTCTTCAGCGAACTATTGCTGACCAAATTCCTCATGAATACTGGGCTTGCAGTGCGTATGGCGCTCCAGCCCATGCAGCCCGGCTCAAGCGTGTATCGCCCTCCGCGTCTTGATGTAAGTACGGAATAGTTATGAAGGAACCCTCACGTTAGGTAGTCGTTGCCACGATAATCCCAGATCTTCTGCACCCGCCTGAACGGATAAACGGCCATGCATCGACAGTGGAAATGTCCGGCAACGATACAACCGCGTCATTGAGGTGGCTATGTAGACCTTGCAGCGAGGCGAGGATGACGGATGATGTTGATGCTCCGTGTGGATTTCATGCGCACAGGTAAACACGAGCACGGAGCAGCCCCCTTCTTCCTCCTGTTGACTGTGCTTCATGCGGACCGCCCGAGCTGAGAGCCCCCTTGGGGTTCCGGCAACACCAACCCCCCAGTGTCCTTGCTCTCGGATCTCCTCCATCCCAGCTCAGCCCGCCAGACCTGCCAGATTGAGCCCTGAGTTGCGAGAACAAGCTTCTCGGCCGATCGGCCTTGGCCTTTTCCAGCGGCGGGGATGAGTGACGAAGCCGTCGAGACCCCGGCTACAACAATCACCGGATGCATCCATGGCATGGATTCTGTCCCAGTTCCCCGGTGGACTGCCTATCGTTTTGCCGTCCAGTGCTGTTCTCCATTATTCCCATGGCGAACTGGACGTCGGCCAGTTGCTCCATACACAACTAGTCAGTGTAGAGAGCACAGCCTGTTCCACAGAGATACACGCACACTTTATTCTTCTAGTTTGATCGACTCTTTTTTTGTTTTGAAGCTCAATTGACTACTGACAAGAGCACATTCGGCCCCTGGGCCCGGGTGAGAAGGTCCAATCGAATCCTGGTGTGCTTGGGCGTCCAACAAACAACAAACATGTGGACGGTATGATCCAACCTCTCAATCCACCCACTACATACGATGACATGTAAAATGAGGCTACGGCGTGATCTATCATAACAGCGACAGTTCAAGATTGCTGCTTTGAATCTCACGAACTCTACCTAGGCCGGTTGAGTCATTCTTGTCACCGAGACGTTGGCTCAAGATCCACACTAGCAACATTGTCATGCCATAACCTTGAACGAATTACTCATAATTTCCACCACTGGCAGTAACAAGTTTCCCGGCGTGTCTATAATGGAAATAGAGGAACTCATCCTAAGTAACCGTCTGGACAATAAGAGCTCTCCAGCAAATTCTCTGCTACGCCTCGTTGCACATGTCTAAACTGCCATCACATGTAGTTCTGATGCATACCACGGAATCTCTTTAGCCAAAAGCAACCTCCGACGACAACAACAATGCCTACCGAGATCAGCCTCCTCACCGAGGCAGATATCCCGGCTGCCGTCTCTGCCGTGCAGTAAGGACTATTCTCCCTTTTTCTCCCGTCGATTTCCGAAAACATACCGGGTAGCTTGGGCTTGTTTGAAGGCAAGATCGGGTATCTGGTCTTGTGCCCCTCAAGAGTCCCGTACCCTGCCTGCTCTATGAAACCACACTCCATGCTCGGCACTGGCCTGTGAATCTTGCTGATAGCAGGCATTCTTAGGGAAGCCTTTGCCGATGATCCATACTACAACTGGGTGTTTGACACTGCCAAGGTAGGTCCAGGTTTGCCTCGGGGCGGCTGCAAGTCTCTTCTCTGCAGATGCGGCCACCGCCACTTACACGTGATGGCAGTTCGATAAGAGACGGAATACGGCCTCTGTAGGCATCAGATGCCGGTCCGGGATTCGCCAGGGGCTGTACTACATTGCCAAAGATGGAGAGACCGGCAAGACGCTGGGCGTTTCCATGTGGCTGCCACCTCGGCCCACCGATCGCCCGCAGTCGTGGTCCTCCTGGCTCGACGACTGGAGGGTATGGCTGGAGCAAGTCGGCATGAACCTCTGGTACGGCCGGGGCGGGTTGAACCTCAAGGTCAGTAGTCGCAGTTACCAATTTCTCCCCAGAGCAGAGGAAGAAGAGGGGCTTTCACAAGCACATGTTTTTCACTAACACGCACGTCCGCAGCGCTACTGGATCTGGAGGAAAGCACAGGCCCAGGCGCACGAGGAGATCTGGACGGACCCCCGCGGGTACTACTTCCTCAACATCATGGTCGTCACGTCCGAGGCTCGGGGCCGGGGCATCGGCAGGCGGCTCGTGGCGGCCGTGACCGACAGGGCGGACAGGGAGGGCATGCCCTGCTACCTCGAGTCGAGCAAGGCGGCGCCCAACATCCAGATCTACGAGCGCCTGGGCTTCCGGCTCGCGGGGGACATCGTCTGCGAGGACGAGGACGAGGACGGCGGCGGCGAGTCGTCTGTCAAGCTCTACTGCATGATAAGAGACCCGCAGCCGCAAGTGTCCTCCCTGGCGCGGGGAAAGGAGGAAGACCTCCACCAGGCCTGATAGCCGTCGAGTACCGTTGTGACATACTCCCGTACCTATGGTTATGACATGGGCCATCGGGCTGGTCCGGGATATCACGGGCGAGCGGGAGTGAGGCGCGCGAAATGGACGTACGGAAGGTACCGGATCGCGCTAATAGTGGTCCACGAGGGGGGGGAGGGGGAATTACCCCAGGATTTCTGGACGCACGCCTAGTCTTGGAAGAATTTAGGACGAAAGAGATGTGTACGGAGTACTGTAGTTCTGACTTGCGTGGCTGGGCTATGTGAATCCCGATGTACAAGCAAGACGCGCATGCTGACGGTGGTTTCGGTGCAGACCGGAGTCGAATCGGCTAAGACTCGGACCTCCCCAACCGGGCGTCAGATTAGCTGACGGAAGTTCACCAGGAGCTACCTCGATGTTAACAATCAATATCCTTGGGCTATCCCACTCCCTAAAACCGATGGGCTTGATGGATAGTCGAGTACTTCTGTTAGCAGTCCGTCCAGTAGTTACCTAAACCTGGCCATCACTTGCTCCCGCAGCTTGACACGCCGATACTACTAGGTACCTCCCGAGCATGCTCTTTGCAAGCACTCTTTGCAAGCACCGCACATGGCAGGGCCAATTCCAGACAGATACACGTGAAAAGGAATAACATAGCTGACATTTGCACCACTCGATCTGATTTCACAGCCCTCTCCACTCCACAATGGGGTTGCGAAAAAAAATGAATCTTTTTTTTGGAGTCAAAATTTGGAGAAGGCTCTTTGGGGTCAATTGGGAAATACCAGGACGTACCTGTGTGGACTTGAGTGAGGATCCAGTGGGAATTGTCGCAATTGAAATGAACAAGGGCTTGCTAGTAGAGTATCCTCCGGAGTGACGGGGAGTGACGGTGATTAGCAATGGAGCAGCGGCATTTTCATCATGAACGGCGTTTGCTGTGTTGGTATTCTTCCAAGACTTTCCCGTGATCCTAGCGCTCCAATCCACAGCCTGGAAGTGCAGGAAGCTTGGACCAATCCTCCTCCACCACTCCACTATCAAATGCTGATGGGGCCTGCTAAAAAAAAAAGTTTTATAGAGTGACGGGCTGATTGATTGCAGGGTACAGCTGGTTAGGTGACTACTAAGTAGCTCAGTCGTCGTGACACATGCTTTGCTGCACCACCCGTCCGGCCAGCAGCCTCTGACCTAGCAATTCCATTATCTCTCCTACCTCCACTCCGAATTTTCTCCCTCACTAGTCTCTCTGTCTGTCTGTTTGTTTGTTCTTCTGCTATCTCTCCCCTTTCCTGACGAGAGACTCATCTCTTTCTCGCTCTCCTTTGAGTGAGTCCTAATTGTATACCGGCCCGTCCTCCCCCCTTCCTCCCTCCCGGCCTCTCCGCGCCGTTGCAGAAGAGCCATGGCCGCCTCATCCCGAGCCCTGCGCCGACTTGCGCCGACTCAATTGAGCGCCGGTGCACCCGCGCCGCGTATCGCGAGCCGCTTCCTCTCGACGTCGTCTCGCAATGTCTTTGCGGCGCCCTCCAGATCCACCCTCGCGGCCCGGCCGACGAGGACTGTTGCCCGCCAATTCAGGAGACAGTACGCCGATGCCGCTCCCGTCGCGGCGCCCAAGAAGCCGAGGAGGTTCCGGACCCTGCGCTGGATCTGGAGGCTGACCTACCTCTCCGCCCTCGGCGGCATTGTCTGGATAGGCTACGGCGTCTACCAAGACAGGCACCCGGAGCCGCAGTTTGAGGCTGATCCCAACAAGAAGACCCTCGTCGTCCTAGGTAAGCTTATCTCTCGGAGTCACACCAAGCACGATTTGAACGGCACTGACTCGACTGCCTACCGCAGGAACCGGCTGGGGCTCAGTCTCTCTCCTCAAGCAGCTCGACACCGAGAACTACAACGTCATCGTCATCTCTCCTCGCAACTACTTCCTCTTCACCCCCCTGCTGCCGTCATGCACCACCGGTCTGATCGAGCACCGCTCCATCATGGAGCCCATCCGCTCCATCCTGCGCCACAAGCGCGCCTCTGTCAAGTTCTACGAAGCCGAGGCCAGCTCCATCGACCCGGACCGCAAGGTTGTCAAGATCTTTGACAACTCGGACGTCAAGGGTGACGTCGTCGAGACCGAGGTGCCCTACGACATGCTCGTCCTCGGCGTCGGCGCCGAGAACTCCACCTTTGGCATCCCTGGTGTCCGCGAGCACTCGTGCTTCCTCAAGGAGATTGGCGATGCCCAGCGCATCCGCAAGAAGATCATGGATTGCGTCGAGACCGCCGCCTTCAAGGACCAGAGCCCCGAGGAGATCGACCGCCTGCTGCACATGGTCGTCGTCGGCGGTGGCCCCACCGGCGTCGAGTTCGCCGGCGAGCTGCAGGACTTCTTCGAGGAGGATATCCGCAAGCTCATCCCCGAGATCGCCGACCGCTTCCGCGTCACCCTCATCGAGGCCCTGCCCAACGTCCTGCCTAGCTTCTCCAAGCAGCTGATCGACTACACCGAGAGCACCTTCAAGGAGGAGAAGATCGACATCAAGACCAAGACCATGGTCAAGAACGTCACCGACAAGACGGTCGAGGCCGAGGTGACCGGCCCCGACGGCAAGAAGGAGCGCGTCAAGTTCAACTACGGCCTGCTCGTCTGGGCCACCGGCAACGCCGTGCGGCCCCTGATCCGGGACCTCATGGCCAAGATCCCCGCCCAGAAGGACTCGCGCCGCGGCCTCGCCGTCAACGAGTACCTCGTCGTCCAGGGCACCCGCGACATCTGGGCCGTCGGCGACTGCGCCGTCGCCGGGTACGCGCCCACGGCCCAGGTCGCCTCGCAGGAGGGCAGCTTCCTCGCGCGCCTCTTCAACAACATGGCCAAGACCGAGGCCCTCGAGGCCAGCATCCGCGACCTGTCCTCCTCGCTCAACCTCAAGCCGGGCAACTCGGCCGAGGTCAGCGCCCGCATCGAGGAGCACGAGCGCCAGCTGCGCCGCATCCAGGACGTCAAGCCCTTCCACTACTCCCACCAGGGCAGCCTGGCCTACATCGGCAGCGAGAAGGCCGTCGCCGACGTCAGCTGGTTCAACGGCAACGTCGCCACCGGCGGCAGCCTGACCTTCCTCTTCTGGCGCAGCGCCTACCTGTCCATGTGCTTCAGCAGTAAGTCTCCTTTTTCCCTCCCCGTTTTCTCTCTTTCTCACGTGCACCCTCCCGGCTCGCTTGGATACCAGTTTGCTGACGAACCGACGCAAAACTTAGCCCGCAACCGCCTGCTCGTTATCAACGACTGGGTCAAGTCCAAGGTCTTTGGCCGTGACGTTTCCCGAGAGTAAGACTGGAGGATGCGCAGATACCCACAGAACCACAGAAGGAAGGAGCCAGGATTCGAGAAGAAATCAGCGTACGATGCGTCTATGCGCGATCCGGTTGTCCGGTTCTTGTCTTACCTACGACGTAGCGTGGCTGGAGAAGGGGGCCCAGATGTGGCTGTACAATTCGACGAAACCTAATATAGACTTGGGGGGGAACGGGGGACATACCTCGGGCAGGCAGCGGAGGAGGAGCGGGATCAAAAGAACACTTTTTCTATAGACCAAGGTGGGATAGGGGAATGCATTTCGGGATGAGCTTTTTCGTCTCTTTGTTTTGTTGTCGATATCTCTTTTGTTGTATCAGTATGAAGATGACTGTCGATCCGTGTTGGATAATCGAGAGAAGGTGTCGTGATTATCCATCCGTCTGCTTGGCAGCCAGGCAGACACTGCTTTTGGTGAATGGTTGCTGAGTAACAATCATCATATGTTGTATCACATGGGTGTCTGGGTAAATCTCAATGCTCTAGAGCCTTGTCTTCGGGGTAGGTCATGCTCCAACTGGGCTGTTCCCGGTCAACCGTCTTAGTGAGAAAGATGCCTCGGGGCGTCACAACAGTACCGAGTTGGAGATTATTGATGAGATTGCAAACAGATTGCTCATGCCATTGAGAATCCAACAAGACCTAATTGTAGTACATCAGCCCCTTCAGACTCCTTAGCTAACTGCCAACCAAAGTAGCTTGATAAAGACGCCCTTTAACGCCTCCTTCCTCTATGCACCATTCCATTTCGTCATCAATAGCACCCCAGTCCTACCTGGTACTCCCACAAAGCCGACTCCAGGACCACGTACCATAAACCAACCAGATGGACCCCATCATCGCCCAGGTTTTTCCCACAGCGACACACACACACACACGCACACACACACAACCCCTCTCTCTCTCTCTCTCTCAAGCAACAGCCACATACTCCGTCCGGACATCCCAGTCCCCGTCCAGACCCTTGAGCTTCCGAAACGCCATGATCCAGCTGCCGCCGTCGTCCTCGGGCCCGATGATCACGTCGTGCACCCGCAGGTGCTCCGGCAGGCCGAACGGCGCCTCCGTGCTGCCCCGCTGCTGCGTGCCTTGCTGCGTGCCTTGCTGCGACCGGCCCGGCGAGGACCCGGCGCCGCCCGAGCTGCTTCCTGCCGGGGACGCCGAGGGCCGCTGCTGCTGGTAGTGGTGGTGGTGGCGGTGCTGCACGTCGTGCATGCGCACCGGTAGAGTCTCGGCCGCCGCCGTTTCCTGCCTGCGGCTGGCGCTCCCGGTGGCGGCGGGGATGCCGAGGAAGCCGGGCTCCGAGAGGGGAGGCGCCGCCCCCACGTCGAGCAGGATGGTCGTCGAGTCGCCGCCGAAGGCGTCGGGGGAGGAGAAGGCCGTGGCGCCGCCGAAGGAGTGCTGCGACGAGGAGGCGGCGATCTCGGCGGCCTCGATGAGGATGGCCGGGTCGACGGGGACGTCGAGGTCGAGGTCGAGGCCGTGGGGCCCCGCGTCGGCACCGAGAAGGGGCGGCGGGAAGGGCGCGTCGCGGAAGCTACTGGTCGTCGACAGCGGCCTGCTCGGGGCCGCCGCCAGGGCAGGGTTGCTCGTCGAGGCGGCGGTGGTCATCCCCGTCGTGGTGGTGGTGGTGGTGGTGTCGAATGCGTCGGCCACGAGGAGCTCCGAGAGCCGGTGGCCCCAGGGCTCCGGCGACGTATCGTGTTTGTTGGCGGGGAAGCCGAACGGACCCGTCGTCGTCGGCGGCGGTCCCGCCTCCTCCTGCACGGCCCTCTCCTCGAGCTCGATGACGTGCTCCGCCAGGGGCAGGACCGCGTCCGCGCGCCAGAGGTTCTCCTTCCTCACGGGGCTCCGGCGCAGGAGGTCGACGGCCGCGTGGCGGATGAGCGAGTGCCTGCACTTGGTGGCGACGTAGTAGAGCGGGGGGATCGTGTTGGCCTCCATCGTGAAGAAGAACGAGTCGCGGGCTCCTCCTCCCGTGCTGCTGGGCGGCGATATCGATCGGGATGGCGGGGGTGCTGCGGCTGTCGCTTGCGCTCGGTGGTGGTGGTGGTAGTGGTTGTGGTGTCCTTCCTTCTGTCGGGCGGAGGCGGCGGCTTCGATGGTGGTGGCGCAAAGCGGGACGACGGCCGAGAACGAGTCGACGTGGCTGTCGAAATCTGTCTCTCGGTTGCTGAGGGCCGTGCCGATCCATATCTTGACGATGTGAAGGTATAACCGTAGGCCGGCCAGGTCGGCGTCCGTGGCGTCTTTTGCTGCGGATGCTTGGAAGAGGGACATGGCGACGTTGATCTTGGACAGCTGACCGAACAGATAGTCTTGCTCGGACTCGAACCCTCGCAAGACCTCCCGAGAAACCCGCTTCTTGTACCTGAGTGGCCGAGATCTCTGGGTAAATCTCAAGACCCGGTCGAGGAATTCGTAGATGGTGTAGCGAGCCTCAAAGATCGAGTTGAAAGACGCAGGAATCTGGCTTAATAGTTTGAGAGAATCCGGTATGGCCACTGGTGTGCCGCCGAATAGAAACGAGTTCAGGCTTAATCTTGTGTAGATCGGAACAAGGTGCTCTTTGATAATGGCCATGTCTGGGTCCTGAGAATTTGCGGCCTGCTTGTCCAGCTGGACGAGGATCTGCCGGCCCTGCTCGAGATGGATCATCGACTCCCTGTCCTTGCTCTGCATGAACTCGATGCAGACAAAGAGCACGCACGTCAGGAGGGACCCGATGGGCCTGTTCGCCGAACCGTTCATCTGGTCGAGGAGGCACGCAATGGCCATGTTGTACTGCTGAAGTGCAAAGGATCGTTTGTGGGTGGTGTTGAGCTCGTTCTGCATCAGGTCCTCATACAGACTGCTCACAGCAAGCACCGCATGCCGAACGGCTGGCTCGCTTTGGCATACTTGCAAGACGAGCACCTTCCAGAAGAAGGCGTCGAGGTCACCGGATAGTTTGGGTGCTGCGACCTGCTGGAAGAAGTGAAAGGAGCGCTGCTCCTCCGGCGACGCCCATTCCAACAACAGGGACAGAGATGAATAGGGTCTTGCATCCTGGTCCTTGGACCGTCTTCGTGAGGCGAGGGCCTTGGGATCCAGGTATCCGTCGCATTTGCGTCCTGTCTTTGTACACCGTAGACAGAACGGCTTGGTCTCATCACATTTTACCTTGCGGATTCTATGTTGGATGTCAGAGATATCGAGGGCATTTTCTTGTCTTGTAGAACGCAACACATCGTGTTCTTTCGTTTCTCCTCATGGACACATACTTGCAGGTTATGCAGCCAGTCCTGACCTTCTTGGAGCCTTTCCGGCCAGACGGTGCGGACCGTTGGGGCGGGGAGTCGGAGCCGTTGGCCATTTCGGGCACGTAGCGCCGGTAAAGGGGATTCATTATTGTTAGGCTTGACGCCTGTAGACGACAAAGGAGAGGGCGGAACGAGGGCTGAAAGGTGCTTGATGAAGGGAAGGAAAACAGGAAGTCAAAGGCGGCATAGAGAGGCGCGAGGGAGAGATCGACGGGAATAGAAGAACAAAAGAATGCTCGACGGGCTCATCAACTATATCATCCACAGGCTGCACTCTATGCTTGGGACTTGTGATCGTGGATAGCGCCGGGGGCGCTACGTACAAGTCGAGTGGGAGAGGACCACTCAAACCGCCCAAGAACCACCGGGACCCCTGGAACGGGGGTGACCTGGCCTTCCACATTAGGCACGACTAACACCACTTCTGTCGCATGGCCCAGACGCCGGCCTGCTTGGAGCAGGGAAGACTCTTTGAAGGGTTCAGCCTTTTGCTCCGTTCTCTCTCGGCAGAGACTATTCCTACTTCTGCAGCCAGGCTCACGCTAATGAGCAAGCTTCATTTGGCATATCCTCCCCGTCAGCCCCCCGTTTCCTATCGTTGCTTATTCCCGTGACTTGTTATGCTTGCACGACAACGCCTTCGGCCGCTCGACGGTGCTCCCCCTTCCGATGCCAGTTGCGCCGAAGAAGCGTAGCAGAGGTCGGTTCAGTCTGGTGGCAGAACATCAGAAGCACGATGGATGGGCAACTGGGGATGATGGGTAGCATCCACTGTATCCCAAGCTTGCTCCCCGGGAATTGGCTGTAAGCGCACTAAAGGCACAGCACAGCCCTACAGGCGACCACACCTAATATTGTGGATCCGGCGGCCTGTCGAGATAACCACCCGTCTCGTTTGGTCTCCCATTGCATCGGCGCTTTGGTGATCCCTGAATCCTGCTTCCCTGGCTGCGCCACTCTGCTCTGCAAGCATAAGTACCGGCAAGCTGGCCGTAGCGCATTAGGCAGCGCGGTTAATGCTCCCACAGAACGCTCTGCACCCCCATGGAACCAGCGCCTGGTTGGAGAACGTCCTCAACGAGACGCTGTTTCATCTCGAGCGGAGGAGTTGGCCGTGCAGAACACCCCCCATCCTGGGGAAGCGGGGATGGATAGTCAGGTAATCCAGGGGCCATTCATGAGTAGAACGGAGCAGAGGACTTAAAGGTTGACTCGTTTAGACTCGACATGCTTACAAATGTAAGATGCTCCGTCCTCCGAAGACAGACTTCAGAGAAGGTGATTCGCCTTGGCGGTTCCGACACAGGAAAGGTCCATAAACTCCTCCTCTGATCCATCACTGAGAGGGGCAGTGGATGCAGGGTAGCTTACGAGGATCTGTTTACCCAGGAGAGGCAACAAGTGTTTCCTGTCTTTGGTGCTTGGTACAAGAACAACCTCCTCATGGATCTGCACCTGTGACTTCATCGAACCCCGTTCCTAGTATTCCAAGCTACAAGTATCTTAAAAAGTGAAGGAAAGGCTGCTGACGGCAGACACTAACACAAAACACATGCAAGGGCCGTCTGCCCTGGATCCTTCCATGATGTTAATCAAAAGTTGGATGACGGCTCGCCAGGCAGCCGAATTACTATCTATGTCGTCGTGATATTCTGGGCCAAGCAAGTCGTGGGGGGAAACCCCTTTCTGGTTGGACAGAATACGGGACAGCATGCGACTCTACCGGGATGGGCCAACAAATCTAGTTCATTGCATCTGGAATCTCACCCACTTACCTGCTCGGGTCCGATCCGGTAAGGTGGCGTGAGACGCTTTGAGAGTACGGAGTAGGTACCTCAACTCTACGGCCGCTTAAAGATGACATACCTAACTCCAGACAGATGCAGCAAGGCAGGAAAAATACGCGCCGACCCATGCCTGTCTCTTGCCTCTGTCGTCAACCGCGCGGGCTAGCGCCTGATGTCTTGGGCGATCAATAGGATTTTGGCGATCTTGGACAACAAACGCACGGCGGCTGTGTTAGGCGACGCCAGGCGCCACTTGGCAGTCTGCATTATTGCGGCCAGGAAGACAGGATTCGAATTGGAGTGACAGAGGCTGCGTTCCATTACTAGACACACATTGATGAGTTTGAGCGTAAAACAGTAGAGCACGAAGGCCACGAAGGCTGCTCGAACAAAGCTGGTGGATGCCAGCACTTCCGTGGCGTCCACCCAGGATGCTCGACCTCCCCCAAGAGGTTGTGTCTCCCTTAGTGGACGTCGCTTCGTTGTCAGGTATTGTTCCTTTCTTTCTTCGAGGCTGGCACCGCTGGGGAGGGTCGTCGCAGAGCCATCGCCTCCTCGGCTACTTTGCTCCCAGCGAGGATGGGTGTGACCGAGATGCAAGAAAGAACAAGGAGGGCTTTTCGCGAGAGTAGTCTTGGTTCATCGCGGCTCTCGATTCGGAATGCACTTCATCCACCGCGCGAGGAAATGCAGGAGAACGCCTATTCAAGTTCGATTTATTGATATGATTTGTGCAGACGTGATTGTGCTCCAGAACCACAGCTTTGACATGACTAAGCTTGACAGCTGCAGGCTGCCAGACAAACCGGCTGTCAGGTCTGTCAGCAGCCGTGGAAGGTGTTAGAACCTTCTTCCAGGGAGGCCAGTTTGTGCCTGAAATGCCCGGAAGTGGCCACCTGGTAGGAGCTTGGGCCACCTCCTGGAAGGGACTGGCTGGCTCTCACTGGAGGAGCAAGGAGCAGGTAGGTGGGGCATTTTTGCCGCATCATCCTCGTCATCTACTGGACGCCTATTATTCTGAGCTGTGACATCTATGCGTCTACCCAACAAGACCACAGCTCATCCTATCTCCATCAACCCTTCCTGACCTTCCTCTCATCCTTTCACTCTCCTCCCCTTCCTCCCCATCCCTTCGTGCCCACGGTAGGAGAACTCTTCCGTTGGTCACGACTTTTGCGTTTCTCATCAGTTTTCCCTGATATCATTTCCGTCCTCCCAGGTCTTAGCACGATCCCGCTTGGACATCCTGGTTCCCGGCCAACAAATCCAATACACTGCTCTCACGATCACGCCGACAAAATGTCTGCCGAGCCTGATCACTCCGAGCACAAGAAGCACCACAAGGTCAATCTGACGTACGTCAACCGAGGATCTGAATGAATTTCGAGATCGAAAGCTAACACGCGATTTTGCAGCGATGCTTCGGGTGCCGAGCACAAGAATGTTGGTCCAAGCCGCCCCTGCACGGCCTTGCCTCATGACCTTTTTGCTAACTCAGATCATCACAGGAGGACGATGTCGCAACCGCAATCCTCAAGAAGAAGAAGAAGCCCAACCAGCTGATGTACGTTGAAATCTGGATGAATCAGTGATGAGATCTTCAGCTAATATGGGGGGGTAGGGTTACCGACGCTGTCAACGATGACAACTCAACTATTGTCCTTTCCACCACCACGATGGACAACCTCCAGCTCTTCCGAGGCGACACAGTTCTGGTTCGCGGCAAGAAGAGGAAGGATACCGTACTTGTTGTGCTGTCGGATGATGATCTCGACGACGGCAGCGCTCGGCTGAACCGTGTCGTTCGACACAACCTGAGGGTCAAGCACGGTGACATGGTCACCATCCATCCCTGCCCTGACATCAAATATGTAAGACCGCCTGTGTAGAATACAGGATCTATCTAGGCGCCAGATACTGATGAAACAAAACTACAGGCCAAGCGCATTGCTGTTCTCCCCATCGCCGACACTGTCGAGGGTCTGACCGGCTCCCTGTTCGACGTTTTCCTCGCCCCGTACTTCCGCGAGGCATACCGACCAGTTCGCCAGGGCGATCTGTTTATTGTACGTGGCGGTATGCGTCAAGTCGAATTCAAGGTTGTCGAGGTCGACCCGCCCGAGTTTGGCATCGTCGCTCAAGATACCGTCATCCACTGCGAAGGTGACCCGATCGAGCGTGACGAGGAGGAGAACAATCTTAACGAGGTCGGCTACGATGATATTGGTGGTTGCCGTAAGCAGATGGCTCAGATTCGCGAGATGGTTGAGCTGCCTCTGCGCCATCCCCAGCTTTTCAAGTCCATCGGTATCAAGCCGCCTCGTGGTGTCTTGCTGTACGGACCTCCGGGTACCGGTAAGACTTTGATGGCGCGTGCTGTGGCGAACGAGACTGGCGCCTTCTTTTTCCTCATCAACGGCCCCGAAATCATGTCCAAGATGGCCGGTGAATCCGAGTCCAACCTGAGGAAAGCCTTCGAGGAGGCCGAGAAGAACTCGCCAGCCATCATCTTCATTGATGAGATCGACTCGATTGCTCCCAAGCGTGAGAAGACCAACGGCGAGGTCGAGCGTCGTGTTGTCTCTCAGCTTCTGACGCTCATGGACGGTATGAAGGCTCGTTCCAACGTTGTGGTCATGGCCGCCACCAACCGACCCAACTCTATCGATCCGGCTCTGCGTCGTTTCGGCCGCTTCGACCGTGAGGTCGACATTGGCGTTCCTGACCCGACCGGCCGTCTCGAGATTCTGCAGATCCACACCAAGAACATGAAGCTTGGTGATGACGTCGACCTGGAGCAGATTGCTGCCGAAACCCATGGTTATGTCGGTTCCGATATCGCTGCCCTCTGTTCCGAGGCTGCTATGCAGCAGATTCGCGAGAAGATGGATCTTATCGACCTTGACGAGGACACGATCGATGCTGAGGTCCTCGACTCTCTTGGTGTTACCATGGAGAACTTCCGCTTTGCCCTCGGTGTCTCCAATCCCTCGGCTCTGCGCGAGGTCGCCGTTGTCGAGGTGCCCAATGTTCGCTGGGAGGACATTGGTGGTCTCGAGGGCGTCAAGCAGGAGCTCAAGGAGCAGGTCCAGTACCCTGTCGACCACCCCGAGAAGTTCCTCAAGTTCGGTATGTCGCCTTCCCGAGGTGTGCTCTTTTATGGACCCCCCGGTACGGGTAAGACTATGTTGGCCAAGGCCGTCGCCAACGAGTGCTCTGCCAACTTCATCTCCGTCAAGGGTCCTGAGCTCCTCAGCATGTGGTTTGGTGAGTCCGAGAGCAACATCCGTGACATCTTCGACAAGGCTAGGGCTGCCGCGCCCTGCATTGTCTTCTTGGACGAGTTGGACTCCATCGCCAAGGCCCGTGGCGGCTCGGTTGGTGATGCCGGTGGCGCGTCCGACCGTGTTGTTAACCAGCTTCTGACCGGTAAGTTTTGTGCTTCACTTCTCCATTATTGGAATCTTTTACTAACTGTCGTTCAGAAATGGATGGTATGACTTCGAAGAAGAATGTCTTCGTTATCGGTGCCACCAACCGTCCGGAGCAGCTTGATCCCGCTCTGTGCCGTCCGGGTCGTCTGGACTCTCTTATCTATGTTCCTCTTCCCGACGAGGAGGGCCGTCTTGGTATCCTCAAGGCCCAGCTGCGCAAGACCCCTGTCTCTGGCGATATCGACCTGAACTACATCGCTTCCAAGACTCACGGCTTCTCCGGTGCCGATCTTGGTTTCATCACCCAGCGTGCTGTCAAGATTGCCATCAAGGAGGCTATCAACGCTGATATTGAGCGTACCAAGGCCCGCGAGGCTGCTGGCGAGGATATCGACATGGAGGATGATGCTGAGGATCCCGTCCCGGAGCTGACTAGGCGACACTTCGAAGAGGCCATGCAGATGGCCCGTCGCTCTGTCACGGACGTCGAGATCCGTCGTTACGAGGCCTTCGCCCAGCAGATGAAGAATGCTGGTCCCGGCGCTTACTTCAAGTTCCCCGAGGGTGGCGTCGACTCTGCTGCTGCCGCCGACAACGGTGGCCAGTCCTTTGGCGATGCTGGAAATGACGACGGTCTCTACGATTAAGCTGCGTTCATGCACATTGTATTCTAGTCTTTACACAACCCGATCCCTGCAGCATTTGGCGGCTGCTCCTCGAAGATTCTAGTGGACCCTTGTTCTGAGGTGTCGCTGGTTCTAAGAGGATGCCTTGCCCTGGAACACTCCTGGTCTTACCATTGCATGGATTGGGTGGGCGGAGTTGGTAGATCACTGAAACTTTTTTTAACCCTCGACTATGATCATGGAGGACCTTTTGATCGACAAGGGCTTACTGAAATGGCTTCATCTGGATGCCGTAGAAGAGCGCAGGATGGTACATTATGCAGTCGAGATAGAAGTGGCTAACCGATGCTTTCATTTACAAATGTCAACCATGCATGTAGTTCATGATGATGTGAGATGTGGACCGTGGTAACTCGACAGCACTAGAACCGGCATTGGTACCTACGGACTGCCTGTGGCAAGATCCAAGTTTAAGCATAGTTTGTAGGTAACATTGCCTATCCGGAGCTATGTCTAGAACATCAAAAACGCCGTACTCCTCATAACTTTGATTTTCCCAGGCAGTTTAAGCCATATTTGCACTGCAGCCCATTGGGCAACACCTTCCGTCTCCTCCCTGGCTGGCCCGAGGCGAGACTTGCTGAGAGCAAACGTCAGCAGCAGAGAATACTCGCCTCTTCGTTCAGTTCTCCAGCTGCAGGGTTACCGAGTAATGACCCATCGCCGTGGAGAGAGAGATCTTTGACATTCTTTCTCCGACGAGGACTGCGTCCGATCCAACACACAGTAATCACCACCAACCTCATCGGCACAACCACGCTCTCGCCCGATCGCTCAGGCTGTCCCACCGTCCTCGATCTCGCACACAGTTTCCAAACTCTCTCTCGTAACCTTGAGCGCTTCGTCGATCACGCTCTGCGGTACAGCAAGACTTTGCGCGCTGCCAGCGCTGCCCGCCGCCGCCGCCTCGCCATTCGTCTTCTTGCCATTGACCTCGGATGTGCCGTTGGTCGCCGCCGCCGCCTTGCTGCTACCGCCGCCCGTCACGGTGTCCTGCCGTATGTCGTCCATAACGCGCTTGAGAAGGGCGGGGAAGTTGGAGCACTCGCCGGAGCGCAGGAGGGACAGGGCGTGGTTCTGGACGGCGGTGGGCCAGTTGGAAGGGTGGGCGTGGAGGGTGTGGAGCAGGTGCTCTTGGATCCTGGTTTTTTGGGAGGAAGACGGTTAGTTTAGTCTTGTTGGGGGAGGTTTTCTTCTTGTGGGTTCGGAGCTGAGAGCTGGGTGGTGATGTGTTGCTTCCCCGTAGCGGCGCATGGTACGGTCAAGGGAAGAGGAGGAGCAAGACCAGGGAAAGAGCTCTGCGATGTGGAATATAGGTGCGGTGAGCAGCGAAGGCCTGCTTACTTGGTCACATGGCCATCTCGTATCAAGACGGTATTTATTTGCGATCGTAGATCTGGGTCGAGCGTGGCCGGCGTGTAGCTCGCTGCCGAAGACGGCACTTTGACTGGCGTGGAGGGTGCGTTTGAGTTGGACATTGCTGATGGCATGACCAGGTCTGTCTGGTAATGTAGACGAATTGGCAAAGGCCCGAGAAGGGAAAAGGCCGTAGCGGTGTTCGAGGACAGGATCGGGGTATCTCTGTAATGACGGTACTCTGGTGGGGTCGATCCGGGTGTGAGCTGTCGTAACTTGGCTGTCGCAAAGCAACTCGATGCTCGGGGGGGCAAGCAGGCGGCTAACGGATGGCTGTTTGCGGCGCACGGCGCCGATCGCTGACCTTTGGCGGTCCTGGGTCGCGCAGACTTTGGTTCGCTCGGCGGGTAGTAGCTAGATCAAATACGTAGGTGACCAGGCGCCTCGACGTGAGCTAGGGGTCATCAGAAGTGGAAATGGAGAGCTGCTGTGATAACAGACTGTCGCTCAAAGCAGCCGAGTTGGGTTCATTCCAATTCCACGTTCAATTGTACGAGGCTGAATGCGGGAAACAATTTCGGCCCCACCGCGAGAAGAAGGCTGAATGCGGTCACGGCTGCAATTGGCTGTTCCGGGGCCACCAGCGTGCACCAGGGGTGTCAATGGCCACCAATTTAAGCTGATCTGGGGTTAGTGGTGTTGGTTGCTCCCTCTCCGTGTTACAAGTTCACATCCATGGAGATTTGCGTACCTGGTGGGATCAATGGGCGTTTCCTCGACGAAGGTCGGTTACAAACCGTCCAGTCCTTCTGACAAAAGGGACCATGGCTACCCAAAGCCCGATGCGAAACGTCCTGATTCATCAATATTTATAGAATGTCACTGTATATATCACTTGTTCGAGCAGTGAGGTCTCTAAAGGACCTGCCTGTCTCCTCCCCAGCTTTCTCGGATGTAGATGCCACGGTTGAAGTCTGTTCTCTTGCTAGTCTTTCCTTCCGAAAGTAAAACGAGCAATCGCGCCAGGTGGTCACTGACTCACGAGCCCCCAACGCACCTCGCAGCTGCCACAATGACGTTCAACAAGTCGACTCCGTGGGCACTTGCCTGAGACACCAGTGCCTTCCTTCTTTGGTCGCTTGGTGATTGGTCAGCTGGTCTGGTTTGACTTCCCACTCATGTTGTACCCAGGCCAGATTCTTCAAACTCGACGTCTTGATCGGCCATCTGGGTCAAGAGGTTGCGGATCCGGACTGAGATGAAACCTCGGAAATCGAGTACGAGCTATCAGGGAAGACAGGTCGACCGAAGCATCAAAGCAAACCTCTTGGATTATTTTGTATAAAGGGGTAAAGGTAGTCGATGCTGACCCTCCAACTCCAATGTTGCTTCTCTGATACAAGCTTTTATCTCTGATTGGGAAGATTCTTGGTGAAATCCATACCCAGGGAATATCCTAGGCCCTCACATTCAGAGCCTGTGTGATGTAGACCGACAAGAACACTTCGATGTGTTTAGCAGTTCATGTTAATCCTGCATGTATTACGCCCCTGTATAAAGCATTGCCGAGAAAAACCAACGGCACTGGTAGTCTAGCCCAGGCCCAGTCTCAGCTACTCCTGGGCTATAATCAGTGCTGGCATGAGGCTGTAGGTTGAATGGAAACTAATGGTTTGATATCAATTGTCGTTGGGTTGCGAAACACCCAATTCCCGAGCTGGATGTTGCATACGTATCTTCTTCGTGAGGTCGGTGTTTAAGCAAGTGTTGGGTGAACCCTTCACCAGTGAACCTCCAGTTGTTTGGACTCGGTACAATAGGGCCATGAAACTGGCCTAGAAAAGGACTTGCCAAAGCCAATGCCGATCAAGTGACAACATGAACTTGACTTGCGGCAGATACTCGTACAGCCCGGGCTGATATTGTCGGAGACCTTCCCCTGAATTTCCCTCGCCGAAAAGGAGACCCTCGCGGACTCTCCCAGATCTGCTGTAACAAGCTAATAGACTGGTGACCACCAGCATCTGCGGCAGGGAGATGCACCAGGTAACGCCAGATTCGATCATCGCCCGGCGTACGATCGATCCCTTGCCACGAATGGTGGCCAGAGAGAGACTTGGCGAGGGCAGATCAGCCCGCGAGACTTGCATATCTGCACATTCCGCATTGGCTAGGACGCGGCAGCTTGTCAAACTGCATCTGCCGCCTGCTCCTGCAGCTAAGTAAGGGGTAGCCCATGGTGCATCTGCAAGAGGCTGGATTTGGCAATTGAGGCTTCAAAAGCTCTGGTGTTTGCCACAACCGCATCTGCCTTCATGCCGGACCGGGACTGAAGATTCCTAGGGCGCGAACCACGGGAGAGAGGTCTTGTGAAATAGGCCAACGTATGTTGTAAATTAATATGGTGAGAAAACATCGAAGGTGATCCTATGATAGAGAATGCCTCTCCTGCTACGAAATACATGTTAAAGTAGGAGTCGGCGATGAAATTGAGTAACAGATATGTTGTCTCACGCGAAGATGCCTTCCACTTGTCAATTTCCTCGAGGCACCCTATTGACGGTCTTCTTCTACTAAGGTGATTAGGTTTGCATAATGGGATTCGCTTCGCTGTGCAATGCTTCCTGTTGGAAAGTTGGCCATTTTCTACACAACCCCTTTGCTGTCTGTTGTACTTCTAGGAACATTGAGGCAGATCAAAAGCAGCAAACAAAGAACAACCATTGGTGATTGAATTATCTAGGTCTGCTAGGTCTGCTAGGTCCGGGCTTGTCCAGACAATCAATGGTCTCATAGTGTGTGTACTCTCTGGTCAGGGGTAGTGAGACCGGAAGCTTCAATCCTTTCACTTCGCCTCAACCAGCGACACACCTGTCTGGAAACACACAAATTGTGTTGGATGCTGCAAAATTTGCAGAGCTACAAGCCTACATGGAATCCTCCCCAATTGGAATTTGTGCAGAGGCAATACCTGGCTAAGTGGTTGGTGGCAAGCTTCAAGATCAAAAGCACAGGCCGTCCTCCGGAGAAGACCCCCGGAGACCCGGCCCCGTGCCTGCCGGAAACACTGCCCCTCGTGGACACCTCCCCTATTCAAGTCAGGTATTGTCGCCCATTAAGGAAGCACTGACGGGGGTGTCTGCTCTGCAAGGAGGAAGCCTAGCGGTACTTCCCTTCCTCTGGGACAAAAAGGGGAGGCAGACTAGATTTAGCAGTATGATGCCGGGTCTTTTGGCAGCTGCCTTTGGCGACCTCTCCTGCCTGCATTCGTGTTCCATTCAACTTGGAGGTCATCGGGATTTGGTGTTTCCAGATTGGAAGAATTTCCTTCCATCAAGCCCATACCCCTTTCCACATAGCGTTATTCTTCATCTCCCCTACGAAAAGCTCAACCGCAACGGCACAGACGAGTCCTCATGGTCGTCGGGGACTGCTGAATTGCACCCAGCAAGAGCCAGCCTGTTGAGCTCATCATGGACAAATCACCGAAGAACGGCGGCCCCGGAGCCCATCCCACCACCCCCCACACGCTCGATGCAAAGCAGGTCAGTCGATCCATAGTTTGGACACCCAAGAGTCGAATGAAGACACCTCTAGGGACGTGCAAAGCTGAATGTGCCGCTGCAGGCCGAGAAGGAGCTCCTTGAACAGAGTAAATGCGTCTTGGTCGAACCCGATGCAAACGGATATGGCTAACAAAAGCAGAGTTGACTAACAATGACACCGCCGTCCGAGACTTTGCCGCACTCCACTTGCAGCCCAAGAGCACCGCTGCTGCAGACAATGAAGACATCGAGAACGCTGGGAGGACGGCCTCGGGGCAGGGTAGATCGACTTCAATCACACCCGGCCCAGGCAAGCCCAACGACCAGATACCCTATCCGCTTGTGCGAGCGCCCGGCGTTGCGCTACCCAAGGACCGACCGCTTACTCCGATCGAAATCAAGACTCTTCGGCTCTGTGCCCAGTTGAGGGCCCAGCGAGCGGAGGTGAGTCAGCTTGGAGTACCCTCCCTCGGGCTGGTAGCATACTTACCGGAGCCGTAGCACTTCCGACAGCAGGAGCTGGAGATGGCACGGGAACGGTAAGTACTCGCTCGAGCATACCCGATGTTGGCCTTCTGCCATCATTTTTGACGCGCAGCACAACACGTTGATCAAAGATCCGAAGGTCTCATGATGCTTCTGGCGACCCAAGTGGGACTCAAGAGCACGCGAACAAGCTTTTGCTGCATTTTGCTTCACTCTTGTTTGCATGCGCCGGCGTTTGCAATAAATATTATCTCAGATTTGCACTTGTGTCGTGGCCCCCCCAGCAGACTCTTGTTGGGCATCCAAGTTGGTTCGCACAGCCAGCCTTGGGGCGGACATGGAGAGCACTCGCTTCTCTGGCTGCCTTCCCCCGTGGTTCCCCAGGTCTTGGACGAGGCAACTTTGCATATCGCAATGCATATGCGGTGTCAGGGAGACTGGATGCACCGAATGCCCCATAAGAACAAGGAGACGGGTCAAGTACGCCTTGCCGCCAATGCCAACGAGAGTATGGCTGACAACAAGGATGATGACGAGAAGAGAACACTTGGAACCGCTTCACTTTGTCGAGGACGGGGAATGAGACCCCTTCCCTAGATTTTCCAGATGCCCCCAGTGGGGACTCGATTTGACCCGGAGACTCTTCCTGAGAGGCGGGTCGAGACCCAAGATGGGTAGCGAAGTGCCGAGACACACGGACGCCTAGGTCACTGTCCGGAAGAGCTGTTTGCGGAAGCCGGTAGGAGAAGAGCTGCATCCATACCCAAGATTTGGGAATGCGGTATCAAATAACAAGCACCATTATGACCGGACGGTATCACTCTCGCACGTTGCAGCTCCATTATTAGTGTCGCGTCAGCCTATGCGGTCAGGGAATATGCGGAGTCTTGCAGGGCTGTCGTGGCTCCTGTAAGACACGTCGGTCGAATAGAACACCGCCAAAAGGAAGCCCAACAGCGGGACGAGCGCATCAGATGCATGCTTTTTACCCAGACGCTACCCAGCTATCGGTTGTCAAGGTCAAGGCGATCGACGGAGAGCATCCGTTGCACTGATCTGTCAAGTCTGGGGGCCGACGTCCGACTTCTCCACTACTTGACCGGTCTGTGTTTGTTGTCGACCTTTACCGCTCTTCGTCTCTTGTTCTGGATGCGGGTCGAGATGGGACATTCTGAGTGACTTTTTTTTCTCCCTCTCGCAAAGGCCTTGTTGATCGATTGCGTTTTGGCTTTGTATTGGGCCGTCCGTGGTCCGAACGCAGAGGAGGGTGCGCGTTATACTGACAACGATGCCACATGCAGGGCTTGGGAGCAAAAGCAAAGAGCCGGCGGCAGCGAGCCGGATGTGTCCCCTTCTTCGTCTGCGGGTGCAGCAGATCCTGTAAGCAAGGCCGAGGACAACCTATCCTCGCGACCTCGTGCACACCGTTCTGAGCCCGAAGAGCCATGTGTCCAGCAGAAAAAGCAAGAATGAGTCCGGCCAACAAGAATGGAGGGAGCAAGCAGCCCCAAGAAAGTATCTCAGCAGAGGTGGAGCCAAGTTTCGCTGTTTCTTGCTGGTGGCGCCCAGAGATGGAGGAACAGGGCGTGGAGGGCACTCGAGGTTCTGGGGTTTTGGTTCCTTTTGGCAGCTCGAAAAGACGGCTCGATCAAGGATCTTGGGAGCTCATGGAGACGGTAACCTGGGACGCAGAGCTTTTCATTCATTCCCCAAGGTACGCAGATTGGTTCTGGGCCATTGGCCATCCCAGCCGGGGGTACAAGTCTGCAAGCTGATGAGTTTCCCAAGAGCAGGGCCACAGATACCTTGCCATGGCGACATGGCTAGACAGAAGACTGGCACAATGATACAAAGAGAACACAATTGGAGAGACTAAGCTGTGTGATCAATGTGATCAGTGGTTGATTGCATGCAAGATGCAGGCCATTTTCATCGACGGAAGACGGAAGGGCCCGAGGGATACCTGCGGAGGTACGTTGCAGGTTCCTCCTGACCCTGGCGGATCTTGGGCCAGCCAGTCTCCCAGGTGTTGAGCATCCGTCCACCGCCGCAACGGGCCGCCTTGAGCTTTTTAGTATCAGGTATGAGATGACATCCCGGGATCTCCAATCTATCCAGTCGCTTCCTGGTTCATTGACGGGCTCAGGCTTTTTTTTTTCTTCTTCCCTTGTCCCACCATGTCAATGTCGGCCTATCACGGTACCTGGTCTTCCATGTACGGAATGATTGTCCTTGATCCTTGGCGCATGCACCAGACTCATGTCATTGCACCCAAACAGTATGTGGACGTGGATGCAGCATTGCAGATGCATGCTTCTACTGCAGCTGCCCCCCCTCTGTGCCCTCGTCACCCCCTGCACGACCACTCCGAGCGACAGGGTCACAAGGCGGTGAGGATGGCGAGAAGCCGTTTGGCCAGTTGCACAAACTTATTTGGCGAACCACCGTACGACATGAGCTGGGAACGCGCGAGTGTCAGGAGCTAGACTGCACGAGCAGCATACTAGGTTGGCTAACAGACGTAGGACGCCGCGGGACCACAGGTCTAGGTCCCGCCCGCCAGGGTAGCTCCAGCTTCCAAGGCACGGCTTCCTGTTGCGGGTCGTTGTACTGCCGGCTAGGTACCTGGCCGAAGCCAACCGGTTGGCAGGAGGGCAACTAGGCAACTCGCCTGCTTGCTTTTTGGCCCAGGTCTCTGATTCATGACCAACTCAGAGGAGGTGTGTGCAAAACAAAGGACAGTGAGGCTTGCCGGCCATCGACGCCGCCTACCCTCGCCCATTGTCTCTCGAGGACAAGGCCTTTGGGTAGCCAAGGTACCGGATACGTCTGGGACAACACGAGGGGGAGGGACAAGAGGGCTCTGCGCGCGCACAGGTGCCAGATCTGGCAGCCCATCATCGCCCTCTCTGCCCGCTCTCTGCTTGGTCCTTGGTCCGCTCTGACCCGCTGCGCGACGCACGCGCCTGGACTCGGGAACCCACTCTGGCTCTTGGGCTTGCTCTAGGATGGTGGAGGTGGAGGGGCCTGAGGGGGAGAGAGGCAGGGAGGGTCGCACGTCCATCTCGTTTACCTGCCTCCTCCTGGCCTGCTAACCAGACCTAGAACTTCCCCAGTTGGTCCATTTTGGCGGCGCCTCATTCGATCACTTCTCCGCTCCGTGGAGAGAAAGAGGGACACCACAGGTCTGGACCCGTTCCCGTTTCCAGGTAAGTAAAGGGTACCTTGCTTTGTGACTCCAGTACTTTGGTGGTGACAATGCGCTCTTGTTCTTTTTTGCTGGTACTACTAGTCAGGTAGAATAAGAGAAGAGCAGGAGGAAAGTTCCTGTTGGTCCATTCGGAACAGCCAACAGCCTGTCACAACGATTGACCTGAGCAGGAGATGCTTTGAAGACAGCAGCGAGTGATAACTCAATGTGGACGCATCGAGGGAGACGGAGGGACTGGAGAGAAGGGGAGAGAAAAAAAGAAAAGCAATAGAGAATGGGCATGAGGCTTCCTCCTCCTTTGCAGTCTGCTGCGGCTCCCATGACAATACTCCAAGCAAGACCAGATCGCCCCAGCTTCCTCATTTCTGTGTTGTTCCTGTGAATCCCTCCAACCTACACGTCCTGCTTTATTCTTCTTTCTTTTTTAAAAGAGGAGGACAGCAGCACACACCCGAGTGTGGAGGACTCACAAACTGTCCCAGACTGTGTCCTGCTACCCAGACCGACCTAGACATCACAGACATCATCATCATCGTCACTCACTCACGCTCATTCATTAACCCCCCTCGGTCTCACCTCACAATCACTTTCACTGTCCCGCGCTTTCCCTTGGTCTTCACCTCTCACTTCTGACTGGACCCTCCGCCTTAAGACAGAGGTCACCCATTCAACAGCGCCTCCTCCAGTTAGACTTGGCCCATTTGACTCAGCCTAGGACCGCTTGCGAGTGGGTTTTGCCACTAATAAGTCTGTCACCTGCCCCACCATCGGGAATTCTCTACAGCCGACGGAGAGACCCTTGGGAATCTGGAATGCCTACTGACCTCGTGTTTGTAGCTTGGTTTCCCCAATTGCCACGGCCCTGGCAATGATTTGAGAAGCGAGGCCTGGCACTCTTCTCCTGACACGTACGTTTCGTCACCAGCCGTCCCTCAAAACACACCGTCTTGCATTGGGGCCGCGAGACAGCATGTGTTGTCGGCTTCCTCTTGCTGACTGCTCGACCTCCAGCACAATATGATGGTGTCTCCGGCGCGGACGCCCGCCGAGGCCGTCCAGCACGTCGCAGAGCTGGCCTATGTCCCAGTCCTGCTGTTTGTTTTCATCACTCTCTCGGGCCTCTACAGCATCTTCACCTCGGAGAGCGAGGATGAGGCCGTCCCCGCCACCGCTACCGGCCCCGGTGGCAGGCCGCTGCCCATGAACAAGAAGCGGAAGAAGCGATCGAGAGCGGCCTCGAATCGCAGAGAGGCCGACGAGGCCACCACCACCTCGACGCCGACCCCTCGGCCCTGCATGGCCCAGATTTTCCAGTCCCTGATGGCATTCATGACTTGTACTTTTCTTGCCGACGGCGTCACAATTGGCTTGCATGTCATAGCAAGCGGGGAGAACAACTGGTGGTGCGGCGAGGAACATGCGGTATGTGAACTCATGAACCAACACCACCACCACCACCACCACCACCACCACTCACCCCTCTCACACTATCTCTTTATGAACTTCCCTTCGAGTGGTCTGCCTCTCATTGTAAGACTTTCTCCTCTAACTGTGTCCAGGTCTACATTGTCGCGGGTGCCTTCCTCTACCTCTACATCATGATCAACCTCCTCGAATCCCGACATACGACGCCCACAATTGTCTATCTTGTCCTCTGGGTGCTCGGCTTCGTGGGGGAGACTACCATCTTCGTGTCCAACATCTGCCGCGTGACGGGCGAGCACTTCGTCCTGACCAATGTGCGCGAAAGTAAATACACCAAGGTCAAGGGACCAGATACCTGGGATCTGGCCGGCGTGGGCATTGCGAGCGTCCGGCTCTTCACCATAACAGTCGTCATGGTCCTCTACTTCATCTTTTACTTGAGGAGAAGCATCGATCAGCTGCGCGAGAAGTTCCATGTCGACGAGGAGAGCACATCCGCAACCCCCAGCGAGACGACGCCTCTACTAAATGGCAACGGCAATGGCCATGGCAGGACTTACACCGCCAGAGGAAGTGTGGGCCGCGATGATCGGCGCAGCCTCGGCCAAGCAGACCTGAACAGTACTAACGGTGGTGCTGCGGACCCAGAGCAGGCCACGGCATTCTATCGTCCCGAGAAACTACCTCACAAGACCTGGTGGGAGTACGTCCGGGGCTATTCTCTCTTCTTCCCCTACCTCTGGCCCCGAGATAGTAGGAAGCTGCGATTCATCGTCCTGATCTGCTTTATCCTGCTGGTCCTGCAGAGGATCGTCAACTTTCTGGTTCCTAACCAGATCGGTGTCGTCGCGGATGCCTTGACGGAGAACGAGGGCCAGATGCCGTGGGCACAGCTCTGTATTCTCATCGCCCTCAAGATACTGCAGGGACAGTCGGGCTTGTTGGGGTCATTCCGCTCGCTGCTGTGGATCCCCGTCTCGCAGTACTCGTACAGGGCCTTGACGACTGCTGCCTTTGAGCATGTCCATTCCCTGTCGCTCGAGTTCCACCTCGGCAAGCGAACTGGCGAAGTGCTCTCTGCCCTCAACAAGGGTGCCTCCATCAACTCCTTCCTCGAGCAGGTGACCTTCCAGGTCTTCCCCATGCTCATTGATCTCATCGTCGCCATTCTCTACTTCCTCGGCAAGTTTGGGATCTCGTATGCCACCATCGCTAGTATCGTCACGTGGTATTACCTGCACATGACTATCCGTATGGCCTCGACCAGGGCCGACCAGCGACGAGACATGGTCAATGCCGATCGCGAAGAGGAGGCCGTCAAGAACGACTCGATCACGAGCTACGAGACGGTCAAGTACTTCAATGCCGAAGACTACGAGTTCAAGCGGTACCGGGACGCCATCCACAACTTCCAGGTTGCCGAGAAGAAGGTCACCGTGGGGATGCAGCTCATGAACATCTGCCAGAACCTCGTGTTCATGTGCGGGATACTGAGCATGCTGTTGCTCGGGGCGTACCAGGTGGCCAAGGGCTTCCGTACCGTCGGCGACTTCATGATCCTCATCTCGTACCTCGGCCAGCTCCAGGGTCCCCTGAACTACTTCGGCACCTTCTACAGGACAGTGCAGCAGGCCATGATCTCTGGCGAGCGCCTCTTGGAGCTGTTCAAGATCCAGCCGACGGTCGTGGACCGCCCTGGTGTCCCGGCCCTGGAGACCTGCCGGGGGCATATCCGCTGGAAGAAGGTCAGGTTCTACTATGACAAGAAGAAGCCGGCGTTGCACGACTTGGACTTTGAGTGCAAGCCCGGCACGACCACCGCTTTCGTCGGCGAGTCGGGAGGCGGCAAGTCCACCGTCTTCCGGCTCATGTTCCGCTACTACAACTGTCACCAAGGCGCCATTGAGATCGACGGCCGAGACGTTAAGGATGTCACGATCGATTCCGTGCGACGTTACATAGGAGTCGTCCCACAGGACACGATCCTCTTCAACGAGAGCATCATGTACAACCTCAGGTACGCGAACCAGAAGGCCACGGACGAGATGGTGTACGACGCCTGCAAGGCCGCCAGCATCCACGACCGCATCATGTCCTTTGCCGAGGGCTACAACACCAAGGTCGGCGACCGCGGGATCCGGCTCAGCGGCGGCGAGAAGCAGCGCGTCGCCATCGCGCGCACCATCCTCAAGAACCCGCGGATCATCATGCTCGACGAGGCGACCTCGGCCCTCGACAGCGAGACGGAGCACCGGGTGCAGGCGTCGCTGATCAAGAACAGAGAGATTGGCTCCGACAGGACCCTGCTCGTCATTGCGTGAGTTTTTTCACTGCTTGTTTTCCCGTTCACACTTTCATCCGCTCTTGCTAACACGACGGGGACAGGCATCGGTTGTCCACCATCACGCAGGCAGACCAGATCATCGTGCTTCACGCCGGCGCCATCGTCGAGAAGGGCACCCACCAGGAGCTGCTCGACCTGGGCGGGCGGTACAGCTCCATGTGGGACAAGCAGTCCAAGGCGGAGGAGGCGGCGAACCAAGCCCGCAGTGCGACCAGGCGTGCGACCAGGCTTCTCCGTCAAGCCCATATCGCTGAGCCCCAGGCCGGTGAGGACAGCTCGGACGACTATAGTGTGTCGTCCTCTGCGCTCCTGCATACCGGCCCGACGACTCCTGGCGCCGGAAGCGTTGCGCGCTCGGAAGATTCATCCTCCTCTTCTTCGTCTTCGGAGGACGAGGCTACCCACAGCAAGACGGTGACCAGATCCACTACTGCAGAATAGCGATGTCGATGTCGTCGTAACTGCCGAATTTTCATCGAATGATTTCTTGAGGATTTTCTGCGGGCATTTTCTCCAAAGAAAAGAGACGGCTACAACAATAGCCAACAATAACAGCAACAGCAGAACCGTTTGTTCTGTCATATACACCACTCTCGCGATGGATTTTTTTTGCTCTCGCTTTTCATGGCTCTCTTTCCTCGTCCCTTTTTCTTTTCTTTCCCTTTCTAATTTCATGAGAGACGAAATATTCAAAATACTCAGAGAGAGCAGGAAGCATCACTGCATAACCGGCGTTAAGAGGTGGACTCATTCAAGATCGAGGATCGGAATGGCCAAAAGGATTGGTGTTTAGGTGTCGGACTGGCTATTGGCTCACTTGTTTGCATCATATTTGCAGCGGCAACATATTTCTGTTTTCTCCTTTCCTTTCTCGGCAACTCGACTCACAAGCTGCTTTTTTTTTCTTGGTTGCTCTACGACACAAAGAAAAGACATTACACTGTCTCGATGATTTATACGTTTCCAAACCCAAAACCGGGGTACACACACACACACACACACATCAAACCCGGTTCTAATTCTTTTTAACGACAGAATCCGATAACTCGAATGTTGGCACGGGAAGGGGAAACTGCTCTCTGGGAGGACTTGGTTTGCTTTTGCTTCGACCGGTTGCGTGCTGTTGACAACTGCCCTTAATTATTATTATTATTTTTTATCCTTGTGGGCTAGGTTCTATTAGCACGGACTCTCTATTTTTCTCTCTGCTCTCTTCTTTCTCGTTTCTTGCTCTGATTGATCCGTGTTGCCTCGGAGGCACACTCACTTCTTTTGATTTCCGGTTCCCTTTTGGGGGAGGGAGGGAAGGATGGGGAGCTTCAAAAAGGTGGAACAACTCTGGTTGGGGGGGGGTTTTGGGCCCTGGGTGTGTTCTTCACTTAGAAAAGGGAGCCAGCATTCTGGCCGGCGGCGGTGTTGTGCTAGACAGGCGATGAGATACAAAATCAAAGAATTGTTCAATCAATCAAAGCTGGCAGCAGCATCACGAGCGGACCAAAAAACGTACGTCTCATTCGGTGCTATCGTACCAAGCGAATGTGGGTGTATCTCCGGGATCATCACTATGCTCTCTTCTACTACTACAACAACAACGACAACAAAAGCCCTGTGGTCCACCACCTCAACTCCCCCTCATGCATACATAGAATCAATGAGGTGACGCCTCTCCAGGGGAGCAATAAAACGCCGAATACACCAGTGGGCGCAGGCCACACGACTGTCTGTCCCTTTCTCTCCCGAGATGAGCAAAGGGGGAAGAAGAAGAAGCACCCTTCTTCTTCTTCTTCTTCTTCTTTCTTTCTGTCGTTTCCTTTCAAACCCCCCCTTCCCCCCCCCCCCCCCAGACCCAATGCGTCATGTAAATTACAAAGAGATAAGACAAAATATTATGGCCCACGCGCGAATCCGTGCGCTGCACCTTAGCTGGTGGCGACCGCCCGTCTGTCGTCTTCACAGCAGCAAGAGCTAGCCAGTAGATTGTGTGTGCGCGCGTGGGTTTTACATACCAGGGATGTTGGGAGCGAGTGACTCGGGGAGAAGATAAAGCATTAGATATTACATTCGGGCGTGTTTTTGAGAACAAAATGCGACGGGGGAAAGGGGGCATGCCCCCCTGCGTCGTCCTTGCCCTCGACCACACACACTGCGAGGATAGGGGCGGGCATGGGTTAGCAGAGGGCTTCTTATCTCTTAGCCTTGCCGTTGGCCCTGGGAACAGCGCTGCCGTTGGAGACGGCCGTTGACGACGCCGCCGCCGCCCTCATCTTCTCGTCGTCCACGACAATGGTGGGCCCGCCGGAGGAGGATTCCTCCTCCTCCTCCTCGGTGTCGTCCTCGCCGTCGCTGCGGTCGTCCTTGGCCTGGCCCTTGAAGACGAAGCGCAAGGCGATGCGCATGATGCAGTAGAACCAGAAGAGGTTGAGGCCCTGGAGGGAGCACAGCAGGACAGTGGTGATGACCTGCGAGAGCGTGCACTTGTACTGCTCGGTGGCCCAGTCCAGCTCAAAGGGGCCGACGGTGCGGAACTCGGTGAAGAGGGACCAGATGATGCGCAGGTTGAGGTAGTGCCGCAGGTAGACCCAGGCGGCGACGAAGATGGCGAAGTAGGGGCCCATGAAAGGCCCGTCGACGTAGTTGAGCGACTTGGAGGTCTATTTCAAAGAGATTAGTTCTGGGTCGTTCTGGCAGAGCTCAACGGGTGACGCTAGCAGCTTACAGCAAGGAAGAAGTCACTGATATCGTGGGTGATGTACACGGCCAAGCCAATATAGGTGAAGTGGAATCGGTAGCTCAGGCCGATCAGGGCCAGGCTGACGATGTGGTGGCCGACGAGCTCCTTGAAGTCCTTGCGCGGCTTCTCCATGCCGAGCAGGAGCACGATGGCCTGCTGGGCCCAGTAGGCGGCCTGGAAAAGGTAGTAGAACTTGAACTCGGCGATGTGCGTCTTGTGCGGGAACCCCTCGTACATGGCTGTGGTGTTGAAGTACCAGACGGGCGTCTTGCTCATGACATACATACCGGCGGGGCCGAGGACGGCAAAGTAGAGCGCCGTGTACATCTGCTCCATGAACCGAGTCTGCTTGCCGCGCGAGGTCAGGCCGGAGTAGCGGGCGAGGGGCCGCAGGAGCTCCTGCATGACGAACTCGCGGGTGAAGGACAAGACGACGGTATAGAAGGAGACCAAGGCGACGTCCCAGGGGCCCTTGCCGTACTGCGCCGGCTGACCGGGGGCAGTGGGCAGGCGGTAGGAGAGGAAGATGAAGCGGTGGACCGGGTTGGACTCGGTCGGGTTGACTGCATAGACGGAGAGGAAGGCGAGGAGGATGGCGAGGGGCAGGACGCAGGTGTGCTTGAGGGCGAAGTTCTTGACTCGGCGCGCGAGCGAGCGGGCCTTGCGCCGCTTGGAGAGTCGCTTCTCCTTGCCATCGGGCTGGTGATCGGGATCGATTGTCAGCGGCCGTGTTGCTTGCTTGCTGAGGGGAGCTCGAGACTTTGTGTGTCCCCGGCGGCTGCCGCCCTGTCATGAGGATGCGCTTGGTAGTACTAACCTTGAACTGAGGGCTATCCGGCGTGCCACCCAGATGCGCCAGACTCGTAGCTAAACTCGGGGCTCCAGTATCACCCACACGGAGTTCGCTGCCCAGGGCGCTCGACTTCCTCCGCCGGCGCGCCGCAGCCACGTTGGACTCGTGGTGCAGTTGCTCGCTCGCTGTGTTGAGGAGGGGGAAAGGTTCCGAGGCAGACATGGTTGAAGAGTGAACACGGGCTGCTTCTGCGTTGATTGCCGTGCACTCTCTGCTGGTTTTGTCGCTCTGGCTGGCTCTCGGTCGTCGTTCTGATCCGGTCCGGAAGCCTCTCTTTTGTGCTCTTTATGACGTGGGGGGCATTGACCGAGTAAGCGACACAAGAGCAGCAGCAGCTACAGCAACGGAGCGCCTAGCCGACAACGCGACGGGGGTTGCTGGTCGTCGGTTTCTCTGGAGGGTTTCGCGCCAGGGTAGAGAAGTGCAGTCCTCCTGGAAGAAAGCCCGTCGCGTGCTCGAATCGATCTTTTGGGATTGGGTGGCAGATGATTGAAAAAGGAGTGACAACAAGCAGCTGAGGGTGTCGATTTTTAACGGGGGAAGAGGAAACCGCTTGTCGTGCAATTTCATTTCCCACCATGGAGCCGCGATCTCGAAAAAAAAGTGACGGTTTTAGGGATCCCCCCGCCCCATTTCCCCCTGTTTTTGGCACTTGACTATGGGACCTTCCAGCGCCTGAATCGCCAAAAAGACCGGGTCCCCATGTCATTCGGTACATTTTTTATGGATACTCTGGGTTCGGCACGGAGTTGGAAATCGTCGTTTTTTCCGTGCACCTCGAGTCCTCTTATTCACTATCTTACCTAGGTACCTTACAGGTCGGTATGCAAAAGACTGAGTGATTGAGCAAGTAAACTGCCTCTAACTACCCTTGTAAAGGAGAGAGAAGGCTTGCGTTTGACTGCTCATCAATAGTTCTGCTTGAACCCTATAGTACCTGAGAGGAATAATGAAGAGCAAAGCGCGGTAGGCGATACCTAGCCGTCAAGATGACATAAGATGCCTTCAGATCCTAGTCGTTACCCATATCTAATTATCTACTCCGGATGCTACAAAATCACAGGCCCAACTTTAAAAAAGTCTATCTTATGTAACTACCAGGTGCTTCGAGTGTTTATGCAGACAAGACATTGATCTCTTTGGGTGGACAAGTGGAGTCGGCTGGAGCCTCTTCCCGCTGCCGCCGAAGCCGAGAACTTTTGAAAAGCGTCCCGAGGATGTGTTTCTCTCTGTAAATGCACAGCAAGACCGGGCATGTCCGAATTTTTTTGTCTCGTGGCAATATTACGTGATCAATTTGGCATTTGTACGATTGATTGCTCAGGCCTACTTCTATCCCATGGCATCCGAAGCGATCGCTGAGCTCAAAAACTCCTTTGCCCACATGACCGGTGCGCCCTCAAGCCAACTTCCAAGGCCCCGGAGGAGCCGCGTCTCAAAAAAAGAAAAAAAGCACAGATGTAGAAGCAAACCCCCCTCCTTCTAGCCACCAGGTAGCACACGATGCCCCGAGGATATCTCAATAGTTTGTTCCGTCGACGGTGCTGCTCACATAGCACCATCGGAGGTAGAGGCGTGCTCCTTGTGCTCGGCCTTCCATTCACCACCCGGCTGCTCCGGAGTCCAGGTGAGGTTGCCGAACTGCGAGTACGGCTGGATGTGCGCCCACTCCGGCCGCAGGTGGTAGGGCACGTACTCGCGCTCCTCGCGCGCCGCCCTGTCGATGCCGGCCTGCTTCCGCCGCCATCGCCGCAGGAGCCACCACGCGATGGCCATCATGGCGAGCGCCGCGACGCCCATGGCGATGCCCACGGCGATGCCCGTCGTCCGGGCGTCGTGTGAGCAGCCCGGGCCGCACTCGTCTTGCTCGGCTGTGCTGCTCCGGCTGGGCTCGGCCGCGCTGGATGTCGCCCCTGGCCGCGAGGATGACGGGCTTGGTGTCGACGGCCCGCTTGTGCCCGGGAGGCCCGTCCCGACGCCTGCCGGTGGCCTTCCCTGCACTGGCTGCGCCGGCGTAGCAGAGAGGATGACGGACGCCGGCTGCCACTGCTGGGAAGCGTTGCGGTAGACTTGGACGAGCCCCTTGTCCGTGAAGTAGTAGATCCACAGTGTCTTGAGATCCGAGTGGGTGGCAATAGCGAGCGGTGCATTCGGCATCTTAGCCAGAGGCCACACAGATTCGTCTTCGCTCGGGTCCAGGGCACTATTGCCTGCAACGACATCGGCAGTGATGCCGTGGAGTCTAGCCCCGCTCGTATAGAAGAGCGACCATGATCCTCCCTCGCGGGCGGCCAGGCACAGCCCGCTCGACTCGCTTGTCCAGTTCGTCAAGCTGGCACTACCGTAGTCTTGTGGTGCCGAAATAGGTACTGAATCTGTCCAAGAAGGGAAAGAAAGGAGCAAGAAGGTTAGCCACGCATTACTGCCAGAAACATGCTCACCGAGCTTACAATGCTGCCACGTCGTCGAGCCTGCCGTGATCTCGGAGATTCGAAAAGAGGTAGAGTCACGAAGCGTTGCTACGCTGATGTTGCCGGTGTCGTGCCAGTAGGCGGACAGAGCGCCGGCGACCGAAGAGTCAACGACAGTGTCTTTGGAATGCCACCCCTGTGTTCGTGTGTAGGTGATCCGCACCACGGCACCGGTTTCGTCGTGGTAGAAAAGCTGGTAAGATTCCCCTTTATCCCGACTCACGACCGACAGTCTCGTGTCAGCGTGCATCCCCCCGGTCCTCCCGTCCAGGACCTTCTCGCTCTCCCGCAAGACATATCTTCCCGTCGAGAGATCGCATTCAAAGGTGTCATGGACGAGGTCGTCGTTCAGGCCGAGGTAGAAGAGTGCCATCTTCCTCAGCGTTAGCTCGGCTCTACGACGTTTTCCCGCGTCATAACTCACAAAGAGCCCGTCTCGCTGCTCGTCCAACCAGCCTGTGGCAGCAAGTGCTGTTCCGTGACAGGGCAAGGAGCTCGTTTCCAAAGCCATCTCGGCGAAATTTGCAGCTCCTGGCGGAAACATATGTGCCACGTTGTTGCAAAGACTGTGTATGATGTCCTTGGTGAGCGAGTGTTGGAAAGCCACCGAGGGCCCGCTGGTCGTCCACCATGCGGTGATGGGCTCGCATCCTCCGAATGTATATGCGAGAGATAGCAAAAAAGCAAGCAAGACATGCCAGTCTATCTGGCTAGGTGAACCGATCTTCATCGTGGGCTGCTGTTCGAAGGAGCGCGTCCTGTGTTGTGCTTGCTGATCCTGAGTGTGCCAGTGCGCAAATCAAAGTGATCACCGAGGTTGAGATACATGTTTGCATCAGTAGGCTCGTTGAAAACAAATTCTATTGTGAACGGCCCTTGACCGGTGATTCATGCCACGACCAGTGATTCATTGGATGAATGGCTTTCACATCATTACATAAGGAGTCATGGGAAGGAGTGTAGTCCTTGCCATCCATAGGAATTGTCACGGAAGTATAAAATCATTTCTCTTTGTACTGTGTTGGCTCTTTCACGGTGAAAAGTGTTTTGAATACTGAGATGTTTTCATGGTGTTCGATGCCCAAATTCTTCTCCCATGACCGCTACCACATGAAATTACAAGAGAAACGAAAAAAAGCATGGCGCCTCATACCAACTCATCACTCAGGAGACGCATATTCTCTAATAAATAGGTGCCCAACCGAAGCGGAACATCAGGTCCCATTCTGCGTCTTCGGCCAACCGCTCCAGACGCTGACAGGCCTGAAGAGCAACCGCTCGAGGGCCGATGGGATACCATCATGCTTAGCCAACTGCTTCAGGTGAGCTCCTTGTCATCGAGGGCGGTTATATCCAGCCCTGTGTCTCAATCTCAGAACAACACAGAGGTGGTTAGATCAAATCCTACATCATGGCCAAGCAGATGCGTGACAGGAGGTAGTAAAATAACTGTCCATTCAGTACTCGGTACATGAGTAGACACCAATCCTGTCAGGCGAGCGTCAAAATGGCTGGCAGAAGTTCGCCAGGAGATACCTCAATGCTAACAATGCATATCCTTGCTCTGGAGCTCGCAAGGGCTATCCCATTACCTAAACCTGATGGGTTTGATGAATAGTCATGACATAATATCATTACCCTTTGGACCACTTGAGATGTCACTTTCGTCAATTGTGTGAGCTATTTTCTTTTATGCCTTGACGCTACTCATGGCTGTGAGCCACTCGTTCCATGCAAAGCCATCGAAGGTGAAAACAGTTGCAACCTTCCTCATCCACCTTCTTCACCTTCACCGCCGCCTCAGCCGCCACCACCTCATCCTCCTTCTTCTCCTCTTCGGTCCTCTCCGGGACTTTGTTGCCGCCGGGGAGGCTTTGACCCTCGGCCAAATGGATATTCTTGGGCAGCTCGGTGCCATCGGCGAGGAGGATGCCGTTGGGGAGGACGACACCGCCCGGGAAATCGCTACCACTAGGGAGGATGCTACCGTCGGAGAGGGTGGTGCCCGCGGGCCCGATGAGGAAGCCCCCCTCGGGGACAGTGAAGTTCTCGGGGAAGGTAATTCTGCCGCGCGGAACCCGCCACGACTTCCCGAAGGAAACCGCGGTTCTGGTGCTACTCAGATTCGGCGAGGGTCGGACCGCCTCGACGATGGTGCCGACGGGGAATGTCGACGTGCGGGACGTTCTGTTCCGACAACGAAACGCCATCCTCGGTCACGAGCGTGCCCTCCTCGAAGAGGACGGACATGCCTGCTTGCAGGAGCCAGCGGCCAGGCCGGACGAGGGTGTTGGGAGGGAGGCGGGCCCATGGTGCCCTGGGCAGAACGATCGTACCCTCCCCCCCCCCACCAGGAGAGGGTCGTGCCTCGACAGTGGCCTCTCGGCCATCCAAAAACTTGACGATGATGTCGTCGCCATGGCCGCCGCCGGGGCCTGAACGCTTCCCGAGCATTCTGTTAACGCTGCTATTGGCTTTTCAAGGAGTATAAATATGTAGAACAAAGGGCGATCAAGGGCAGCGCTCCGCTCAAGAAATTGTTAATTATCACCTCCCAAACTAGCGAAGTAGCGCCGTAGAGCTCAACTCACTTGTTCGGGAGGTGTGCCAATAATCCTATTAGACATAGTGATGGAATACAGAGGGGATAAGGGCTTACTCGGGCTAACGTTTAACATTTAGCTTCCAGGGGAGGAAGAGGTGGCAGGTAGTAGGCGCAGCAACAACCTTTACCTAGCGGTCGACAAAAGGGTCGCCTGGCTTTGTATATTTTGCTCTTCTTACTCCTTGATCATCTCTCCTACTCTTGCCGCCAGCTATCTCATCCAATATCCTACCTTCTCTCTCTGCTACCTCCCTCTTTCATACCCAAGTGATGATCATATCAGTTGACAGGCTGTTGATAGAGATACATCAAACCCATCCGGTTCAGGTAGTGGCATAGCCCTTGCGAGCTCCAGAGCAAGGACATGTATTGTTAGCATTGAGGTATCTTCTGATGGACTTCTGCCAACTATTCTGACCCTCTCTGGACACCCTGGCTTTGTAATCCTTTTCTCTCCTTCAAGCCAACGAAGCCTCTCGTTTTTCTCAAGCCATGTTGTTGCTCTCGTTCAGGTACGGGAGAAAGCACGTCCATGCAACCCGGCACTTCTCAAATGGTCTAAGATCGGGGAATATCGTCGTGGCAGCCCTATATTCGATAGTATCACCTTCCCATGCATTGCCGAAAAGCTACCCTTCAGATGCGAATAGTACTTCCGCTTATCGTCCACAACCCGAGATTCGGGATAATGAGGCATGAAGCGGTGGACATCGCCATAGCAAAACGGGGGTTTTGCCATGGAAGGAAGCCTTCCTGCCAAAACTCTCGTAAAGATATGTGAATATGATACCTCTAAGCATAATGATGTAGCCACGAAACCTGGGCTCTCACGTACCAAATCTGTGTGCAATTCGATCGACTATCTTGACAATGGCTGCACTATTACATGCATGTCATACAACAGCTCAAGTGAACACTTGGAGACCAGGCTAGATTTTTCCCCTGTTCTGAACACCAGCCTTCTTGCGGCGTGCTTTGTTCAATATTGCACATTGGTAGTGGATGGCAAAGCCCCAATAAGAAATAATCAATCTCCACGGGTGCAGTTGCATATGGATATCGGAAAGATTGATCCTCGAACAGGATTGGGAATAACAGAAGGTGGGTGATGACGAGTCTATATCAATTACTTTTGTCATGGACGCAATACTGAGAGATCAAGTTGCTAGGTGAGAGATGAAAGATGGCCGAGAGTCTCATGAACCGTGGAACGATCGGTGTGTTGAGATACATAACATCTCTTTCCAGCTTGAAATGCCCACAGAGAAGAGTGGGCTTTACAAAAACAGAGGCGGCCATGAAACATGTAGAGTTGCCAGACCAGGATTCGGACCTAGGTCCTCTTGCGCCCTTCTCCTTCCAGATGTGTCAACCAGGAATAAGCTTTTCGCATCGTGAGGAAGGACGAGCAAGGCGGATGCCAAGGACGCTGGCATTGTGTCTGCCTGTGTCTGCCACGAGTGACAAGCTTCGCCAAGCGCCAAGCATTGGTGATCCGCGGACGGATGGTCGACTTGGCAAGAATGGATCCATTCAAACGTGTCTCAACGTTGATGAACCAGTCTGCTGGGAAGGAATAGCGCAGCTCTGGGCAGGCAGAGAGAGACACCATCGGTTCCTTGACGACTTACCAGCAAACACTTCCACGAGTCCTTTGGCTATATTTTCACATTGGATTGCTGTTCAGTGTTCAAGAAGCCGCGGCGGTAGCATCCTTTCACACCGCAGAGGCACCAATGGTAATAGTCCGGTTAATGTTTTGCCCAGGTCCCATGACCGGAGACAAGCACTTGTACAAGTTAGGTAGTGCCCTCGCGAGGCGCTCTTCCTGCGCTAAGGAAACACCATACCCTACTTAGTTTTTCAGCTGCTGTCCCTAGTCCATCACACCATGTTTGATTCAAGCGTTGGATGAGGCAGAGCACGTAGCCAAATCAGACCGCGACGATGCCGATATTTTAATCGATTGACCGTGAAGAAAACGAAGATCAAGCAAACGTGCTCTCGGAGCTGCGCAACCCTCGCCATCTGTCAGCAGCTGTGCCAGTGGATAATTCACCTGTCGGATAAACCAGCAGGCAAGAATGACACAGTGCGAAGATGATGCTGGAGGCTGTCCAAAGAGAACCGGCAAGTATCGGGTCGCATAACGATCTATTGAGGACTGTAAAGCAGAGAAGGTGCTTTCTAGGCAGGATCGCCAGTTGATGTTTTCTGCTCAAATCATTGATCGCATGTCGGGGGAACGGGGTAACTTGGCCAGCTGGGGGAACACATGGACTGTGCCCATACGGAAGATAGAATCGAGTGCTCAGATGTAGGTAGGTAGGCGGGTCACACCACACTGAGGATTGTTTCGGGGTGTGAAAACGTCGCACTTGTTGAGAGAGGTCTGGCCCCAGAAGTGTGGTCCGGAGGAGGAGTGCTCTCTACCTAGGCCAATCAAGGAGAAATCAATGCGGTTAATTCAATCGACAGTGGCCAAAGAGGAAGAGGCCGCCACTACTCGGTAATTTCCTACCTTAACCTTATTGTCTCTACTCACACAGGGAGGGTAATTACCGAGAGCATAGCTGTGCGATACTGTATGCTCGCGAGCCTGAAGGACGGACAGCAAACAGGCCCTCATGCAGGCGATTTGCATTCAAGCAGGTTCTTGAAAAGAGAGAGCCAGTGCCTGTGGGGAGAGGAGACACTGTGGCACCACTCCGAGTCGACGGAGTACTGTCCAAGTACAAGTAGTGCGAACAGCGAGGCATCGCCTACGAGAGATGCGGGGCTTCGCCATCGGTAGGTGGGTGGGTCTAGCGTTACAAGGAAGAGAATCAAGACTGCTGACAGTGCGTGTCCCGTCTTCCCACCCGACTCCCATTTCCAGTACCACGCCTCCCCCCCCCCCAATATGTGCGAACGCTACCCACTGGGTTCAATCATCTTTGGCGTCCGTCCTGCTCAAAACACTTTCGAGACAGGAAACCCAGGATTAAGATTGACATTACGACGTCCGCATTGACGACTGCGATTGGACTCCACTGCCGACGGTTCTATCTGCTCCATCCGCCCAGCTTTCTCATTGCCGCGAGAATTCCCCTTGGACCAAGCGGGAGCCCAGAGACTTGTACCTCTTCCATCACCAAGAATTCTCGGCGCCCAGACATCCCCATCCCCCTCCACCAAAATCCTCAGATCTCTTGGTAGACTCGCCGTCGACATTCCCTGCCGGCCTCTGGACTGCCAGGTCATCGCCGACGTCAATTCTGCTGCACGCATCGCAGCCCTTGACGGGTCGACTGTGTGCGGGAACCGACCTTGCCGTCGTCGAATTAATCCCGCGATCCACGGGTGCATTGCAGCCAGCCCCCTTTGCCCCGGCGCAGGTGCCAGCGCGACCTCACGACACTACCCAACCATCCCTTGCGACTGACGCGATACTCGTCTCTTTTTCAATGGCGATTGAAACGTAGGCAAGATCCGCGTGGATTCACCACTCAGCTTTCAACCCAGGCTTGCCGACTCGCCTGCGACTCTCATCGCTCCAGCCATGGACGCCCTGGAGGCGCGGCAGTTGTGGGCAACGCCGACCGAGGCGCCTGCCGCGACGAGTGCTGTTGGCCTCAAGCAGTCCTGCCAGGCCCTCAACCTTCCTGCCGGCGGCACCCTAATCTTGCCCAACGGCGACATCATCACCCTCGCCACCGCTGCCGCCTTCAAGCCCGCGTGTACACCCACCGCTGGCCCGGCCATCATCGCCGGCACTGGACCCGGCACTGGAACGCCCGCCGACTTTCATGGCGACCGCCTAGGTGACGCTGGTGTCAGCATCGACGAAGGCGACTCTGGCCCTCAGTTCTCCGATTTCCGAGACCCCTTCTATGCCTCGACCTTTCCACAGTGCTACGCGCTCGCCGCCACGACGATTATTGCCTACACTTTGGTTATCATGCTCTTCATCACGCCCCGCTCCTTTTTCCATGGCGGTGTCGTGGTCTTGGGCCGGCGAGGGTTCACTCACGGAGGCGCTGGAGGGCATAGCATCGGAGGGCGTCCCTGGCTTCAAAAGGCCGCCGCCCTCACTGTCGCCATATCTTTGACCATCGCCAGCGCCAACACCTTCAAAGTTGCCGAGGAGCAATATTCTTTCGGTTACCAGAACGCCCAGCGTCTGCAGGAGGAGGTCATGGGCAGCACAGAGCTGAAGGTTATCAGGCTCATCTCGGACACCTTCCTGTGGCTGGCGCAAGCACAGACGCTGATACGTCTGTTCCCCCGTCAGCGGGAGAAGGTGATCATCAAGTGGACCGCTTTCGGTCTGATCACCTTCGATCTTATATTTGACTCACTAAACAGTTTCCTCTACACCTCGGGCGGCGCCGTCCGTCCCAGGAGCTTCTCAGATGCCGTACCCGCATTGAGCTACCTATTCCAGCTATCCCTCGGAGTGCTCTATGCTGCCTGGGTCATATACTACGCGTTGATGAAGAAGAAGTACGCTTTCTATCACCCGCAGATGCGGAACATGTGCCTAGTCGCAGTTCTGTCGCTGCTTGCGCTCCTTGTCCCCGTGGTCTTCTTCATCTTGGACATTTGTCAGCCGGATTTCATCGGATGGGGAGACTACGCGAGATGGGTCGGGGCCGCTGCTGCCAGCGTCATAGTGTGGGAATGGGTCGAGCGTATCGAAGCTCTGGAACGAGAGGAGAAGAAGGACGGTATCCTAGGAAGGGAGGTCTTTGATGGAGACGAGATGCTGGAGATGACGTCAGAATTCTCCTGGCCAAAGAAACGAAACGGTTGCACCGACAACGACGGTGGCGATGATGATGGGGGTGAGAGCGGAGGTAGCCCCATGCAGAACCAGAACTCGACGTCCACGGGCAGGAGAGCGTTATGGCCTTCCATGTCGTCGCTCGCACATCGCTACAGGCCTCGACCAAGAAACAGCGAAAACCCGGCTGCCAGCACTAGACCGGCCCAGCCGAACACTACAGATCGGTCGGCAACGAGGTCTTTGCAGCCGCCTTTGTGGCCTGCTCGGCCTCAGCCAGCCGTGACCCCTGTCAGTAGAACAGATACAGCCAGTGCCGATAGCACCATCTACGCAATCCGGTACCACCCCTTGACGGAATCGACCTCACAGACCGACCACGGCACACCGTCGCCAGCTCCAGGCGAGTATCGCAATATGATGAGGAGAGACAGCGTCACCACGAGTCGCTATACCGAGACAGTGCCCAGCGCTGCATCGCCAGATCCTAATGTTACCTCGGAAACTTCAGCCCGCCGATGGCGTGCTCTGGCACAAGCCATGCCCTTCCGACGCACGAGTGACGAGTCAAATACGGCTCGTCCCCAGGCCCAGCCAGAAGAGTCCAAGAAGCGGGACTTGCGCTCTCGTTTGGAGGATTTCGCCATGTCCCAAGCCGACAAGATCCGAGAGAAGATCAACCCAACAATCAACACAGACAGCCTTCCCGTTATGGTGATTCCGGCCCCGGCAAGACGGGGTGCGGCGCTAGCCCAACTGCTGGAGGAAGAGGAGAGCCAGCAGCAGATGTCACGCGCTACAACTCACCAGGCAGATGTCTCAGCTGCGGGGCATCCGGCAGCTGAACCGTCGTCACCTACCAATGTGCGGCGGGATAGCAGTGCCTCTGTTGGATCAATGGCGCGGCCTAGTCCCATGAATCCATCGATGCAGACGGGCTCGCCGGTCTTGCTCACGGCCGCACAGGCAAGGGAAGGAAATCGCGATGCCAGACCACCCGGGCCGTCTGTCACTGGGGCGCCGGGATCGTGATTTCATCTTGAGCTGTTCTCCTCTGCCTTGTGGCATTTGGTCTTGATTTTTGGGTTGTCATCAGCATCTGTATAGCATACTGGGTGGGAGATCTTGTGTGCATCTTTTCGGTGTCTTTGGAGCCTCATGGTCTTGGGGCAGTATCTGGCGTCATGACTCTGAATGGGCAGTCCCTTGCTACCTATCTGTCTTGGTTGGGGAGATATCACTGCGATTAAAAGTTTTCGGCATTAGGGGGGATTCACGGGGCAAACACTCGAGGAGTGTACGACGGCATGACACAGGCGCAATCGGATAGCATTTTTTTGGAATCCTTGGAGGAAGGGCCAAAGTTTTCTCAACCCCTTCGCCGGATTATTTGCTTTTGGGGCGAAGTTATTCGCGAATCGTGTCTACGGTCACTAAAGGACCTGTATTTTGTAAATGTTAAAATGACTTATATATACGCTCACACATGACAATGGATGATGGTGAGACTCGATCTTGGCAAATGGTTGATATGCCTTGCGATCTACGGATCGTCAAGGGCCATGGGTGATCGCAAGACACTTAAATATGTAAGTATGATGCACGTTCTCAAGTGATGGACAGAATAGTTGACGGGATGCCAACAGAAGCACTTAGGCGCCTATTCATAAACCCATCAGTCTTAGCAGTCTGATAGCCCTTGTGTGTTCTAGGCAAGGATATGTACTGAGGTATCTCATGATCGACTCCCGCCAACTGTTCTGAACTCCTGCTTGGGCGTGTCCTATATATCTCTACTGTTCTATATCGACCTCGAGGCTGGTTGAAGACTCAACTCGACCGAGTGCTTCACTTTTCTGGATCAAATTTGATCCATCGAGGTGGGGGTTCCCAATCCCAGTGTGCCATGGCAAGAGTCGTCCATTCATGCGGTTCGAGGTGCATGTAATTTCACACGTTATGCGCCTGCTTACCCTACCTTGGAAGGGAAAGCTGAGCGGCGCGCCGATATATCAGGCCAATGAGGCATGGCATCACCTTTTGTGATCTGCCGGGGATCCAGAAAGAGTCTTTCCCAAGACAGGACAGACGGGTTGTCATCCAGAATCACACATCCAGAATCACGGAGTGAGTGTAGAGAGCCAGCATCCTCTCGACCACCCACAAGCAGTCTAGATCGCTTTGTGGCCACGAGATATTCTGTTTTCCATAAACCCCTTCGATTCCAAAACCTTGGGCACTTTTCCCGTGCAAGGGTTGGCAATCTTGGTGGTAGAATCCATATCCCCTTCCAGCCTCCGAACTCGGTACTTTTTGGCTTGGTCGTTTCGTTGTTAGGGCTTGCGATCTTACAGTGAGTGAGTGGGGAAGCATAGCGCAGGTTTGGTGTGCGCGTGGTCGAGGTCGAAACGACGGGGAAAGGGATGGGAATGCCCGCCGTGGAGGCGCGCCGTCGCCGGACAAGGGCTCGGGCCCCAGCGCCAGACTACTACCTCCAACTTACATTAGGTACAAGTACTTGGACATTGAGACGTGACTAGCAAATTTTGAAGGCTCCTTGCTACTCTGTTTGAGGGGGCATGGAGAGAAAAGAGAGAAGTTGGATATCAAATCCACCGGCTGCTGATCTCGTGACACAGCAGACGCTGTCAGATCTAGATTGCATAAAGTCGCAAATAATGGGAGGGAGCCACGCAGCCAGGAGAGAGAGATGGAGATGCGTGTGATGCTGCTGGCAGAATGGAATTGTGTGACGGCCCTTCCAATTGGGTCGAGGGCTTCCTTTGCTGGCGTGTACTTTAATTACTGGCTGGTCCGCCCAGCAAGGTATTGTTGTGCCTGTGCCCTGTGCCGTAGCCTGGTAGGGAGGTTAGGTAGGTACCTGGATGGCGTAGGGTGTGTTGATGGTGTACCTACCTTATGCCACTGCGTGGACGCAGCTCTTCCCGAGCCGTATCGATCCAATGCCGCCAGTATCTGCCGTTTCCAGACAGAAGCTGGCAGCTCCAGCATTCCAGATTCCAGAACAGTTCTTCATTTTAAATTATCATTGTTGTTTTGGGAGAGCAGAACAGCGATGATCGTAGCAGGGTTAGCAGTGCTAGTAGCATTTCTGGGGTCGTACTTGTACGTGCCCGTGTACAAGTAACGCACTAAAAGGCACCGCATCCCTGAGCCTGAGCGTGGCTCACCTCTTGGGACTAGCGCCGGCGGGGCCCATCGATCGTCAGTCGTTTCATCCTCTCCTTTATTTCACCTTGCTATTCATATCACAGCCAAAAACTGGGCTCCCACAACCAACATCCCAGTCCCCCTCCTCCTCTTTTTCTTGAACGTTTGCTCACTCTGATACACCTCGCGCACGAGATGGCACTGCTTTGACCAAGGCCGATCATCTGCAGAAAAAGAAAAGAAGAGCAATTGGCCGTGCTCCCCGCCTGCATACTTGTACAAAACAAACCCACGGGCCGATCCTGGTACCGCCTAGTTGACTCCCTACTTTAGAGCTACCAGAGCCCGGACACCGAGTTGCTTGTAGCGCGGTAAGGGGCCAGCCCCAGATAGGCGAGAAGTAGAGCAACGACAGACCCGACCAGGAGACGCCCCAGCCAACTCCCACGGCCATTGGTTCCACTTCCAACCTTTCTGTGACCAGAACCCTGGCCCTACGTGCTCCAACTTCTCTGCGCCGCAGCAGTCTCGAAAGAGAGAGGGAGAAAGAGAGCGAACCTCTTGAAGGAATCGAGTTCATATCGCGGATGACACCCGGCAGTCTTGTCCAAAGGGGATCCCACCAGGATTTTTGTCCAACGAAACCATTCCGGACCACTCACTACACGCTCTGGTCCCGGGCTTTCATGCCGACTGAGCCTGGCCCACCATGACGAGACCCGAGATTATTCGTGCTGGTACGTGTTTCCAGAGCCCTGCCCCCTTCCTACCCATGCCTCTGACAAGCGACAACGGCTTTTTCCCCTGGACGGCGCTGCCAATTTTGGTGCCCTTGGTCTCCGCTCGTTTGTTTTGCGAGGAAATTGGGCCGCTGGTACTGACCCGGATCTGCTCTCCTCCTACCTCCAGACTCGATCGATCTTCAAGACCGTGATGCGCCGTCGGCTCAAGACCACGCTCGTCTGAACCCGTCCGCTCCCTCCAAGTCCGCCGCGAACGGATCCCTCGCACCGCACCAGGCCGAGACACTGCGCGAAGTTGCCGCTGAGACGGCCGAGGAGAGGCGGTTGTCTTGGAACAACGGAGACATTGGCGATCTTCAACAGTACGCAGAGGACCTCGCCGCCGGCGTCGCCAATTCCTTCCACCAAAGCCAGACCGGCGGCCGGAGAATGGCGGGCCAGCAGCAGGATGCGCTGGCCATTGCCCAGAATGGCGGCCACAACGTCGAGGACGAGGACCTCGAGGACGCCGACGACATGGACGACGACATGATGGACAAGATCTCGAGTTCGCCCTCGATTGAAGATGGTGGGTACCTCTTTGCTATGTCATCAGTAACACAGCACAAGTCTTGCAGCCCCGGCCCAACACCTTCACCTACCGATTCCTCAGCCTCTGTCACATGCAGCGACGCAAGGTCGTCATCACCATACCCCGAATTGATTGAACAGCCACCTCTCTTCTTTTCAGCTACCCAGACAGGCAAGGATCCTGTCGAGCCTTACAACCGTCATCATCATCATCGTCCGTCCTGTGGTGAGTATGGGCAGAGACACGGACTGCAACCGGAACGGCCAGCATCACCACGAAGTATCACTCGGAGAGCAGACGACGAGGACACCGACTCGGACGACGACTTACTATCCCTCGACACCGACTACGCAAGCATTTCCAGCGAGGTCATGATTGAGGTCTTGGATAGTGCCATCAGACATATTCGCAAATCCAGTCGGCCACAGCAGAAGAACGAACCGATGGAAACCGACGAGGGCGTTGGGGGGCTCGCAGATGGAGAGATGATGATCCCGTACGACGGATCCAGCGGCGATGATGATGACTTTTCTCTTTCTTGTGTTGATACCAGATTTGTTGATTCCGGATGGGGCGGTGAGTGCTTACACGACACAGAGGACATCGACTTCGAGTTTGTCTACGCGCTTCACACCTTCGTCGCGACTGTCGAGGGTCAGGCCAATGCTACCAAGGGCGACACCATGGTGCTGCTGGACGACAGCAACAGCTATTGGTGGCTTGTTCGCGTGGTCAAGGATAGTAGTATTGGTATGTCATTCGTGTGTAGCTTGTCAACGACTACGTGTCTGACCTGACGATGGGAAAAGGCTATCTCCCGGCCGAACATATCGAGACGCCAACGGAGCGGCTGGCGCGCCTGAACAAGCACAGGAACATCGACGTATGTTGCCCACATAGGATTACCCGTTGGCTCTGATGTTAACCTTTTTTTCAGTTATCTGCTACTATGTTGGGAGACCAAGCAGAGAAGACGAAGAATCCTCTCAGGTCGGCCATGCGACGGAGGAAAGCTAAGAATGTCTCTTTTGCGGCACCTACGTATGTTGACTACTCGGATATCGACTACTCGACCGAAGAGGAAGACGACGTAGAGGGCGATTTTGAGGCTCAGAAGTCTCAACAGCAGCAGCAGCAACAACAACAACAGCAACAGCAGCAGAATCAATCGACCACGCAAGAGGATGTGGAGGCAGAGGATGAGACTGCCAAGGTCGAACCTCTGAAGCCACGGGTACAGAAACAGGCGGATGCACCAGAGGCCAAGGATGGAGTGGCTCGCGATGCAGATATCGCTGCGGCGAACCGGACAAGTGAAGAAATTTTCGAGGCGTCCAAGTCGGAGACTCCAGGGCCCACCCGGACGAAGGACGGCACTGTTCGCGACTCTTTCTTCAAGGACGAAACAGTCGAAACTAAGAAAATCACATTGACTCCTAACCTGCTTAGAGACGATGGTGCACCCAGGGCATCAACCGAGTCCAAGGACTTGAAGCAGCGTCCCAGCCTTGACAAGGTTGATAAGGAGCTGCTGCTTGGGAAGGACGATAAGAAGAAGAAGGACAAGAAGGAGAAAGACAAGAAATCCGGGTCCATTCGCAGCTTTTTCTCTCGCAAGGACAAGAAGAAGCTGTCGGTCGACGAAGACGACGATTCGCTTGGCAAGGGTTCCATGGACATCGAAGTCCCGGAGAAGGAACCAGAAGAGACCGATGGTCAGGGATCGCCTGAGAAGCAGTCCTCTGGGCCGCAACGGCAGCCCAGCAAACTGCAGAAGGCCCAGCCCCGTACGGAACCTTCTCCCACGAGGAAGGGCAGTGGTTCCATCACCAGGGATCAACCAGGAATGGATGTTTCCTCGTTCCTGAACGAGGAGAAACTCAAGAGCGTCGCCAATGTACCTCCGGCCACCATGCGTATCGTCGAGTCTGATACGCAAGACTTACAGAATGGCCAGCGGCCACGGGATCGCTCGCCTGAGGTCACCCGGTCAGCCTCCCAGCGGGAAGAGAAGAGCGGTCTTTCCAAGATCATCCCTGGGAGATCACAGAGCGGCGAGAGCAAGCCGCAAAAGGTTACAAAGGCCAAGTCGCGAGTCGAGCTGGATGACTTTGACGTTTCCGAAGAAGAGGTGGAGGAAATCACTCCTGCACCCCAGCGGGCGGCACCAGTGCCGGATGAGAAACAGAGGCAGCAGGTCCAGGAACAGCAGACTGTGCAAAGGCCTACTTTGCCTGGCTCGTTCCCAGACAGCTACGTCAGTACACAGTCTGCGGCGAGCGACAGGACGGAGAAGGCTGCGGACCCTGCAGCACAGCTACAGAACGAGCGCCTATCCGAATCCCCTGTCCATGACTCCCCTGCTACCTCCAACCCTCCGGCTCTCATGGGCGACACCTCGAGCCAAGAAGAGCGGTCCTCGCCGATATCCTCGCCATCGCCCGAGCTTGTCGAGACCGAGGATGGGTCTGGTGCGCACAGAAACCAAGACTCGATTGCGACTTCGACTTCGGCAACAACGACGTCGACATGGAACGATTCGAGTCTCCGTGCATTCTTTGATTCGGGCTCTGATATTAGGGATCTGCTGGTCGTTGTGTACGACAAGTCCGACGTCGAGCCGGCTGGTTCTGACCACCCGGTCGTCGGCTCGCTGTTCAAGGAGCAGAATGCTCGGCTGGCAGAGATCACGACGCAATTAGACAACATGCTCGGCGACTGGCTTGCGCGAAAGCAGCGCTTGCGGGGCACTGTCTAGAGCCTGTGTCGGTCTTTGGGGACGCTGTCTGTGTTTCATTGTATTATACCACTTTTCTGACTTTACGGTTCGCCAACGATAAGATCACGACACATTTTTCGAGATGCCATCACGCCTTTTCTTCCGAAACCTTTTCACAGCGTGAGGCTCTGTTGCTTTTCAGCACACATCTTCTCCTTGTTCCCGTCCGATTCGGGGAGAAGCGGCGTTTTTTCGTTTTTCCATCCGAGGAGGGCGCTTGTGACGGTGGCATTCCCGTTTCATGCTCCATGCTTCGATTCGTCTCCTGGGTCTCCTGGGCTCTTTTGTTGTTATGGCACGAAATGAATACGGTTCTCACCGAAACGAATTACTAAGGATTCGAGATCTGGAGCATGGGAAGTGAAGGACGGTGAGAGTGAGGGGGGGGGTCTTGATGATCAGTCTTCAGGCAGCAGAAGCTGGAGAGAGTATTGAGGATGCTATATGTATGCAGTAGCATCGCGGTAGAAGGTGTCAACACCCCCCGTCGAGGGTAGAGAAGCATTTGCTAGCTCAATGAGAGTGAGGCCTACGATACCCCGGATGCTAATGGCGGTATCTGTATCTCTGACCGCGTGTTCCCCTGTTTGTGCCGAGCTTTGTGATGAGCCCGCAGTCACTGTGAGAGCGCTATTTGGACGAATGGTAGTACCTGCTATGAGGCGAGGTGTTTTATCACGGAGAGGCGCTCATGTTCAAGTTGATCTAGCTACAGACCTCCCGCACGTGTCGAGGTTTGTTTCTAGTCAATTCCATACGCTGCGGCTTTGCCCAAATGCAATGCGCTTGGCGGCAGGGCGTTTGGGTGGAGTTCCGAATATCAGATCAGATCACGAGAGTGAAACTGGCTAGACTGGACTACGATGTACGCGATGCGCGGACTGTTGATTTACCCCGACTATTGAGCTTGGCTCTCTCCGTCGCAAATGCCACATATATATATAAAAACCGCCTGAGTCACTCGAACTCCAGATCATCCCTTCATAACTCGCGCTTATTGAATTATCATATTGATTCAAACATCCGTCTCGACTCATAATGGCTTCTCTCTTGAACCTCGACAACCCGGCTCTGGCCTACTACTCGGTAGGTTTGGGAATGAACCCCCTCCCCCCCTGCTCCGGCCGAGAGCAGGCCCTTCATTACTCGCATGAGCTTTGCTGATGGCAGCCACCAACTTTACACAGGTCCCGGCCGCCCTGGTCCTGGCCGGGATACCGGTCGGCATCGCCAGCAGCCTCGCCGGCAAGAACCACGACCACAACTACCCGCGCCGCACGGTCGAGAAGAGCGCCAAGGACGCGCATCTCAGCCAGGAGGTACGTTTCCGAGAACAAAAGAGTTTCTACCCCCTCTCCCTTCTTTCCTTCTTCTTCTTCTTCTTCTTTTTCTATTTTTGCATTTCTGCGTTGCTGAACCACAAAAAACCAGGTCAAGGACAAGATCGAGCGGGCCAAGGCGGCCAACGCCAACGCGTGCGAGACGCTGGGCTACTACGCCGCGGCCGTGGTGGCGGCCGTGACGGCGGGCGTGGCGACGCGCACCGTCAACCTGCACTGCGCGGCGTACCTCGCCAGCCGGGTGCTGTACAACGTCGCCTACATCCAGCTCGGCAACGGGCACCTGCGGGGCGCCGTGTGGATCACGGGCATCGGCATCATGACCTCGCTCTGGATCAAGGCTGCCGGCGCGCTGGCTGCCTGAGTGCTGGGTCGTGGGTGTGAGGGTGAGGTGTGAGGGGGAGAAAGGGGGAGAGAGAGATGGATGGGCAGAGTTGGAGGGGGAGCTGTGTGTTTTGTTGGCACTCACTTGTGTCGGATATATGTGAGAGTAGAAAACTTTGAAGTTGACTCGAATAGAAAGTAGGCATGTGAGGTGGTCAGGATGAGATCTCGGACGCTCTCTGTTGCCCAATCACGAGAGAGAAAAAGGCCCCGGGTACCTGCAGCTTGGGAAGGAAAGATGATGTCAGCCCTTCCTGCTAGGATCTCGAGTCGACCCCCGTCGGCAAGCTCAATCTCCTCCACATTGTGAAGCTTCAATGGGGGTTGTGTACGATGTATTTCACAGCATCAGCTGACGTTGGTCTTTTCATTCGTCAGAAATCGAGGGCAAGAAAGAGATCCCCCCCTGCACTGTCCTTGTTGGGAGTCAACATCCCTTATTCTTTGAAATGGACTGGTCATACAAGCGTTGCACAAGATAAGCACTTGTTCTCGAGACGGTTCCTAACCCAGATCACTCTTGACGATTTGTTCGTTTCGTGGACATGGTCAGCTGTGTTCGAGTTGTGAGGGGGCGTGGAGATGCTGATGTTGCACGATGAACTCAACCTGACGAGGCCTTTAATCTGATCGGCTTTTCCTGCCTACCCTTTGCAGAAGGCACGAAGGCGTTCAGGGCAACTTCGATATTTTCATCTCAAGTTAGAACGTAGTTTGAAGGAGTGATTCACTTCCTTCCTTCCGTCAGGGGTTGAGCACATCGGGGTATCACCAGTGAGGCTTTGATCTATAAATCCAGCTCTATCAAGACCCTTCTTTAACCTTCTCCTCCCAACCTTCAGCCTTCTCCTTTGTCCGTCAGACACGAGCCCTGTCAAGTCCCACAAGCCGGTCACTCCGTGGTTACTTCTGCACCCGCCTAGGGATACAACATACCATCCTTTGAGTCTCATCTCACAATGCAGCCTTTCACCCATCTTGTCACCGCCACCCTGGCCCTGGCCATCACCTGCAATGCAGCCGCCATGCCTCGCATTCAAGACGGCCTTGTCACTATCACCGTCACTGCGACCGGCGGCCCGGCCGCCGCTGCGCCGGAGCCGACCCCGGCACCTACTACCAGCCTCAAGTGCGACGAAGCCTACTGCGAGGACGGCATCTCGTGGTGCATGTACTGTAAGTACCGACAGTGTCTGGCCATGGCGCTTGGAAGAAGTTCATCTGCTGACAACACATAAAAGGGGGAGGCATGACGGCCTGGGACTTCACCAAGGGCGGACCTGTCCCCGGAGAGATCCGCACTTCGGTCGGTACCTGCGCTCCGCAGAGTGCTTAGTCTCCCTCACGAGAACAACCGAAAGTGCTCGCTTGAATTGAGTCTCTCTCATCGGCATTTGGAATTGAACAGGGTGATGGATACATTTCTACGACAAAAGAAAAGAAGATCAATCGGGATTTGGGAGCAGACTCAAGCTCAGGGAAAGGCGGGTTCGTTCATGGCCTTGATTTGGTGGGAATATCTGCAGTATACTCTCAAGCTGTCGCATGTACGAGTCGGATCTCACAATAGCTCTTTGCGACCAGGCCACTACTAGAGAACCCATACTTCTGATACTGCAATAACCAAGGTTTATATGCCAAGGGGTGTGACTTTTGATCTACGGCCTCATGCGGCAAACTGGACCTCCCTCTTAGCCGCAGGACCGCCAATCTCCTTCGTGATGGAGCCACTCTCGATATAGACACCCGAGAAGTAGAAGTCCTCGTTGCTGTCGCTGTAGCCAGAGCGAGGCAGCTCGAGAACACCCAGATGCCAGTCAGCACCGTTGGACGACGTCGATGCCGACACAGGGGCAACGACCTGCTTGAGCGGGTCGCCTCCCTCGGAATGCCAGAAGCCGACCTTGTTGCCGCTGAAGTCCTGTTGAGGAAAGGAGGGTCAGTGCCATGTCTTTTTTGATCGTGTATGATTGGCAGCGCAACATAAGACTCACAATCTCGTAGGCAACATTGTGCCAGACGTTGGGCTTCCACTCGGCCTTCCAGTAGCTCCGCTGGCTGACCATCCACTGCAGGTTGGGGTTGCTCGTGCCGGACTCGCCGCTGATCCACCCGTACTTCATCTCGGTGAAGTGGCTCTCGAAGAAGTTGATCTGGTGCTCACGGTTCACGCTCGGCGCGTTCTTGTCGGCCCGCATCATGCTGAAGTGGTAGAACACCTTGCCGCTGGCGATGGCGGCCTTGGTCTGCGGGATCAGCTCCGTGCGCCGCATGTTCTGCCCGTTCCAGAAGGCCGTGCTGTCGAGCGTGAAGCGGGCCCCCTGCTTGCTGACCGTGTCGGCCGGGTTCTTGTAGTCGGCCGACAGCGCGATGTACTTGTCCACGCTGCCGGAGCCGTGGATGTAGTACTGGTAGGGCCCGACCTGGTTCGACCACGACCACTTGTTCAGGTCGGCGGCCGAGGTGAAGTCGTTGAACCGGCCGTCCCAGATGACGGCGGCCTGGCCGAAGCCGGCGAGGGCGGAGAGCAGGATGGTCGTGACCTTCATGTTGTCGGTGGTCGGGGGAGAGGCGGTCGGCTGAGGAGACTAGGGCGTGAGGCGAGAGACGTAGAGAGGTAGAGAGGTAGACCAGAGAGAGAGGGATTTAAAGACACCGGGTTCAGATATATGAGAATCCGGGGTCTAGAAGTGCCTATTGATACAAAGACATCGCTCCACACAGATGAGGTTCAAGGTAGTTCGGGGGAAGCAAAGGGGGGCGGTTCCCATATTGGCTTGGTACTAACTGCGGCAGTCTCTGGCCGCCGAGCGTCGGAATGGACTGGTAATATCGACGAGGTACGGCGGACCGCCATGGCTTCTTCCCACACAGCTTCGTGTGCTTTTTGTTTGAATACGCAAAGGCGGACGAGGGGCTCCGACCTTGAGTGACGGTATAGCACTTATGATATATGGTATGATGAAAGGTGGAAATTGGGCTTCACTTTAGCCGGCATAGTGAGCCCTTACTCCTTGCACCCCATGCATCGCGCCTGGATCAGAATCCGGGCCGTACGCGGGAGCCAGAGCAACTCGCTTCACGGAGAATATCCGAGGAACACTGTGTTGAAGGTCTAGAAATGAGAAGCCGAAGTAGACTTCCAAGGGGTTGCACATCGCGAATAGTACACCATGTGTCAAGCCATTGAACTTCTGGTATTAGCCAAAGGGGTCGCGAGATGTCACAAATCGAAGACACAAGTGAAAGAAGACCAACTGAGACTTCAATTCGGATTTCTCATTGCATGCCAGGTCCTTTTGTACTGCCGTGAAGAAATAGATGCAGATATGCTCCTTTGTAACGCCAGCCAAATCCAATAATCGTCGAATACCATCCCAGACCATGCTTGGAAATAAATGCAAGCATCAATCCTAAGATTGACTTTGTGGCCCATACTTGACCTCCAACGCGATGAGATCAAACTCTCTGAAAAGCAGTGAAGAGGCCGATTGAGGCTGAAGAGCCTGGCGGCGATGATGCACAGACATCCAATATGATTGTCAACCGTGGCCGGGATGAATCAGGCTCCCAGGAAAAAGGGCAGACGTTCCTCTCTGCCCTAGAAGTTGTATGTAAGCAGTCTTGGAGGATTGCTTCATTTGGACTTCTTCTGGCCGCGCCTGTCCTTGTATTTGGGGAACACAATGGACGACTTCTTGACCCGGCGTTTCTCTATCCTCTTCTTGCCGGGCTTGGAGCCAGTGGAAGCTTTGCCCTTTGAAGCTGAGTCGATCTCCATGTCTGTAGACTGTGTGAGCAAAAGACACGAATGTGACCAGAGAGGCATGCTACATACCCTCGTCTTCATTATCCTTCTGGGCCTTTTGGGCCGTTTCTGCTGAATCTGAATGCAGTCGTTAGTGATATTGGTCATGAGAGCTTTGGAAACGTCAATGCTCACCATCAACCTCGGCAATATCAACCATCTCAGCCTCTTTCACAGGCTTGGGCTGTGACGCGAGCTCAAGCAGCTTTGCTGACAAGCGTTGAGCTCGCTCGGACTCGATGGGGCCGAAGACATTCTTCTTGAGCCTCTGGTTGTTGGCCTTCCTGGTACTGGCACGAGAACTCTTGGCCATTGTGGTTGAGATTGAGTACGGGCCCCTTCTGAGAAGAAGAAGTAAACAAAAATCTTCAACCTTGTGTGAATTGAGAATGAGACTATGAACGCTTTCAAGCCCACACGGTCTTTCCTGTGGGAAAAAATCTGGACCCCTCCACTGTTTACAGGGATTGCCGATGGTGATAAGCTCAAGTAGAGGTACTGTAAGCACAAGACTGAAGACTTGCTCTAGAGTGGAAGGCTAGGCAGAGAAGGAGGTACTGGCGGCTGAAGTGGGGTAGCATGAACCTGACAGTGCACTAAAAAGAGACCAGGCCTGGCCCCCCCCCAGCACATTTCTGCCAAAGACTGCCGCCTCCAACCACAACCACGACGCCTCCAGTTCCACTGTCTGCGATACCTCACAACCGGCTCAGCTCTGGAACGAGCTGAAATTAGAGCAGTTGATCTGCAGGATTCGAAAGAGAGCGACGGGCTTACAGTTACTGAGCCAGACGACACTGTCTTGTTGTGATAGCCACCTGGACAGGCAGAGAATCCTGCTACCGTTTGTCTTTTCGGCCCTCCCAGGTTTCTTTTGCGCCAGCACAGGCAGACGCAGGCGCACTGCCTCTTCCGACCTTGCAGCTTACAGCAGTGTCCGGCGGCGCCCGCCTTTCTCTTTTTGTTTCGAGCCTGTCGCCTCTTGCGGCTCTTCCCCACGATTTCTCCCTGCGCCAGGTAGCGACTGTGGTCGCACCTGCCCAACATCGCCTGCCTGGATGAAGCCGGATCGCGCCCTTTCTCGGAGCTCTCGTTCAACATCGTAGCCGATCAACCATGTCGTCGGCCTTCCCTCCCACGGCGGAGGTGAACTCGCTGATCAACACCGTTCGGAGCCATACGCTCAAGAACAAGACCCTCTCCCATATATGCGCCACGAATGGCCTCAAGAGCGGCGGGGTCAAGGCCGACATGCAGAACCGCATTGTTACTCGTGAGTAGTCTTCCCCCCGGGGCCACATCGCCGCCCTGCCGTCAGATCTGCTTCACCTCGAGCCCTGATACCTGTCACCACTCCACCAATCTCGGGGGCTGCGCAAAAGCAACTATCGTTGGCCTTTTCTCGATACTCAATCTCAAGTGCTGACACCCACTCGTCGCATAGGAATCAATCACTTCGTCCAACAGGCAGACACTGTCAACTTCCGAGCGATCCAAGCCAGTATCCTCCGAGAGGCCCCGCCTACTACCGCAGCCTCGGCGTCGCCATCCTACACCACTGGCTACATCTCAAGTTCGCCGTCTCGGTCGTCGCCCCAGGCACACGCATACCAGATGCCCAACTACAACTACTCGAACGGCTACGGCGCGGGGATGAATGGGCACAGGGTGCAGCCAGCCTCATCGCAGCCTGGTATGCGACCTGACCCGTCACTCCCTTCTTTCTGGCCCGGTTTAGTAACAACAGCAGGTCTGCTCTTCAAGACGAGTCCTTTCTATGAGATAGACTCCCTTGTCGGCGATGTTCGCACTTGTGAAGGTACGTCGATGGACATGTGACAGTCCAGTGATGGCTCCGTTTGCTGACATGTAATCATCTCAGTCATGACCCAGCACAGAAACTCGATCAACATCCCAATTAAGCTGAACAGCTTTCCAGTCTTGCAAAAGTGCGTCAATAACCCATCGATGAGAGTGATGGTGTTCTGTGCTTCTGGCAATGCTGGAGCCCAAGACATCGCTTTCCCCCACCAGTGCGAGATTAAGGTCAACGGTGGAGAGGTCAAGGCCAACCTGCGTGGTCTGAAGAACAAGCCGGGCTCTACACGGCCTGTCGACATCACGGAATTGCTTCGTCTCAAAGTCCCGAACTACAACAACAACATCGAGTTCATCTATGCACTCACCCAGAAGGTCAGTCTTTGTCTCTTCTCCCAAATGCTATTGATCAACCCGCCGTTGCCGGTGGTTAGATGCGGACAGGAGATTAATGGGGTAGCATATTGTAGAAGTTCTATGTCGGGCTCTACGTGTGCAAGACACATTCTGCCGCGGAGCTCGTTTCTAGGATCGAGCATCACCACAGGATTTCCAAGAACTCCGTCATCATGGAGAGTAAGTTTTATACCTGTTCTGCTTGCTGCGAGAACCCCATGTGAACTGACCGGCTCCCTGTCACAGTCTGCAAAACTGCTCAGGACCAGGACGTCCTTGCAACATCTCAAGTCCTCTCTCTAAAGTGCCCACTGTCATACATGAGGCTTGATCTCCCGGTCCGTTCACTGTCGTGCAAGCACATACAGTGCTTCGACGCCACCTCGTATCTGCAATTGCAGGAGCAGGGTCCGCAGTGGCTTTGTCCAATCTGCAACAAGCCCGCCCCTTTCGCCAACTTGGCGGTCGATGAGTATGTCAAAGACATATTGGCCAACACGTCTAAGAATGTTGAATCGATCGCTATTGAGGAGGACGGCTCTTGGCATGTCAAGAGCACGGAGGAGGAGGAAGACGACAACTCCGAAACCAACGATGCGAGCTACCTGCTCGATGACGACGATCTCATCATCACCTCTGATTTCAGCTTTTCTGCAAATCGGAGTACTGCCACTCCAACCCGAGCCGCCCCTCTGCTTGGCACTCCCAACACGGGTGCTTCTCGTGAAGGCTCTTCCATGCCTAGAGCGCCTGGAAGCGCCAAACGACCGGCAGCGCAGGTTATTGACCTGACTCTGTCGGACGATGACGAGCCTGTGCAGCCTCCGGCCAAGCGTCAACATCTCAGCGGCGCCAATGGCTTCCACTGAAACTTCTCGATGATGTAGTGGAAGTGCAGTCTATCCAGTCACAGCACAGCGTGCTGTTGTGACGCCTTTACTGAATCCACTACACAAAACCGTGTACAAAACTCTGGGTCGAGGGCGGCTTTTCTTTGCTTTATGGATGGAGGGCATGTGCGTGGCGTTTCGAGATATCCTGTCTGTCATCAGACACAAAACTGCTATTTGGGCTGAGGCGAGGGCGCCAGGGAGGGCGGCATTGGCGTTTGACCAGGTTCACGAGGGTATAGAATTAGGGAATACCAAGAGTCATGAAGACAGAGAAAAGGGATGGTGTCATAATTCAACTGCCTCTTGTCATTTTTGCGTTTCTTTTCGGCCAGAGACCGATGGTTGGTTGTACTTATTGCCTACCTAAGGTATTGATGATGATCAATCCGTGGAAGATAGTTCCATGGCAAGATGTTTTTGCCCCAGTTCAGCTGAGGGTTGTTCACTGGGACTAAAGTGCGCTAATTGCGATCGAGTAGCGCTTGCGGCCAGCGTGCCAGGCTCTTTGCTCCAGTGCTGCCCCGCCTATCGCGGATGAGCTGGAGCTAGCTCCCTTATCGCCAACGTACATTGATGTTTGTCTCATTGCGCATCACTCTCAACATCGAGCACGTCAAAAGCCCGCTGTCCTTCGCTGCAATTCCGAGCGCAACCGCCATTGGCCTCACGCACAGACGCACACACTCCTGGATAAGCAGCTGAGAAATCCAGGCACCGCCCATAAGATCCACCAGCAGCCTCCCGTCTGCCCGCGCGAGCAAGACACACTCCGCCCTTCTTGTGTGTATCGGGGACTTCGAGGTCAAACGACAGAACCGCAAGAGGCGCCGGTCCTTCTGCCCATCCAACCCACCCACCTCCCCTTCCAGAAAAAGAAGGGGACCGACTTCAGCTGCCCCGCTTGCACTTGGCTGTGAAAAAAGATGTCGTTCGACGCCGTGATGCCGCCGTACAACGCCTCGGACCCGACGGCCTCCTTCCTCGGCTCCTCGTGCCTCGACCTCCTCCTCATCGAGCTCGTGCCCATGGCCTACCGCGTCGTCAACGAGCTCGACGGCCAGGCGGCCGCGTCCGACTCTGCGGCGGGGACGGGGACGGGGGCGCAGCAGCTCCCGACGCCGCCGCCCGAGGACCGCCGCCAGCCTAGTAGCAGGGCGGCCAACGGCGCGGACTCGACGGCGGCGGCGGCGGCGGCCTCGGGCGCGGGAGATGCGGCGGCGCGTAGGGCGGCGGGTGGCGGCGGTGGGGTAGTAGGCCGCATGGACGAGGAGGAGGAGAGGGACGCGGTGTTCTTCCGGCTCGAGGCGCTCGGGTACCGGGTTGGTCAGGGGTTGGTTGAGCGGTGAGTCTTGGCTGGTGCTCTTGTCTCCCTCTCCCTCTTCTCTGTGCGTAGCATGAGGGAATAATGTGCGCTGACATGGGAGAACCACAGATTCTCGAGAGACAGGCCCAAGTTCACAGACACGCTCGACGTGATCAAGTTCCTGTGCAAGGACCTCTGGATGCTCGTGTTCCGGAAGCAGGTGGACAACCTCAAGACGAATCATAGGGTAAGCATGATGGGGCGGCGCCCAGAAACAATCTACGGGTTCTTCTGGGTTGCTGCTGCTATGGCATTTTCCAAAAATACAAACAAACAAACAAACAAACCATGGAGACACAAACGGACTGACAATGGGTGTGTGTAATCTCCAGGGAGTCTACGTGCTGACGGACAACTCGTTCCGGCCCTTCTCGAGGATGAGCACAGAGGCAGGCGGGCAGGCGGTGCTGAGGGCGCAACCGGTGTGTATACTTCTGGTCCCCCCCTTACACTCATGTTGGAAGCAACGACATGTTAACGCGAGAGGCAAAGTTCCTCTGGTTCCCGTGCGGCATAGTGAGGGGCGCGCTGGCAGCACTGGGCATCACGGCAACGGTGCAGGCCGAGACCAACGAGCTCCCGGCAGCGATGTTCCAGATCAAGACGATCCCGGTCAAGGCGTAGGGTAGGGGGAGTGGGAGCCATATTGCGCCTCGACTATCCGCTTCCCCGTTGCGGGGAGTATGTGCGGAGGTCTACCAAAATCTCCACGTCAAAGCATCATAACGATGGTGTTACCAGAGAGTGGTCCACATGGGGTTGCCACGGAGGGGGATTTCTACTTTGCTAAAAATGCATCGGGCCAGGCACGGCGGGCGTACGGCGCGTTTTCCTCTTTGCTTTTTTCACTGCTCTCTACTGGAGAGAGACATTTGTTGCATTTATCTATACCCTAGATATTAGATACTCTTCCCCCCCCCCCAGAAAAAGGACAAAAGAAGTCCACGTCGTCTCAGTCATTTGGACCCCCCATGTTTTGCTGTCATCTAGTGCCCGACTGCGCGGGGGGAGGAAAGAGGAGGCGGGGTGCGGCCCCCCGGAGCTAGAAAAGCCGCATCGCGCGAGCCGGACCGGCGGAACGGGGGGAGATCTCTCCTCACGCACAGACCGATGTCGTCTCTTTCCCCTCAAGTCGATACGAGCTGAGCAGCAGCAGCAGCTACTTGTGGGGGAAGGGAGCTAGAGCATCGCCGGACTCCTCTTACAACCTGCGGTAGGAAAGACATGCATCAGCCACTCGCTCCTTCAACACGGGTTTTGGTACATTATTTTTCTTGTGTATGTGTGTGTGTGTGTGTGTGATCTATGGACCATGTGCAGCTATCTCTCCCACCAGAGGTCGATCGCACGCAAAAGGCCCCCGTCCTTCTTTTTTTTTTATCTTTCCGAGGACTTCCTCCGGCTACATCCGATGGGATCAAGGAAAAAAGGGAGGGGGAGGGGTTATTCACTTTTGAGGCGGGTTGTGGGCAAAGGTGACACCCTTCTCGATGTTGCCCTTGAGGCCCTTGAGGCAGGCGTCCAGCAGCGTCTTCTCCTTGTCGGTGATGTCGCCGAGGACATCGATGGCCTTCTCGGCGCCGTTGGGCTAGAGGCAGAAGACGTCAGTCAGTAGTTCTAGGCATAGCGTATCGTCAATGATAGCAGCAAGAAAGAACTTACGCCAAGCTCAATGGGGACGGAGAAGAAGTCGGTGCCGGTCTTCTTGGCAATCTCGGCACCGCCGGGGACGCCAGGGAGGTAGACATAGCTGGGCTCGACGAGGCCCTTGGCACCCTTGATGGCCTTCAGCAGCTTCTCGGCGAACCTGAGCTTTGTGTTAGTCCGGGAGCCTTGCATGCCATCAAGTGAAGATGCCTCAGTAGCTTACCGGTAGCCGGCGTAGGCCATGCTGAGGGTGGCGGAGCCGGCGCCGTTCTTGGCCTTGACGACCTCGTCGCCGCCGAACTGGACGCGGTTGACGAGGGCGTCGTACTTGTCGTCGGGGATGGTGACCGAGGGCTTGATCTGGCTGAAGAGGGGCACGATGGTCTCGCCCGAGTGGCCGCCGATGACGGGGACGGTCAGCTCCTGGGGGTTGGCCTTGCCGGCGAGCTCGGCGACGAAGGTCTCGGCGCGGACGATGTCGAGGGTGGTGACGCCGAAGAGGCGCTGGGGGTTGAAGACGTTCTTGGCCTTGAGGACCTCGGCCGAGATGGGCACGGTCGAGTTGACGGGGTTGGAGATGACGAGGATGAAGGCCTTGGGGGCGACCTCGGCGGCGACCTCGATGAGGCCCTTGACGATGCCGGCGTTGATGTTGAAGAGGTCATCGCGGGTCATGCCAGGCTTGCCTGTGCGCTTCTATCTTAGCAACAGCACCGCTGACCAGACAGGAGGACTGGCGGCTTGGGGAAGTCGGTGGCAACATACGGGGAATACCGGCGGGGATGACGATGACATCGGCATCCTTGAAGGCAGCCTTCGCGCCGTCGTCGGCAGGCAGGTAGCCCTGGACTTTCTGTAATTCGACATACTATTAGCCATCATCGAAGGGAAGGGACACCATCAACCTATCCGTCCTGTATACACTTACAGCGTTGGACGAGACGTGGGAAAGGTCGGCGGCAACACCGGGGGTGTTGACCACATCGTAGAGGGCGAGCTCGTCGACCAGGGGGCAGAGCTTGAGGAGAAGGGACAGGGGCTGCGAGTCGCGGGGTACATTAGCTGCTTGTTCCGCATCGCCGACGGGCGGCGGCAAGGGTTGGAGGATTAGACAAACCTGTCCGATACCACCGGAAGCACCAGCAACAACTAGACATTCAATCAGACTTGATCCTCGGGGGCCATTGGGGACTGCAGATGAGGTTCCATGGCATACCGGCTTTGACCATCTTGGCTGTATTTGGGTTTCGGTTTGGAGAGAAGGATAGAATGCGGGGGAGGGGTAATGCTGCTAGAGAAATCACAAGCTTGGAGATCAGTCAGTAATGGAGTTGTAGGATGGGAAATTGGAAAGCAGGAGGGAAAAAGAGGAACCGGGCCGGGAGGGGAGAGAAATTACCTCAAGGTGTGTACTACGTCTTTTGCACGAAAAAGGACGAGCCGATGTGAGGTGAGGTCGAGAGTTCTTATTAAATCGCGACGGGCCAGACTGGGTGTTGCTCTGGAGAAAGCGGGGATCAACCGAGACCGACCTTGAGAGGTACCCGTGGATCTCTTATTAGCAACAAGCGGCTTTCACTTACGTACATGAGCCAGGCTTCCAGGTACCACAGCAGCTGGGCCAAAGATGGCCTTCTTCCTCCGTCCATCTAATGCCGCTGCGCACCCACACGATCCGGAGCTAACCTTAAGCCTTGGCAGGGTTGAGCCACCACGAGAACGTTTAGCCGCTCTAACCCAGTGCCACTGCTTTTGCTTCTTGTGTGTCCCGGGCCTTGTCTCAAGCTGCCGCATGGTGTTTATTGCTATGTTTCTGATGCGCACCCGCCCGAGGCGTGGGTGACTGGGTGCGGGAAGAGGGTCACTTGGGCCCAAATTCCCAAGATTGCACACCATTGCCGTTCTCGATGTACTCACTTTAGACATAACCGAGATCCCCGCTATGATCAAGCTTTCAAAGTCCTCGGATGTGCGTGGATGTGCGCCTTACATCACCGTGCCGACTCCGCTACCGCGTGGGTGGGCGGGCTACTTGACATGTGCCTTCCGAGGAGCTCCGGCTCACTTTCGCCCATTCGGTCAAACCCGGGGCCATGCGGCTTCACACACGATAACAACGCCTGAATGCTTAACAAGTCCGTGGATTTGATTCGACAATGCTTGGAATTATCCCTTGGATGTAGTTGGTCAAGACTCATACTTCCGTAGCCCGCCGGCAACGTACCAAGGCATATAATCGGCCCCGGCATTCTGATAACCCATAACACAAGAGGGCACTCTCGCAATTACGACGTCGGTATTCCCGACGCCGCTCCTCTCCTTGACCACCAGAACATCGGTTCACATATCCAGGGAGAATCCAAGTCACATGCTGGCCCACAAAGTCGAATCACAGTACTGGCGGGGTATATGCGAATGCGATTAAATGATGATCATTTGAATTTTTTGTTCCGGCCTGAGCCACGCTACCCGTTCCCAAACCCTTACTCCTCAGCCTTCTTGGCCTTGTTGCCACGGGGCTTCTTCTCCTGGTCGGGCTTGACGGGGCGCTGGGACTGGCGGACGGCGGAGGCGCGCTGGACAGCGGCCTCACGGAGGTCGGGGCGGTAGCCGTTCTTGGCGGACAGGTTGGCAACGGCCTTGTAGACGCTGTACGGGCGAAAGTGGTCCATGTTAGCTTCTGACTCGTACTCCTCGCGGGCGGGCTATACACAGTCCCCGGGGGTGCAACTGACGATCTTGAGTTCTTGGCGCCGCTGTGGGAGGCGTTGTGGGTGGACTTGGCGGGCTTGTTGGCAGAGCCGGCCTTCTTGGTGGTGACCTGGACGCCATTCTTCTCACCGGCGGAGATGCTGATGGCCTGTATACCGCTTCATGTCAGTCGCCGAGGGCACTCCCCAACTCGAAACTCGCTCCGGGGCCGGGACGGAGTCTACCTTGTCGTTGACGAAACCAGCGTGCTATCTAGCGCGTTAGCTTCTTTCCCATAACCCAATTCGACCTCTGATTGTCCAATTTACCTTGCGGGAGTGCACGTTGGTCAGGTTGTAGGGGTCGCGGGAGAACTGGACACCGCCGGCGCCCTTGCGCTTGACCAGGAAGGAGTTCTGGGAGCCTGTGATATTCCCGAGGAGGAACGTCGGTCAGAATTTTGGACGTGGCTTTCCCCCATTCTGCCGGCGAGACTTACGGACAACCTCCCAGACGAGGTCGGAAGAGACGTTGGAGAGAGACATTTTGGCGGAGTATGAAGCTGAGATAGCGAGATCGAGGCTGTATATATCAGGGCAAAGGTCGTCGACGTCTTTCGAGATTGTATCCAGATGGAAGCTCGATCAACGGAATTCTCAAAGTGTGGGCTCGCCTAACTGCCCTGATCTGGACTAGCGCGGGATATTTGTTCATGAGGTGTCCACGCATGAGCGCCATCCATGCCTCCTAGAATAGGTACCAGGTGGCAGCCAGTGCCAGCACTGTCAGCGCCAAGGATCCCCCCTAGTGTCTCCTGTTGGGGGTTCGATGTCATTCATGCACAGACCTGTTAGTCCAAGTTCAGGTCTGGGGTCTTAGCAGCCAGCACTTTACGCGGCCCGCCCGCTAGCCACGACGACACCACACCAGACCCGACTCGCCGCCAAACTGGTGCCATCCCTCCGACTGATCCGTCTCAGCTCCTGTGGCTCCCTCTCTCAGCTTACAACCTCCCTCTGCGATTCTTCCTCTTCCAGCTCATCGCATCTCTCCGTCGAGGATACGAGGCGATCGCTGAATACTCTTCTCATTTCTCCAGAAATGACTTCGTAACCTACCCGGCTGGAGATCTCTCTGACCACACATCCCACATCGGCCGTCGCTCATTGATCAACCTTGGAACCACCACCCCGACCCCAACTCTATTTCTTTTCTCCTGTGGACACCCCTACTACAATCATACTCGACCCGCCACCACCGCCACCACGACCTCGACTCTCCAGCCATGGCCTACATCCTCTACTCCATCGTCTTCCTGACCATCATCTGCGGCACGGCCCTCTTCCTCACCCGCCGCCTCTGGCTGCACCGCCTGCCCGACCTCCCGGGCCGCGACTACCTCTACGCGCGCCTGCCCTCCTCCTCCTCCTTCGCCGGCGACGTCGAGGCCGGCCTCTCGAGCTCGACCTTTGACCTGACGGCCAACGTCGAGGGCGGCGACGCCCGCGGGGGCCTCGACGCCGACGCCAAGCGCGAGATCCTGCGCATCATGAAGAAGCGGCGCATGCGCTTCGACGAGGCCCGCCGCGCCTACATGGAGGAGCGCTTCAAGGCCAACGGCATCGGCGCCGACGGCAGGCCCCGCGACCCCAAGTTTGTGAGCTTCTCATGAGCGGGAAGGGAGAACCGGGGAAGAGAGGAGAATGTTGAGCAAAAGGCAGATGTGGGGGGGATTCTCGAAAGAGCATATAGCGAGTTGATTCGAGGAATTGTGAGAGTTGGGCAGGCGAGTCTTACTTCTTTTTGCGATGGATGGTCTGGACCGCCGTTACTTTGACATGTCGGTCTCTTCATTCCCTTGCGTTTTCGGGTTCTTTTCATATGTTAGGCGTTATCAGGAGGTCAAAGGGTTCTCTACCAAGCAAGAAGGCTTGCCGGGGAGCCGGGCTTGGGGAAAGCACATGCGTACATATCCCACGGCCACAAGGGATTTCCTCACTACAGATACCTTTTATTACCTCGTTTTCCCTTTTTTTTCCCTTCCCCAACCGAGAGATGAAGGGCAAGGGCGGCAAAATCTACCGCCGCCGTCTCTTCACGGATATCTAATTCAAATCATCAAAAGTCGTGTAAGAGCAGATAGTAGCACCGTCCAATGAACCAAGCCATTGCCATTGCGAGGTGTATTAGCCAAGTATTTATTGCAGCGAGCATATGTTGAGACCGACCCAGAGAAGCGTGGAGCTTTAATGAGCGTCTGTTCTCTCTATAACTAGTATTACAAATATAGGTTATTCCCATCACTTCCACCTATCCATATTACAGCAGTCTGCCATGAAAAGAAAACCCTTCCAGTAACGAATCGAGGTTGGCAGCCGCTTTTCCTTTTCTTTCTTTTAGATTCATAACGCCATTAACCAAAGTGCTGAACGCTCCACCTCACCTGTTCAGCGTTGTTTGGTGGTATGTACATTGATGTGTGACCATCGCCTCAGCCAATGAAACGACAGTCATGAATGCCGTCACACACCGGGTGCTCTGGCACTTCAGGGGCAAGGCTCAGGCCCGACGTCAGAACGTCCAGGCTTGTGCCTTGCCTGCATTTGCGAGCGCAGTCGGCCAATGATCGCGCCCAAGATCATCAAAGCATCGACCTTGGACTGGTGGACCATGCGACTTTCTTTACCTCGACTTCTTGCTCTCCTTCTCCTCGGGCAGATAGACGCGGTCGTCCTCGCCCTCGACCTCCTTGACGATGGTCTCCATCTCCTTGACCTGCTTCTGCCACTGCTTCTGGCTCATCTTGACGTTCTTGTCGAACATGTCCTCGTCCGGCACCCGGTAGCTGCCGCCCAGGCGGTCCCACAGGGTCGTGTACTGGCCGTAGTTGTAGTTGAAGGCGAGGTGGTGCACGCTGTGGCAGGCCGCGCCGTTGACGATGGGGTTGTTGGCGATGTACTCGCCGTCGTGGATCATGATGGTCCAGAAGTTGACAAAGATGAAGAGGCCGAGGAAGGCGACCTTGTGCAGCGGGAAGATGAGCCCGAACAGGTGGTAGGGCAGGCCCTGGAGGAAGCCGTCGACGGGGTGGAAGGCGTAGCTGGCGTAGGGCGTGGGCATGATCCACTTGTGGTGCGGCTTGTGCAGGCGCTTGTAGACGAGCGGGTGGTGCAGGCCGCGGTGGATCCAGTAGATGCAGAAGTCGGTGAAGAGGATGAACAGCGGGTACTGCAGGTAGTCGTACCAGAGGCCGGGCGACTCGTCGGCGGTGTCGTAGAGCCTCGAGTAGCCGCGCACCTCGGCGATGAAGAAGGGCAGCATGCACAGCGACATGCCGGGCATGGACTCCATGGCCTGTTTCATCTCAAGCCTGACCTGGTTCTTCAGGTACTTGGGATGTTCGAAAGTCCGCTTGTCGAAAATGAAGATGTACGAAAGAGTTGAGAAGACGAAATAGGAGAGAATACCAAAGATCCTGCGGGTAGAGTGTCAATTGGCAAGTTCTCATCAACAAGACTCCCGCATTGGGGTCTGGGGCGGTGTGGCGCGTCGCGACTTACCAGGTGATCATATAGGCCGAGATGCACTGGCGGATGATGTTATCCCTAGGCCACGCGCTCTCGTAGGCGTAGTGCGAGGGCTCGAGGCTGAAGAAGTGCGTCGAGGGCTTGTACGTCCATGTTGAAAAGGGCTGGCCGGTGGCATTGGAGTTGATGTTGGGATAGTCATAAGGGGCGGCCTTGGCCGGGTTGAGCGTGGCGTAGATGTAGTCGCCCGCAAAGGTGTCAACGATCTCGAGAGCGATATCCATCTTTCTCAAGGCGCGCAATGGCGGCAAAGGAACGAGCGCTCACAATGCGAATAGCAACGAGGCAGAAAGGAGTGTAGGTGGACGGGTGTAGTGTCCTGCAGTCGGCGCTGTTGGAAGCGACAGGAGAGAGCGGGTGGGTTAAATAAAGCGGCGAGAATTTGCCGCCAATTTTGCGAAAAGCGGACTTTCTTCAGGGCCCTCCCCGGTCGGAGTTAATCGCGATAAGATGGCACTGTCAATTGCGTGCGTCCCACTAAAGCACCTAATGTAGGTACTTTACTTGACAGCCCCTGATCTGATAAAACTCGCAAAAAGGGCGTTGTAGTGCTACAGCTAGGGTACCGCCGAAGTATGCAACCCTTGGAATGGAGGAGAAATACGCTTCGATTCACCTGACCCAGGCACTGTTGGAACACACTCCGAGAGAGAGAGAAGAAACAAGCTCTTGCGGAAAGAAACACGACTACTCGACGGGAGGCAAATTGGGGGGTTCAACATCGTTATATAGGTATCTTAGTTATGGCATGTGAATTAGAACGGAGTTCCTCCACGACGTGGGTTACAATTCCCACCGACAGACCAACGGAATTATTAGCCTTGTCCGGCTGCTGTACGATTACGAACGCGATCAAGGGAAACCGTTGATCTGTTGGATGGTGCCGGCCCCCTTGATCAACAGACCTGCTCCCCCCAATCTGCGTTTGCCATCCGTTATTTGCGCTGGACAGCGCCATATCGTGCTGCAAGTCGTGCAAAATGTCAGCCAATTGCACGATGAGCGGGGGTCTCGGGCGGCCTGGCATCCGGGACAGACCATTCCCAGAAATGACAGACCCCGCTGCCCGGGCCTTCGAGAAGACGGACCTAGCCAAAGTGGCATGTTCTTGAGCGTGCGTGCCGCCTTCGACGCCTTCGACGGGTCCCAAGCTCGGCTCCCATTCGTCAAGTGTTCGGCGTTTGTTCCCCACCTGTACGCGTATACCGTACAGCTCGTTTGGTTGTGTGCCTCGACTCGACTCTCCTCCAACGGAAGCCGTCCAGATCCGACAATCATTTATGAAAATGGGTTGCAGACCAAACCCCGAGAGTCCTACAGACCAGACGCCAGTCAACTCTACCCAGCACAAATAGGGTACACTGTCCGAAGCTATCATACTGTTTCGCTCTCTGCATCTCGAGCACATGCTCTTTGATACCGGATCCAATCGACAATTGTTGCGAGCTCCGGTCAACGGGTATGCTGCGCCTCCATTCGTACCTGAGTTCTTACCGGCCGAGGTGGCGAGATGGCACCAGAAACAAGCTGCCCATGACGTTGACGCTCTTCATTAACAAGTGTGAGTCGCGACCTTGGAGCGCCGGCTCAGTATTGTCGACCCATCCTTCGTTCCACCCAATCCGTCTATCTTGCCTCAAACTGCACCATATCCAGCGTTATCACAAGAGTCGTTCAGTCCAGGAGGGCGGTCCAAGATGTTATATTGTCTATGGTCACAGCTTTCACACATCATGGTCCCAAGCCACCGTCTTGTCGATGGCCCACGTTCTAATGTCCTCAAAGTTCCTGCATGTGTGCAGCGTGCTGAAGTCGGGCCAGTAGTCATCATCTGCGTATCCGTATTCCGGGTACGTCCTAAAGGTGAATATGCCAATGTCACTCTGGCACATGAGATTCATCCTAAGGGTTTCGATGCAATGATCTACATCTCGTCAGCAACTGCAGTAAGAGAGGGGGGGCAAAGGTAAGCTTACCAACGTGGCCATCGAGGTCCTCCTTGCCCTCAGCCCCGCCAATGTCATTCTCCTTGTCCTTCATGTAGTAATCTTTGTAGACGGCTTGCCGAACCAAGTTCAGGCAGTGCAGCTGGTGGAACACCTCGACTGCTGCCCTGTACCCTTCCTTACCGGTGACAGGGTGCTTGATCTTGAGCGAGTTCTTTGGCAGCCCCAGACGGTCAAGTTCCTCCTTTGAGATCATGGTGTCACCCACTTGAGATTCCATGTTAGCTGTCTTGGGTACAAGTGAGACGAGAGGTTCGGGAACAAAGACTTACTGCTGTTTGCGATGCGATCCCATGCTTCGTCCACCTTCGGCCCGTAGCCGACAAACTCGCCCTCGACGATCGGGGTCAAGTTCCACCTCGACGTCTCGTACTTGACAATCGGTGCGACGGGTGCTATATAAACTTGTGTCAGCCGTTGGCTCGGGCTGGACGCCTCAAGTCGCACTCACAGTAGGAGGAATATTTTCTCGTGTAGCTCAGGTCCGTCGGCTTTCCGGCCTTGTTGCAGAACGTGATCGTGAATAGCGTCATGGATACGGAGAGAAGAATCGCATGCACCAGCCATATCCAATGCTTGGACGCCCGCTGTGCAGTCGACGACAGCAACTCCCCGTCTAGCCTTATGCTACGAACATGCTTCTCCGGCTTGCCATCGAGGCTCTCGTCGTCCAGCGGGACCGAGTGGTAGACCTTGGCCATGGCGAAAATAATGTATCAAAAAGGCACGCCGGGTGCAAACGAACTGAAAAACGAGTTCCGCAAAGATGAAAAAAAAAAATTTGAACGATAGTATTAAACTAGAAGAGACCGCAACACTACCTGTAGATGCGACCCAACGAAGCGAAGATCCCAAGAAAATCAGGGTGTAGTGTCGTCGAGAGAGCCGGTCGTCTGGATGCACAGCACACCTTGGGACAAGAAGCCTCTGATTTTCCCTAGGAGAATGATAGGACAAGACCGATCGCCATAGAACCCAAACAGCAACGAAAATCACGAGCGGAAAGTCGTGGAAGGACGAAGCGACCAAGGCGGTCCAGACTCCCTCGCCATCGCTCGCTTGAGGTCTGGCCCCTGACTTAGACGAAACGTCGATTATATGCTTATGGACATCTGAGACTTAGCGTCGAGTCGTTTGACGGGGGCTGGGCGTTAAACGATGTCACAGCGCGCCGGGCCCTGAGGCTCAAGCTAGACCGCTTCAGTGCTAGAGCCCGGCGGCGAGCTGGGGTGACCCCCCAGGCACCGGTCCCCCGTAACGTCGAAGAGCCGATGCTAGGTTGTGTTGCTATTCCCAGGACTGCGATACCAGAAACCCCAACATCCTGGCTCGTGTTTCGTCTTGGCTCCCGCCCAAACACAGACGCCTCTGGCTTTTCCGCTGCGCTCCAATGGTGTGGCGTCTCAGGCTACGCAACAGCTACCTTACGTAGAGATCCCCCAGCTGGATGCCCTTCTGATGGCCGAGTTTCAGTGAGGGTCACTGCACATCACGGACCAAGATCACCGCCTCCAACAGTTCCATCTCCGCTTCACCACCGTCGCAGATGCCAAGACTTTTCCTTGTCCGCCAAGGGATGCGACCCGTGATCAGCGACAATCTCGACGATTCCTCATGCCTCATGCCGCGTCGCAGGCGGCAGCTGGCAGTCGAGGGAAGGTCGAGGCGGTTGATCTGTGGGAAATCCCCCTTGGCTCCCAAGGCTCCCCTTGGACACACTGCCCATCGACCTGCCAGATTGACCTGCCCCAGACGCATCCTTGCAGGCCATCCTTAATGTATTGCCATAGTAACATCTACCGCATTGACCTTTTGCAAGCTTGCTCGACCAGGAATCCCGCAGGGATCAGTCCCGCTTGAACTTGCGCGTCTTTTTCGTATGGCAAAAATGGCCGGCGCAATGCTGGGCGACCCTATCACCGCCTGCCTGGCCTGCGAACCGACGTCGAGGCTGACATCCCTTTTTTAGCACCTCTCACGATGACCCTTGCTGTTTTCAATCTGGCATCCTGAGACAGGCTACAGAGATGTAACCGAGATGTCGAGCGGACATGGCATTTCGTCCCATCGTGTCCGATGCCCGACCGACCAGCCAGCACCAGCGGCTAAACAGGGGCACCCCAAGACGTCTCACCCTGGGCGCCGGTGCCATCGTGGGCAGTTTATGAGCCAAGACGACTATAAAGAACCCTCGCAAACCTGCTCACTCATCAGGCCACCTTCTCCATCCTCATCCTTTCATTCATTGTCCTCCAGCAGCGACATTCCTTTTCGTATCTTTTTCCCTGTCTTTACTTGTACCTTTCCGTTCTTTAGCTGCCGGCCAGCCCGAGTATTTTAAAGTTATCAACCATGCATACCCCTTCTCTTGTTCAGCTCCTGGCCACTGGCCTGGCTGCCACCACCGCTGTCGCCAGCTTCGAGGTCGGCCACACCGGCGGTCTGGCTCGCCGCAGCCTCGGAGCTCTGGTCGCCATCGCCGCTCCGGCTTTCGCCGCCCCCGCTGTGGAGGTCGAGGTCCGCGCCCCGCACCACCGTAAGTAGTCCGGAATCTTGTATGCACGAAGCGAGGAGTGTCCTGGTTCTAACAATGAGCAACAGAGGGCAAGGGAAAGAAGGGCAAGGGAGGCAAGCGTGGCAAGAAGAACAACCGCCGCGACGCCGAGGAGGATGACGAGGCCGTTGAAGCCCGTGATGTCTCTGAGGACCACACCCATGAGGACGTCGAGAAGCGTGAGCCCCACCACCAGGGCAAGGGCAAGAAGGGCAAGGGCGGCAAGCGTGGCAAGAAGAACAACCGCCGCGATGTGACCGAGGCCGACGACGACGAGGCTGTTGAGGCCCGTGACGTCTCCGAGGACCACACCCACGACGATGTTGAGAAGCGTGAGCCCCACCACCAAGGCAAGGGCAAGAAGGGCAAGAAGGGTGGCAAGCGCGCCAAGAAGAACAACCGCCGCGAGATCGAGGAGGATGTCGAGGCCCGCGATGTCGCCGCTGACCACACCCACGACGAGGCTGACGCTGATGTCGAGAAGCGCGAGCCCCACCATCAGGGCAAGGGCAAGAAGGGCAAGAAGGGTGGCAAGCGTGGCAAGAAGAACAACCGCCGTGACGTCGACGACGCTGTCGAGGATGTCGAGGCCCGTGATGTCTCTGAGGACCACGACCACGACGATGTCGAGAAGCGCGAGCCCCACCATCAGGGCAAGGGCAAGAAGGGCAAGAAGGGTGGCAAGCGCGCCAAGAAGAACAACCGCCGTGACGTCGATGACGCTGTCGAGGAGGTCGAGGCCCGCGACGTCGCCGCTGACCACACCCACGACGAGGCTGACGCTGATGTCGAGAAGCGCGAGCCTCTCCCCCAGGCCAAGGGCAAGAAGGGCAAGGGCAAGCGCGGCAAGGGTAAGAAGGGCAAGGGCAAGGGCAAGCGCGGCAAGGGCAAGGGCAAGAAGGGCAAGAAGGCCAACTAAGCCTGAGCAGTTCGGTGCCTACCTCCTAGGCTCTGATCCCGCTCGCCGTCTTTTGCAGTCGAGGCTGGGCTGAGAGGCCTTGTCCACGACATGTTGAATGGCGAGCGGACAGATGTGGGTGTGTCCTTGAATTTTCTTATCTTGTAACGCCGTTCGTGGGCTAGGTCAGCAGTAATTCTGTCAATTGAAGGCGGTATGCCTGGTTGATTTTCTCGAGGAAAAAAAGAGCATAAAATGTACCTCATAGTGTATGACTTGAGAGTGTGAATGAGTTTGGTGAGCAAAATCGGTAACATCCCTGCGGTCGTGCCAAGTTCCCGGGTCTGAGGAGAGGAAGCGAAACACTTGGTCGCGACGGATGTAAAACAACATTTGTGTGCTAGCGAATCAGACTGGATGAAACTCCCCCGGGGCGTGAAACAATGCTCAAGTCTATCCTGAATCACCCCAGAGCATAGCTGTATGGATGTGACTTATTCTGTCAATTAATTCCTGGGTTACTAGCATTTACCACTTGGCGAATGGAGAGGTGGTATCTGGCCAAAGTCCGTCGCCGACTGGCTGGTGATGCCGGGCCAGCGATTCCATGCCATGTGGGTGTGCGGGAAACTTTGGGATATTACCTTACCCAGCGCTAGAGCGGGGCCTCGATGTTCTTCGTAAGTGTGTGTGTGTATCGACTTGATGACTCAGCTTGATCCGTCCAGGGATGTCGTCCTCTTGGCCGCCAAGGGGATAGGGTGAGGTGGAATGATCTCTTGTGAAGGGTGCATCTGAGCTGAAGAGGATGACCTCCGAGACTAGCTGATCCAGCAGGCAATAATCTGCTCGATGGTCTGGAAGTTCTTCAGCTCGTCTCAGCTGAGCTCTGCCAGACGGTTCGTCCCTCTCTTGTTGGGGAGAGAGAGCAGGCGAACAAAGCCTAGCTGCGTCACTGCCAGCGTTCTGGAATTGGCGCGGACGTGGACACTAGCCAAACTCTGATAACACATCCTTGTATGGAAAGTTCTGGTTGGTTTCCGCGGAGGTATGCGACTGGGAGACGCATATCAAACCACTGTAAGTCGTTCTCCGATGGGAGGAGATGCATGTGGCCGGAGAACCAAAAACCCCTGAACGACATGCAGGTGCCCAGAACCAACCCGCCCTATCGCTGTATGAAGAACGGGATCTTACGTTGATTCGGTGCATTTACGTTGGGCCAAAGGGAACGCTCCCGCTTCTCTCCAGTTCTGGATCGTTTATGCCATCCAGTGCAGCCGCTATTTTCCCGCTGCTCATATGGAACACGCTCGATATACCTCTCTCTCCCCAGATCGAACACACTACGACATTGACAATTGCGCTACACTAATACCGATGAAACCTACTCAACCCAATGCAGCACCACCCAAGCTCAAATGCCCGACACTCGGGTTTAGTCGCCTTAGAGAGGCTTCCAGATCTACGTCAGGACGCCAAGCTGTCCATAGGTAGATTGATCTTGATCTTGAGGTAGCCTCTAAATCAACAGAGATTACAGTCTAGTAAAGCCCGGCCGGGTTCTGCGTATGGTAGACGATACACTTACATACAGCAAAGGATCGTGTTTGCAAGGCATTTCCTTGGAGAAGACCTGAAAGTATCATCCTGCCTCGGACATAGGTGCATCTCCTCTGACCCTGATACCGACCATCATTGACATGTACAGTGTGTCCCAACATATCTCCCCACCCCCCCTATCACCCCAACATCATCCCGCTAGATGTATGCACAGTCCTGCAACCAAACAAAGTTAGGTGCCTACGTCCTAAATGTATATACCACCCGAAGCTACACATGGTACGGGACGTTGGGCCTCCCACTCGGTGTCATCTGCTCGACAGCAAATACACGTCCAAAACATCAACACATTTTCATTTCAACCACTTGAAGCGACAGGAAGTCAGAGAAGGGAAGGAGACGAGCAGTCGAGCGTTTTGATCGTCTGATCTACATCTCCTAGACATGGAAGACAGGCAGCTTACTCGTGCGCACCCTTTCTTGGCCAGCATCGACGCTGGCTCGTCTGCACTAAACGACAGGAGACCTGGAATAGAAGGCTGAATCGCATGCTCCCAAGACAACGAAGCCAAGGGTGAATTCGGGTAGCCCACCTCGAGCCCAATAAGCAAACACTTCTTACGTGTCCTTGTGGCCTGGACTGGACCAGAAAAAGAAAAGTTGAAACCGGTCAAGTGTGCCTGTTCTGGATGAGCATGTACCTAAGTTGTAGTCAATCGCTTGTCGTGTGTTGCTCGGCATGTCTGTTGTGGCGCTGGTCGTGCATTCCTCGCCTAGCCAGCCGCAAGCCTTTCTTTTCCGTTATTGGCAGGACCCCGCAGCCCTCTTGCTCCAGAATTTGCTTCTTACCTGGCCGGACCCAGTCCCACCACGCCTTCCCGAGTTGGTACCGTGTAACTACCTAACTCTCGAGAGCCCTCTGCGTCTGATACTGATACCACGAGGCAGTTGAGTTGAGTACATTGAGCATCTAATGTACCTACGATGCAAAGGGCTGAATGTACAATCAGCTACTTGTACTTCTCCTTGTACTGCAGCTACTTCCCTAGGCAGGTACCCTGTGTACGGCAATCGGGTGGAACCCGGACCCTGCTCCCATGTTGGTATTGTAGTTGCAAATTAGGTGTGTACTTAGCTCGACTCGCCGCATGCACGAGTCCACATTTCCCACGCCCACGCACACACACCAACGCACCCACCCGCGGATGCACTGACGGAGCAAAAAAATGCGCTGTGGGTGTGGGCTTGTCACCCCCTGTCCGCCCGGGGTGCCAGTTGGGAGCCCACTTTTCAACCGTCCCCACCGAGAACCTGCCGACCCGCCACCAGCCCGCCCTCCTGCCTCTGCGCGCCTGGTGCTCGTGCTGCGGTGCTAGGTACCCACGCCCGCCCTCCAACCCTCCAACCCTCCTCTGTCCCGCCCGAGCCATGGTGCGGGCTGAGTTAGCTAGGTAGGTAAGTACCTTAGTGTGGACGCAGAGATCCTGGTTCCGTAAATCCAGGTCGGAGGTCACTCGGCTAGCGCACTGTTAAGACCGCTCAGTACCAGACACGGCCATCGTTAACAGGACCCGCCCAGTGGGACACCCGACCATCCTTCCTTTTTCTCTTGACTGAGACCTGTGGCTGCTGGTCAGACTCGTCTACTCCGTAAACCTTTGGCTGCCTTACTCAATCGGTCTGTCTTTTTCCAACCCATTTCCCCTTCTTCCCTTTCTTCCCTTCCACGACACGGCGCCAAACAATCCCTGGGCATCGCATCGTCAACACCCGCCTTCGCCCTCTTCTTCATTCATCGACCATATCCTTGGGCCCTCGATTCCCCGGGAACCCCCATTGATCGGTTGCTTCGACGCTCGCACTGAGCTCGTCTACCTGTGGCCCCGGCCTTTTTTCCCCGAGTCGCCAACCCAAATCGTCAGCCGAGAGCATCGCGCAACTGCATCGTCAATTCTAGCGCAATCGGCCTGCTCGATACACAGCCGTACCATCTATTCCATCGACAAGCACAACATCGCCGACAGCATTTCGGCCGTCCCGTCCGTCTTCTATTATCGCGACGCGCAATACGCGCGACTTTTCCCTCCCGACACCATCAGGCTCTGAAGCTATTGTTTCAAGAGTTTTCTTGTCGCCTCCACGCCACCATGTCCATGTATCCCGCCCATCGCGGAATGGGGGGCGTTCCTCCAGGGAACAATGGCGCCAGGCTGAACGAGCTCCTCGAGCAGGTCAGGTCCGAGTTTGAGTCTCAGATGCGCACCAGCGAGAACTATGAGCATCAGAGTGAGTATCACCCGCTGTCTTCTGCATCGACTTGTGCGCAGATGCCCTTCTTTCCGAAGGCAATCCCAGCAGCACCAGCCTGGCGGCTTGCGCAACTTCGTGTGGCAGCTCTTGCTAACATGTTGCTATAGTCCAGGCGCAGGTCAACGAGATGCAGCTCATCCGTGAGAAGGTGTATGCCATGGAGCAGACCCACATGAACCTTAAGCAGAAGTATGTCTATCCATCCATATCCATCCATATCGCCCCTCTCTTGATACACTTTGACCAACACGCGCATCTTTGGATAGGTATGAGGAAGAAATTGCTCACCTGCGCCGCCAACTCGAGCAACGCGGTGGAGCTCCGCAGGGCGCCATGGCCGGTCCTCCCCAACACGGCGGTCCCCCGCAGCCTCCGTCGATTGGCATGGGCAACAACGTCTTTGCCTCCATAATGGCTGGTCAAGGAGGCCAGGGTGGTCTTGCTCCCCCGCCTCCCCCGCCGCAAGAGCAGCAGCCTCCTCAGCACCAGATGACACAGCCGCCTCCTGGTCTCCAAGGCCCCCCTCCCCCTCCCCCACCGCCTTCTCAGCAACAGCCACCCTTCCAGCAGCCTTACCCGGCTGGGCCTGCTCCCGGCGGTTTCCCCTCGCAGCCGCCTCCGAGCACGGCTTCTCCCGGCCCCGGAAAGCGCGGCGGCATTGGTAGGCCTCCTGCCGCCGGCCCTGCCACTCCTCAGATCAACACCCCGATCCCCTACCCGGGACCTGGCCAGTCTCCTCAGGTCGCTTCCCACCCGACTCCCGATCATGCACGCATGCAGATGGCTCCTGCTGCTCACCCGCCGCCGAATGCTCTTGGCGACCTGGACCCTGAGCGCCTGCCCGCCCACTTCAAGAAGACGCGAGATGACTGGTTTGTTATCTTCAACCAGGCTGTCCCTCGTGTCCTCGATGTTGACCTGGTCCACACCCTCCAACATGAGAGCGTCGTCTGCTGTGTTCGATTCAGTACCGATGGTAAGTACGTGGCCACTGGTTGCAACCGCTCGGCGCAGATCTACGACGTGCAGACCGGCGAGAAGCTGTGTGTCCTCCAGGACGACTCGGTCGACATCACCGGCGATCTGTACATCCGTAGCGTCTGCTTCAGCCCCGATGGCAAGTACCTGGCCACCGGTGCCGAGGACAAGCTTATTCGAGTAAGTTTCATCCCCAGATTTAGCCCCCAGTACCGTATCGTAGTGCTCATAGTCTGCAGGTCTGGGATATTCAGTCAAGAACCATCCGCAACACCTTCTCGGGTCACGAGCAAGACATCTACTCGCTTGACTTTGCTCGTGATGGACGTACTATTGCTTCCGGTAGCGGTGACCGCACAGTACGCCTGTGGGATATCGAGACGGGTGGCAGCATCCTGACCCTGAGTATCGAGGATGGTGTTACGACCGTCGCTATCTCGCCCGACACCAAGTATGTTGCCGCGGGCTCCCTCGACAAGAGTGTCAGGGTTTGGGATATCGCCCATGGCTTCCTTGTGGAGCGTTTGGAGGGCCCAGATGGGCACAAGGACAGTGTTTACAGTGTCGCGTTCTCTCCGAGCGGCAAGGACCTCGTCAGTGGAAGCTTGGATAAGACGATCAAGATGTGGGAGCTTAGTACGCCCCGCGGTCTTCCGAACCAGGTGCCCAAGGGCGGGCGATGCGTCAAGACCTTTGAGGGTCACAGGGTAAGATGGCCAATCCCCGATACGCTGATGGGCGTGCTTTGGAAGCTAATTCAAACCTCTAGGACTTCGTGCTGTCCGTGGCTCTCACCCCCGATGCCGCTTGGGTCATGTCGGGCTCCAAGGATCGCGGTGTCCAGTTCTGGGATCCCCGTACTGGCAACACGCAGCTTATGCTCCAGGGCCACAAGAACTCGGTCATCTCGGTTGCTCCCAGCCCCACGGGAGGCTACTTCGCCACTGGCTCAGGCGATATGCGCGCTCGTATCTGGTCTTACAGCCGCTACCACGGCGCTTAGGGGGCCCTGCTCTAGGCTGCGCTAAGACGCTGGACTAGTCGCCGCCTGGTGTGGGAGGGAGGCATGGGATCGTGATACCTTTGGAGAACGCTTGGATGCCTGACGATGGAATAGTGGGCATGGCTAGGACGGATGTTCTTTCCTTTCATTGCTTGTAGGCTGGGGTCACGGGATAGTGTGGCGTTTGGAAGAACGCAGGCAAGGAAGCCGTCTTTTATCCATTTATTCTTTTCGTTGCTATTTGAATTATGCGTTGGCTTTGTGTGTCTGGGAAGCTCAAAAGCAGTCGAATTATATCTGATTACAGACGTAGCACCAAGGGACTGCAATGATACACTGGTTAGCTTGTCGCACGGGATGGCAGATTGCCATTTGAAGGCATCCCAAGCGCCATGTTGAAGCTTGATTGAACGTCGCGGATATATTGATATTCAAATATCGTGCATCATATACGTAGACAGGGGTATCATGGAGAAAGATCAAATCCTCAGAGTAGAGAGCTAAACAGGTCGCCAAACTCATCGCCCTTCTTCCGCTTCTTTTTCTTCTTTTTGTCCTTCTTCTCGTCGTCGCCTGCCGGACCCAGAGCCCGCTTCTGACTGCTTTTAGGCTCGGGGTCGGGTCCTTGTCCTGCCGTGGTCTGAGCTTGTTGCGGCTCAGAGTCCATCGCGATGCTGGACTTTCCTTTCCCGGGCTTATCTTCTCTCCGTACCGGTTTCCCGGGATCAGGCTCATTTCTCGAGATGGCGATCCCCATATCCACCTTGCCTTGAGGCAACTTCTGCGTCTGGGCTTGAGATGCAGACGGAGGTCCTACAGCAGCGGACCGTGCCACAGCAGCCTCGGCCGATGATGCGGGCTCTGGCAGCGGCGTCGTGCCCGGCTCTGCCTGCTCATCGCCCAAGAGGAGTGAGAGTGCGTTGTGTATTTGTGCAAGCACTCCGAGTAGAAGCAAGCCCAGGGCGGCGTACTGGTTATCGGCTGCCAGCTGGGTGAAGGCGCTGTCGGCGAAGGTCAGCTGGGGTCGACGACTCTCGATTGTACCCCCTGATCCAAGCACGGTGGGGAAAGAATCAAGTTGAGACTCACAGGTACGTCCTGGGCAGGCATTCTCTCTGGAGCCACCTCGCTCTCGCGTCGACGATCTCGCGCGCCTTGACGAGCTCTCTGGAAGGCGGCTTGGCCCCTCCCTCCTGCTGCTGCTGCCTCTTCTTCTTCTTCTGGGCACTGAGAGCACTACCGGCGCTGCTGTCGTGCCTGGCCTGCCGCTCGACGAGGACCTGCAGCTCGTCGCGCAGGCGGCGGCCGTTGCGGCGCAGGATGTCGAACTGGGCCCACCATTTCGAGGCGCCGTGCTGGTTCTTGTTGCGGCGGTTGAAGCCCGCGCAGATCTGCAGGGCCGAGACGAGCCGGTCGAGGGCTTCTTCTTCCTGCTGGGAGGGGGACGGCGGCGGGTCTGGGAGTGTTGTGATGATGGCTGCCGCCATGGACGGGATGGGGGATAGGATGGGCATGCACGCGACGATGTGAATGGATGAGGTTTTTATCTCATGCCGTGCCCCGTCTCACATGTTTTCTCTGAGGATGGGTGAGTGGCAGAGTGCAGACATCAAACAGTGGCTTCAATGGATGTTGCACCCGGCTTGTTAACTACTTGATAAGAGACCTTGAGATAGAATCTTGATAATACCTAGGTAGAACAGACAGTTGAGACCCTGAAAGTAAGATTATCACCCTGATAGCGCCTATTGTATTGTAGATAGGTAGGTACCTACCTAGAGTACAGTACCTTTGATATGAACCCCACTGGGAAGAAAAAAAAACTTGTGCCAGGACCACCTAGGATTGGCCAATTGGGTGTTCGTGCCAGTACAAGTACTGGAGATCTAATCGCGCTTCAGGGCTACCAGCTGCTGCGGGGGAGGGGTCGCTCGCTCTGGACGCTGGCGGCGCCTTGAAAAAAAGCCCGCCAAAAATTTTCCTCTTTGCGATCCGACTTACACAGGAAGATGGAGACATCGCCGTCGACGTCTAGGAGCGCGGCAGTTTTCGTTACGGGAACCTGCCATACCTCCGTCCTCGGACCTACCCCAACAATCTTTGAGAATACTTGAAGCCTCAGACTCTGAGACCAGAAAACCTCCAGACACCATGGCTTCTTTTGCCCCTCGCTCCCCGCTGGCCGTCCTGCTCATCGGCAACGGTGGCAGAGAGCACGCCCTGGCCTGGAAGCTCGCACAGTCCGACCGTGTCGACAGGATCATTGTGGTCCCCGGCAACGGCGGCACTGCCTCCATCCCCAAGGTGACCAACAACACCTCCGTCTCCGCCGAGGACTTCCCGGGCCTCGTCGGCCTCGCCCAGCGCGAGCAGATCAACCTCGTCGTCCCGGGCCCAGAGGCGCCCCTCGTCGCCGGCATCGAGAGCCACTTCCGCAATGTCGGCATCCCCTGCTTCGGCCCCTCGATGGCCGCCGCGACCCTCGAGGGCAGCAAGACGTTCAGCAAGGACTTCATGAAGAGGCACAACATCCCCACCGCCGCCTACGAGAACTTCTCCGACTACCACAAGGCCAGCGAGTACATCAACAGCATTAGCCACGACGTCGTGATCAAGGCCACGGGCCTGGCCGCCGGCAAGGGCGTCATCATCCCCCAGACCAAGGAAGAGGCGCAGGCCGCGCTGAAGGAGATCATGCTGGACAAGGCCTTTGGCGACGCGGGAGACGAGGTTGTCATTGAGGAGTTCCTGACCGGAGACGAGCTGAGCATCTTGTCCTTCTGCGACGGCTACACAATCAAGTCACTGCCTCCGGCCCAAGACCACAAGAGGATCTTCGATGGCGACCAGGGCCCCAACACGGGCGGCATGGGCTGCTATGCGCCTACCAACATCGCTACGCCCGAGCTCATCGCGAGGGTCGAGCGCGAGATTCTCGAGCCCACCATCGCGGGTATGCGCGCTGAGTGGTCGCCCTTCAGGGGCATGCTCTTCACTGGTCTCATGATCACACCCAACGGACCCAAGGTCCTCGAGTACAACGTCCGATTCGGCGACCCGGAGACGCAGACCGTCCTTCCTCTCCTGTCCGCGGACACGGATCTGGCCGAGATCATGCTGGCTTGTGCCACTGGGTGCCTGGACAAGGTCAAGATCACCGTCGAGCCCAAGTTCAGCGCCACCGTCGTCGTCGCCGCGGGAGGCTACCCTGGTAGCTACGCCAAGGGCACTCCCATGAACGTCGGCACGCCCGCAGCTGGCTCCGGCATCACCATCTTCCACGCCGGTACCAAGCTGGCAGGCGAGCAGCTTCAGACCGCCGGCGGCCGGGTCATCGCCGCCAACGCGACGGCAGACTCTCTCCAGGCCGCCGTCGAGAAGGCTTACAAGGAGGGCATCACGCTCATCAACTTTGAGAACATGTTCTACCGCAAAGACATTGCCCACCGCGCCTTCCGCGCCGCTGCCCCCGCGGCCGCCGAGTCGCTCTCCTACGCCCAGGCCGGCGTCAGCATTGACGCCGGCAACGAGCTTGTCGACAGGATCAAGAAGGCCGTCAAGGAGACCCGCCGGCCCGGTGCCGATGCCGAGATCGGCGGCTTCGGCGGCGAGGTCGACCTGTCGCAGGCGGGCTACCCCAACGCGCCCATCCTGGTCGGTGCCATCGACGGTGTTGGCACCAAGCTCAAGATTGCGCAGGAGATGGACAAGCACGACACGGTGGGCATCGACCTCGTGGCCATGAACGTCAACGACCTGATTGTGCAGGGAGCCGAGCCCGTCATGTTCCTCGACTACTACGGCTGCAGCAAGCTGAACGTGGGCAAGGCCGCCTCGTTTGTCGGAGGCGTCGCCACGGGCTGCAAGCAGTCGACGTGCGCCCTGGTCGGCGGCGAGACGGCCGAGATGCCGGGCATGTACTCGGGCGACGAGTATGACGTGGCCGGCGCCGCGATCGGCGTGATGAAGCCGGAGCTGCGGCTGCCCAAGAAGGACGCCATGGCCGAGGGCGACGCGCTGCTGGGCATCGCCTCCAACGGCGTGCACTCCAACGGCTTCTCGCTCGTGCGCCGCATCGTCGACAAGGCGGGGCTCTCGTACGCCGACGCCTGCCCCTGGGCTGACGGCAACGACGGGACGACGACGGTGGGCGCCAGCCTGCTGACGCCGACGCGCATCTACGTGGAGCCGCTGAAGCGCGTGGTCCCGCGGCTCAAGGGCCTGGCGCACATCACGGGCGGCGGCCTGACGGAGAACGTGCCGCGCATGCTCCCTCCCCACCTGGCGGCCGAGATCGACGTGGGCGCCTGGCCGGTGCCGCCCGTGTTCGGCTGGCTGCGGAGGGCGGGCAACGTGGCCCCCGCCGAGATGGCGCGGACGTTCAACAACGGCGTCGGCATGGTGGCGGCCGTCGCGGCCGGCGAGGAGGAGCGCCGCGTCGTGGCGGAGCTCGAGGCCGCGGGCGAGAGGGTGTTTCGGATCGGCAGGCTGGTCGCGCGGGCTCCCGGGGGGGAGGGGTGCGTGCTGAGGAATCTGGAGGCGTGGGCTTGAGGGATCATAAAAAGGGGGGGGGGGGGGGGGGGGGGGGGGGGGGGTGATAAAAATTAGGTTGAGATTTCTACTACTGCGCTGCTATTGGGACTTTCCCTCTAGGTGCCTAGGTTATGGGAGTTGGTCTAGTTGATAGAAATGAAATATTGTCATGTCAAGATTCGTTTGTCATGATGTTGTGTTGTTTGTATTACATGTGTCTATGACATACAGCCTATTACCTATTGAACTTGATGTTGAGAGGATAGATGAGCGGCCTGTATGGCACAACTGCTGAGCAATACGGGAACCCCCAACCCTTCCTTAGATGTTTATTATATTACAGATGCCGCCTGGGGCGGGCGGATGCAAAGCTGCAGCTCCCCGTGCTTCCTACGTCTTCTTTTCCGTGTCTCTCTCTCTCTCTCTCTCTCTCTCTCTCGTCCGATGTCTGAATTATCCGCACTACAACCGAAGAGAACCGAGTCACTTCCTCTTTGACAGGCGTCTATGGTCCTGCAGTTGTTGCGTGATGTCAATATGTGTGTGTTTATCTCTTGTGTGGAGAGAGAAGGAGGGCACAGAGACATGAAGCTGGCCCAGTGTCGGGCCGTACTTGTTGTGGGAGGCAATATCCAGCCCAGCCCAGCCCCTCTTTCATCTCCACCACTATCACACCGATCTGGCCGACTTACATGGCCCATTGTCCAATGAGTGAGGGCCCCCGAGCCACATCGCGATAAGCCCGTTGACAAGGGGTTGCAGACAAGAGGTCATTTGGCGTCTCTTCTCGACACTTCTGCGGCTCTCCGATCTGGCAGCTGTTACGTACTCGGTTGAGAACTCGAACGTCTGTGCGATGCATATCGCCTCGTCCTATCTCTGCAGTCCAACCGTGCCAACCCATCATCCTTGCTTTCCCTTCCCCACACTCCATTACTTGTACTTTGTCCTAGTACTAGTTAAGTAGGCTCGAGGATCTCGTTTGCGTCTCTCCTCTCCTCGTGACCATGATTTACCACGTTACGACAAGCGCGGCGGAGGTACCGTACGCTCCTCCTGCTGCACCAGAACGGGTCTGCAGATACTGCCGGGTGAAGTCTGGGTAGGGATTGTCCGCGAGGAGCGCCTAGTTTACTTGTAGTTTATATCATCAGCCCACGGGTTCGAATCTTGCCTATCTATCTTTGCTATCCAACTACCTAGCCTGCCCACAGACCGAGTCTTGCAAGGTCTAGGCTAGTCTCTCTGAAAAACGTTGGCTGATCCCTGAAGGGTTTTCCACGAGACTCTCAGACTCGGTTCGACCAGTTCATACCTATTGGCACTTCCTTTTACTCTCTCTATCATTCTCAATTGCCTTGTTTACAATTGTGTGCTTCAAGTGGGATTGCGCAGACCGAGATCGTGCCCTTATCATCTCGCATGAATTGATGTCATAACTAGCCTGGACTCAAAGGACCAACAGATAACTAACCATCCCCACAACTTGGAGCCCCCGCCGACAAGGTCAACAAACAGTTGCCTTAGAGCCTCGATATTTTGTTCTTCCTCTGTGACGCAACCCATTGGCAAACCCCCCGAATTCGGCGTCTCTTCTCTTTCTTTCCCCCAGCGGCCAGCAGATGGCTCCCAGCACGGCCCCGACCTGGGAAGACTTCGAGCGGGGCAGCTCCTCGCCCCATCGGAGCGGCAGCCTCTCCTCGGTCGGCGGCCGCAGCGTCCAGTTCCGCGAGGATGACTCCCTGCTCCGGGCGGCCAACGCCGGCGGCAGCAGCGGCGGCCCGGACGACTCGGACGCCGACGTCGACCCCTACCCGCCCGCGGGCGAGTGGTCCTCGGGGGACCTGCGCCGCCGCCGCCGCCGCTCCTCCGTGACCAACCGCCTCGCGGCCCTCGGCGACATCGGCGGCGTCAACAGCGTCCGCTCCTTCGCCCGCTCCTGGCAGCGCGCCGCCGGCTTCCCCGAGGTCATCCCCCAGCGGCCCTCCTTCGTCTTCGCCCCGGACCAGGCGCCGCTCGACCCGGGCCTCCTCGGCGAGGACCACCACCACCACGAGCGGCACGACGTCGAGGCCGGCGCGTTGGGCCCCCGCCAGTCTCTGCTCCGGCAGCACCTCGAGGCCGGCGCCGCCAACTGGGAGCAGGCCGTCCGCGACGAGAGCCCGGACCCCGGCGCCGGAGCCGGAGCCGGCGGCGAGGAGGCGGGCAAAGGCGGCGGCGTCGGCGTCGGCGACGCGCACCTGGCGCGGGCCTTCCGCGCGGGCAGCTCCGGCGCCAGCAGCGGCGGGTACGACCGCCGGTCCAGCTCCATCTTCGCCGTGCCGCCGCACCTGGCCACCCCGCCGCTCGTGGGCAGCTACGGGTCCTACCGCGGCAGCATCGGCTACGGGTCCTACCGCGGCAGCATCGGCGGCGGCGGCGGCGGCTACGGGACCATCGACTCCCTGGGGGCGGCGGCGGCCGACATGGAGAGCACCATGGCGCAGGCCGGCGCCCTGTGGCGCCAGCAGCAGGAGAGCGGCGTCAACGTGCCCGACGGCCAGGTCGAGCCCATCCTCGTCAAGGAGGTCGAGCAGGACGGCAAGATCGTGCTGACCGTCGAGGGCCAGTCGACCCTGCCGCAGACCATTTTCAACTCTGTCAAGTAAGTTCTGTTGTTTGTTTTGACATTTTTTTATGCATGGGTGGACAATGTGCAAAAGCTTTTTTTGGCGGGTTTCTATGTTTGACTGACCCTTGTCCGTTTCTTTTTCTCTTCTTCTTTAGTGTGCTCATCGGTGTCGGGCTGCTCAGCCTGCCCATGGGTATCAAGTACGCCGGCTGGATCTGCGGCATGATCATCATGGCCGGCGCGGCGCTCGTGACGGCCTACACCGCCGGCCTGCTGGCCAAGTGCATGGACCTGGACCCCATCGTCATCACCTTCTCCGACCTGGCGTACATCTCCTTCGGGCCGCGCGCCCGGGTGGCGACGAGCGTGCTGTTCACCCTCGAGCTGCTGGCCGCCTGCGTGGCCCTCATCGTGCTGTTCGCAGACTCCCTCGAGCTGCTCTTCCCGGGCTTCCTCAGCGTCACCGGCTGGAAGATCCTCTGCTCGCTCGCCATGATGCCCCTCCAGTTCCTCCCGCTGCGGCTGCTGAGCTTCACCAGCATCGTTGGGATCTTGTGCTGCTTTGGCAGTGAGTGCCCCGACAAAACATATCTATATCCCCTTTTTCTTTACTGAAAACGAGTTTGATCGGCTAACTTGCGTGTGTGTGTGTGAATTCTAGTTGTGACGATCCTCGTCATTGACGGCTTTGTCAAGCAAGAGGCTCCTGGGTCTCTGATCGAGCCCGCCGTCACCTACCTGTTCCCGGCGAACTGGCTGACACTGCCCCTATCTTTTGGTCTGCTCATGTCGCCGTGGGGCGGCCATAGCGTGTTCCCCAATGTCAGACTCCCCCCTAGAGTTAATGTCTTGTCTAATAAGGAGCAAATATGTTGACAGTAGTCTCCTTCTTCTTACAGATCTACCGAGACATGCGCCACCCGCACAGGTACGGACAGGCCGTCAAGGTCACGTTCTCATGCACCGTAAGTAGATGGGCATTCTTCACCAGACCCCCCTAAAACTTTGCATCATTCGGCCCGTCCCCTTATCTCCCTCTCCCTCTCTCTCTCTCTCTCTCGCACTTGTACACAAACTGACACACAAGAATAGTACCTCCTCGACGCCGTCACCGCCGTCGCCGGCGTGCTCATGTTCGGCGACGACACGCTCGACGAGATCACGTCCAACGTGCTCAAGACGTCGGGCTACCCGCGCGCCCTGACCTACCTGCTCTGCGCCCTCATCGCCGTCATCCCGCTGACCAAGATCCCGCTCAACGCGCGGCCCATCGTCACGACCGCCGAGGTCCTGGCGGGCCTGCACCAGCGGCAGCAGCCCGCCGCGTCCGAGGGCTGGCTCGTCGGGCGGTCCGCCTACTTCCGCGGCGCCGCCAAGGTGGCCATCCGCGTCGCCGCCGTGCTCGTCTTCCTCGCCATCTCGATCCTCTTCCCGGCGTTTGACAGCATCATGGCGTTCATGGGCAGCGCCCTGTGCTTCACCATCTGCGTGACGTGAGTTGTCTCTCTCTTGTCCCCTCTCCCCTTTTTTATACACAAGAGATCAACTAACCGACAATCTACCACTCGCTCTTTGCCCCGAGGATAGCCTCCCCATCGCCTTCTACCTCAAGCTCTTCAAGGACGAGATCTCCCCCAGGGAGCGCCTCGGCGCCCTCGCCCTCATGTCCATCTCCGTCGTCCTCTCCGTCGTCGGCACCGTCTGGGCTTTCCTGCCCAAGAGCCTCATCGGCGCCAACTGAAAGGAAAAAAAAAAAACCCCCCGAAAAAGACTTTTTACATGATACATGTATCTATCTCTGGCGGTCTTGTGTTTTTCCTTACGACACGCATGCATTCTGGTTGTTACAGCATCCCACCGAGGTTGGAGCGTTTCCGAACGATTTAGTTTTATCATAGCATCATCACAGGGTCTGCCTGAACGATCTTTTCTCATGCCATGTCTCAGATGAAATAATATATTATTATATACCAACCATCTGCTCACCACGCTAGCGTAGTCATGCCCGGTCCGGTTGTCATAATCCTCCTGTCGCCAGGATCACGATACGTTGTCTATAGCTCGATCTGTCTTCAGTGAGAAAACATGTTGTCTGAGTGGGTAACTTCTGGTATTGTGACACTATTCTAGAGATAGACTATCTAATACACAGAGAGCGAGTTGATCTAAATCAAGTCCATCAAGTAAGGCTGCTGACTCCCGGGTTTGCCGTGTAAACACCACCAACCATTTCCCAGGTGAAACCAAAAATAATAATATCTCCCTGCCGGTTTGCCTCGTTCCTCATGTCATGCAAAGGGTTGAAGAAAAGAAAGAGGAAAAGGAGGAGGTGTGACAGTCTTTAGACACCGAGGCCAACCACATCGTAACACAAGAACCCTACACAAGAAAAAGAATTTGTGTGCAAATATCCACCACGGCAAACCACGGAAAAGGGTGTGGGAAGAAGACAGAATATGCAGGAGAAAGAAAAAGCCCAGAGTCAGCAGCGCCTACCCCCCCAGGTCGAGCCTGGGAGGAAATGGAATGATAGTCCAACCACAAGTGGCAGGCTGGCCAAGTCGAGCACTCACTCACGAGTGAGCCTCTTGCCAGCCACCAACCCACTCAGCGTCGCCCAAGAAATCAAGTCGTTTCTCGCGACGCCAATTCAACTCCCGCCCTTTATTCCAGGGGCATTCCTTGACGCGATCCTTGCTCGCGTTCCATCTGTAATTGTTGCCATGAACATTGGCAGTCGAGCTGCCGAAGAAAGAGTAGTTGCTGTGAGGGGGGTGGGAAGGTGTCGACGCATGGTGATCCCAGACCCCATGGCCCATCGACTTGAAGCCCGAAGTGAGCGAAGACCCGATAGCACGTCCAGTCCTCAGAGTCACCTCTGGGGTCTTGGGAGCCATGGGTGACGAGTCGGCAAAGGCCCGTCGCTTTTGGCCAAGCTCTGCCCACTTGTCGACACCCGATCGCTTCGACGGCGGCGAGTAGCGAGGCTGCTCCTGCTTCTGCGGGGTCTCGGGAGCGTCGTGGAAGAAGAAGCCATCGGCAACCAGATCATCATCGATGTTGTTGGCGATGGCCCGCTCGATCAACGGCTTCTCCACCTTGGGGATGTTGATGGCAGAGGCCTCGGGGGCAGGAGACAAGCCCTGCCGAGGTGTGTCGTCCTCGTCGAGCTTGCTGTCTTGGCTCCAGGTCCTCGAGTTCATCTCCTTGAAGTCTTGCAGCTGCTTGGTACGCTCTTCCTCTTCCACGTCCTCATCCCACATGTCACTCCAGCTCTTAGACACGGTGTCCTTGCGGCCGAAGACGAGCGACATGGCCGACTGGTTTCGAGGCTTGGACATGGTGATGGGCAGGGAGCCAGCCATCGGAGAGACCTTGGCAAAAGACCGCTGGATCTTGGGTCGGGCGATGTTCAGCGACTGCATCGAGCCGGCCAGGCTGGAGTCCACCAGGGAAGACAATGGAGTCTGGCCAGTGGCGGAGCACCAGTCGGTCGTCTGCTCCGACTTGGGGAACAGCTCCTCGGTGTAGCTCTCGTCGTCTGGGATGGCGCTGAGCTGGCGAACGGCCTGAGGGCTGGTCTGCAGAGCCTTGGCCCAGGGGAAGGCGCCGGTATCAACTTGGGGGCTCTGCAGCGAGGGCGTGCGGAGAGGCTCGCGGTGGGCAGAGGCGATGGTGCGGCGCTCGGCCGAGCAGAAGTCATCGAGAGCTTCGTCAGAGGTGGTGAAGCTGACGACGCGGTTGAGAGCCCGGCGAGCTCCAACGAGCGAGCGCTTGGTGGGGTCCAGGTTCATGCACTCCACAATGACCTCGTACGTGTCCTGAGACATGGAGGGAAAGACGTCGAAGAGGGACTGCTTGTCACGGGAGAAGTCGAGGAACAGAGGATCAGCCTCGGTCGGGGTGGTGAACGGGTTGCGAGAGAAGAGGATGTTGAGGAGACAGACGCCAATGGCCCAGATGTCAGCCTGACCGGGAGAGTACCCAGCACCGGCCGAGTCGTACTGCTCGGGCGACATGTAGCGGTCACTGCCGACCGTGGTCTCGAAAGTCCACTTCTCGGTGGTGGCCAGGCCAAAATCCCCGAGCTTCATCGATCCCGACTGGGTCAGGAAGATGTTCTCGGGCTTGATGTCGCGGTGGTAGATGCCCTTGGAGTGGATGTAGGCAACAGCATCGACCAGCTCGAGCATGAAACGGCGAACATGCTCGGTCTCGAGAGGGCCGTGGCCGTGGCGGATAGCCTCATACAGGTCTCCACGAGGGCAGAACTCGATGACGAGGTACACATGGGCGTCCGTCTCAAACGAGTCGATGAGATTGACAATGTTGGGATGGCGGCCCAGGCGGCTGTGAAGCACAAGCTCCTCGGACTTGTCGTCAATGGCAAAGTCCAGCCCGACGTCATCTGCGGCCGACTTCTTTGTCAGGCACTTGATGGCGACAGTCTCGGTGGTGCGGAGATCTCTCGCCATGAAGACCATGCCAAAGGAGCCATGGTTGAGCGGGGCAATGGTCTGGTATCGTCCATTGAGAACGACACCGTCGTTGAACTCCTGGCGAAGGCATTCCATTGTTTGCGTGAAGAAGGGGGACTCGTGAAGAGCGAGATTAGCAAAATCGAAGTGTTTGGTCGAGTTTGGTGGTACAGTTGCAGCGAGCTTTTCCAGTGACCCTCTGAACGTGTCTATGCAAATGAGAAAACCGTCCCCGTAGTCGTCTTTTTTTGTGGTTCTGAAATGTGTACAAGGAAGCAGTAGAGTCGAAGAAATGCCAAGGACTGCAGCTGTGCGGATGATTGCGGGAAGATGAAGTGATGCAAGAGTCGTGTGTTATTGTCGAGGGCGAAGAGAGAGAGAGAGAGGATATACAGTCGTCGTCAAAAAAGGTCGCAGGAAAACAAGAGTGAACTCCAAGTCGTGCAGTGTCAGTGGCTCATGGATGGGTATTTTCGGCTGTTGGAACAAAAGAGATGGTTGTAAGGAATCGTCAAAGACCGGACGCGAGGCCCTGAAGAAGAAACGCAAGGAAAGGTCGTTATAAGGACATCGGTACGATGGTAAAGAACGTTGGTATGTCTTGTGGTTTCGTCAAGTGCTTGAAAACCTCTGGCGAGGATCTCAGAGACCTTGGCAAAGGAGCTGAGGATGAGTCGTCTGGTGGAAAGAGGCGAGAAGGACAAGCCTTGGGAGTACAGCTTCAGAACGAGAAGATCGCTCAAGGAGTAGCTCTGAGAGAGGTTTCGGCGAGGAAGAGTAGCAGTCGGATCGTGGTGAATACTAAGGGTGACTAACAATCGACAGAGCCAGTGACGTACACCGAGGCACACAACACAAAGGCGGACGACTGAAAGAGCCCAAAGAAACGGGATCCGAGACCAGGCCAGCAAAGGAAGACAACAGATGACAGGGGAAAGAGGTGTCAAATATAGCTATTGCGGCAGTCGAAGGGAGGTTGTTGTTGTCGTCTTTGTGGACATGCGGAGGGAAGAGGAGGGTTGAGAGAACAGGTTGGTTGAAGAGATGACTCTTCGGCCCCCCTTGTTCGAATTGCGGAGCTGGGTCCAAGGCGGGCGAACGAGGTAGGTAGGTAGAGGGACAGTCCGTCCGAAATACCAGCTTCCCGAGGAATGTGTCTTGAGCGTTGCCGTGGAAAAGGCTCTGGAATGCAGTCGGGCGAGAGTTGAGTGGTCGGTTCTGGCAGGCTTAGCCAACTCGACTCGACTGGCGGTGGATTGCGAGAGGGCGGACGGCGGTGTGCCGGGACCGAAGATAAGGTGACTGTGACGGACGGGATCTCGCAGGCAGAGGCCAATTCGAAGCGGCGAACACAGAGCGGAATCTCTCCCAAAGAGGATTGCGTGCAGATGTTGCGAAAGCAGAAGACCAGTGCAGTCTATTTGAAGTCGACGAGGGGGGAGAGAGAGGGGAGGAAGGGAGAGGGTAAGGGAAGCGAAGGACGGATCGGATGGAGATTAAACAGGTTGATAGGGGATTGAAGAAGAGTGTAGAGAGGACGAGAGAACAAGAGAAGCGGTGGAGGAAGGGCAGCGAGCGAGTGGGTAGGTATGGGTACTGACTGGTTGGATGGGATGGATGGCGCGGATGGGTAGGGGTGCTGGGGGTGCTGGTGCTCTCATTCGAGATGGGCTATGGGGATGGGGTTGACGACAAGCAAGTACCTCTAGGAGGGATTCACAGGAGCAGCAAGCGCAAAGGCCAGCATTGGAAGATACCAGCAGGCATTGGAAACGAAGGGAAGGGAGGTAGGTGACGGGCTGGCCGGGGGTGAGGGGGCCCTCAAGTGCCTTCACCAGAGTCACCAAGAAAGGTTGAAGGCTGCAGGAGTCAGAAAGGTGGGCTCTCTGGCAATCTGAGTGGGTGCTGGTGGGCTGCTGGATCATGGGGGACATGAATGGAATCGAATGAGGTAAGGTGCCAGGCTTGCCAGTCTGCCTAGCGCTGGGCGAGACCTGGCGGACGATGAGCCCAGTGACACTCCAGCCAACTCGATCGGGACTCGGACGGGAAATGCACTGGGCGAGTGGGTGGCGACGCCGGCAGCGGAGACAGTGTGGGCGATGCATGTCGGCACTATTGCGACTACTGTTGTTTTGCTCTGGCCTGTTGACTGCCAGGACGAACGAATCATCTAATCTCGCTCCAGAGACAAGAGACACACGGAGACACGCATACTAGCACATACGAGTGGCCGCCTGGGCTGTGTGCTCCACACCTCCTAACTAACCCACCCCAAGATGGCAAAAATGATAGGGAGCTACACCTCATCTCGCGCGGGCCGCTGTGAGCAGAAGCAGTATCTCTGCAACGGGGGCCCATGGCAACAAGGTTTCGCTCAGACGGCTTGGAGTGTGCACCAACACCGCGCAACAGCGACTCGATTGGCTGCCGTCGCTGGGATCCAAGCACGACAATAGGCACTGCGTACCTAGACTGCTCCCCCCCCAGGTCTCACCTTCGAACTTGTTGGCTTGCTTCCCTGACTCTTCTGCCAACAAAGAAAAAGCGAGGCAGAAGACGTGAGCCAGCCAGGAAGAAGGCACTATCCCCCATGTGGGAATGCATCATCAGGGACACGGTGTACACATCACTGCCGAAGATTGAATTACTTGTAAATGTCGACGGATCCAGCCGGGGCCACCTCTACACCGCCATTACCTCAACCAAAAGTACACGCTCGCATGGCTGGCGCGGCCAGAGCTACTCCCGGCATGGGTAGACCTGGAGAAGCGCTCTGGCGATCGTCAGAGTAGCGCACTATGATGCCTGTCGCACGCTCGAGGTATCGCGTGCTCGCCCTGTTGCAGACACGTTATTCCCTTTGGGCTTGGGCCTGTTTGGGTCTTGGGAGATCCCCACCCACACTGGCATGCCATGCCAGTGACAGCGAACGAGGGACGAAGGGGGACGGCCTGCTGGCTGACCAATGGGCCGGCGCGAAGCTGGTGAACTGATTCCATCGACTTCTCTCTGGCCCTGGCCTGGCAGACATGGATGCACGAGCTTCCTGAGCTGCCCATTGGCCAGCTTCGGGGCCTGCTCATGCACTCCTGTCGTCCTGCATTCGCGGGTGTTTCTGCACCCTTGCAAGTCCAGTCTCTTGGTCAAGGCGAAGCGCTACAAGTACTTGTATTTGCCTACCTATTGTTCGGGATGGAGAGGGTAGCGGGTTGACCGCTCAAAGCAGTGGCAGGTAGGTGGTTCTGGCTGATACGTGCATCACGGCAGCTTATCTATTCATGGAAGCCTATCTCGGTCCGCCCGGCCATGCTAGAGTAAAAGGCAAAGCGATTGAGTTTGGACCAGAAGTGCCCCGAAGATGAACCGCAATGTGAACGATAACCAATTGCTACTGTATGGCTATCATCTTGCGTGGCCGCGACCAAGAAGAGGGTTGGGTGGCTTGAGCTTACAAGAATAGATTGCTGTGAGGTCAGAGGAGGGGGGACACGTACCTCAGGCAGGACGGGCTGGTACAATCCGCCGTCGTTTCCTCCTCCCTCCCTCTTCCCCACACTTTCCTGGCGGAGAGCTGCCGACGCTCAAACGCTATCTTTGGCAGCCAGTTGCAGCCCACAGGCGATAGAGGTACGGTATCTATCCGCGCGCGATAACGGCTCCATCGCAGTTGAACCGAACATTGAACTCTTGATGAACGCTGTCCTCTCGATAACTACAAGCAGCCCAAGAGATAGGTAACAGTGATCCTTCAATTGCCCCCCCCGCCTGCAGGTCCTCCCTCCAGTACTGTACAAGCACTCCTGTCCAACAGATGGACACTTCTCGCCGGGTCCTGGGTGTCACCAATGGCGCTTCTGCCGTGCCACCGATCTGTGACCCCCTTCTTGGCCCCACGGTGCATTCTGTGAGCTCGTGATGGAAAATACGCACCGGAGATCGATCCGCGGGGGGGTGGCAGCCCTCTGTAGTTGGTCTCACGATAATGGCGCCATGCCGGGTGCGAGCTGCGGTGCTCCAATTCACCCGAAGCGTGCAGTGCACAGTCCGGCGCCCGCCTACCTTAGTTACTTGCCCGTACTACCGCACGACAGGCCACTTTGCGACTGTCGTGTGACCCAAGCGCCGTTATCCATCACGGTATCTCGTACACGTCCAAAACGTGCGAGGGTTACCTCGCCCGCCAACACTGGTGTGCTCGAACTCTTTGCTCCTTTGTTGGCATTGAACCGCAGCAAGGGAAACGATGGGCGCATCCCCCCAATCTGCCTGAAGCGGGATGGCTCGGTTTCGGACTGAACCATGCGATGATCTCTCTCTCTCTCTCCCCCTCTCCAGCAAAGCAAGCGACGCATGGGCCAGCCGATCTCTAGCTAAGCACGCCATCACCGTCCAGCAGACCAGGTGCTATCGAGCTGCGGCAGCGCCAGATCGTCGGAGCGACTTATGCGGAACTGTTTCGCACCAGATAGATCAATTGATCCTTCTCCTTGCCTGTTGGACCCTTGGGTCGGGAAACGGGGTCTCGAAAGTGGATAATTGTATATGTACTTGTATTTTTTTGGTTGGGTTTTGATATTGGGTCGTCAGCATGCCTGTCCGCTGAAACATCTCCAATAATGGGTTGTATACGATGCAATAGCGGGCCTGTCCCAAGTCGCAGGAGGGGGGGCGGTCAAGGCCACTCACTGGGAAGGGGGAATATTGATTGATTGTTGACGTCGTTTCGCCCGCCCATCAATGCCGTGGGGCGGCGTAGCAGATGCTCGGCACTGCGCTGCGACATTGCAATTACCTGGAAGCCGACAGGGGGCCAGAGCGGGCTGCCGCGTGCTGGCGGCGCGTGTCTCTTGTCATCTTTTCCTCTCTCTACCTCCAGAGGAACAAACAAATAGATTGCTTGAAACGGCATGGTCGGTTTCATGCTTCCCAACGAAGGAATGGGGTTGTGGATGTGGATGTGGCGAGAGGCAGACAGGCAAGACAGGTCTCTCTCCCCTTCCTTCTGCTTTCCCGCTGGGCGTCTCCTGGGCCGTCGTGCGTTAGACTGCCGATGTGGTGCTCCGAATGTGGATCTTATGCATGTATTCCCTTCGTGGTCACTCCTGGATGGATGGTGTGCAACAAAAGAGGGTGCCAGAGAGCAAAAGGGAACACGACAGCATGAGACTCTTGTCAGATCTCGATACCTACTCCGTACTCCGTGCACAAGGATGATGGGGGATGGCGACATTGGGGTTCTTGGTCGTGGCGAGGAGCAATGCGCCCTCGCGCCCGTGGCCGGATCCGGGATGCCTTCTCGTTCGACCCTCCTTTTCGCTGCCGCAGCATCGTGCGAGAAACCGGTCGATTGAGCAACGGGCTGCCGTGTGATGAGCGGCCCTGCCTTGCTGCCGATTCGCCACTGCCAGGTCGAGCAGCTGGTTTCTTCCTTGCGGCCGCTCAATGCGTCGCCCTGCCAGGTTCTCAGGAGCCCCAATCATGGCACCGTGTCAGTTCTCTACTACAGCTTGGCTCCCGGGCGACGAGCCGCCTGCTGTGACAACAGCTTGGGGGTTGCTATGGATAGTCAGCCGACCCTTCACGGCTTTGCTGCTCTTGTCCCTTTTTTTTCTCTTCTTCTTCCCTCTCCCTCTCTCTCCTGCCATCCATCCGTCTTGGGAGGGAGAGACGCGTCTCCCGTGACACGACATGGGAGGCAATGCAGGCAGGAAGAAGAAGAAACGAGGGCAAAAAAAAAAGGCCTAGCCAGGTTGGTTGCCCTGGTTGGCACGGGCGACGGCGCTCGGCGGGACTGGGTGTTGCTGCTTGTCTCGGTGATGCATGAACTGCAGCCCATTTTGCCGCTACAGGCGGGCCCAATACCCTCGCCCTTCATCTAGACCTGCATAAGGGCTGCAGGACGAGGGAGCGCAACGAAGTGGCAGGAGGGCGAGGATGGGCTGGGGTTGTCAAGTCTTGTATTCCCACACGAGCTGCAGCCAAGTGGGCTCTTTTCTCCCTCGGACAGGGAAGCTTGAGCAGCAGTCGAGGCGGTCCAGCCAGATGTGCTGTGTGTTGTCAGGCCTTGACAGGTTCTAGATCAACAGCTTGTCAGCCACCGGGCTTGCGCGCGCGCCTCTACCCAGTGCGCCTGTGTAAGTGATGTGAGGAGCCCTCGATGCCGTCGATGCACCATGGACCCTGTGTTTGGTAGTACCTACGTGAATGCTGGGGCACCAAGCGAGTTGGCCGCTTTACTTGCTGAAAACAGGGTACATGTAACAGATATCTAACAGATGGAAGAGCACAACAGATCGGCAGCGCCATCAGAAGCAGACCTCGATAGTTTGATACGCTACCTTGGCTCGGCCTCTGCTGGAGCTTCCCGACCTTCTGCGACTATGCGACTGTACAATAGTCTAGCTCCAACGACAAGGATGGCGATGTGATGCGCCCAAATCTTGCCAACACGCATAGCTATCCACTGCCATCGTACATGCATGGCAAATCGGCATGCTTGGAGCTCAGAGCAAGCCCGATTTGTTCAGATAAAAAATTTGCAGGTTTTTTCTGATACCCTATCCTGGCAGGAATCTGCCGACATCATGCTTTCTGGCCTGGCCACCCCCCCGAAGCTGCAATGCAATGCCACTAAAGAGCGCCAGCAAGCAGACCCGGACGGGGCATGAGCAGAGCTCCACCTGGTCCACCGTTCCGAAGCTCGAAAGCTCGTTTCTCTGCGTCGCTCCAGCTTCTGCTTCCGGCATGGCGGCCGTTCTTGACCGCTTGACCGCTACTCCGTCACCGTCACCTCATTTTTTCCGTCCCTGGCCAAATCTTCGAGCATACCTAACCCACGCACTTCTCTGCTGTCGGACCCAAAAACCCACCTGCACGTTCGCCAAGGTGCAGCAAAGACCTCGCTTCAGACGAATCCGGGGCATGCAGTAGGCTTTGCCCAGATCCATACAGGGAACGAGCCTGAAGAAAAGAATTTTTATGTTGTTTTGTTGTCGAGGGCCGCCATTTGCCGGATCCAACGTGTCGTGATTCTTCACCGCCTGGATATCGCAATCTCGATTGACCAGAACCAACAGCTACCAACCGGACCAACCTCTCATCCCCTATTCGCCCGGGGAGCTCACACACCCACCCAATCGGGGCGAACTGTCCGTTCACATTCTCCCACCTCTTCCACTCGGGGTGGAAGCGAGAGCGCGCGCTGTGAAGCACGGTTACCGTTGTCCGTGCCCGCACCCGGCGATGGCCGCTTCATCCGCTCTATCCACCATCAAGGTGGTCATGCTTGATATTGGTAAGGCGGCCGTGAGAAGATCGCCCCCCTTTTCCGTCGTCCTAGTTCTGCTGCATCAGCCCGTCTCTGTTTCTCTCGGCCCCCCTTCCCTTTGGTCTGCCTCCTCGTTTCGAGCTATCAACCACCACCAGGTTGAGAAGCGTTGCATCTAGTGTCCTTTCTGCATTAGCCCGGACGAATTGGCTAATGTGAGCTTTCTCCATTAGAGGGCACTGTCTGCCCGATATCATTCGTCAAGGACGTTCTTGTAAGACAGATCTTTCTCGTTTGTTTCTCTTTGTTGGGCCAGTCCCCGTCTCGGTGTAGTCCTGGGCTGCTGGTTCCAGTCCGGACAGACACTGGGTCGAGCCCTCTTGTGCTGGTCCAGAAGTTGCGTGTGGTAGCAAATATGGCTCCCACCCTCATTATGTCACGCAGGCGGGAAGGGACCATTGTGCAATATTTCTGAGGCAGCAGGAGGAGGCTTCCCTTCTCCGCACGAGACTCCGCATGCGGGTTCATCACAGTGATGAAACCCTCCCTATGTCATCGAGCATGGACAGCCGTTTTGCCGAGTTGAAGATTGCTGACACTGGACTCAGTTCCCATATGCCCTCGATGCCCTCCCCGGCACCCTCGAGTCAAAATGGGACAGCCCGGAGTTTGCGCCGTATAGGGATGCCTTCCCGGCGGAATACGCATCCTCGCCGTCCGCGTTTGCAGACCACGTGAGGGACCTGGCGAGCCGGGACGTCAAGGTCGCCTACCTCAAGAGCCTCCAGGGTTACCTCTGGGAGACGGGCTACCGGAACGGGGAGATCAAGGCGCCGCTGTTCCCGGACGTGGCGCCCCAGCTGGCCTCGTGGGCCGCCGCCGGCATCCCCGTCATGATCTACTCTTCGGGCTCGGTGCCGGCGCAGAAGCTGCTCTTCGCGCACACCGACGGCCGGCCGGCGGACCTGACGCCGCTCATCACCGACTACTTCGACACCGTCAACGCGGGGCCCAAGACGCAGGCCGCGAGCTACGCCGCCATCGCCGCGAGGTACCCGGCGCACCCGCGCGAGGGGGGGTGGCTGTTCCTCAGCGACAACGTCGCGGAGGTCGAGGCCGCGGCCCGGGCGGGCATGCAGAGCTTCGTCGTGCAGCGGCCGGGCAACGCGCCCCTGCCCGAGGGCGTCGAGGCGCGGCACACGGTGATACGGAGCCTGGGGGAGCTCCAGGGGGTGGGGTCCGAGGTAGCGAGGGGGTGAATCGGTAGAGTTTTTGTATTTTGAAGAGCATCTCGGGGCACCCTCCGTCCACATCCACGCGCACCGCAAACTTCAATCACCAAAGACCCCGAGCATGCATTTATGCCTTCTCTTATTTTCAAGGCACTGTAAAATGTCCTCAAGATAAGCATCTTTCTACTGAAAGGCAATTGATGACGAGACCATTGCTCGATTAATCAATGGTGTATGAAACATTGCGCACAAGCGCGAACATTTCACCATGTTCAGTCGTGATGGTTCGGAGACATATTAGTGACATTTTGGCACCTTGGGCACGTGCGACGTCACAGGGATGGCATCCATGGATGTTAACCCCTCAATTCAACGGCTGCAGCCTAACATCATGAGCCCAAACTGAGTCAATTGATCGCAACATTGCGGTTGCAGGTCACGATGTCGTCTGCGAGTTTCGACAGATCGACGACCGGCACGGAAGTCGCCAGGGTCTTCAAGGATCACATCAAGGGGAAGCGTGGTACGTTCATTTCTGCCTCTTATCGCATAGTTACATGCACACAATGTACAACGTCCCCGTTCCCGAGACCATGTTTGCTTCTTTTCCAACTAAAAAAAACCCTCACTGCTTCTCTTCCCCGGTTTGTGATCGACCAAGTCGCAATCTCCTTGGCCATCATCTGACCCTTTTTCGCGGGGGTGGCTGGCCGGCGGAGGAGGAGAAAGAAGAAGGATGTGCGGGGCGTGGGCACACATCCTCTGCTGCTCTCTCTCTCCCCGTCGTTGACTGCCGGCCCCCCCGCTCAAACGAACAGTTCTCATCACTGGAGCCAGCCCAAACTCGCTTGGCGAAGCCACGGCGCTCGCCATAGCCCGCTCCCAGCCCGCGCTATTGATCCTGGCCTCGCGGACGCGGTCCAAGCTCGACGCCGTCGCCAGCCGCCTCGTCGCCGACGGCCTGCTCCCCAGCGCTAGCGTCCGGACCGTCGAGCTCGACCTGTGCTCGCAGGCGTCGGTGCGCGCCGCGGCCGCGGCCGTCGCGGGGCTCACGCCCAGGCTGGACGTGCTGATCAACAACGCGGGGATCAACACGCAGCACCGGCGCCTCTCGCCCGAGGGCGTCGAGGCGACCTTTGCGACCAACCACGTCGGGCCCTTCCTGCTGACCACCCTGCTGCTGCCCCTGCTGCGGGCGGCCGCCGCCGACGCCGCCGCCGTGGCGCCCGGCGAGACGAGGATCGTCAACGTCTCCAGCGACGGCCACCGCCTCGTGCCCATGCGGTTCAGCGACTACAACCTCGAGGGCAAGGCCGCTCTGCCGGACGAGCTGCCGCGGAGCAAGGCCCTGCCGGACTGGTTCACCAAGGGCGGGAAGGGGTACTCGGGGGTCCTCGCGTACAACATGAGCAAGACGGCCGCGGTGCTCTTGACGGTCGGCCTGAAGCAGCGCTTGCGCGCGCAAGGCATCCAGAGCTTTGCCGCGAATCCAGGCAGTGAGATAACAAAAAGACACCCCTCTGTAGAACTTTGCTGCGAAGCTCGCTTCGGATCTTGCTAATCACGACACGTGCCATAGCCATCCGTACCCCGCTGATGCGGGATATCCAGCCCGAGCTGCGCGATTCGATCGAGACGCTCCATGCGGGGGAGTGGAAGTCCCCGGATCAGGGTTGTGCGCCGTTCCTGGTCGCGGCTTTTGATCCGTCCCTCTCTGGTAAGTCCCTCTATGTATCTTCGACTATGGAGTGTAGATTCAGTAAGATCTTCTGACTGATTGGATCTGCCAGGCTCCGACGAGGTCTATGTCCAGCAAGATTGCCAGCTGCGCAGGCCGTCAGCTCATGCGGCCGACGTGGATAAAGCCGAGCGGCTCTGGGTTCTCAGCGAGGCGTTGACCGGTGCTGGGCAAGGTGCTAGTCGCTTGTAAGGAGATAGCTAAAGGGAGCTGTCGGGTTGAAGGTCTTATAACACCCAATATTTGTGTAATTGGATATGTCTTTCTTCAGATTCCGCGTAGCGCAATAGCGAAGTTGTTCCTGCTGGCTCCTGGGCGAAGTCCCCGTTTCGCAAACACGGGGAGTTTTGTCGGTTTCTGCTGCACTCTTTTCCAAAGGTAATATACCAGCCTCTGGGTTGACTTGTATTGGACTTGCTCATAGCCAAGGCACCGCATGATAGCCTGCAACTTGTCTTCATCCAAATAGCGTGAATTGGTGACACACGGTGCTGGCAAGACCAAGAAGAGGCTCGGAAACGAACTCTTGGTAGGCGAAGAGCTGGACGGCGGACTGGGGTCAACGAGAAAGTCCAGAGTCCGCAGGAGCATGTCCCCACGGTCCTGATGATTGGGCACGAAGTTGAGAACAAGGGAGAGGCTGATGATATCGAATCGTTCCGAGTCACCGCCCGGCAGAGGTCTTTTCATAAAGTCTTGCTCCAGGATGCCCTCCCCCTGACTGTGTAGATCAATCCTCTCGATCGTGAAGCACTCGCTCCTGGAGCAGGCGTTCTCGGTGCTCAGAGCGCCAACTTCCAGCATGCGGAGCGGCCGTGCCTTCAATCCAGGGACCTCGGCTTTGAGCCATTCCATCAGCACGCTCGAGCTATCGCCACCACGGTCCTTTCGCTGCCCTTGCAGGCTTGCTTGCTGGTAGCTTTTCAGCCCTCCCAGTGCTGCGAGCTGTCGATCGATGTCGGCCGCTGCAGATGCATCGCCGTTTGCTACAGCCTGACGCTTCTGTTTCTCCAGCTGATGGTGAGAATTGATCAGAGCCTTGGTGTGCTTTCTCGTGATAGACTTTGGCTTCTGGGTGATAGGAGGTCGAGTGGCAGCGAGATTCTTCGACGCGGATCGCTTTTTCTTGGTCGCCATACTCCCTTCTGGCTGATGGTGAGACCACAATCTCAACTTGTGGTTTCAGAAAGACACAGGGACTTCGAAACGGGCACGCCAGCCTCTCCTAGGCCCTGTTCGGAGCGCTTCTACACTGTTTCTCGGCTCTTGCCTAGAAATTTGAGGTCGAGATATGAGCTAGGCACGCCCCAGTGGGGTCAACATAACAAATCAATTCCGAACAGATAATCCGGGAAGCGGTGGTCCGTGCTCAAATATTCGCAGAATTTCACCAACCCTAAGCGACCACAAATTCCCGTCCTAAATTTTGCAACCCCAGACCCTCGACATTTCGGAATCGACAACCTCGAGACGACCAAAAGTTTTCGAAATGGCTCCCAAGGATCAGAAGAAAGGTACTTGAACACTCAGAACCCATCCGTGCCTCTCGCTTTCGAGACGGCCTTCGAATCGACAAGACAATGTTGCAACCAACTCTCGCCGGCGGCTGAGTGCGGTGTTTGAGGATCGCGATGATGATGCATCCGAGCAGCAGCAGATTTTGCGAGTTCTGAAAAAGAGCGATTGCTGATGCGTCTTTCTTTACCACAGGCGCCTCCAAGGCGACCAAGGGCTCCAAGCAGGCCAATGCCGCCGCCAAGGCTGCCCTGAAGGGTGTATGTTATTCTCTTGCTCAAAAGTATAGTAGTGCCTTTGGTTTTCGATGCTAACTCTGCCTATCCAGACGCACTCCCACAAGAAGGTCAAGGCCCGCTTCACGACCTCCTTCCACCGCCCCAAGACCCTGCAGCTCTCGCGCGCTCCCAAGTACCCGCGCAAGTCGATCCCTCATGAGCCCCGCCTGGACGAGCATAAGATCATCGTCCACCCTCTCAACACCGAGAGCGCCATGAAGAAGATCGAGGAGAACAACACCCTTGTCTTCATCGTCGACGTCAAGGCCAACAAGGCTCAGATCAAGCAGGCCCTGAAGAAGCTCTACGACATTGACACCGTCAAGATCAACACCCTGGTCCGGTATGTTTGCGGTCACAACGATCCCTCTCGGAAGCACCCATAGCTAACATCCGAATGTAGCCCCGACGGTACCAAGAAGGCCTACGCCCGCCTGACCCCTGATGTCGATGCTCTTGACATTGCCGCCACCAAGCTGGCCCTTGTCTAAAGGAAGCGTCCTGGGTTGTCGTGTGGGGTAGCAGAAAGAGGCTGGGAAGTGGGAAAAATGGAGTTAAATACCATGCATTTAAACGGCGTCATTCAGGCTTTTGGCTCATGATAGGACAATGAAAAGAATTGCAACTTCCAGCCTCACAAGCAAAGACATGATCTTCCTCCCTCCGTGCTGTTATTGAATGATATTACACCAGCCCAGCCGGCCACACTATAGATGCATGCCCATGACCCGTCTGCCTGTAGGCTGCCCAGCCATTGAAGGCTAGTGTAAAGCCGAGCAGCGTTTGTTCCTATTGTACAGAGCGTCGTAAAAGTACATAAATACATCCATCCCATTGAGATCCTAACATCCGACACCAACTGCTGCCGTGGTTCGCCTAGCGACTGGCGCGCATGGCTTGCAGGTTCTTGACGGTCAGGGTGTTGATGTCGAGGAATCGGTCGACGCAGTTGGCCAGGCAGCCCTCCTCGCTGCTGCTCAGGGTTGAGCTCTTGATCGAGCCCGTGATGCACTTCTTCCAGCACATCTCGGCCATGGTGTGTGTTTCTGTTGTTTTGGGGAGGAAACAAAGCGTTAGCCAGACACAGTTGAGCAAGTCGAAGGGGGGGGGGAAAGTGGTAAGTAGTAGCTGCTACGGGATGATTCGCTAGCGGTAGGAGAGATCTTTTCTTCTTTTTCTTCTTTTGCCTTCGGGGCGGCGATAGACCTGCTGTTGGAGTATGACGGCCCGAGTTGTGGGACAAGAAGGGGAGTGGAAAGACAGTGAAATGGAACCCCTTCCTTGCGACAGGGTATCACAGAGGCGGAGGGGCAGCAGCAGGGAGAGACACTCACGCGCGTTGATCCGGGTCTTCTGGGTCTCGTGGGTGATGAAAGTCTGCAGCTCGAGCTTGTCCTTCTCGTTGAGCCGGGCGAGGTCTGACTGGTCAATGGTGGTGTTCTCCATCTTGGTGTATTGCGTTTTTCACGAGTCCGGGTGTGGCGTCTCTGGTACTGTTGCCGGGAGGAGCAAGATGGCAATAGTCTAGGAAGAGGTTACGCGCTTCGGTGGTGATGAGGTCAAACAGGCTGACCCGTAGATTTTCGAGAAGCTTGGGAAGTTTTGGGATTATCCACTTTTTTTGCTTCCCAAGCAGCTAAGTCTTTACAGCCGGCCAATGGGGATGGAGGCTGATTGCCATTATGTGAAGGATCGTAGTTCATTATGGTCTTGAACGTGAACGCCTGCAAAAGCGAATTGGCTGCAAGCCATGCTACAAGTCACACTTGGGTGCAATGTCGGCGAGATCTTTGCATTTTCGTAGATTCCACATTATTCACAGCTCAGTGACGAGCATATCTACCTCTAATCTATAGCCGACATGAGCATCATGAAGCAAGAAACATCGTAAATCAAGAAGCCACCGCCGCCACCTGCGCCCACCCCTTACCCCTTATTCATGCGGACTCCATTTGACAAAACAGCAGATGCGAGATGAAAACAGCGAAATAGCAGTGCGCAATGCAAGCCTGGTGCCTGGACAGAAACAGCCCTAGATGTACCTAAATCTTCGAGCGACAATCAGTGCAATCAGACAGAAGCCCACGAGTCCGCCGACAATAGCGCCAAAGGCAGTGAGGTCGTCTCCACCCTGTGCTGGAACATGAACGTTCATGCCAAATAGACCCGTGATAACGTTCAAAGGCACAATGATCGAGGCCAAGAAGGTGATCTTGCTCAGCACGCGATTGGTGTTGGTGCCCTGAGTGATGCTGTCGATGGAGAGCTGAGCCAGGTAGTTGCTGTGCGAGCGAGACAGCATCTTCTCAAAGTGAGCCAGGTTGTTCATCATGGTGACAACGTGGTCCTGGATGTCACCAAGATAGAGGCCGATGTCCATCCTAGGTGTGACCTTGTAGTTCTCGTTGCATCGCTTTGTGAAGCCCTTCAGAACGTCGGCCTTGCCGCCGAGGAGACGCATCAGGCCCATGACGTTCTTCCGGATGCTGCCAATCCGTTTCAGGAACGTATGCATGTCGTCGCTGCGAGCAATAAAGACCTCGTCTTCAATGTACTCCGTGTCCAATTCGATCTTGTGAATAACAGGAGCGAATGAGTCCACAATGTCGTCACTATAGCTGCGATTAGCGTGCTGCGGTACAACAGGAAGATTGCAATAAAAAGAACTCACATTAAAGCATAGCAAATCCAGTCACTGCTGAGAGAGACGTAGTCTTTCAGCATGGCGATACGTTTGCGAACATTGCTTGCATGGGAGTTGGGGGCAAAGCTGAAGCTCAGGGTGCCCTCCCGGAAGACGATCACATACAGGTGGAACGCCTCGTACTCGACCTCGCCGTCCTCTTGAACCACCTCGAAGGATCGGAAGCAGGCGAAGTAGTAAGAAGAAAACAGTTCAATCTTCTCGCGGGATTCCTGAGTCGTGATATCCTCGATCGTCAGGGGATGAATGCCAAAAGCACGGGTGATGGCCCTGACTTCAGCCTCAGTCGGGTTGTTCACGTTCAGCCACCAGACTCCATCAGTTTCGCCCTTGGGGAAGGAAAACAGGCCACGGACATCTTCTCCGGGGAGCACCAGGTCGGCAAAGTCGGGAGCATGGATAGTCGACTCCCAGGCAGACGAGAAGAAGCTGAACCTGTTGGGGTCAACATGCTGTTGCTGGGTCGCCGGGGCTGCCTTGACGTCTTGGTCCTCCTTCTCGTCAGAGAGCGAGTACGTCGGGACATCGATGATATCGCCATCAGCGGTGGCCATGGATACAGGGCCCGTCGCAGGTGACGCAGCCTGGGGGCGAAGATCCGAGAAGACTTTGCCGCGAGTCGAACGGCTCTCCTCCGCCTCCTCGCGCATGAAGTTCTCAAGGTACTCAAAGTCGATGTGCAAATTGTCATCGGGGCGCTCGTCCTGCAGGGGAAAGCACACATCCTCTTCCGCAGACTTGTTGGTCGAGATACTCGACGCATCGTTGTCGATCATGGTATGTGGTCGGCTGCGCTGGCTGCGGCGGCTCTGACGGCTGGCAACCGACAGTGTACGGTGCAGCTGGTGCGGCTCCGCTTCGTCGCCCTTCTGTTCACCCTTGTTCTCCGTAAAGGACGGCCCGCGCTCGCGGCGCCGAGCCTGCGCAAAAGCCTTGACCGAGTTGGGCGGAGAGATGGACCGTTGATCCATGGCCTCGACAGTCCCGCGGCGGGCTCGAGCAGCATTTGGGGAGGCATCTCCGGCATCCTCATCAATCACGGCTTCCTCAAAATCGCGGACACGAACAGCATTGTCATACTGGAGGGCAGTGTCTAGTTGGCTTCCGTAAAGTGAATCGAACGTGCCTCGGCGCGCTCGATCGACCCGCTGGACCGAAGGGGTCTGGTGCCGGTGGTCATCAAGCTCAGGCACGGGCGTGTCATAGCCCGAGTTGGAAACAACCTCCTCGTGGTCAGACATGGTGGCTGCTGAAATTATCGACTAAGAATGGAAACGTAAGAGAGGTCGGTACTGTTCGTACTGGCGATGTAGGTTCCCGTGAGGCGATCAGGTTTTCCAAAGACAGGCCTTCCAAGCCGCGTCTACTCAACAACACGCATTCTGGTACAGCCCTAATCTGCGCGCATTGGCGGACGGCAGAACGGCTATGTGCCGCCCGCGGGGGTATTGTAGAGGTCGTAGAAGCCTTGTTTCCAGACAGTAGAACTGTTGTTCCACAGCTAGAGCGTGAGGAAGAGGCTATGGAAGGTGGCTGTCGAGTGATATGTTGGTGGTGGCCAGGGTGAATTCGTGGTGAGGTAAGCCAAGTTATGGAGGCTTCTTGTTCACTCCGCTATAGACCCAGAACTCGGGACCTAGGAGCGAACGGGAGCAGAAGGCTCGAAGGGCAGTGATTCCCGCCAACTTGGCGACTGAAGCCAGCTTTGCGGATTGTGAGGGAAAGTCTTGCGACTGAAGAGCGGAGAAAGTGAAGTCTGGAAATCGGCTGATTTCCCAGTTCTTCACAAGCTGTGAGGATGTTTGAAAACAGTAGTTTCTGTCTCCAATCGGTAGCGACAGTCACAGAAATATCCTAACCAGTAGCTAACCAGGATCCAAGATCTAGGCTTGAGGAGCTGGTTGCGGTCGAGGTCGGTGCTGTGTAGCAAGTGACGTCTCTGTGAGGTGCTTTGGGGGCGCGATCGTCGAGACGGTGTTTTCGGATGGGGAGATGTATGGAAGGAGGCAGTAGTATATCACACAGATTGAATCGCACTTCTGTGTCTGTAGATGTGTTGGAAACAAAAAGAATCTGGATTTGGTCAGAAACTCCCACGACGTAGGAGGTTTTGATGGGAGAGAAAAAATTTGTCCAATGGACGCTGGGCGATTTGTGTTTTCTCTGGGAGCAAGGTGAGGAGAGGAAGACGGATGAAGTGATTGACTAGAGGCGGCACCCTTGCAATGCGGGAAAAAAAAATATGGGCAAGGAAGTTTTCTTGCATGTGGTTCCCGCTGCCGGCCAGGCCCACCAATGTCACTCGCTGGACGTGCCCCTCTTCCCTGGTTGTCGGTGCTCTCTTTCTGGCCTCCTGTAGTGCCTATTGGCCTATTGGCTGGGGTGGCACCACCACATGGGTGTCCTTGTTAGTCATTTGATGGACGGGATTACGGAAGGAGTTGGTTGGTTCTAGAGGCCCTACAGCAAGCCAAGACGGCTTCCAAGGCTGCTTTTGCCTTTTGGAAACCTACAATAGGTACAATAGGTAACTAAGCTCCTTGTATTGCTAACCGCCCAAGACACCTTCGGTACAGATCTTGGATGGTTTCATACTTCGATCCATTGGATTATTCCCAGGCTGAACAAAAAGAATCAAAAAGAATGCAAAGGTGCCTACGTCAGTCTGGATTCCATTCCTCGGTACTTACCATGTCATGCTTGAATGATGGACGCCTCATTGCTCCCAAGATAGGAACAGCTCCATCCTCCAGTGCTCACCAACAAGGGTCAATCCGCAGATGTGGGGCCTCGGCGGCCAGTGTACAAGTAGAGTCTATGTAGTATTTGGTAATGCTTACGTCTGCAGAATACCTTAGCAGTACCTTGGACCCAGTGACCACTGACTGTACCTACCTAGGTATTATGGACACCTGTGCTTCGCCAATGCTTCAAGCTACTTGTACAACTGCGAAGACCACCACATTTGTGACCTTCTGTCCAAGTCCAGACTCTCCTCTCCCCACATCTCGTCTTGGAGGCTCATCTCCAGCATTGAACCTGGAAATCTTGTGTCCCATTTCTTTCGGAAGCCATCAGAATGGCCGAACAGCTGCTTGACCAGGTTCGCGAGGTCGCTGAGGGCCAGATTGTAAGCGCGACTCGAATGCCAACTCTGGAGCCCGCCACATTGGTCACTAACCTGTATCTGCTACAATAGGACTTTGAAGGCCAGAAACTCGCCGAGCTACTTGCGACCGTCCTTCTGAGCGCTGTAGGGGTATGAACTCCTTCCCCCCAGGTCCATGGCTGCACATCTGCAGAGTTCCTACTGATGTACTCTGGCTGATCACTGGCACTAGGCAATCTCCTTCCTCGTCGGCTACGCGCTCCAAGACATCAAGCTGGCAGTCTACATCGGTCTCGGAGGAACTCTACTCACATTTCTCCTTGTAATCCCGCCCTGGCCCTTCTTCAACCGCCACCCCGTCAAGTGGCTACCCGTTGGTGGAGGCCCGAGCATGGCGGTACCTCAGAACATCGTCATAAACGAGAAGGCTTTACGATAGATCACGATCAAGGCAAGAGGAGCATGAGGTGGGCCGAGAAAGAAAAGAGCAGGTCATATTGAGTCATACCAGGGCTATGTGTGCCAAATACGGGGGGGACATGATAAGAATGCTCAACACGTACAGCTTGGCTGCCCTAACAGTGCTGATATATCGTTCCCGCTGTGCATTTGTGCAAGTGTCTGGATTCCTTTCCGCAAGGGCCCTGTGGCCCGTATGCCGGTCCCAGATCCCCCATTCTAGTTACTGCAAAGGGCGAGAGGTGCGCGTCTCGCTGGCTGTTCGTCTTGCAACACGCTGTCGGAGCTGCTCCATCGACATCTATCGACCGTACTTTTGGAACTCCCAGTCTCGGTTGTCCAACGGGCACACCTGCCGTGCCTTGAGCCATCGCGAAATGCAGTGAAAGTGGAAAGCATGCTAGTTCAAGTCAGTTCGGGATCCGAGAAAGATGAAGGAACGGGGTAAAGACATACGTTGCAGATTCCCCAAGCCACGGTACACTCCTCACTCGTGGCCGAGGCCTGATTAGCCTGACACTCGATGCCTAGACGGCCATGACGTTAGCAAAATACCCAAAAGCCCCAAGAAAGGGCGCCAAAGTATGCTTACAAAGGTCCATGATGTGGTTTCTACAGATCGCACAGTTGTCGACGACTATATCCCAGGCCCATAAAGCGACCGCATTCCACTAAGCAGACGAGGTCAGTGTGTGGCTCAGAATCTCGGCATGGCGGTAAGTGCTATACCTTCTTGACCTCGAACTTTTTCTTGCCATCCACCGCCTTGCCCTCAGAAGCGGCTCCCTTCTTCTTCGCCGCGCTGGGCGCATCGGTCATCGGGACATCAGCCATGTCGGACAGCTGCGGGAATGATAGGCTTTCGGATCGATGGTAGGGAACGGATCAGAGACGATATGCCGTGATAGAGAATCTCGGGCTCTGGGTCGTGGGCGATCGGATATTTCCAAGGATACGGTTGGCGTGATCCTGATGGGGTTCCGTAGTAGTTATGCTACCAAAGAGGTTCGCAGGCAGCTGAGGTGGAGGTGCGGCAGTGGCAGTGGCAAAAAGAGTACAGGCGGTTTTGTTCCCTTTGTCCTTTCTCAGGTGACACGGAAAGGAAAGCTCAAGTAAAAGTGAGTTTTGAATGGGAGGAGTTGTTTCCTAAACTTCTACCACGCCTGCGAGAAAGGTGAAAAGAGGTAGCTTGAGTAAGGTGCCTTATTAGCTAATGGAGGCAGAATTGAGCAGTGAAGTCGGTGAGCTGGACCCCGCACTGGTGCCTCGACCACAATGCGAGAGGCAGCCACTTGCAGAGCTTATCAAAGGAATCCATTGAGGAAACTGTTCCAGCCTGGCAGTGCCAGAATACCTGTATCCAAAGAAAACAGCCTGCTTATTGGAATTTAAGAAGAAAGAAAAAGAAAGCACACAACACTCAGGAACCCTGCCCAGGCGAGATCAAAGGAAGGGCCAAGGAAACATAGAACTCTCTGTACAAAGACGATCTGTCTGGTTCATACTACCTAAGTAGGTAGTCTTTCCCCATGCTCAGCACTGAATATTCAAATGGCATACAAAGCAGCATCAGTAGGAGGTATGTATCAACGTGAGATCCTCACAGCTGCATGATCTTGAAGCCAAGCTCCTACCCACCTAGACATACAGACATACATCTGTTTCAGCGAGTCACCCGGTGGGTACTCAGCCCTGGAGGTTCAGCCAGGCACTAAATACAGGGAGCGAGCAAGTATTGGAGGCCCCTCCTGTGCCCTGTGCGGGTGCCCTGATCAACCCAATTGAGCGAGAGTGCAGTCTGGCCGTCACAATCACGCTATCGGGGGCGGTGGATCCTGGGAGCCATCATCGTCTTTGTTGCCGTCGACTCCGCGCACTCTCACCTCCCCAGCCAGTGACTCGCCTTCCCTCCGCTCCAGTCCCTCCCTCCCTCCCTCCCTCGCTCCCAGCCTCAGCCCATCGTCGACTTGTTGCGCCCAAGCCCAAAACCCAAACTGCTCCGCTTGCGATCGCTGCGTCATACCTACCTTCCCTCCTTCACCCACTCTCTCTTCCTCTTCATTCCTCACTCACCCGCAAAAGCAAACCTCGTTAGATGGAACGATGCTCACCGTCTCAGTTCACAGCGTCTCCAGTATATTTTCATCCATCAATATCACAACACTCTCTCCTGCGCCACCTACAGCATCCGACTATTCCTCTGTTTAGCGCCCCCGCTTGTCATTGTCCGTCGTGATCGGCTCACCCTCCCTCCCTCCCGTCAGCCCTTGCACATTGTCAGCCCAGCTCTGGCCGATCAGTCAAGCCGCTCTTTGCTGTCGAGATCTCTGCTATCGAGTCATCCCATCCCTTGTCGGCTGTTATTCAATCAGACTCATTGCGTACGAATGTGATCATCGTCTCAGCCCGACATGCAAACGACCAATCTCCACAGTAAACAGACGCCCGGCCGGCGGCGCCAGGCCCGGCGCTCGAATCAGTCTCCTGCTCAGCGAAATTACGCCTCCGAAAATGACATGCCAGACCCTACATTCCATCATCAAGAGCTTCCCGATGGCGGACCGGCAACGCCACTCAAGTCCAACTCAAACAGTCCCGCCCCGGCCTCAACTTCCAACAACAAGTCGAGCAAACGCAACGGTAACAAGTCTCGTCCCAAGAACGTCTCGACATCGCCAGCTCCCATGAAGCAGGGCCGACGAACACCGCCACAGACTGGTGGCCCCAAGTCAGCATCTGCTGCTGCCTTTGCTGGCGCCACCTTCCACGCCTCTCCCGCCCCGTCTTCTCTGCCGATTCCCAGCTTCTTTGCCAAAACCGCGACTGAGTCCCCCAGGGATAGACCTCCCAACAACAACACCGGCGCCGAGTTGTCTCCGCCCTTGTCCGATGCCGAGGTCTCGAGTCCGGGTCCTCGATCCCCCCCTGTGAAGGCGCCGCGGGAGGAATCGCCTCTGGACATATTCTTCCGTGCGGACCGCGCCGAAAAGCAGAAGGCTCGGTCGAATAGCGGCCTTGGCTCTGCCATTGGACCCTTTTCGCCTCCGCAAACACTCTCCCCTCAAGAATCGAATCCTTTTGTCACAGGCTCGACCTCCCAGCAGGGCCGCCGGCCCCAGTTTCAGCGTAAAGCTTCGAATGGCATTTCTACTACGGAGCTCGATGGCACCCCTGGCAAGCCGATGGGGCCTGCTTTCTCAACCCCCTACTCTGAGCGAATCAAGGCAGCACGCTCAAGCGAACGCTCAGCCGATAATCAGCATTCTCCCCTTCCCCAGAGGAACCCTGCCAGTGATGCCAGTGATGCCCTGAAGCGTTTCTTGTTCTCTGGCCAGCAGCCGGCTGCGGCACCACACCACTCTACCAATGGCTCGTTCAACACCCCCTCGGCGGCATCGGTGCAGCCTACCCGGGCGGCGATGCCGGAAGTTCAGCATGTATATGCTACCTCTCCCGCACACCATACCTCTCAGAACCAGCGCTCAGCGAATGTCGTTGCAATGGAAGATAGCCTTAGGCAGATTCTCAAGCTCGACTCTTCGCTCAGCTTAGGCTCGCCAACTTCTCATCGCTCATAGCCCCGCTCTGGCTGAGTGCGCTCCGGTCATGACCATGGGTGTGCGATTTCCTGTCGGGATCATTTCGGCGTTGGCCAGATTCTCTCATTTCTCGTTACATTTCCTTTAATCTCATCAAACTCATCCTCTTTCCGGCCATATCTCATTTGTTCACTTGTTCATTTGGGTCGGTAATCGGCGTTATCAGAAGGTCAAGTATCCTCATCTGGAGAGTCATGGGTTGGCAGGCATTAGCAAGCACGCTTTGGACTTACATCAGCTCGTCACGGGCCAGTTGTGAACACCTCACATATCGGGCGTTTCGTTGTTTTGGGGGTTTCTGGAATTACGGCGACCCAAACCGGCTTCTTGGACGCCAGAATGAACTTCTCATGCGCATTGCGCGTTACGGCTAATCGGCAGGGACAGCTTCGGCATCTGGTTTGCGGGACGGTGTCTCCCGCTAGATCATCTTGTGGAATTCTTGGACGCGGTCTCGGGGTGGCGACTTTGTATGGTCTAAGCTGGTCATTTGTTGATACCCCCTTTTTTATCTTGGCGTCAACGAAAGAGAAGGAGAGGAGTCCAATAGAGAGGCGGCAGTGTGCCTTGGGCATTGGCCGGTCAGGGATACGACGGCCATCATCGAACGACATACCTATGGCAACCTGGTTACGACTGAATTCGTTCCACGTGCCAGCGCAAACAGAGAAAAACAAATATTTTTGGAGGGATATACGTGGTATTGCATTAAGTTACTCTTAGACATGGTGCTTCTACCTCTAGCAATGTCAACAAACCACTTGTATACCGTCAAAGAACGCCCGGCTCCCGCATGTTATCGTGACATGGATCTTCAGAGACTAAACGTGTGATATAGCCTCTGGTGACAGCCCCTTGCGCTTTTCCTGGCTGGTTCTGGCGGCTCTCTCCATCATGGCAAAAGAATCGTCTTGTTTCTTCTCCTTTTCCTCCTTCTCCTTCTTTTCCTTTGCTTCATTGCGGTTGCCCTGGCTGACTTTACCAGTATGTTTCAGCTCAACCCCAGTCTGCCCCACCTATCTCTCGTCCTTTCTTCATTTCTTGTCGTCCCCCTATCGCAGGATCAAGCACAACTCTCCTGAAGACCCAACGCTGAGTACAAGACCACCGTAACTATGCCTCTGCCCAACGTTCCTTTCTCGCTGGACCAAATCTTGACACTCGACCACTGAGCATGCTCTTGACCTCACTACACCCAAGATGGCAGTCCGCCAGGACTCTGACAACCTTGCCTGGGACCGAAGTGATGAGCTCTGGGAGGAGAAGCGGAACCAAATCCGTTTGAAATCGACAACTCAGAAAGTCGTGGCTTTAGCTGAGCGAATGTTCAGAGAACCCGTGTTTCTTTGTTCCACCTATACTGGTCGGTGGCTTCAATGTGCTATACCCTTTCCGCGTCGAGAGCTCTTCTGCTGCGTTCCCCGTCCTTGCTCGGCTGCCTTGCCGCACCGAAGCGCTCTTCCACGAAGAGAAAATACTTGCAGAAGCTGCGACCGTGGCATATGTTGGCCAGCATACCCAACTCCCGGTTCCAGATATGCATCACTACGGCATTGACCCCGACGTCGGGCCCTACATGATTATTCAGGACCTTGGCACCCGACGGGACATGTCTGATTGTCTCCAAATGCCGGGCCAAGACCCTGACGAGTCGCCCATCTTGGACCCCAACATATCCGACAGTACCCTCAGGAGCATACACAGTCAAATGGCATGGTGTCTATTACAACTCGCTCAGCCAACTTTTCCTCGCATCGGGTCCCTTGCCAATACAAGCTCAGGAGTCAGTGTAATGGGACGACCAATCAGCCTCAATATGAGCAACATGGTTCAACTTTCCAATATCCCCCAATCGGTTTTCCCAGCAAAGGCCACCACATACGAAACTGCGGATGACTGGTATAAGGCATTAGCTGATATGCAAATGGCAACATTGCTTTTCCAGCATAATGATATTGTTTCATCAGAGGATGACTGCAGAACAAAGTATGTGGCCCGGCAACTATTTCGCAGACTGGCAAAACAAGGTCGCCTATCGACGTTTGGGTTTTCCGGCTCCAAGACTGCTGGTGCGACGTTGCCGGCGCCTGATGGCTCGAGCTCGTTCCGACTCTGGCCTGATGACTTTAGACCGGCCAATGTTCTTGTTCATGACGAGCGGATTGCTGGAATTATCGACTGGGAGTTCACCTATGCGGGACCAACACAGTTTGTTCTGGACCCCCCTTGGTGGCTCCTTATTGAAGTGCCCGAGATGTGGGAGAATGGTATTGACGACTGGGCAAGCGTCTATGAAAGACGGCTAGAAACTTGGCTTCTAGAGATGGAAAGAGCCGAGAAAGATATGAGACCTGGCTCTCTACTACTCTCTGCATACATGCGGGAGAGCTGGAAAACAGGCCGGTTCTGGCTGAACTACGCTGCCAGGAAGAGCTGGGCATTTGACACTGTGTACTGGAAATATCTGGATGAAAAGTTCTTTGGCAAGCGGGAGTGTGATGGACCTCCAGAGAAACTGTGGAAGTCGAGAGTACATCTCTTAAATGCACAGGAACAGAGAGCGATGGAGCCGCTGGTACAAATCAAGATGGAGGAATCGAAGAAACGGGTCCTGGTAGACTGGGGGGCTGCAGAGGCAAGGCAGCACCTGTCATCCTTTCTGTTCGATTAAAGGACACGATGATGATGTAGTGTCTTCCTAAGCTAGACGACCCTTGATACCAGCGAGTAGCGATCCAGAGCGACGGAAATTCAGAAGTCTGAAATGGGACAGCGAATACCAGACGTCATTTGACAATGGCAATTGCAATTCAACAGTCCAGATGCGCTCAAAATAGTGAGAATATTAAGGCTCTAGGACCGCATGCAGGTTTATCTCTTCCTCTTCTTTTCCTCTCGCGAATACCACATCCCGTGGGATAGGAGCAAGTATTTGCTGAAAAAGTCTTCTGCAAAGTCGTCAAACTTTCGATACTCGGCCCCGAGACGATACGCTGCCGCGATGCCACTCACGCACGCCAGCTCGTGCATGTTCTAGTGATGAAAGAGGGAGTCAGTCAACAAAACATCGACAAAGAAGGGAGCATTTTGGCAGTCACCACGACATCATGATGATCTCGTTACGTACCACCAGAGTCCACGACCCGGCAAAGATGGTCTTGTTCCGGCCGTTGAGGAACATCATCCCCGGCACGACGCGCAGGTAGTGCTGCCACCGGTGGCCCAGCTGGTGCCACCACTTGCGCTGGATGACCTTGTCCTCGTCGATCTGGTCCCACGTCCACAGCTCCTCGTTGCGCTTGTCGAGGAAGATGCTCTGGTAGACGTGCTCGTAGCCCGGGGCCTTGTCGCCGTCGCCGTCGTCCCGTCCCCCCGTGGTGGTGGTGGTGGTGGTGGTGGTGGTGGTCGTCGTCGTCGCCGCCTTGAGCTGGTGCTGGTAGTTGCTGCAGTCGAACGACATCTCGATCTTGCGCGGGTCCCGGCCGTAGCTCTTGGTGTAGTACATGGGGCGGAACCCCGCCGGCCGCTCCGGGTCGTCGCCGCGCGCGAAGGCGACCTGCTCCTTCTGGCTCGCGGACTTGGGGTCGGCGCACAGCGACGGGTCGAAGGCCGTCTCGTAGTGCCGCCTGAAGTAGGCCGCGTCGTGGTGCGTGACGGTCACGTCGTCGTAGAACTTGGCGCCGCCGAGGACGAACCTCTCGCGGGCCGTGGCGGTGCGGCCGAGCAGGCGGAGGGCGTCGTCGGCGAGGGTGCACAGGACCATCTCGTCGAAGGTCTCGGTCGTGGCGGAAGCGGCGGTGGGCTTGCCCTCGTCGTCGACGGGCTGGGTCTCGAGGACGACGCCCTTCTTGCTGCTGCGCGACACGACCCTCGCCACGGCGGTCCTGAGGCGGATGTCGACGCCCTGCGAGGCGAGGTCCTTCCGCCAGTCGTCGTAGAAGGCGCCCAGCTTGCCGAAGGTGACCATCTTGGGCAGGTTGGGGAGGAGCGTCTCCGCGTCGTAGTCCCACAGCTTCATGTTGGGGTCGTCAAAGAGGCGCTCGACGATGGCGCTCGGGACGTTGGCCGTCTGGTTGCCGGTGCCGAGGAAGAGGGCGATGAGCGGGTAGACCATCTTGTCGCCAAAGTTGCGGGAGAAGAAGAGCAGGCGGAGCATGACGCGGATGGGCACGAGGCCCAGGACGGGCATCGTCCAGCGCACGAGCTTCAGGAAGAAGCCGAACTTCTTGATGTCGCCCGAGAAGCGCTCGACGAGCTTGCTGGGGAAGCAGTTGGTCCAGAACCCGTCCTGGCCCTTGCCGAACGAGACCTGGAGCTCTACCTCCTCGGGGTCGTGGCCGTACTTGTGGAAGTAGTGGAAGGTGTGTTTGAATATCTTTGGTAGCCGTGTTAGTAGTGCAAGATATGTTTTGTTTCGCCATGGTTGCTTCATTACCGGCGAGCCTCCCTGAACGCCATTGTTCATCCAGCTGGCGCCAAACTTGCTCTCGTCCAGAGAGATGGAAGTGGCTTGGCCTCCCGCCACCGAGCTCCTCTCCAGCACTGTGACCTTGAACTTGTCCGGATGCTGTGCCAATGTGGCCGCGCATGACTGAACCATGATTAGCATCGTCGTGTCTTGCAATGTCCGAATCGATCTTACGAACCATGCCAGCGGCGCCTGCGCCTACTATCACGACATGCTTGCGCTTGTCGTGGCCCGACGTCATTTTGGTATGAGAGATGTCTTGAGTGAAGCGAAGACCGCTATAGAGGGAGAGCTGTGATTGTACGGTAGCCGTTCTGGATCTGGACAGACTTCAGGGACAGTCTCTAGAAGCTGACTACAATGAACACGTTCTTGTGTGTTTCATACGGGAATGTCAAATTTTGGGAAGGGTTTTGTATATCGCTTCTTCACTAAGTTAACGACAGGGAGGAACATAAGCATCATGCAAACGAACCTGAAGTAGGTTCTTTCACATACGACGAAATAAGGTTGAGTGCCTGGTCTCATTATTCAGTCTTTCTAGGACGTCATTGACTTAGGGCCACGCGAGTATGAAGCTACTACCAGAAGTCTTGCCGCAACTGATAATAACAGGATACACAAATTCATATAAATCTAACCCTTGTCCTTAGGTATGAGGGTCATTGGGGCGGGTAAACCTAAGCCTGAGGGCCTGTGACCAGGAAGGACACTGATGTTAACACTTGAGTCCTCAAAAGGGGCTGCGATGCAGATAGGAAGTGGTGAGTCTGGTCATCGGACACTAAGAATTAGATCGACATGTCCTGGATGTGAGCTTGCAAGTGTAAATTTGGAGTATAGTACGCATGGCTGGATTATATTGGGATCCATTCCAGATGAGTAGGATACTCATTTTGTCTCCTGGATGAGATAGACATCGTGGTCTAGAGAGACCTCTTGGATTGGTCGTACAAGATGTGGTTTGTCTTGGGTTGGGCATCTCAGATGCGGTAGTGACGGCATTTAAACTTAGTGGTCCGCTACAGGGATGTTTGGCGCGCCTACGTAACCAAAAGTGTCAGGGGTCAGTGCACTTCAGGCTGCCGCCGGGCCACTAAACGCGTCTATCACCTTTGACAACGCGTCTATTTACACTTTGACCAGCGATCACCATCTTAAACCTACCTGTCTCAAACCGTACCGTTTTCTCGCCGCATTCCAACAAGGATCCCTTGAGACGCACCCCAGGTCACGCTAATGTGAAGCGTGGAGATGGATTCAGATCAGTTTCTGGAGATGAACGGAGGGGACGATGAGGATGAGGCTCTCAGGCGAGCCATCGCCCTCTCCATGCAAGGTGCAGCAGATTCAGAGGTTGCGGCTCCAGAACAGGCCAAGGATGGCCAAGGCTACATCGACCTCACGTCGTCGCCGCCCACCGAGCCAGTCCGGGTGCAGAAGAAAGAGGAAACCACCGCACCACCTGCGGCCTCGTCGATGATGGGCCTTGACCGGAAACGCATGGAAGAGGAACGGCTGGCCCGGCTTCAGAAGCGCAAGGCTGCAGATTCCTCCGTCGCGGACGCAGCTCCGCAGCCGCCTGCAAAGCGGCCGGCCCCATCTGGGGACCGGGCCCACGATAGAGTTTACCGCCCTTCCCTCTCCGAAACAACAAATAAGGCTGAAGCCGCACGCACGTCCAGAGAGCCGCCTGAGACACATCGTCTTGATGATCAACGGGAACGCCCCGAAACTCAAAAGAGCAGACCTTCTATCGCAATAGCTACGGCAAAATCAGGGGATGAAGCGCTGCCATTTCCCCAGGGGATCGTCAAGAAGACATGGGCTTACGGCGTTCCTCGGAACGGGGATGATATCAAAATCGAGGAAGTGCTACGGGCCAAGGATCTGGAGCTCGCAGTCCTCAGTTCTTTCCAGTGGGACGAAGAGTGGCTCATGTCAAAGTTGAACATGCGAAAGACCAAGCTGGTCCTGGTCGCGTATGCTGGTGATGATAATCAGGTTTGTGGCATCACTCATCCCTCCCTCCTCTTTTCTGGACTAGCAAAGTCTGGACAACACTCAGCTGAACTCTGTACGCCCCTCCACCCTTCAGCTTGAGACTGCTGGTCACTCCCCGACTGACCTCCATCTTCAGAAGGCGGAGATGCGAGCCAATGTCCCGTCTAGTATCCGATTCTGCTTCCCACCCATGCACGGCGGCACCTGCATGCACTCGAAGCTCCAGCTTCTGAAGTACCCTACTTACCTGCGCGTCGTCGTGCCCACAGGGAATCTTGTTCCCTACGACTGGGGCGAGACTGGCGTGATGGAGAACGTAAGGGCCGGACCTATCTCGATGTCTTGGATTCCCCGCAGGCTAGAACGCTCGCTGACTTTTGGACTTTGGCCAGATGGTCTTCATCATCGATCTCCCACGTATCAAGGATGCCGATAAGCGAAACGGCGATCATCTGACGCCCTTTGGTGAAGAGCTAGCCTACTTCCTCAACGCTCAGGGATTGGACGAGAGTCTTGTCCATAGCCTTCGCAACTATGACTTTAGCGAGACGAAGCGTTACGGCTTCGTCCACACCATGTAAGACATGGACACCCCCGATCAGCATATGATGCGGTTGTTCTGACGCTCACTACAGCGCGGGGTCGCATTACGACGGTGCTTGGCAGCGAACAGGTGAGTTCCTTGAACCTTCCTGTTCGGTTCGGCGTTGGCGAGGCTCTGATCTGATGTCTGACCAAGGGTATTGTGGGCTGGGCCGCACGGTCAACACCCTCGGTCTGCAGACAAGCGGTCCCGTTTCGATCGACTTCATTGTGGGTGTGATATGATGATCCCGAGGATCAGAGTTGCGATTGGCTGACAGCAACGGCCGTAGTGCTCGTCGGTTGGGTCCCTCAAGATGGACCTCTTGACGGCCTTGTACAATGCTTGTCAAGGTACCCCCAAGTCCCCGCACATCGCTCCAGTACATGTTCTGACCGAGCCTGTTCTCCCTAGGCGATTCGGGCATGGCCGAGTACCAGTCCAGAACGAACAAGTCGAAAAAGGCCAAGAGTACCACGTCGTCAGACGACAGGCCAAGTCTTGTCAAGAGCCGGATGCGAATCTATTTCCCATCACTTAGCACGGTGGAGAACAGCCGCGGAGGCAAAGGTGTAGGTCGCTTACAGCCCCCCTAGCTCTTTCCTGCGATATTACGAAGTACTACGACGTCGTGCTATGGGGCTGAACAAAACCGACAGGCTGCAGGTACCATTCACTTCCAGTCCAAGTGGTGGAACGCGCCGACCTTTCCTCGCGAGGTACTGCGGGATCTCGAGAACGTCAGGAAGGGCCTCTTGATGCATAGCAAGATCATGTTCGTCCGGCCAGAGTCGAAGCCTGAGGCATCCTGGGTCTACGTGGGCAGTGCCAACATGTCAGAAAGCGCCTGGTGAGTGCGGCCCGAGCATTGCTTCGAGGGATCCATGCCTTTCACATCGTTTTGCCTGTGGCTTAAGAGCCGCTGGTCTCGCTACCTACCTGAGTTTTGTGGCTTCTCCTTCGCTGGCAAAGTCTGTGGAATGGAAGACTCGATATGTGGAGATTGCAAAGGAAGCCGTCGCTAACTACCTGCTTTAGGGGCCGCCTGGTCAAGGAGCAAGGATCGGGCAGACCAAAGCTGAACTGTCGCAATTGGGAATGCGGAGTTCTGCTCCCCACGACGGCCTCTAATTCGTCGTCGCTGGCCAATGCCTCGGTTCCGGACGAGGGGGCCTCGATGCTGGATATCTTTCGAGAGGTGGTGCCCATTCCAGTGAAGCTTCCCGGAACGGCGTATCAAGAGGACGGCGGAAGACGGCCCTGGTTTTCCCATGACTGGCAATGACGATTCCTATTGCGATAGGTAGCTTATCCACTCGCGGTTTTGGCCTAGGGACGCGATTCAACTGAGACAAAGTGTGGCGCCTTGTGTCGGCCTGTTGCCTTTTGAACGGGGCAGATGTGTCTTTTGGCAGCGGCGAAGCGCCTCTCTGTCCAGCCAAAATGGGGATTCACAAACGCTTTATCTCATGTTTAGTATTTTCGTGGCTGATGATGGAAGCGAAGAAGCAGGGGTGATTACTCGTGAGGGTAGGCGGCGACGATGGACTTTCTTGCAAAGGCTTGGCAGGGACTTTTAGCTGGGAGTGGCTGGCTCTGCCTCAGCTCACCAGCTCAGGGACTCGATTCAGGCACAGTTTGCCAGTGGAGAAACCTCGCGGGAGAACTGGAGATGTCCCACTTGAGGGTCTTCTACCACAGAGGTACACTACCTAGGTACTCACCACCACAACCACCACCGAGGCCTTCAGTGGTCATCGAAATAGGTAGGAACAAGCAGCAATAATGGGTCTTGCGAGGAGGGAGGCAAATCCGGCTTGCTCCGGCGATCATTGCGGGGGAAACTTGGGACGGGGCTGCTGTCATCCGAGTTTAGCAGCAGAACGGCCAGACGGCTAAGCCGACTAGATCAAGACTACCGCCCAAGAGAAAAAACCTGCCTCACTACTTGTACACCGAGGCTGCTAAATGCCTAGCGTGACCATCATGAGCCAGAACAACGATGAAAGAGAACCATGGTCGTTTAAGGGAGCGTTTGGCAAAACCTGATGACGGGATGACCACAATCATCATCTCAGATCAGATCGATGCGGGTCCGCTCGATGCAGGTAAGGTATGGGGATTTCCTATTCTTGGAGTTTTGTTTGCATGAGATGGCGCTTGGCACGAGGCTCGAACGGACTGGCCGCATGTAACAAGGCGGCAAGCCCATCCCAAGCCAAGGCCTGCCTAGTGAGGGCCATGTAACCTGCTCGACTGGAGTCGCAGAGCCGCCATCTCCCCTCCCCCCTAGCAGGTAGCCTTGCGAGGCAAATCGAAACCCGTACTACTAACAACTCCCGTATACTATGTTAGGTAAGGTTATGGGCCGAATTCCTCGAACCCGGATACGCCGTTTGGTGGCCCACATCGAACATCATGAAGGACGAAAGCAAAGTTCTCTTTACGTTTGTCGGGTACCCTACCTACCTACCTATGATCTGAAGACGACCCGGGGGGGCAGGCAGAGACAAGGAGAGCCAAGAGCGACAAGAAGCCCGTTGTCCCTTTCGTAGTGGGCAGTTGGGGGAGTTGAGTGATCTGACATGTGGGCAGGTGTGAACGATCAACGGCCGCCCGCTTGACTCGGCGAATGTCTCTGGCTCTCCCGTCCTCCGCCCCTTGGGGCAATCCCGGAAAGGGTACCCCAACTCATGCATGATACAGGCCGAGGAGACAGAGAGAAGGGTTTCCCAGCGCAGGTGCGAAAAGGCATGCCGCATAGCTCCTGTGCAAATATAGTACCTAGATGTGCCCTCCGATAGAGTCGTCTCTCATGTCCATGTGCATCGAGAGACGTTAACGACGGACGGAGGACTGGCCTGCCTGTTTCAGGGGTGTGATGTCGAAATTGCCTGTTCCTGTTGCGAGAAATGCATAGCATACCTAGGAGTGCGGTCTCCACGAGCCGCAAAACAACACCATGCAAAGGAGCGGTTGAAAGCGATTGGATCGACATGAGGAAAAAAAAGAGTCGTCATTGCCCAGCCGACAGCTGGAATGCCACCGTTTTCCCCATCTGTTCGGGAAAAGAATTGAATGTACTGCAGGTACCAGCGGGTGGGGTTACGGGTCTTGACTAAGTACACCAGGTACCTTCCGTCGTTCTTTGTAGGGTCTGGTCCGTGCTGAGTGTACGAGCCCCACATCACCCCCCCAAGACATTTCCCCAATTTTTCCGTTTCTGTTTCTCAGGGCTAGGCTAGGTAGGTACTTGTAGGTAGGTCTTGGCAACCGCAACTACAAACCGTTCGTCCCAGGCGCCAGCATATCACTTTTCGCGTTTTCCCAGACGGTATCCTGGACACGGGCTGCCCCCCGGGCGATGATGTGCTGGTTGACGAGGGGGGGGCCGCAACAGCTCTGCATCCTGCATCATGCCACAAGGGGCTTGTCTACGGTAAAACCAACCGCCCAAGACACGGCCGGGATCCTCGTCCACCTTGTCAGGGGTCGGAACATGCAGGAATGCAGCGCGCAATATGACTAGGTAGGAGTGTCTGTGGATGGATGGATGGATCATCATATCGTGAGGCGCACGGCACAGAGGTTCCAGATTCTGCCACTCCATGTTTCTTCTGGCGCAAACGCCACAAAATACGTGTCCATCCTGCCCGCTCTTGTTGCCCTGCACGGGGCCAGCGCCGTTTCGATTCTCTTTTTGTCCCCCCGTTGGAAGACAGGCATGTGAAGCCCGGGGGTTTCCAGACCTGATACCGTTGCTAGGCTTACGGCACGCATCAGGTTCTAGACCTTTTCGCTCCCTGCCGTTGGTTCGATTCATCGGCTCTGCATCCTCTGTCCTCGATTGGCCAGGAATTGGTCCATTCGGGTGTGTACTCTCCTTCGTTGTCTATTATTATGATGTGCTAAATGATGTTCCAAGTAGGCAGGCGGATCCGCATTCTGCAGTAGGTACCTAACTAGCTGCTTGTAGATAGCCAATGCATTATCGCTGGCCAGGTGCTATACCAAGTACGTCGTCATCTGCAGGCGCGGTAGTTTCCTGCATTTAGGTCGTGTCCGTGCCAGCCTTACGACCCTGTTCACATTGGCGACATAAAGGGACAAGAAGGAGGCAGGTGTCGTGGTGTCGTGGTATCGTGGTATCGTGGTATCGTGGGCATGGTAGGGGTCTGGTAGCTTAATCCGCTGTTGCAGCTGAGACCCAATCAGCGCACAGCATCAAGCATAATTCGCTTGGCGATCACGGAATTTGCCATGTGGTGCCTGCAACGCTGCAAATTTGGGTACCACCTTGCGAACCTCAACCGTTGAGATCACAATCCATTTTCATAAAGGGACTGGGGCTCAAAATCATGTTTTTCATTGCGCCTGCAGCTACCTAATTTGACAGACTGCATGTGATCGAAGTCATTTGTAACTTGTTGAAGTAGTTAATAACACATATTGGCCCGCTTTGACGCCTTTTTGTCCTCTATCATAGGCTCACGATGGTTCGTTGATCTCCTGCAACTCTGGCAAGTGCATCTCCGGAGACTGGACGGACGGACAGACAAGTTAGCCCGGTTGTAGATTGAACACCCTCGAACACCCTCGCAGGAAGGATTCGCGACAGCGAAGTGCCGAACCACCCCAGCACCCGAACTTTCCGCGATCGTCAACCTGGATGAGGCAAACCCCGGCCATCCAAGGTGACACTCGGACCCGGCTGGCGAACGCAAGGGGCCCGCTGGTTAAAAGAGGCGGCTCAACACCTACTCCGTCCCTACCTCTGTGCGCGCGTCGCGCACTGCCCTCTGGCCTCGCGCACTGCCTGCCACAGCGCCTAGGGTCCCCTTCAGAATCCTTTTACATGCAGTGCAACTCGTGGCTTGTCTCGATTTTGTTGCGCTCTAATCTCGAAAAGTACCTGAGGTAATAAGACAATGTTCCCCGGAAAGATCCTGAAACCGACCGCCTCTCTTAACCCTGCTGCGGCTACAGGAGAAGACCCAAGATCCTCCTTTCGGCGGGCTCCTTGCAGCCTTCACCAGAGAGATATTTGCGCATTAGGCGCACACTACCTACACGCTCCCTACCTTGGGATCCCTTGATCTGTGGCGGGAAAGCCGTCGCGGGAGATCCAAGGCAGAACATGCGTGATGACTAGGCCATGACGTGAGGCATCGAGAGCTCAATCGGATCATAGTCAGCAAACCAGCTAAAATCGTCCGCGGGCTCGAAAACTAGCGGCCTCAGTCAGATCAAGCGTCCCGTTCGTTCGTTGGATTCTATTTCGATATCTCTCTATTCTTTTCTCTCCCTTGCTCCTTTCCTGTCCTCATCGTGGCGAGGGGAGTGGTTGTGGTGGTGGTGGTGGTGGTGGTGGTGGTGGTGTAAAGCGGGCACTGCACCCGAGGCGGGGCATGGGGAAAAAGAGGTGAAGCTAGCGAACGGACATGGCAACACCTTTTTCACATCATATCCTGCATGCTGCATCCCTTCATGCTGAGCCACTGCCTCCAGTCGCGATGCTGCACCGTCCCGGGGCTTCTATCTATCAACCAATCCGTTGTTTCCGCCATCAAATGCGGAAAGCAAACCTAGCTGTTCGTTTTAGATGCGTTGCTGCATGGGCTGTGATGGGCATGGGCATGGGCATGAGCATGGATGCCTGGCTTTTCTTTCTCCCGCCCACGGAACGCAGTGGGGTCATTTTTTGGACGATCCCAGCCCTACCTACCCCAGACAAGAGAGATGGGCAGACGAGACGTTTGAAAGACGCTCGGCAATTCCCTCAAAGGGCCCAGACCCAGCAAGTCCCTGCATAGCGCACCCCCTGTGATCATTCCCTCCTCTGCTACCCATTTCTCATGATCGCCGACTCCTCGCAGAACAATGCTCTCCGGGTTACATTGGGATCGTGATCCCCGCTCCGGCAGTGGTTGGTAGCGCTGCAGACTAGGAGCAAAGAAATGGTTGATATCAAGAGTTGTTTGGTTGGCGATCGCAGGCGGTCGCTCGACTAGTCCGGGGCAGGTCTAGTTCGGGCCTGTGTCGCTCATGCAAGAGAGTGGAGGTGCGGTGTGAGGCATCCGGCCTGGTGATTCGACGGTTGGGCCTGTATTTTTTCTCCGAATCTCAGATTCGAGAGTAGCGACTGGCGATCGACTGGCGCATCATACCTTGGCCGTAGGCCGTATGTCGTGTCCTGCCATGTGTGGTCCTGGAGAAAGCAAGTGCAGTCGATCTGGCGCCGCATTCAAACAGTCAGCAGGGCGCAACTGCGAAGCAAGCGGAGGTGAGAATCCAGGCTCGAGGCCACACTCCTGCGGTCCCCAGAGGCATTGATTGATTGCACTTCTCTTCTTATCTCCACAACAAGAATGGGGTCCTTTTGCGAGGATTGGCATTCTACGAATCACATTTTATCCCATACTGGATGAAACTGGATTGTCTCTTTCTGTTTTATTAGCTTGCAGCGCTGAACTTCCGGGGCGCCGGGAGAGTCCATCCACGTACAGGGATTCCATCAACTCGATTTCGTCCCAAGGCGCCCATTTGGTTCCTCTGGCCGCACGCAGAGAGGAAAAAAAAAAGCAATGGGTTACCTACCTGCCTATGCATCGACTCCGAACGTGTGGTGTCGAGACGAGCCAGACTCTTCTGCAAGCCTTGGACTAGGGGTCCCTACGCGGTCCTGCAAGAAACATCATCAACTACCAGGTACAGCCCTGCCATCACTGCGATCGACAGCATTACGGTGAGCAACTCAAGCAGAGGGATCGCCCCTCTCTCTCCCCAATGATTGGCCCGGATCTGATCGCGAATCGTCGAGATCGCCAACCATCGAGTATGCTTCTTTTTTCTCACTTTGCAGCAGCCTTTGCTTTTCACCGCTTTGTCTCTGTCGTTCTTTTTTTTTCCCCGATGAACACTGCATTCTCTCACTTCTCGCACTGCTGTGGCTGCAGCAGGTAGGTACAGGTGGACAGTCCGGACGCTCGGAGCGAGCGGCCCACGCCCTTTTCGGTCCCGGCTCGCCTAGTGCACACCGAGTCAAAAGATGCGAAGTGTTTTGGATGGAGTTTGGGAATTCGCACCGCAAAATTCGACCCAAGCATACCGTGGTCGGTGGTGTTCTACCTAACCTGCTTTCGCGAAGCGCTACCATTGCAAGACAAAGCTACGGGAATAAAAGAGAGTGAGAGAGAGTGTGTCGGTGATTGCTAGCGAGTGCTGGGTTATCGAAATAAGCAGTACCTAGAGAGAAGACACCAGCGAACAAACAACATCGTTGTGCCGCGAGACGATGGCACACCCTTCGATACACCAGTAGGTAGTGCTGTCTCAGACCGAGGTACTCCACCTCTGACCTGTCTGTCTCTGTCCTGGGACAGGAAGCAGACTCCGGAGCAATGCTGCAGTGGAATGCACCCGCGGATTGTCGTTCACATTCGAGAGAGAGAAAGAAGAGAGAGGAGAGTCACTACACCACTAAACACCACGCTCCTCAGGAACGCCGACCCGACTGGCATCCTATCACTAGTGTTACCTAGTGCTGTGGCTCGTGCCTATTTACCGTTGGTATGTATCGATCAATGTCTGGGCGATAGAGCAGTAATTAGCAGTCATAGGCGCCCATAGCATCCAGCCCTGTGAGGTTGGATTTGTTTCGTTTTGAAGTCCCGGGGATCGTTCTCCGCGATGCTGGCATATAGCCATGCTCCCAGACCCCGTAGGTACTCCTCCTCTCTGGCGTGCTACCTATGTTAGGGAATGAGGAGTCGAGAGAGGATGTGTGGCAATGGAGCGATGGTGTGTGTAATTCCTCATCCTCGGGTAAGGTGGGTGTGCCGGGAAACCACCCCCATGCTCCCCCGGACGCCCCTGGCCCTACACTCTCTCGACTCGTCACAAATGACTGCCCTTTCCTTTTTCCCTGCGGCGTGGTGGCCAGCGATATGATTGACCGGCCGCAAGAGGACGCCATGCCCTCTGCCCTGCACGAACGACGAAAGACTGTGCATGCACATATACGTGCGTGCAGGCCAATTCGGCAGGCAGTCGACCCGTCAAATTGCCTGCGATGAGGCGAAAGAGGGGGAGGGGGCAAATTTGCACTTTGTGCAGAAGGCCGCAGATGGGATGGACGGAATACCTCCAACACTCTTCTCTCGCCCTGGAATCCTGAGGCTTCGTTTTTTCCCCCCCAGAGAGGCGATTCTTCGCCATGGGGGCAGCCACCACCATGACAAGAGCGAGCAGCCAGAGCACAGAATGGCAGACTGAATCAGGATACAAAAAGCGAGAAGATAAGAATGGCCATCTGTTGAGATCTGAATAGTAATCGGCCCTTGGTATGGCCTAACTAGACAAGAACCGGCCCGGCCACTGCGATGGGGGGTAGTTTTCGATCTCGAGAGAGCAAAGCCTGGAGGGGACGGCTCGATGGATAGGTAGCACACAGGTCAGGTAAGTCGTCGCTCATCGACAATGGGAAATAACTAGAGGCGCCAGGCCGCCTCGGGTCAAGCTTCCTTTTGGTCGCCAGCGCTAGCAGGGCCTGTCTCAGGACCTTCTCTGTGCCTTGACTAGCCCCCATTCGCATCTCCAGCCACCTTTTTGTCGTACTCGGGTTTCCAGGGCTGATTGGCCGGGCTAGGCTGATGGGGACTGACTTGGTGTTGCATTGCTTGCTGGCCGAACTGAGGTTGCGCATCGTTGCGCAGGTGCAGGTGTGGAAAGGCCCATCGAAGCCCCAAATCCACCCACCGTTGGAGGCCATCCGACGGGTGCATCGAGTGAGGTACAGAGGTATGTAGGTACTCAAAGACAAGAAGTGCCCTTCCCCTCCACCCATCTGGGCCTCCTACACACATCACATCACAAGTCAGGACCCCCCTCTTGGCCTGTCTGTCTTGTCGCTAGACCCTGTGTCCATAGAGCTAAAGGGAATCGGCGAGCATTTTCCCAGTGCGGAGTATGCCTGATATGTTTGCTTGACCTGTCTTGTCTCTGTAACTATCCCAAGAGGCCTATCTATTACCCCGATTCACTAATATCCCCCCCATCTCGACACTACTAATAAGTACGGAACCTATCCGGTCCCCCTCGACGTCGGTCACCTCAGGTGGATATGGCCACCTTAGTCAAGCACTCTCTCTCTCTGGAGGGAGTGGAGAGGAGGGGGCTTGTCCTTTCTTTAGCATGTGCGGGCAGGACTACCTACGTCGTTAGGTACTTCGTACGGCCTTGCTGCGGAGCTTCCATTGACTGATTCGCATCAGTACATACCAAGTTAGATCTCGTCCAAGGCTGACGTACCCTGCTGTGCTATCCTTGCAGCAGGACCAGCCAGAGGCTTGCGGCAGCATGCGAGGGAGACCAGATCTGAGCAACGCTCCCCCCACTGGGCCCTGGGCCACCCGTGGTCCAAGATACTGGGCACACATGGCCAGAACCAGAATATCCCCGTCGGTCTTGGGGAATGCGCAATCACAAGCCAGAAGCAGAAAGGGCTGCCGGAGGAACGAAAAGTCAATTCCATCGACAGCCACGGGCCAAGCCAATGCAATGGTAAGCCATCGCCACTAGGAGGCTGCCGTGTGGGAGGTCAGGTCAGGTATGTAGTTGGTAGGTGGGTGGTAGTGAGGAGGAGTTATAGTGCGTGCGTGCGTGTGTGTGTGTGTGTGTGTGTGTGTGTGTGTGTGTGTGTGTGTGTGTGTGTGTGTGTGTGTGTCTATATGTGTGTGTACTTGTAAGTAGGTAGATCTAGTCGTGGTCGTGATGGTGGGGGAGGGCAGAACGGAGTTTGCCTTGTGGGCATTGGGAGGTGGTTCCCTTGCAACCGGGGCTGACCTTGCTGGTGAGTGAGATGGATGATCCCTCAATGATCCAAGTGGCCTGCTGCCTCTCTCTCTCTCTCTCTTCCCTCTCCAGCAGCAAGTCCACCAAAGTCCATCTTGGGTTCTTCTCCACCACTGCAGAGGTACCGCATGTACCTACCTTAGCTCTAGGCTTGGCTTCTACAAGTAGGCGCGCCAACTCTTCCAGACCAGCGCCATCTCTCTAGGCCCCACCCCCCGGAACAGAGACGCTAGTGACCTACCTACCTACCTACCCACAGGGCCACAGGAAAGACGACAACAGGTACAGGAGGCTAAGGTGATTGCCGTCTGGCCTGACTGGCCTGAGTGACCTGCGAGGATGACTCGGGTGACCTGCATTCTTGCCGTGGACTCGCTTGGGGTCGCGAGTACCGCGCTGTCTCTCTCGCTCTCTCGCTGGGCTCAAGGCTGGTGGTCACCTGCCATGTACCCATCCACCTCCTCCCAGATCCAGGGCCTAACTTTGGGCAGGTATCCATCCGCTCATTCACCCTCCAATGCCTCCAATTGATCACATCCATCCATCCATCCACTCTACATACCCACCCTACCACACTACCGGCCGGGGGCGTCGTTGCGTACGGCGCGCGCGAGAGAGCGAGGGACTGAGAGACAAGAGGGAGGAGGACTGGGCATGCTACCTACCTAACTTAGGGTGGGTGGGAAGGACGGCACGCCAGCAACCCAAGACAAGACCCGGTGGATACCGCCTACCGGCCGTGTAAGTCAGAAAGTCAGAGGAGATCGCTCCTAGGGAATTTCCCACCAGGTATGGACTCGCAGAAACGCAGGACGGACGAATGCAAGAGAACGAGCCAGTGTTTGGCAGTCGTTCCAGGAAGTACCTCGACCCAGACTACCTCTACCTGCCTGCTCGTGTCGACTGAGCATTTAAGCATTTACAAATCCCCTCACTCTCATCCTGCCTCTGCCCCTCCACATCGCCATCTCACTCACAACTGATTGTCCGTTTTGCTGGACGATCCAAAGGACTACGGGGTATCTGCCCTCGAGCTCGCACTGCCAGATACAGATAGAGATCACAATCACATACGACACAAGAACTCTCTGTCTCTCACATATAACAACCACAACGAGTTGCGCTTCAAGTCCCCAAAAGGGACCTCCACTTACACCGCCGCCGTTATGGACTTCTCCACGCAGGACGACTTTGACTCCCACGCGGACGACTTTGCCTCCATGGCCAACTTCACCCCCCTCGAAACCATGTTCGGACTCGCATCCCAACATCTAAACCATCAGGATATGGTGCCCTCGCAAGAGCACTCCGTATACAACATGGCACCGCACCAGGCGCACCTCTATCAGCCTCACGGTATCTCTGCGCAACATATGACTGCGGAGCAGCTCACGCCTCAACTTCCGTCACCAGGCCACCAGACGCTATCCTCACAATCACAACGGCAACAGCGACGAGACTCGTCTCAGTCCGATCCGACCTCGACACAGCAATCCCCTCCGGCTCCCCAGGCCGGCGGCCCTTCGCCGCAACCCGACATCACCGAGACATTTTATGGATTTGTCAAGAACACGAAGGACGCTCTCCACCTCATCGAGGCATGTCTGCGCGGCAAGCTCCATCACGTGGCGCGCCGGCCCCATGACAAGGAGCGCGAGTTTCTCATCCGCAGCGGCAGCATCTTCGTCTACGAGGAGCACTCTGCTGGCATCAAGCGGTGGACCGACGGGATGAACTGGAGCCCGAGCAGGATACTGCAGAACTTCCTCGTCTACCGCGAGCTGGACAAGCCGTTCCCTCCCGGAGAGAAGAAGAAGGCCAAGAAGACGACCAAGAAGAACAGTGCTGCGGGGCAGCACGGGGCGCTTATGGATGAGGTGCGCAACTTGATGACACCCACGGACGACTCGGGAGCCAGCACGGAGGTGCTCCGCGAGTATGTCGGCTCGCTCGTCGACTCGTACGACTTTAAGCCTCGCGGCCTCGTCAAGAAGACGATCAGCGTCCAGTTCAACGGCGTCCACCACCACCTCGTCTCATACTACAGCCTGGACGACGTGCTCAAGGGAAACCTCAAGAGGGTGGTTGACGACCCCAAGATACTCGAGTGCTACCCTCGTCCGGAGCTGATCGACGGCCAAAACTACCGCAACCCTGTGGGCGACGAGTTGAATGAGGGATTCACTTTCCCCAGCTTGACCAATATGCCGAGGATGGTGCTGCACATGCCCGGCTCACAGATGCCCAACTCGCAAATGCCCATCTCGTACAACGGGCCGACGGGCAGCTATCTACCGTCGCCGCCGCATTTTATTCCAGGATATCACAATGAGATGGATATGCACAGCACCCAGCACCAGCTGGCCATGGTATCGCCTGCCCATAACACTGGCCAACTGCTGGGACAGGAAATGGGATATCCGGGCACCGCCGTCTATGCCGACAACGGCTGGTCATCGCAGTATTAGAAGCGCGGGCGACTGTGCTCATTCCAACTCGAAAAGTCCTCCTCATCGCCAGGACTCGCGTCTTTGTTTTGATGTTTTTTGTGTTATACAGCCCAGGTCGGGCTTGGCAACTCTCATTTTCACAAATACGTTATTATACCCCCCAGCGATGCATTGATCTCCCATCCGGAGACAAAAGGAGTGGTATGGCGAACGTTTGGCTGTCATTTTCAGTCGTTTGGCTTGGTTGGGGAGTTTTATTTTCTCTTGTCTTTGGAGGCGCATCTTGGAAGCCAATTTAAAAGGAAATAATCATTAGTATTACTAGTCCTCCACATACTACTAGGACGGGGCGAGGAAGAGAAAACGAATGAATTTTGAATAATTATTATTCAAATTACAACCTTTCAATTTCGGGGATATGTGTGAGCAAATTGAGGTCCCGGGTACCCGGAACACACACATGCACCCCTGTTACAGATATGCTGACAACCTTGGAAGGAAATAGCCACGCTGGGGTGGTACCGTGGTAGCCTCCAGCCCGGAACCCTCTATCTCTCTCCCTATCAGACCCGGCTGATTAGCAGCAACTCGGTCACGAAAGTCAGGTGACAATGCTTAGGTTGAACCTCAACTCATCAATCGCACACCCAAAGGCAGCTCCCCTACTGACGTACGTCCGGCCTTGATCCAACTCCAGTCGCACGGCAGCACTTTTCACTTTGCCCGCTGTCAGCCTTGTATTCTATTTCCATAGCACAGGAGGGTTTGTTCGTTTTCTTGGCGTTTTCGTTGTACTAATCGTCCGTCTTCCTTTTGGGTGCATTTTGTCGGAGCAAAAATGCGTCGCGGGTTATAAAAAACCTCCTGGCCCTAGTCTCTTTCCCCGTCCCGTTCCTTTCCTTTTTTTTTTCACCTGGCCGGGATGTCGGTCGGTATAGTGGGAGCTCGCGCTCTCTCGAGGCAGCTGTGCACAGTCACCCGACTTCGGGTCCAGCTCCCGGCTTCGTGTGCGAGGCCTTGGTCCTTGCTGGCCGCGCCCTCGGGCCGCCGCTGTGATGTCCTCCTGGGGAATAGGGCGGCTGTCTTCGCCGGCTCTCAAGCCCGGTGCTTCGTACAGACCACGCCGCGCCCGGAGCAGAAACCCGAGTAAGTTTACAGTCTGAGATGCTGCCCAATGGTGCCCGTACTGTCGGCGCCATATGGCTTGAGCAATGTCTTCTGTGGTCCGGCGGCAGCAATAATGCTTCAACATGAAACCTTATTCTCGCTGGACTGCGCAGAAGGAGCCAGCAGCTACGAATACTATTTCTTGTGCCGACGACTAACTGTTCTCGCCTAGGAAGCAAGAGCACGCCCCCAAAAGTGGGCAGGTCATCCGCAAAGTGCTCGCCTCTCTGCCGACGACCCACGAGAACATCTACACCATCCCCAACCTGCTGACTTTCTCGAGGCTGATAGCCGCGCCCTTCATCGGCTACTGCATCGTGCACGACTATCACGCGTGGGCTCTGGGGCTGTTCGCGTATGCCGGCGTCTCCGACCTGCTTGATGGCTGGATCGCTCGGAGATGGAACCTGAAGACCGTCGTCGGCTCTGTAGTCGACCCGATGGCCGACAAGATCCTCATGACCGTCTTGACCGTGGCGCTCGCGGCCAAGGGAGCCTTGCCTGGTGAGTCTTTGCATTTTGAATTCCCTCCCTGCCCAGTCATTCCTGGGAGCTAGTGGAAGCTTCAAGGTTTTCATCCGGGAAGCTTTAGGGCAGATGGCCCCGATACCCTTCTTCTCATAGTCCTGGTTGCTGATTGTCTATGCTCGCATGCACCTGCTTACAGTGTGGCTGGCGGCGATCATCCTCGGACGTGATGTCGGCCTCGGCATCGCGGCCATCTACTACCGATGGATCTCCTTGCCGCCGCCCAAGACGTTCATGCGCTACTGGGACTTCTCGCTGCCCTCGGCCGAGGTCCGGCCCACCACGATCAGCAAGTACAACACCTTCCTGCAGCTCGCCCTCATGGGCGTGACCACGATGGCGCCTCTGGTCCCCGCCGACATTGGCACGTCGTTGACGGTCCTCCAGTAAGTGTGATGATGACCCTTTGATTGGCTCTGCGTTTCTGTACACGTGCGGATGACTCGAGAATGGATTTCGGTGTCAAAGATCCCCGGATGAAGTGGTAGTTTGTGTGTGTGCTAACGCAGTTCCGATCAGGTACATTGTTGCTACCACCACCGTGTGGAGTGGAGCGAGCTATGTCTTCAGCAAAGACGCCGTCAAGATCCTCTCCGACAACAAGTCCAAGAAGTGAACCCCCGAGACTACTGGACTAGTGAATTGTGGATGAAGATAACGGGGGGGTTACTCATTACTCGACTCGGTCGAGAGAGACAGAATCGCGTCCTGTATTGTGCTTGTCTCGGTTGACCACCTGCTCAAGTGGTGGCCGAGTGAATTTTTGACATGCAGGCTTGGGCGTAAAGCTTAGAGCTTGATGGGATGCCTTGTCATGGTGTCTGAGAGTGGTCACAAGACTTTGCGTCCTTGCACATTTAAACCGATGGTCAGAGGGAGCCTTGCTGACGATGTACAATACATGTTTCATAGTGGTTCTTGAGATAATTGGATCTTAAGTTCTTCAAATGACCGTGCGAGACCAGTGGATTGCATTGTAAAAATAATACACAAGGTTTCGTAAATAGTGCCAGGTTCTATCTATCTCATGGGAGAGGCCTGTCGCGGCCCCCAGGTAAAATCACATAATATACACGGGGGTTCCATAGAACTTCACTTTGTTACCAGCAAACGTTCCTTTCCTCAAGCCGAAAAACGCTTAGAGATCCGCCACCCTCGCCCGAGCATCCACGACCTCCATGTCCACGGCCCCGCCATCGACACCGACACTACTGCTCTCAGCAGCAGCAGATGCCCCGGCCGACGACGACGACGAGGAGCCACCACCGCCGCGCTGCTGCTGCAGCGGCTCCACGGGATACCGCCTCTGCACGTAGCGCAGCAGCTGCAGGACGCCGGCGGGCGTGACGCCCTCGATCCGCCTCGCCTGCGCGAGCGACTCGGGCCGCGCCCGCGCGAGCACCCTGCGCTCCTCGTGGCTCAGGCTCGGCACGGCCGCGTAGTCGAGCGCCGGCGGCAGCCGCAGGCCCTCGTCGCGCGCGACCCGCGCCCGCTCCTCCTCCTGCCGCGCCAGGGCGGGCGCCGTCTCCTATACACATC